GTCAAGTAGCCACATGCAATATCAACTCCGTTCCATTCTGAGATCGGAGGGCTACTTTCATCATCTGCTAGAATGTGCCTTCTTCGTCCTGGGATGAGCGGCATTTCGAGCAAAGTTCAAACCGGTTAGGTACGGTAGGTACGCGCTGAGGCGTGGCAGCGGCCAATCAGCCTCAACCCTCAGCCTCAGTATCGCGGCGGAATGTGTCATATCTAACCTCATTGGCTGGATTCATCGTGCAACTCTACCTGCATGATGCTATGAACATGGTCAACGTCGAGGAGATCCACCAGGCCTCGCACAGGTGCAGGATGGAAGCATGCTACTATCCTTGTCAATTGTTTAGTGCACGGGCAGGGCAGGGGGTTTGTGTTGGAGTATAAGGACAGGCTATATAGCCAATGGGCTTTTATGGTCTAGCGGTAGGTATGCTGACAGTTTGTATGGTGTGGTGTCAGCAGGGCATACCCCTTCAGCAAAGTGTTCGCCGTTGATCATATGTCCTCCGTCTGGTATAAGCCTCGTTAACCCGAGTGGAACTGGCGAGGCGAGCATCCCAACCCATGCGCGGTATCGACTGTTTTCCAAGCAGCCAAATCCTCCCAAAGCTCAACGAGCAGAAGATGTGAAAGATACAGCAGCTTATCCAGGCTTGAAGGTCAATAACTGCGTCTCGCTCGACAGCGAGGCCTCAAGCTGGGAGACCATCTTGTGAACACGAGAACGCACGAGCGGCTCTCGTGCCTTTAAGGCCTAGGCACTGAACGAAGATGCGAAACCTTTCTGAGTCCTAGCATAGTGTACATCTCCAGCGTCAAGAATGGAGACTGGTTGTCCTGGCCGCGGGGCGGCTGGCTGATCGAATCTCTGGGGAGGTATTTGCAGGTTGGGTTTGGCCCGTTGTAAATGTCCTTGATGCAGTCGGGGTCGATAAATAAAACCACATTTGGGGCCACGAGGACAGTACTCTGTGGATTTCGTGGAACCGCTTGATCTTGTGAGCTAACTAGCCAGACCGAAGAGCGAGCATATAACGCAGACGCGTGATCGTCCAGAGGCGGGACCATTGCATCGCGAGAGGGGACGGAAATAGAGCCGACGGATAATCAGAAAGACGGGTAACTAAAGAGAGCACTTGTTAGAGAGGGTATAGCCATCCAAGAGGGGTACTGACCAGCAGAGACGGGGTACCCATGTGGCAGGTTATGTGACTTGAGCTTGCCCATGGGTTCAGGAATGCGAGCTTCGGCTTCACTACTTTGATCGGGCAAAGAAAAAGCACAATCTGATGAAGCAGGAAGAAGGCAGAAGGCAGAACAAGACCAGTTGAGGAGGTGATCATGATGAGAGAAGGAGACTGGGACTGCCGAGGAGAAATCCAGCGCAGGCTGCTGGTGTAACCACAATTTCTTTGTTCGCGCAACACAGCGAGGATCCTCCACCCCAGAAGTCCCGGCTCGGGTCGATGGTAAGGAGTCAAGGCAAATCTTTGGATTTCTAGAGAGGCTGTCTACTGACGGAGGTGGTTTCAAACACAGGCTTCAGCATTCGGTCTCGACGCAATTCTCAACACTATGACGGCCTTGCTTGCCCTGATGAAGCACTCACAAACACAAGACCAAACCAACGGCGATATCAATGGCGCCACAGCCCCGGACTTGGATGAGGGCATCTCCCAACCGACAACCTTCCTGCGAAAACGCCTCCAGAAGTGGGACACGACCGCCGCCAAAGCCCACGTTGGGTTCGAGATCCTCGTCCCAGCACATCAGCCGTACCTGGCGGCCGAAGGAATCACCTTTGGCTTTCCAGACGAAGCGCTTCTCCATATGCTTTGTAATCGCAAGCTGGGGCTTTTCTCGCCGGACTTGCTGTACAGCAATCAACCTACCTCGCTGACCCATTCCCTAGAGGCGCTCGTGGGGAAGATCGACTTCGACCGCATCAGCTAGAGTTTAGGAGCATGCTAGCATCGCCTGCGTCAACGGCTGTTTATTTTATACAGTTCCCGGCTCCTAGCTGCAACATACTGCGCATCAGCCATGCAAACTCCAGTATTTACAGCGAGACCGCTGGACGATGTACAGGAGCAATCTCGTACGGACCCCTGGGTCCAAGGGGCGAATGGATGCCGTCAAGGAAGTTTCCAAGTTCTACTCACGAATGCCCCTATTCACGGATATCCCGGCATGGAAGCTCACTGCCGCGCTGGAAGGGCCAATGGTGGTATCGTCGGCTTGCTGCTCGCCGCCACTCCATCTTCCCCAGGGACAAGATAACAGTAGACAAATACCTTCACTACATTCCGCAGACAGGAACGGCGTTTGACGCAAGGAACGAATACCGGTGGTGCCAGGGCCAGGACTGATGTGGCAGATGATGAATATCTTAAGGCTCAACCACTAAGTCGACGAGTTCCTGGAGTCTGTAATTGGTCACTGCGGAAGGCTGAGCGTGACACTGTGCAGACACTCGTTGCCCAGATTCGCAACCTCGAGTGCGACATCAATGCAGCGGGGGAGGTAAGCCCTTTATCCTCACAAGACATCGCCAGGGAACCGGAGGCGTCTCTGCTCGCGCATCTCGCGGACCTCGCTTCCTCCCACCAACTCACCAGCCAGCCTCCTACTCGACGACCCGCCCGACAAAGCTTCTCTCCCCGCAGTCTTCCTACTACGCCTGGGTTACCACCACCTTGGCAGGCACCACGAGCTTCTCGTACACCATCCGCTTCTTCATCTGTTGGATGGGATACTATCGGGCTGTCCCAGTCCGGGAGGCGGAGGGCAAAGCGCACCAGCACCAGCCCCAATCCTCCACGGCGCCCGTCAGAAGTACGTCTTTGCGTCTGTGCCGCGGCATCTTTCGACGCTGTATCGACAGTACGACGACTATGGGAATATACTGCAGGACCGGGAGTAGGGGACGCTGAAGAGTCTTGATTTCCCGGAGTTCTGGGAGTCGGATGGCTGTGACGGTGTCCGTGTAGACCAGTTGGATCAAGAGCAAGGGCAATCCATGAAGGACGAGTTCATGTGGGTTGCGGAGTATGAGCGGGAACGCTGCTATCGGGCGCTGGAGAGGCTGCTTGGTGAGACGGGCTTGGACTGGATTGGATGTGCCATACTTGGCGAATCTATTGCTTTTGTTTATGCACGGAGGCCGAGGATGGCACTAGTACTGTAACGGTGGAGCATGAACAACAAAGGCCCCGCTCCAATACCTAGCCAGAGCTCCACATTGGGACTCAAGAGCTCCCAGCCATCGCATTTCTAGATCAAGGCGTAACAATGGTTTATTTTCCTTTCTCTCCATTAGCCATGATCAGTGTTCCACCTTGCTCAAGCTATATACCCTGCACTAGGTCCCTGCATTTTCGTGCCACTTTTGTGCTCAACGCTTCGCTTGCTTACCCGATCTAAATCGCGGATTGAGATAGAGCACATTCCCCAAGTTAGTAGGGAACTTCACACAGTTCATCGTCCATGACAGATAAACGCTAATATGCGTACAGTACAACCAGTCCGATGTTGCTCGCTTCCATATTACTCGGAATAGCCTCACTCGCAGCCCAGGCATCAGCGGCCTCGAGGTCGAACCAAACATCACAGCACAATGGCGCCCCTCAAAGATCCATCCAGGGCATCCGGAAAATGAGCGACGACGCGGGAGAAAAGTTCTACATGCACTACTGGCACTACGAAGAAGACGCCATCGCCTCAAACACAACGGACGCACAAACTGAATTAGACCGAAGCTCCATTCTCGCCCGCTCATACCATTTTCAGCCGCCATTTTCTCTTGGCCCCGAGCGCTTTGCGGAGTTACGTTCTTCACCGCTGGATAGGAGGGGTTTTGAATGTCCTGCTGGGACGAATGCTTGTACGGCGATCGGCCGGTCGGATAGCTGTTGCGGTACGGACGAGACTTGCGTGGTGGTTGAGGATACTGGGTTGGGGGATGTTGGGTGTTGTCCGTCGGGGCAGGATTGCTCGGGGACGATTGGGTCTTGCTTTGAGGGGTATACTAGCTGTCCTTCGTCGCTTGGAGGGGGATGCTGCTTTCCCGGCTATGAGTGCGTCGAAGAGGGCTGTAAGTAAGCCCTTCATCGAAAGAGGATAATGTTGGCTGAGTCTCCTAGGTGCACACATCGTTACCATAACGATTACTCTGTCCTCGACGACACTGACGACCACGTCAACCGAGACGGTTCCCGCGACGAGTACCACTAGCAGCACGACTACGACTACAGAGACGACGGAGACGACCGCCTCCACTACCTCAACTTCAACAACCACAAGTACGTCGTCAACGGGAGATTTGACACCTCCGGACCGACCCACCAGTTTATCAACCACCACAAGCTCCGAGACCGAAACGTCCTGTCCGACCGGCTTCTACGCGTGTGCTGCAGTCTATCAAGGCGGCTGCTGTCAGACTGGGCGAGATTGCGATACGACATCTTGTCCGGTCCTGTCTTCGACTACCATTGAAACCGAAGGCCGAACCATTGTGATTGCCGAGCCGACATCAGCAGCGAACAGCAGCGAAGGGAGCGGCGTAAGGACATGCGCGTCTGGCTGGTTTAGTTGCGCAGACACGGTAGGCGGAGGATGCTGTCCGACCGGGTACGCGTGCGGAGCAAGCTGCACGGCAGTGCCGAGTGCATCGACGACGGGAACCGTGGCCAAGGAGGCGCCAACGGCAGAATCGATCGGAGGAGCGACAAAAAGCAACTGGGTGGCACTGACATGCGCTATGGTTATGACCTGGATGATGCTATGATAGATGTAACATATCAAGATAGATGACTGATGCAAATGAAGATAACGAATTGATGAGATAACCAAGGATGATCGACGACCGAGATGCAAGCCGAACGCGGGGAGAGCAACGACGCGGGGGAATCGTTTATCCCTTGCTCGGTTTGGCAGGATTTTCCGGTAGCCGAGACGAGCGCCATTATTGACTGTCCTCGGTCACTTTGCCGGCCCGGTTGGCTGCGTTGGTGACACTGACTCCATCGTCCGCGTCCAAACCGCTCCAACCTTCTCCTCACCTCCTCTCCTCACCTCTCCTTCTTTCTCTCCTTCATCCTCATCCCTCCCCTCCACTCCTTATTCACAATGGCGAGCGACAAGCCCCAGGCGCCCTTGCCTTTCGCCTACCAGTTCGTCGCTGGTGCGGTCGCCGGTGTGTCGGAGGTAAGTGGGCTGACGATCTAATCGCTTAACTCGAGCTAAGACTGACTGACCGCGTGACTAGATTCTGGTTATGTACGGCTCCCTACGATTGTCTATTCTTGACTCGCGAATGAAATAATGGATGCCTCTGTTGGAATGGTCGTTAATGGCTTTCTAGGTACCCATTGGACGTTGTCAAGACCCGAGTGTACGTCTCCCTTCACAGCAAACACACGGAGCTCAATTGAACGAATCTAACAATACAACAGCCAACTCCAAACGAACGTCGCCGCCGCCGGTGAGGATTCCTACAATGGCATGCTCGACTGCTTCCGCAAGATCATCCGCAATGAGGGGTACGCAATCCCCCTCTCTCCCTCGATCCTCACAACAACCCCTTATCTCAAACCGAGGAACACCAATACTAACAAGCGAAAAGTGCATCTCGCCTCTACCGCGGTATCTCCGCCCCCATCCTGATGGAAGCGCCCAAGCGCGCGACCAAGTTCGCCGCCAACGACTCCTGGGGCGCCTTCTACCGCAACCTCTTCGGCGTCGAGAAGCAGACGCAGTCCCTCGCCGTCCTGACCGGTGCCACCGCCGGAGCCACCGAATCCTTCGTCGTCGTCCCCTTCGAGCTCGTCAAGATCCGTCTGCAAGACCGCGCCTCCGCAGGAAAGTACAACGGCATGCTGGACGTCGTCCGCAAGATCGTCAAGGCCGAGGGACCCCTTGCGCTCTACAACGGTCTTGAGAGTACGCTGTGGCGCCACATTCTCTGGAACGCCGGTTACTTCGGGTGCATTTTCCAGGTCCGCGCGCAGATGCCCGCCCCCGAGCCGGGCAACAAGTCCCAGCAGATGATCAACGACCTGATTGCTGGTGCGATTGGTGGTACGTTCGGTACTGTCCTCAACACGCCCATGGATGTCGTCAAGTCGCGCATCCAGAACACCACCAAGGTTCCCGGCCAGACGCCCAAGTACAACTGGGCCTGGCCTGCTCTGGGGACGGTCATGAAGGAGGAGGGATTCGGTGCGCTGTACAAGGGTTTCACGCCCAAGGTCCTCCGGTTAGGTCCTGGCGGTGGTATTCTGCTCGTTGTGTTCACGGGAGTGATGGACTTCTTCAGGAAGCTGAGGGGCGAGGCTTAAGGTCTGCCAGCTAAAAGGGGTCTCGTTTCGGTTTCTTTCGCTTGTTTATCTTGATGAGATGGATACGGGTATGGATATGCATGTGCAGGGCTGGATTTAGATGGTTCATAGATTGTGCCATAGAAAGAAAGAATATACTGCAATGTAAGATTATTTGCGGCTTCCATATATCAACGCTATGCTCTCCACATCAGGAAGGCTGAGCCTGCGAAGCTGATCAGCCTTGTCAGTATCACCTCAACCCAAAGTCTCAGGTATATTAGGCCAATCCGGCCACTCCCTGGACCCCGAGGTGCATTTGAGTCCTCATACCACTGTATAACCAGATGTCCATACAATGAACCGCGCTCTATGGCCGCGAGTCCGCAACTGCGATAACTACACTGCAAATCTTCGAATACGAAGTTGAGTTTCATTGATATCCACATTATATACTGACGATGGTCGAGTCATGCATGAAAATCTGTAGAGCGCGAATATATAACATCGTGTATTCCGAAAAGATAGCAGGTAAAATAGCAAGGTCGAAACACAACGAATTAGGGGAGAGAGGAAATAACAGGAAAGGGTATCGATAGAGCAAAACCTAAGCAAAGCGAAAACCAGTGGCGATACGGAGCAAAAACCCAGTGAACGCAAACGCAGACTCGAAAGCAGAGATGGATAGATATAGAATGCGGACATAGACGAAACAGGAAGCAAGGAAAATATCAACTGAAAGCAAGCTAAAATCGAACATCAAAAAGCAACGACAAAACGAGTCTACCTAAAACCTATAGACAATGCACCAAAACCCAGAGGCTCGATGATATCACTCCCGCGTACGCCGGTCAACCATATCCGTTGGCGCCAAGTATGCAATGATTTGACATATAACCATAAGAAATCCGGACAGGGACGGATGCCTAGTTCATCTCCATAGCGTACTCATCTTCCTCCTTGAAGCTCATACCTGCATGCCCGGACGAATTCCAGTACTGCGTCTGCCCGTTGTTGTTGCCACTAAATGGGGGGCTGAGGCTCTGGGGGCTCAAAGCACCGTTCGAAACGGCATCTCCGGCTATGTTCGTATGTTTGGGAACTCGCAGGCCAGTGCCCGGCGCACGGCTGTAGTGGAAGGAGCTCGGGTCGTTCTTCTCAATCGCATCTAGAATTTCGGTGCGCATACGTTTCTCCTCCTCGGTCTGCTCAAACGGCCAGGTGCCACCAAGGCTGCTGATCAGCTCGGCGAGCTCGGCTTCTTGTTGGATCTTGACGTGAAGAGCCCACATGAGATCCCTCGTCCAACCAACAGCGCCATTCAGAATGTCTCCCTTGTTGGGGCCCTTCTCTTTCTCTTCAATAGGCAGTCCCATGGTAATGTTACCAGCAGCACGTCGACCTGTCCCACCAGCCAAAAGTGACGTAGCCGCGTTATTGCCTGAACCAGGAAGCCCAGTGTTGTTGACAAGTTGTTTGCGGACCTTGTCATCTTCCAGGCGATGTTGGGGAACGAGATGGGAGAGATCTTGAATGCGCTCATTGATATTGTCGCGTCGTCGACGCTCAACCAAATTGTGTGAAGCTCTCCTACGCCGGCGCTTGGCTTCCTGGGACTCCAAATCCTGGGCACCTCCAGGCAAGTGAGCATCAACCTTGGCCGGCAAGGAGGCATGCTTTCCAGATTTGAGAATTTCAGAGATGGCGGCGTGATGAGATGGGTGACCTGGGGACGAAATAGGAGACTCGGCATATGACTGGGCACTTCCAGGCGTGCCATCCCATTGATTTGAGAGGCTCTTCTGGTGTCGGTGCTGCAGGCCTGTCCGGATAGGCTGAGTGGGAAAGCTTCCGGATTCGGGGGTTCCAAGAGCTAGTCCACCAAGAGCGGGAGTTTTGGGGGTCATGGGGCTACGGGCATCCATTGATGCGCGATCCATAGCTGGCATGCTCGGTCGAGCCTTGGAGTTGAGGTAACTCTGCTCGAGGTGGGACCCAGGGCTCTGGATATGGGAAGAGTTCATCTGCCCTTGGTTCACGCCGCGGAAATGATCATAGTTGAAGCTGCTCTGCATGAATGGGCTGTGCATGGGACCACCATCCGGAGTATTTGAGTACATCTGCGACATGTGGCTTTGATGACTCATAGGAATGCCCGCGCTCGATGGGTGTTCCGGGATGTAGTTCTGTTGAATGCCGTTCTGTCCGTGGATCTCCAGATCCAACAACTCATCGGTATCGATGCCTGAGTTTCCGAAGTTAAAGCTGGATGACATGTTCTGCTGAGAGCCGAACCCAAATCCTCCCATAAATCCGCCGTTGGTCAAGTCCGAAGGGTCAATCCCATCATTAGGGTTCCCGAATTGGTTAGGCATAGAGTATCCGGACTGCGACATCATGAATTGGTTCTGGTCACTGTTGTGCTCGTCAGGTTCGGTTTTGATAAACATTCTCGCGTCGCTCATGGTGCATCCGGCCTGAGCAAGTCTTCAACTGCAAGTCGAGCGGTTCTTGGCCACAGGGTGCCCTTACGGTCCAGAAACCAAAATGAGAAAACCTCGAATATAGATCGGAAAAGCGAGCGAGTGTCAATGAAGGCAGGGATGAGCGAGGTATGTTATAACTTGTGAGGCCGAGTACCCCTCGCTTCGGTATGACGATGTAAGCTGACTAGCGCGGCAAGCGAGGATATCGAGTGGGCGGGGAGGATGGATGGGTGGCGCTCTGTGTGCATTTATCTTGTTAGCTCACTTTGTCCGAACGCCAATAAAGATTTTGCAGTTCTGCGTCAGATCGGAATAGACAAAGAAAGGACATGAAGATTCGAGGCAAGGATAGGGTTTACGGACCAAAGGGCGATTATCGGAGTTATAAAGCGGCGGCTGAAAGAACAACCAAGTGAGATAATCAGTGTGAGGCAATGCGTCGGCCGTGGCCAAAGGAAGTGATTCGGGGGTGGACAAGTCAACAAAAAGCGACTCCTATCGTGGATTTCAGATTTAAATAGGTCGGGCCGTCGATCGCGAGCCCCAGAGCTGATTAATCGGGCTAAGGTCCGGTGTGAGTGGCAAGACAGCAGAAAAAGCAATATGCGACCATGAACGGAAAAGAAATATGTGGTAAGATTGTATAGCGACAGCAATAGGAATGGCCGCGGTGAGAAGAGTTGAGGAGGCGTGTCTGTCCGTAAGCGAAGAGTCAGAGACAATGAAGCCAAGCTGGGGCGTGGGGACGGGCCAGGGTCGATAAGGGCAAATCAGGGAGGCGGGGTGGCACTGGAATGTCAAGGGGCTCCCGGACACGGTGAACAGGGTCGGTGAGACTGCGAGTTGAAGTTGGAAGAAGCGACCGGGGAAATGACAGCCTGACAGATGGATATAATCTCCGTTGAGCGGCGGGATATCCTGGAGTAGCGTGGGGAAGGCGACGGACGATCGATTTGCCAGCGGCGGTGTCTGAGATTCAATGGAGATGAAAGCTGAAACTCCTGAAACTTGAGATCGAGGCTCGGGCGGTCGGCCACGGCAGTATACTCGGAGTCGCCCACTCGACAATGGCAAATCTGCTGTGAAACATCCAGCTATCCTGGCAAGGCGTGATATCATTCATACTCCGGATTCGTCGCCCCATTTCTGTGCATCTCCGCTCCCGCGCAGTCCAACCAGGATGTTTCCTCAGCGCAGGGGCCCTGAAGCAGTCTTGCTAGGCAATGTGGATCGTCGAATGGGCACTCTCCGCGAACTGTTTCCCCCAAAGGCGCGATCGCTGGCTGCAGACCCCGCGCTGAGAGGTGCAAACCCCGGCAATATATCCTTTGGCTGTAAACTGCATGGCACCATCCGGGAGTGTGGCAGAAGAAAGCGGTTTTTCCCGTGAAAGGTCCATGGACAGACACGGAGTAATAGTCCGTCTCATCCATGAGGATAATCATCCAGGGTCTCGGATCCATGCAAGGGTGGTTTCCCCTCGTCTCTTCTCACCGCGCCAGGATACGGAATACGAATCTGACATGACAGAAAGCCAACTTACCGAATTATTGGAATTTGAGGCGCTCAGAGCCGTGTATCTGTGTCTTCGAGAAGAATGTCAGCTTTATTTCTTCTGGATGCTCCTGGCAATGACCCATGGAACGACAAGCCTAACCGACGGGGCCTCTTGCACGTGGCGGGGAAATTCAACAGCACTCCAACTGTATAAATAGACAGAAGGAAACAGCAATATGAGTTTCGAGCCTCGATGTGATACTTCAAACATCACTCAAAAGCGACGATCTTGGAACAGGTTTTACTTACATTGAAACTCTGGAACGAAGGTATTCAGTGTGCCTCTAGGGAAGAGACAAAGATTGGTCTTAATTCGAAGAAGTTGGATGATTTGGAGATCCAACAGAGCGAGCAAGAAAGCTGCATAGCCGTCTTTCTTTGAGAGCTTGAAACGAGAGAGGAACAAAGGGTGAAGAGATGACATGCAGATGCAAGCGACGGGGGTGTTGGGGCCCTTTATAAGCGCCGCGGGGACAGCCACACTGCGGAGCCTCTCATTCGATATACAGTACATACCGCTGCAAAGGTCATGCATGGCGTCGATCTCCAAGTGGGCGAGGCTTGACAGGGCTAACTACCACTACATACTTCTTTGCGCATGTTTCCTCCACTCCTCCACCACCTTCCCAGGATGGAAAAAAGAAAGCAAAGGCCCAGGCGAAGGGGGTGGCAGTGAAGCAAGCAAACCAGACAAGCAGGCAAGATTTGCGAACATGGAGGGTGAGATGGGCCAGTCGCAAGAGTTGACGAGGGCAACGAGGGCGTCTGGTTGGTCGGATCGATTTACAGTCGAGCAGAGCCGATACCTTTCCCTTACCTTCCCCCCACACTCGTTTGCGAAAACCAAGGAGGGTGGTACGGAAGTACATGAGGAGAATAAACAGACCAACTATCCCACTGCGCGCATCCCATGAACACCGACCAGGCGCAGGTACTACTGAACTATCTTTGTGTTTGTCACCTGCTGCCCTTGAACCTTTCCTGAGGCGCGAACATGACTCACTTTTCGTGTCAGCCCTTTCTTCTTAACTCCATCCACACCCCCTTCCTGCTCTTTCTTCTGGTTCCAAAACCTGGTTTTCGCCCGCGAGGGCATCAGTTGCCTGGTCGGGCAAAGTGCAAACATCTGATCATCGACTGCCTATTTACAAATGACTCGCGAGCGTGAGCTGCAGATACCAAGGTATGTACGCTATGGAGCAGTACACCTCGACGAAACCGAGATAGAATGACATCATAGGCTTTTTAAGAGTTCAAGACGCAAAAGTAAAAGCAAGAGGGTGGATTATGCTTTCTGACCACCAAGCGGATATCAAGGAAGAAGGAAGATGCCATGTGGGAGACGAGGTAGGAGTTGCAGAGGAGGAGTCCAAGTCTATACTAGTCCGACTCTAATAGCTCATGATCATTTGTCCATCTTAATAAAACGATCGACTGGAGCTGGAAGCTACACCCGAGAACGGTCTTTGGTGAAATACAATAGCGGCGAGTGAGGGGTATCTCAGCTAGTCGGGTCTAGTCTACATAGACACAGACACAGTCACTGCACACAAGGCGGTCCGTGACACCGCAGTGCTGCCTGTCGCCTCCCGCAGGATTGTGCAGGCTGCTTTCTGCCTATCAGAGACTGTGGCGCAGTCAAATACGTACTCCGTACACAACTACGACGATAGATCTGAGTCTGAAGTGTTGCCTTCAGATCGTAAGCAGTGAGAGGAATGATCATTGCCTGTTTGATGAGGATGATTCAAAACAGAGAGTGTTTACTGTAGTAGAAAGCAGTGAGCGAGGTTACATTGACTAAGCTTCTCATATAAAGTTCTGAGTTATTGGACACAGAAAAAGAAAGCAATACAACCACAACCAATACTTGCCTATAACTCCCGCAAGATTCGTGCCCGCGCCGTCCCGTCAAGGTTCGGGGATGATCCAAGTATAGTAGTGTCTCTGCAAGGAGTTCCCATCTTGTCTCTCCAGTGGGCCCATTATTACGTCTCTGGGAGGCAGTGGGAGCATAGCCAACCAACGGAGTAGGTTAAGATTGTCCGGACTCTGATCGGAAACCCGCCTAATCACAACCTTATTGTCGAATTTTCAGGCAGACGGCATGCATGCTGAAGAAGCCAGAAAGCCAGTATAGAGTTAGACGGCGCATGGGTGTAACATGAGGAATCAACACAGCCAGCAGGCTAATTTTGTAGGGTCGGACGGGGTTCGGTTATGCGAATTCTGACACAGGCTTGTCATCTTTCGACAGCCACATCGATCATCTTCAGCTGCAGCGGGGTAGCAGTGATCGTCTGTAATGGACCGTGCTGAGATAGAAATTGGGGCTTGGAGATATTCTCCGGCATGCAGCGGTCGATCCCTTCGGTGCCGTTTTTGTGCTCTTGCAGTTGTGGGGGCCCGGAGAAGGCGACTGAAGACTGAATGTGATATTATTGAAGTCTAGAGATAAGATCTCCGGCATTAAGATACGCCATGGTCCGTCCCCGTCTCCATGTGCATCTGCAAAGGGATATGCAGACTAGCTGCTAGTCCCCGGCTTGCATGGGTAGGAAGGATTGCGTACGGTCGGGATTTGCAGCCGGGGTCAATCAAAATAGACACTGGAGAATCTTCAGGATTCATGTTCAGTGTAGTGTATCTCGCTTGACCTGCTCGAAGCGATTATCGTGATGGGGGTTGCAAAGGGATCGGGCAGGATCAGTGGCTGACCGTTTGAAGGTGGGCTCCAGATATAGCAGGCGGTGGTCATCTGTCCAATGGTCTCAGACATGGTGGGCAGGCAGCCAATCAATTGTATCGACTCTGCCAGCCGCTAGAGCGACACAGACATCCATTGGCTGCGTTATACCAGCTGCTACCCCACCCAGGATCGACTGTGCTATTTTGGGACTAGCCCGTCAGCTGCCCAAGCGTCCACCGCCTGAGAGTCCGGAGTCGACGAACCTTGGATACCTCCGCCTTAGTCTCCATCTCGACAGCTTCCATCAAGGCATCCAGGGCGGCTAAACCCCCCAAGGTCTCAGATATTCGCGTTCGCCCAAAGCGTCCTGGTATGCTGTCTCTCCTCCCCTTCAATCGCTGGCGTCACTATTGACTCGCAATTGAAGCCCACTCACACCATTCCTACCCTCCCTCTCCTCTTGTGCTTCCTTGTCTCCCATCCTCAGGTCATATGACAAGCTCGCTAATATCGCAGCCTGTTGTAGAAGACCGTCTCAGCCGCGAAATATCGCGGTGCTTTGATGTTACGCCCGACGAATCGACAGGCATCCACCCCTCTCAAGGTTCTCCGCATCTCTCCCCACCTGGTCTGTTCACCTCCCGGCCCTCGCATTTGCTACGTTCGGCTTAGAGCCCGCCGTTGATTAGTGTGGGTGGGTGCTCAGAGTTGCTGCGATCTCGTCCTGCGATATTTCTTCACCAGCCCTTGACGTCACCTTACATCCTTGCTTCGATCCCCCGACATCTACTCCGAACGAGTCTTGTTGCGCGCGACGAGCGGCTGCGGCCTGCAGGCAGTCTCAGGTCATAATACAAGAGCTCTAATTGAAGGGATCACACGCTTGTGCGGACTCGATTTCCCCGGCACTTCCCAAGAGCCCCCTTGTCGATCGATACAACTCTTCAGATTTCGCCCGTCCCCAAGCTCCCTTAGGGCCGTTTAGTACAGTTGCGCAACAGTCACCTGGCCGCATTCTTTGCCCTATCATCCCGTCTATCCCATTAGCGCACCGCTGCCCACCATTACAAGATATATGCAGATCATCTGCACGCGAAAGACCAGTTTCCGCCGTGCATAGTCCCTGCAGCGGCCTTTTGCTTTGGCACCCCAGAGCCCGCTACAGTGACTGGCAGATCATTCTCCGTAAAGCCACTGTGGAATATCTGCAAGCCAAGGCAGATTATCTCCTTGCCCACCCTTCAATCCGGGGATCCGACCATGGCCTCTACATCGTTTAGAGATTCCGTGAACTCATTGGGCTGGTCCCGACGAGAAGGAGACGCACCAGCGAATACTAGCACCACACCTTTCTTATCGAGGTTACAGTCGTTTAACCCATTTGGCCAAGGGGATGGCTATCTACAACTGCCGACACACGAAGCTCCTGGCGCTCCGTTACCTGCTCCAAGTCGACGCGAGGAGGAGGATACCTTCTTTGCCCGTAAGTACCTTGAACTCATGACTGTTCCGCCCCTGGGGTTTTGATTCGCTATGCTGTTTTGTCCAGGTGACGAGAGATCCCAGCCTTCCAGCATGGTTCTCGGACCGCCTAGGATAACACTGTAGACGGCGTTGCTTGTATGCCTGCTGTCCTCCTCGCTTGCGCATTGCCGTTTTCCTTTTTCGCTTTTATGCATCGATGGCTTTCTGTCTCTTTCATTGCTAACCTCTCGCTCTATAGTAAGTCGATGGGATCGAATGCTCATTTTCTTCGCATGCAACCTTGGCGCGGCTGTCTGTTTCGTGATTTGCTTTTTCCTATTTCCGGTGCTCTCGCTGAAGCCCCGCAAATTCGCTATCCTGTAAGTCACTCTTGGAAACCCTTCTGGCCCCCTAGTGCGCTTTTTGAGTTATCGGGCCCATACCGCACCCTTACCCTTGCGTCGCGAGGCACGGACGGCGTAACTTTTTTCATGCCGTGGCTGAGAAACCGTTTTGGGCAAATCAAATCCGCTGCCGCATCCATTGCCCTACCTTCATTCACTGTGCCTGGTAATACGACTGACATCGACTCTGATAGGTGGTCTGTGGGGTCTTTGCTCTTTCTGCTATCATGGGCCGTCCTCATGGGACCTATGATTTACGCTAGACATCTGATCTCGGGACCACGGCTGCCCTTTACGGCTGCGTATTTCGGGTCCATCGCGTTGACCCTGTACTTTGCTATCGGAGTAAGTCTCTTGTTTTCTTTTCGTGGTTTACTGTGGTTCGGCCCGCCCAGCATCTCCTGCATGTACATGCAGACGCGACCAAGAATTCTGCTTGACTCGCCTTTTCAATGTCTCAAATTCGCATCCACACCGCACTTCTTACACTCAAGATGAGGTGAGATAAGCATCGCCTATGCAGCCCATGAGCAGCCCATGACATCATCCTGCTTATCGGCGTATATGCGCCTGATACGATGCAGCTGGAAGCCTGTCATCCGGCAACAGCCGGGAAACCTTCGCACGAAGCAAGAATCTGACGGGCTTGCTTTTGCGCTTACCCTAGCCACCTTTTCACCCATGCCTTGCTTTCCAACCCGGCCAGTCTGAACCACAAGATCGGAGTCCCATGAGCAAAAGCAACCCCAGCCAACCAGGCTATATCTCAATCTCGTCTAGGACGAGAAATTGATTAGGAAGCTAACAACTTCTCCGCGTATAGCTCCACAGCACAATCCTCACCCTGCTCTCGTCCATCTTTCAGCTCGCCGCGCTGCTCTGGTACATTGTCAGCTACTTCCCCATGGGCAGCACCGGGTTGCAGTTTATGGGGCGCTTTGGGGCGCAGCGCGTTACAGCTTGGATGACGAGCTAGCCGTCGTCATACTGAAACTCTTTCGTCGAACGCAACTCTTCCCTGGAGCCCGTCAGGTGGAATCCTCGCTCGTGATTCTTAGGTATAGACTCGCGGTCGACATGCCTTCTGTAAAGCACGTACGGCGTGTACCAGAGCATATTCCATTATATCGGTGTACGTGGTATGACATACTTATCCTACTGTGTATAATTAATAGATATGATTTCCTTTCTTTCATGCCGTTGTACCCAGCGGTCAATGTTCGAATGAATGAATAGATAGATATACGTATACGAGATGAAGAGCCGAGATTGGGCATTTCTGCTTACGATTGGACTCTTTATCGTTGCACTGCCCCTGTTTGACAGCTGCTACGTTACAGCAGACCGGTGAGCAGTAACGTCTATGGCCTATGGCAGGTAAGCGTTCTGCGCCGTGTCACGGTAAACAGCCAGTCAGTATAGATCAGTCTGCCCTACGAGATCCATTGAGTTACATAAGAGATCTAGACACTTGCATATCACATTTCATTCATTGTACTGCTTTTGCTGCATCGGGGATATCGACTTCGTGTTCAACACTTTTTATAGACGAGGATCCAGAATCATATCACTTGATGACCTCACGGGGTGATTGGATAGTGGCAAGAATCTACTTTCCACGGCTCATAGTAACATTCACGGTCCCGTTGACGACCTTCACCCCCGGAATCTCCATTTCCCAGATGCCGGTGCCCTGCGTTCCCTCCTGAAGCCACCTCTTCAACAGATCATTGCTCTCCTTTGGCTTCACGTCTGCTGACACAGTGCCAACAGTAACGTGAGGAAGGGGGTTAACGCAGACCCAATCTGGTTGCTCCTCACCATTGTCACCATTGTTTTCAGACTCACCAGGCATGATCCGCGCAACAAAAGTCATGATACGATCATCCCAGATCAAACGCTCAAGACGGATCCGCGCAGACCCAAGAGGAGGGGTAAGTCTGTGATCCTTAGGAGGGTTCTTGTTCATCTGGTCAACGTAGCGGTTGACGAGGTTGTCCCAGACATCTGGGTGTGCTGTCTTGGAGGCTTTGTGAATGAGGGTTACATGGAACGCGGGCTGGAGACGGCGGGAGTTGACGAGTTGGTGGTAGAGGCGGGACTTTTCGGCGGTGGCAGCCGGGTTGGCGAAGAGGGAGTGGAGGAGTTCAGTGACAGAAGAAGTTGGGAGGGAAATGCCGAAGTATTCAATCTTGCGGACTTTAGCTTCGATGTTTATGGCGGAGGTAGGGGTATCGTTGTTGTTGTTTTTGTTGTTTTGTTTGGAGGACTTGGACTTGCTATATGAGGCACTGTGGTCTACCTCAACGGCGTACTCGCTGGTAGCGTAGTTGATAGCGTCGTCGAGCTCCTGAGCAGATGGGACTCGGGTCACGAGTTGAGGATAGGCGGAGTGTAGAGCGTTAACTACCTTTTCAAGGTTTTCGCGCGAGGATGCTACAACGTCGAGGTCGATGACTTCGTCAAAGTTCTGATCCGGTTCATGGTCGACGTCGACGGCTTCAAAGCGCTTGAGGAACCCTTCCATGATGCTGATAACCTCTTCTGTGGCCTTTGTTCCAGCCCGAATGGTTTGATGGTTGTCGCCGCGCTCGAGAACACGCTTGCGGGTCACCTCGCGGATAAGAGGGAGCATCATGTCTTTGGGCTCGTGGACATATTGAAGAGCGACAAACCGTACGTTTGGCATACCCGCGGCGACATCGTCCATAAGCGTAGTGCGTTCACGTTTCATGTTATTGTTCTTATCAGCAATAACGACTGGCTTGTCCAACAACTGGTTGAGAATTTCCGCGGCGAATTTCTTTGGCTTATTCTTCACCTGCGGTATGTTGTCATTTTGGACCTGACCCCAGCCAAACAGCTTGGTCAAAGCCAGGCCTACCGTCGTCTTGCCACATCCTATAGAAGCGATCGGCACCAGGACGATGTCCCGTGTGACATTTTCCGCTTCCATTTGAATAATCTGAGCTCCGTTGAGTCCACGCTCCTTGAGAAAACCGTCGCGCATTGCGATGATGCCATGATTCTGCTGGTAACGCTCCCTGAGCTCCGGCTTTCGGGCGAACTGCTGACGAGCATAAGCCAAATATTCCTCCGTAACCTTCTTGTGCTTCTTGATCTTCGGGGCCTTTCCTGAAAGCATTGCTTTCGTGCATTCACGCCACTGTCGGTACATCAGGTACGGTTCCTCGAATTTGTATTTGAAGAACCAATCTCGGTATGCACCATGGCCATTCTCGCTCATCTTGCATCGAATCACAAAGCCTTCAGTATCCCGACCGTCCCAAGATCCAGTCTGAGCGCACTTCTCCAGAAACTTCTTCACAGAGTTAAGATCATCGTAGACCACAAAGTTCGCTTTCTTAAAACCCCAAGCGTCCGCAAACCTGTGCACCTCCGAGCTAGGCAGAGTCGCAAACTCAGGCAGATTGAAGTTAATTCCATGGAGATAGATACCGGCGGATGCGGGGTCGTACGCGAGAACGTGCTCCTCGAAGCTGTCGTCGCACAGCTCTCCGACAGCAGTGGCATTCATCTCACGCAACTGTCGAGCGAGATCCGCAGTAGACTTGCCAACAGTCGCAACATGCCGCTCAATCCACTCCTCACCAACCTGCGCATGGCTCCTATCCGTGTCTGTACGAGCGCCAGTTGAATGCTTGCTGCAGACAAGCAGCGACCCGTCCTCCAGCCCGGATATGAATATGATACAACCGTTCTCCTTCACGCTGAGCTCGTAGGGGCCCTGGGTATTGTTTTCGATATTCCTCCACTGTGTAGTGTTGACTTCGTCGATGTTAAAAAACTTGTCATATCCTCGCGTGACGATCTCCGGGGTGCCGTCTTTCCTCTTCGCAGTGAACAGCCCTCGAGCGTAGGTCGGTAGGTCGTGACGCTTGTAGTCCCAGTCCATGAACTTCCAGGAGTCCGCGGAGACTTCTCCGGTCTTTCCGATCTTGAAAGTGGACTTCCTGCAGTTGAAGGTCTTCTTCTTCGCTCCCTTGTTCTCCAGCCGGGCGGTCTCCAGGGCCTTGACCATATCTGCGACCTCCTGCTGATCCTGAGGGATCACCTTAAAGCTCTCCATCGCAGGTGAGGTGTACGTTCTCGGTCCGTATAGATTCGTGTTCCGGTGCGGTAGGGGGAAGGTTCGCTGCGGAGAGGTGCCGTAAAAAGGGAAGAACGAGCTGTGAGCAGCTTGAACGAGCTTTGGTAGACGATTCAGGTATCCGAAAGGTACGCGACGATACATGTATGAAATGTTTTGCCTTCAGTAAGAGCTCCAGAGTATAAGCTCTCGCAAGAGTCACCACTGAGTCAATCAAATGAGGCGCAGCCTCGCACTATTGTCTTATGGCAGAGTGGTATGAATCATAGCGGGGAGAAGGCTGAAGCTGGGAATAGATAAACCTCTTATCGCGGGGCTGCCCGACAAAAAAAATCCCAAATCGTTGCCCGCTCCGCCACCAACAAACAACCATCAATTACATCCAGACGCTTGTGGCATCCATTTCTTTGACAGATTACTTTGTCTTGATTACTCCCTTGGGACTCCTACACTGGCCCTTTGACTCACCGTTGCTGCGACCGAAATGACTCAACCCAACCCCTACATTCTCGCCGCGGACAACCCCTCCGCCGTTCTGGGCCTCCTCCGCTCCGATCCCTCCATCGCTTCCAAGCAAGACGAACACGGCTACTCTCTTCTCCATGCCGCCGCTTCCTACGGTCATATTGACCTCCTTCGCGCGCTCGTGAAAGAGTTTAATGCTGACGTCAACCTGCTCGACGAGGACGGTGAAACTTGCCTTTTCGTAACGGAGAACGTCAACATTGCAAAATGCCTCGTTGAGGAGCTGAACATCGACCATAATAAAACAAACGATGAAGGCCTGACGGCTCGCGAAACAATCGAGAGCGATGGCTCGTTCCCCGAGGTCGCTGCTTACTTGCGCCAGGTGGCTGGGATATCCGGTGATGTCGCGGGTAATGGCAGCTTGTCCGTTGAGGATGCACTGAACCCGGCTCCGCCGCTGCCTCCGAACATGCAAGTGAATTTGGGGACAATGTCCGAGCAGGAAGCTAATGGAGGCATCGGTGAGGTGGATCCGGAGTTTAAGAGGAGGATTGATGAGCTTGCGGCGCGGGAGGACTTCGGAAGTGAAGCGAGTCAGAATGAGCTGCGGCAGCTTGTTATGGATGCGATCCAGGGGTCGAATATTGATACGCAAGATAAGGATGTGCGGAGGAGAATGGAGTGATTGCCGGTTAGGCAGTTGATGAGAGATGATCCTACGTACAAATCAAAATACCCTAACTCGCTCTAATTATCCGCAAATAGACACAATATCATCGACTTTGCTCCAACTATCGCGGCTAACAGTTTGTTCTTCATCTGCCTCTTCAAGCTCCTGCTAACTCGAAAAATCACCCCTGGAACGAGCATCGTGTAGGTCTCGTCGACGAACATCGCTCTCATGCATTGATATAGAGCTAAGAGTTTATATGAGTTGAAAAATACAAGGTCCTGATGACTGATAAGTTACGTCGGCAGATTGCCGATGATACTATCCACACCTTATCAGAGTATCGGCAGTCTGCCATCGGCTAGTTGTTCTCCAGCTTACCACCTTGGTGACTGCAATGATAAGACAACAACGAGATATGGAGCAAGTCCACATAAGAGAGGAATGTTACGCCGCTCGAGGATATCTGGATCTGTAGGCGCGTAAGCACGATGATACATCCGCTAGTTATATCATCACTGCTCTCCGTAGCAGCGGTGGCTTCAGGGCCTATAGTGACTGTCCTAAACGGCACGTACGAGGGATATCACCTACCCACGCATGGGCAAGATGTCTTCCTAGGCTTGCCGTACGCACAATCTCCCGTAAAAAGTTTGCGATTCCGGGGCCCTCAGAGTCTCAACACAACTTGGTCGGGCAGTCGGTCAGCGATTGAGTATTCAGATGTGTGCATGCAATATGTGGTAAGCCTCCCTTAGCAGCAACTCCAGGTTGTTACCCAAATGATAGCTGAAACTGAGCACAACAGGCCGATCCCGGTTATCCCATGTCGGAAGACTGTTTGTCGCTGAACATCATCCGCCCTAGCAACGTCAGTAACTCTTCGGAACTACCTGTAGCAGTCTGGATCCATGGGTAAGAGCGCCCCGTATCCCTTTTGGTCGTACAAGTGTACCTAATGCATTCACAGAGGCGGCCTCTACAGCGGCTCTTCGAGACAGACAAACCTCACCAACTTTGTCTCTCAGGGCACGGCATCAAACAACCCCTTCATTGCCGTTTCCATCAACTATCGTCTAAACGCGTTTGGCTTCCTCTGGGGTTCAGATGAAGTCGCCGCCCACGGTAGCGCCAACAACGGCCTGCGCGACCAACGTCTTGCCCTCAGCTGGATCCAGGAGAACATCGGTTTCTTCGGGGGCGATCCCAGCAAGGTCACCATTTTCGGCCAGAGCTCCGGTGGTCTCTCCGTCGGTAAACAGCTAATTGCGTATGGCGGACGAGACGACGGCTTGTTCCGCGCTGCTATTTTGCAGAGCGGGGGTATGGCAGAAAAATGGCCTTACAATATAGAAGATCCCGGGGTCTACACTAGAGACCTTTATATGAACCTGACCACGACGACGGGATGCGAGGGTAGCGCCAGCCCGTTTGAGTGTCTCCGCGAGCTGCCCATCGAGTCTCTCTCCGCCGGCCTGAACATCAGCAACACGCCTGTCTTCGCCGGTACTGGCCTTGGCCCATGGCTTACTCAGGTCGATGGGGATTTCCTGCTTGACGGGCCGACCGAATCACTCGACAAGAGACATTTCGTCCCCGTGCCCATAATGTACACGACAACCACGGACGAAGCTACGGCCTTCAGTTTCGTCAGCTCCGTCGACACTGATGCTGACTTCCGAGCGTTCGTCGCAGCTGGTGGGCCTGATGAGGTGACTGTCTCGGAGATTGAGAAGCTGTACCCTAGGGATCTGGGATTACCGGCAGGTTGGACGCCAACAGCAGAAGAAGAAGCAACCTATGGTGCGCAGTGGAAGCGAGCTGTCGCGTTCCATACCGATGCAGTGGAGACGTGTTCACGTCGCCGTACAGTGAACGCATGGACTGCAGCAAATGGTACAGCGTACGCGGCTAGGATAAACATTCTGGCGCCCAACGATGCGGCGAGATTGGGGTCTCATCACTCGGTTGAGCTAGACTATGTGTTCGGCAATGTAGAGAGCACGAATAAGGCTCTCGTCAATATGGCGAAGCTAATGAGTCGTGTTTGGGCTTCCTTTGTAGTGCATTTGGATCCGAATCATCATCATGGTAAGTGATTTGAGATAGCCCTACTTGGTCAACGCGCGTTAATGCAGGACAGTACACGGTGTACCCCTCTGGCCTGTTTGGAGCGGTTCTGAAGCAGATGGTACTGTGGGATACAACTTCGTCTTCAACACGAATGGCAGCATTGACTCGAGATCTTGCGTCGAAGTGGACGATTATCGACTTGAGCAGACGCGATATCTCAACAGTGTTATGCAGAGGCAAATGTACTATTGAGGATCGGCTTTCGAAGGTTCAAATGCCTGTACTCGCATTGACGCATCGTGATGCTTGGGCAGGTATTAGATAAAGAAAATGATTATGCGGCACGGTTTCTTCTGCAGTAGATGTGGTTGGAATCCCTCAATATATATATCTCCGCGGAGAGCTCAATCCAAAGGCAAAACTTCCTTATTGCACTCTAAAAGTGAACATGATCAGACTGTCTAGTACTCGTATGACTCTAGAGGCATTCGTCTGTCGTTGTTCACCGGACGTGTTCCTGTCGTTGAAAAATTGATGTAGTATGAGTTGTAGCCAAAGGTGGAGGGCTCTTCCGTGCCAAGAGCGGGCACGTGCCGGACATTATCTCCCCCGCATATCACCGCTCCGCTCCTCTGACATCAACCTCCTCACAATCTTTACCCACACCAAAAAATGAATCCTATCCTCCACGCCGATACACCACCCCCGCCACCACCGAAGCCCGGTAGCCACGAGGCTAGTCGTGGCGGTACGCCTCAAGTGAATTCATCATCACCCGCAACACCACAACTCCCCCAGCAAGGCCAATATGGATTGGACGTCGCGAACCGATACATCGACCCAAGCACAGGCAATCCGGCCGCAAACGCTCCACGGCCTCCAACCATCGAAGAAAGATGGTTGCCTGAGGGCGTTAAAGATAAATCGTAAAGCATCTCCCCTCTAGTCTCTCCACATTTCCAAGGTTCGACTAACTGACTGACTGCGAACAGAACAATCGACCTTCAGACTATCCTCAAAACCCCATCCCTGATATCCGCCCTCTCCGCCACACACCCATCCCACGACAGCCACCAAGAATCCCTCCACACCCTGCTGAACTACAACCAAGACCTCGCGAACCACCTCCTCGATCTGCAATCACAGCTAACAAGTCTCCGATCCTCAACCGAGACTCTTCTTCTCCAACACCAATCACTCGAAGTCTCATGGCGGAAAAAGCAGAGCGAAATGGACGCCGCCCTAGCGCCGTGGTCGCCGAAGGCACTATATCAGCGGCTGAGTGCGGGAATTGCAGAGCAAGAGGCTGTTTGTTCGGCTGTTGAAGAGAGCTTTCTGGAGGGCGAACATCATGGAAAGGCGTCGGAGAAGGAGGTTGCCGATTGGATCAGAAGGGTAAGGGCTGAGGGGGCGAAGTTGGCTGGGAGGAGAGAGGCTAAGTCGAGGTGGGATGAGGGAAGGGTTGGGGGATGGAGGTAACAGCCATACCCCCTTGGAGATGGGCTCATTGACTGCAACATGGCATTTGGAATTGATATATTCTGATATCTAAGATGTGTTCAACTGGAAATTCGCAGGTCTGCACGATACCCACTACAATACGGTTTGACCATGCACCCATGACAGCCTCACCTTGCTATACGATATGTCGACGCAGCACAACTCATTCAGCCAGATTTCGCCTTCCACTCTCTATGTCAACCTGTTCATTCCCCGCAATCGCAGTTTCCGGTACTCCAGAAACCACCTTTAAGCTCGCCCACCCATCGGCCCCAACATTACTCGGGCTTCCAACGCCCTTGAAGAATGCATGATCCCGACTTCTGGCTCCCCATGACCACCCGGAACCACGCTCAATAGGCGGACTGTATAGTCTGAACCCGACCCAGGCAAAGAGCATGCCCAGCACCGAGCCGAATATGATATCGAACCCATGGTGTCTGTGATCGAACCAGCGTGACGCCGAGATAAAGAACGCAACTGCCCATGGTACAAATGCCAGAATCACCAGGTAGATCGGCGGCGCGGCGCCCTGATTGCGAATCGTGAACCGGTTCTGAGCGCGCAGGTCCTGGGTCAATGGCGTATGCGCGAGATAAGGGAACTTGATTGAGAATTTGGAGCATAGCCAGAGAGAGAAGTAGGTTAAACCGGCGAATGAGACTGTATAATGATTAGCATTGCGCGTCTCCAGCGAAGAAGGACATGAATATACAAGACGAATGTCCACTCGGAAAGCTAACGAAAGCATCGTTCTTGACGATATCCGCCTTATTGCGGCAAATGTCCCAGCTGACCAGCGTCGGGGCCCCCTGCAGCCTCTGCCCAAGCCCACTAACCGCAAAAGACGCAACATTCTCCAGATCCGGATCGCACCGCGCAAGCATATCTGGCCGCGGCATGCCATATAGATCCTTTAGACCCTCAGTAGCCATGAATGCGCCCGCGCAAGCCAGCGCAAGACCCAGCCAGCCTGCGTTCCATTCCCAGATCTTGCGCCGTAGGAGGAGGGCTTTAGATGGGGGGCGCGAGTCCAAGGCCGAGTTTGATCTGTCGATGGATGCACCCGGTGTGAGGAGCAGGCATACGACTGCGATTAGCACGGCGGGAGCGATGAGCGAGACGACGGCCAGCACGGCGGTGCTGATTGTGTCATCTTTTATGTGGGGGTATGAGAAGCTTATGTCGGTCAGGGAGAAAGGCATGTGGTTTGGCTCGACCTCGTGGAAGCCAAAGCCGATGAGGGCGATACCGCTGATAAGGTAGCGATGTTAATTTTGGGTTTGATGAATCCATGCCACTGCGATAAAGGGATATACATACACGATAAGAATCCAGTCAACGATGTACGAAAGAACAACGCTGATGGAGAAGCTCGCGTGACCTCTCGGCATGCCCGGAAGGTCCTTGAGTTGGGGGAGAGGCATTGTATGCTACAGTTCGCAAGGAGATGGACGGCAAGATGCTGGGTGCACTGGATAATGACAGGGAGATGGTATTCAACTCCTGAGCCATGCAAGTGCAATTGCGCTGCGGATGATAGACCGAATCTCCCGGTGCGAGAGAATAAAGTTCCTTAAGTATTGGATCCTTGATTGTTTGTGGCTAAGAGGCCGATCCCATCTTGGCTTGGGTCATCTCCCAAGACCTTCAGGCCGAATTCCAGGGTACGAAGACGAGTGGGAGGCTGTGCAGGATAAGCTGACGCTGGATTGGTCTGGGCTTTGTATCCTTTCTTGGGTGAGGTTCCAACCTGGACTGATGCCTCCGATCAAGTGATCGGCCTGATTGAGCTCGTTGATCCCGAGAGGGGCAAGTATTGCTGTATTGAAGATAGATTGGCCAACATATCCTGACTTGTTAGCACGTCAATTACCAAGGCAGATCTGGCCGGATGTTTCGTTTTGTACTTGGAGGGCCGCATCCCTAAGCGCCGAGCACAGAGTGATGCCGCCGGTATACGGAGTAGTTGCAACCACATGTCGGTGTCGGATGGGTTGACTTGAATTCCTGAGTCAGCCTTCTTCATGGACACTAAATGTCACGCTTAAACAAATACGATCCATACGACCTAGATACAACCTCAACCTCTCATTGTCCGGCTGTTGATCACGGTGACATGCCAAGAGACAGCACTTGAGAGCCTCAGGCAGTATTTTGCCTGATTGTCAAACAACATAGCTGGAGTTCTCGGCTGCCGTAGCCCCACAGCATCTTTAAATAAGCTGCAGCGCACAATTTTTTTTTCCCATCCGCAAAGCTTGCAGCGAAACACCAAGTTGTTTACATGGCTTCGACATCATGGTGGCAAGCTATAACTGCTCTGGTTTCTCGCCACTCTGATTCATATTATCTGTGAGTTACACTCTCTTGTCCCTGCACCATCCTGTCTTCTGGGATGAATTCCTTTCAGGATATCCACTGCCGAAAAAACATGAAGGACCTCTTCAAAGACTCTAGAATTACTCTGATTTATGAAGACAACTGGAATTGAACACTTCGGCGTCTGTTGTACCGGTTGCTAACATGCACTTCTCCAGGTTCTCGTAGATCTGCCAGCTCCAGCGCAAGTCACTGCGCTCTCGAACACTCGTTGTAAAAGGTACGCGATGCTTTTTCTGTCTTTACCACCACTCCTCCCTGCCCTGGTATGATGATTCTTCGACACGCTATAGGCATTCCTCAAACTTAATTTACCATGTGGAATCTGTCTTACTCTAAGTTTCAGCCTTGTCTGACCACCATCTTCATCACTGCTTTACTTGACTCAGCATTGGTGATCGAGCCTTGACTAACAGTCTGTTAGGTAAACATCATCCTCTCTCCAGCTCTTCTTTCCTCGATGAAGATACCTTGAACGAACGGGCGGACATAATAGTACATCTCCCTTCATCCACAAACAGCGGAGCGTACAAACTCTGCGGGTGCTGGGAGGTGTATTGCTTGTTGAGAACTCGTCACCTGAGTCTTTGCTCATCGTCTACGGATGCTCAGTGTCTGGTTGCGGATGATGCTGACCGAGGACGATAGGTACATTCTTGACTTCTGCTTCCGCCCTGCACTGTCCAGTCAACTTCACATGATGAACATTTATTCACACTGTTTGATCTTGCACTCTGTGCCGGAAATGAACATCAAACACAAAATTCTGATTTAATGAGGTGAGTTAGCTCGAGTCCTGAGAGTCTGGGCGATGCTAATCGATTCTGTAGCCTGACTTTGTTGACATTCAACCACTTGCTATACACATCTGGTGTCGTGGGTTTGTGCTGACTCGTCGACCACTAGTAGGACTTAGACCTCGTAGCGTCTACACTGGGCCAGGAAAGAGTGAGTTTTCCTCTACCTTGCCACCCTTCTGATGATGATTTCTTTAATTGCTGTTACTTCTGAATTGCATTTTGAAGAAACTTCTTTTTCACCTTGGAGAACTGATGCCTCGTCATTCCTGAACCTTGCACCCAATCCTTGCATTTTCAGTTGCTGACGATCTTGAACAGATGAAGATAGCTAGCTCAATACAAATTCATTTCACATCACATCATGGATGACCTGTACCGTAGATTACTCATAGAACAAATTATGCTTCTTGTGCCAATCCTCCAAGCTCTCCGACGGGTACTCCTTGAACACCTGCTTCTTCCCCTCGGGGTACCTGGCCCACGCCGGTTTCGAGTCCTCCATGATACAAACCATCTCATCAGGAACCGGCAACTCCGTATCAATCGCCGACGCAAACGGGTGAATCAGTTCAGGCCAGCTCTTATCCCAGAGCCAGAGCATCGTCGCGCAGTTGGAGCAGAAGTTCCTCTCCGAGGTGCATTTTTCCTCGTCCTTTGTGCCGCGCGCTTTGACGGCGTTGTACTTCCTGCAGACCGTTCCATTAGCATCGTCGCTCTCTCAACAATTGAACAACCCTCCAGTCAAGTAAACAAGGAAAGAAGCGGGGAAACATACTTGATCAAATTCTCTCCCTTCTTAATCTTCAAACTATCCGCGATTCCACCGAGGTTGACGCACCCAACATACCCGCCGATCTTGCGGCAGATGCTGCACGCGCAGAGCTGGTAGGGGACTGGGGTGGACGAGTCGAGGGAGAATTCGACGCCGCCGCATTGGCAGCTTCCTTCGAGTTTCCTGATGGTGTTAGTATTAGCTTAAGACAATTCGATATGGCGTCGCTGTTGATGCTAAGGATGGATGTCATTGGGTAGAGATAAGGCTATCCTCGGCGGGATTGCAAGTCTGGAGGTCTTCTAGGTACCCGGGTGGAAAACGTACATAGGCATACTGGCTAGTGCAGCGGGCTGGGGTATGTATGTAGATCGATTAGATTCCGCAGTCTTGAATAGCTTCAACTTGGATCAATTTGTTCACTTCGAGTCAAATCTTGAGAAGAAGAGAGTCAATAACGTCACTATTTATACCTACGATGAACAGAAACCGGACTCTTTCTCCCACCCTCATCCCACCGGCTCCGCTGTGTAAGAAAGACCATAGCAAGATGAGGGGTCAATCGACGCAGGCCACCGCAACCCTCGGCCCTGATTGGAGGCCGTGACATACATCTGACGTTCTGGCGTTGTACAGGCCTCGGGTGTTTGCAGCACCCATCTAGGGCTGGCATGTTTGTGCTGTTTGGCCTGTTTGTCTTCACTGGATACCGATTGTTCTCCGCAGCGGCCTCTATCGCATCTCCGATTCTCGAAACAATTCCAGCTGGCACGTTTCAGCTCATACATTGATCAGAATGAGTTTCGGAAGCCCCGGCGGCGGTGCGACGAACAGCAAACCCACTCCGTAAGCGTCCTTACTGTCCCAATTCACCCGGAGCCGATTCCATTCAAGTTATTCTCCGCGCGCTATGGTCAGATCAGCTAACTTCTTGGTGTACATTTATAGTCCGGAACGAGGAAGTTTCCCGCTTGATCATGATGGTATTATACCCATACCTACTTCGCATCTCCCACAAATCGCCATTATGTCCCATATCCTGCGGTGTCGAATACATGGCTGAATTCACAATTGCGATCTACTTACTACTTTGCCCGCCCATCTACCCTTCCATACAATACATCTCAAGCGAAGCACGCCACATATCCAAACGAATCCAAACTCTGACAATTTAATTGTATAGGCGAATGCAAACACCTCATCCAAAGCTACCTCAAATGCCTCAAACTCCAGCGCGGCGTCAACGACGAGGAATGCCGCCGGCTAGCGAAGGGGTACCTGGCCTGCCGGATGGATAAGTGCGTTCTATACCTGCCCTACTTTCTCTACTATGGCTATTTCCCGCTGTATACTATAAGCGCTGGTGCTGATATTGACGGTTGTGCAGGAATCTCATGGCGCCGGACGACTTCAAGAACCTCGGGCTTGTTTTCGAGAAGGATGGTGATGCGACAAAGACGCAGGCGCAGACACAGGGTGGGTCGAGTTCAAGTTCATAGTGAGTCTGGTCTTAGGATTAGTTTGAAGGCCGGGCTTAATAGTGCATTCTCCTGATTTGGCGCGTACTCTGCATGGTATCGCACGGTGGGCTAGACGCTCAAGGAGGATGTGGCTTGTATATTACTTGTATATTATGGTTGCATATAATGATGGTTATGATGTCTCTACTTCTATTCTCCCTATATCGACATGTGTACGTTTCCTATGCCATGTAGTGCTGGACATGGGAAATATCTTGAGAAGATCAAGGGATTACGAGCTTGCTGCGCTACGACGGGTAGTTAAGAATGGATAGCATGGATCACAGTAGAGCTAATCATAATTCATGCCGAAAAGCTATCGTTAGTTTATACTGATATCTCCTAAGCAACATAGTAGACTCAAACACCGCTCCTTTAGGCTACTTAGGCCTAGAAGCAGCTTGCAGAACAAGCACGTTACCAACAGTTCTATGCTCAGTTCGCACCATTGCCTGGGCGACAGCCCCCAACACCCCGCGTGCATCAAGGCCGACTTCTTCAGAGGACGCCGAGTCAATGTCCAGGGTCTGGTCCACGCGGTTGTTGCGTCGCCCGACCACAGTGATATTACCTGGCTTAGAAATAGACTGGGTCATCTCGTATTTGACAGCGTCAATGGCAACTTGTACAGCGGCGGCGTTTTCCTGCGGAGTGACGCTCTTGAACACCACACGGGACGCCAATGTGTCTGGTAGGGAGTCACGGAGTGCGGCGAAGAAGACGGCGTCGGACTCTGCCTCGAGATTATTGGGTCGTGCACTAGAGGAAGATTCTTGCTGTTTGGGCTGAACAGCAACTCTGCTTATCTTCATAGGCACCACAGGAACATCTAAATGGATAATTGTGGCTGTCACCTGGTCGTTTTGCGCCAACTGAAGGACAAATTGAAGCGCATAACGGTCGTCATCTCCTCCGAAGAATGGCAAAACAATATGATGAGAGCGTGTAGCCACAGGGCTAGTCCATACTGCGCTTCCGATGCTTTTGGCGCTGACGGTTCGATGCAAAGCAGGGCGAGCTTTCGCGTTGCGAGTGTACATACTGCGCTCGATGAGAACGCCGACGTTGCAGGAGCTCTCATTCAAGATACTCGATACAAACCCGGGATAAGGCCCGTTGGCGAAGCGATTTCTTTCGTCCATGCCGAGTCCGCCCTGGTGCTCACTTAGAGCACCAGTCTCACTCCACGGTATGAGAAGTAGGTCCGTCGAGTCCTCGCGCGTCATGCCAAGCACAGTATCTGCATATAAGTGTTCAGGTACCACTGAGACACCGGCCATAATCGAGATATCATGCCACTGGCCAAATGCTCGGAAGGTATTAATCACTGGATCCCACAAGGACTGTTCGTCGACCTCGGACACTTTCATTACACTGGAGTCTCGATCTGTGAGTTCCAGTAGGCGAATTCCATGGACTTTGAGTGAGGAATCTTCTTGGGTCTCGGTGGCAGACTCCTCCGCAGCTGTTTCCGGCGACCTTGAGTCCTGTGCTTTCTCCGGGTGAACCTTTGGACTCGGAGACTGGTTTGGACCGAGGAGTGCTGCAAGTGTGCAAATACTAGAAAGTCCGTCAAGGCGCAGATAAATGAGAAGCCTGCGAACCTTATGCGACTGTAGTTGTTCTTTGGTGGCAGTGACACTGTCGTTACGATCGCCGGACTGCAGAGGATTTCCATCCCAATCAATTTCACCCCGCCGCCATCGGTCGACCTTCTCTTGATACCAGTTCGGGTAAATATATGTGGTCAATGGAGTCGTCGCGAATGTCGTCACGAGGGCCATGACGACAAATATAGTAAAGGTTCGATGGCTCAAGATCTCCGCTTGTAATCCAATATTCTAGGCAGAAAGTTAGCGAAGGATCACAAATCGTCGAATCTTGTTACGTACTAAGACAATAAGTTCTACCAAGCCTTTGCAGCTCATTAGCGTTCCAATGGCGAAGCTTTCCCGCCAGAGAAGGCCACAAGCTTTCGAAGCAAGCGCTCCACCAGCAACTTTGGCGACGAAAGCAATTGATATAACGGCAATAACATAGCCCCATACGGTCCCTGTGTCGAGCAGGCCCAAGTCTGTCTGAAGGCCGGAAAGTGTAAAGTACAATGGCAAAAACAGCGCGGTCACCAGATCCTCAATTTTTTCCGTCAACTTGATAGCAAATCCTCCTTCGTGAGGACACAGCAAGCCGATCAGAAAACCGCCGAAAATGGCGTGGACGCCTATCACCTGAGTAAAAAAAGAAGACGCAAGCGCCAACAGGATCGTAATGGTAACGACAGACTGGCTTGGGCCTTTCTGTAGGCTTCCGGTGTATTTGAGAAAGCGTAAGAATAATGGACGGAAGACAACGACCAGAAACGTGACATATCCAGCGCAAACGAGAAACACCCATAGCGCTGTGAGACCACTTCCAGCGTTGACAAGGGCGACACAGAGTGCGAGCAAAATCCAGCCTATAACATCGTTGCCGACACCAGCAGACAACACGATGACGCCGACATTTGTCCCGAGTAGTTTCAACTCAGTCAAAATACGGCACAAGACCGGAAATGCCTAGACGATTAGACATGTCAATAGGCGAAAGGTGGGCAACTCACAGTAATAGCCATGGCGATACCAATGAAAAGCATGTAAGTACCAAAATTAATCGGTTTTATGCCATCTTCGTTTCGGAAATCGTGATATAAACCGTACGAAACACCAGCTCCTAGGCCGAAAGGCAGTATCATTCCGGCAGCTGCGACACTGCTAGCCACTCGCCAATTGCTGACAAGGAAGCGCAAATTGGTTTCTAGGCCGACGAGGAAGAGAAACAGAACTAAACCGACATTTGCAAACAGGTTGAGACTTGGGATTGATTGAGGCGGGAAAATTGACTCGGTGAAATTGGGAACACGGCCCATTACTGAAGGCCCGAGTACAATTCCGGCGAGAACTTCTGCAATGACACGAGGCTGGCGGATCTTGGATAGCGGCCAATGAAGCAGACGGCTAAGGACAATGATAATGAAGGCCTATTATTGGGTTAGACTGGACGAAACATTGCCGTAAGGGGCAAATTGACCTGGATGATGAAGATGACAATCGGATTCTTGGGGTCATACTGAGATGGATCCCCGCCCTCAAGAATACCACCTTGAGGGGGAGCGCGGCTCTCAGTCGAGTTGTCGGCCATGGCTGGTGAGTTAGAAGCGCCTGGCTTCGAAGAGAAGCAGTGTCCCTATCATATATAGGGCGCCAGTAAGCACAAGACAAAGAGAAGATCAACCCCGGTCGTCGACAAACGGGCCCCACGTGGTTGGCGTGGAGATAGTGTCAAGCGAAGGAGTTAATGATGAATCATATCTGGCCTATCTGCGGGGAAAAGATCCTTGAAATGTTGGAGGCCTGCAATGTTTGGTTGTGAGTAGGTCGGATGATACGCCGCCGTTTGCGTCATTCTATCCTTTGACCAGAGATGGATTCTCTGGGAGAGAGCTGGAAGAGAGCGAGCATCTGACCGCTCCCAGCCATACGGCCGGCTCCTGTACCAGCTGGTCCAGCTCAAAAGGCTTGGTGGCTTGGATGAGAGCCTGACAATCCAATCACTGCACAGTGCATTGTTCCAGGCCGATACGAAACCTATTTTGGGCTAAACCTAGCGAAGCCCATCCGAGCAGCAACCTTACCTGCAGCCTATACTCTAGAGTCTGGAGCATCTTGCACCATACGCTATAGACTGACAGCGATTGTGACTGCCATGCTGCAATAAAGCAGAACGAAGGCGCTGCCAAGGCGTAGGAAGAACAAAGGCTGTCGCATGACTTCTGTCAGACCCCGCATCTTGATACGACTCCCGAGTCTTCGGCTTCAGCTGAAGCACTGGGAAGACGGAGGATGTCAATCTGGATCCGTGGCCGGTAGTTGTAAGAGAACGCAGAGCCTCTGAAATTGACGTTGTTGGTGGATGGAGCCGGAGGATCTCCGGAGAAGCCAGGGCGACGATCGCTGCGGGGAAGCAGTTGGTCCAGCTCCGAGCCTCCGACCGGGCGCCTGCAGTGCGGCAGTGCCTCTGTTCAAGCTCCACGCCGACTCCATCGGATCAAGCCTTTTTTGTCGCCTGGATGTCTTCCATTGCACGGCCCCCGGATCCTTGTCTGGTTGCCGTTGTCCTGATCGCTCGTTCACGTGCTGGTCCTCGTTTCGTGTTCCATTACCCTCCCAGACCGCTCACCGATAACGCCCTGCGACCACCCAAAGCAAGACGTACGTCGCGTTCAAGGAGCAGACAAAACTCGAAGGGTAACGATTCCACTTCCAGTGATGACAGTCACTCAAGCTCCGACGAAGATGAAGACGAAGCTCAGAGCCAGAGCCATATCCAAAGCAGTCATATCCCAGGGAGCAGAAGATCGAGCAATTTTGGAATTGACGACGCCCTCACGGCTGGAGAAAGCCAACGGCCCGGGTCAATTACTTCATCCAGAGCTTACTTGAGGAAACGCGGTGCAAACTCAGATGTCGAGAACGATTCCGGCGCCGGTTCGGACAGGCAAGAGGACGGAGCGAGGGAAACGGACGGTCCAAACCGCGTCCCCTGGGAATCAATACTAGGTCTCCCAACGGACGTATGGGAGAAGCTGCTGAGTCCCTCGCGTTCATGGCACAAAAGACGCTTTGAGCTCGGAATCAATGATTTGGCGTTCGTTGGTTGGCCGGTATTCCTTCGCGAGGATGGGAATTGGAGAAAGCAAAGACGGAAAAAGAAGAAGAAGCAGCGCGCTGAATGGGAAGGGGCGGAGCTCGGGCATAATGACGCGGCAGAAGACTCTCAGGACGACGGTGACGAGGGAATTGTAGCATCGACCGAGACCCTGAGTCCATACTCGGCGCTTCATCCCCCAGCTCAACGTTCCTCCGCACATAACAATCGATCTTCAAAAGTGGCAAGCGACTTATTGGATGCGGATGACAAGGATACGATGACCATGTTCAATGTCGTCTTCGTTCTAGACCCACCTTTATTGGAATATTCGATGCGTGTCCGGGAGATATACGATAACATCATCAAGAAGTTTACCAAGGCTCTGAAATGGGAACAGTCTCGGACAAACTACGTCTGGAGGGAGTCACAACACATCTTGAACATCAAAGATAAGGCAAAAGAGAAGAGTACTATAGCACAACAGCGGAATTTGCAACCAAAACTAATGAGTGTTTGTAGGGACATCTCTGAACAACCTTTACGCTGATTTGATCAACCAGTCATCCCTTGCGAGAGCGATCTGCACTTTGTATACCAGCATATCAGCTTCGAAGATTGCATCTGTCACCTTGAGCCCCGACGTTTCCATATCTCTCCAGATATCCCCACTAACCTCAACGCCGTATCTTCCTGGACAGACCGACCAAGCATACCCGGGGCTCTGGCTTACGACGGCGGATAGTATAAGCCCCGCGGATGACCCAATGACGGATGACAACAGCGCTCCTCATCAAGTATTGGCCAAACACTTCGCTCTGCTACTGCTCGATAATGAGGCAACCATTATAAAAGATGTGGAAGCGGCTGGGGGAGCATTAGCTCCACCACTTGTTCATTATATCCGCTGCTCTAGTCCAACAAAGTCCTTTGTGCAAATCTCGCAAATCTCCGGCATACCTCTTCCCACGATTCAGTTTTTGGCCAGTCATCTGGTTTACTGGCGAAGGGCTCGCGCAATTCCTCCCCTCCACCAGCGGGATACTTACATTGTGTCTCCGAACTGCGATCTTAGCAAGTTAGAAGTCGCGTCGGCCGCTTATAATCTGGCGTTTCCGACACTTCCCAGCCTACCGAAGATGTTATCAGCTTTGAGTGGAACACCGCGGCCTTATGGGAACTTTATTCCGAGTAAGGACCACAAAGCAACGTATTTCTCTATATTGGCATGGCTGCTGCGAGGTGGTTGGGTCACTCAGCTTCGATCTTTCGCCCGAGTGAAAGTATCACCCGAAATCAAAATGGCCGTTGAATTGGCCATTCGACGCGAGGAGGTAGACAAATACTTGACCAAAGGTAAACCCTCAATGACTATATCAGACAGCGAGAAGCCTATTGAAGATGAAGGCGCGGGCAGTGACATAGATGATGGCTCATCGTCTTCGTCATCTTCGCTTGCAAGCCATGGGAGCGGGGACGAAACACCCATGCCAAACCGCTTCAAAGCGGACACTGTCCTCAATCTGTCTCATTCCCTGCTCGATCAAAATGCATCCCTGACAACATCTTCTCTAATACTTCTGCCTCACAAAGTCTCGCCGCTGGAATCTCGATGGTTGGACGAGATTGTCGCACGATTTCATGAAAATACCAGAGACTTTGTTGGCACTGGAAGTCCTGGTGTAGCCGAGGGCGATTCTGCCAGTCCGGGTGCTGCGAATTCACTAAAAAGCGTCTGGCCAACCTACGTTAAGTACTTTAACGGTTATGACGCTTTAGAGAAGATCCCTGTCCGTGAGGGGCTGAAGCGCAAGTTGGTGTCCCAAATACTCATGCGCCTAGGGCTTGTCACCGGGCAGTCATCCGTCGATTTCGATCCCAAGGAACAAATCTTGGTTTCGTTCAGACATTGGTAGCAATCAATCTTGGGGTCCCTTTCTAAAAAGGACCAACACGTGATATATCGGGCCTTTCGGCCGCAGCCTGCAGGTGGATTGGGGCGACATCCGAACATTCCCGATGTCGCCGTTATGCCGAGAACCAGCCCTAACAACAATCTCAAACCCCATATGAGCCACGCGGGATGCCTGTCAATAAATCCTTCACTCTCACTCTCAGGAACTAGTCCTTTTGGGTTGACGCTTGACCCTTCTACCCTTAATTCTGGGCCACTAATTCTCCTCGATATAACCATAGCATCAGCCCACCAGAAGCACTAGTTAAGGCGATTGGAACCGTTGTTGCGATCATTGCAACGGCACGCGCCGGAAACCTTGACGGGTGACGGATGAGGCGGCTGTCACGTGCGCCTCATTGCAGGCAGAGAGGTTTCTATCCTGGGCGCCGGTGAAAACGATGATCAGCGGAGAAGTCTAGCTTAGATATTTGTGGCCTTATAGTTCTTGGTAACCTCGAACGATGCCCCTCGATTGCGCAGTTCGACCTGAAAGTCGAAATAAAGAGCAGGTGAAACCGCATTGGGGGTGCCAAGAAACTGAGATGGCATGATTTGGAGACAGTGGAATGAACCGGATAACTACAATTACTCCAAGCCACGGTCAGCGAGGACTAAGAGGCGTGCAGTGAGACTCTTTAGGATCTCTCGTCACCGTACGCAAGTATATGAGAAGCCTAGAACGAGGAATGGACAAAGTCAGACTAGGATATTACCCCTCCAATGCCCGTACCTGGTCGGTTGTACTCCGCACTCACTGTAAAACGGCTGTGGTTCATCGGGACATGCATGCTGAATTGATTTAAGGCAAGTCTGCAGGAAAGCCTGGAGGGCATAAAATCTGCGCGGAGTACGGTGCAGTACGTGCCTACCTGAAATTCCGTAAACTCTCATACATGTTCGCCGCTACCTGAATCTGTTATACTTATTTTGAGAATGCTTGGTTTCTTCTCCTTAACCCATGGGGAACAGCATGGGACCTCGGGCGCAGATTTACATACCACAGATCGGATGTAACTAATGACTTTTGCCGCCTATTCCATCCGCTCCGAGGGAAGACCAGGATAGAGATGACGGCCGTGATTACTTAAAAGACAGGAAATGGCGGGGTTTGGTGAACACTCCAAAAACAATGACACCGAAATAGGGAAGGACGAAGTATAGACTTTTAGGAACAATTGTCTTGTAAGATCCAATCATTGCAAGTAATGGCGAGCCATCAGAAGAACCAGAATGCAGAGCCATACTCTGTAATCATATCGATTCCTTCATTCTGGAAGCCATAGTAACCATCGGCTCATACCCGCAACCCACAGAAGCCCTGAAGCCCACTATGGTGAATGTGCGGGTGTCCGGGACCAACAGCAATAAATCATAATTTTTTTCAGTTTCAAACGCGGAAGGCATCGAGGAAGAACAATTTTTCCCCTACCAATTTTTTTCAGGCGGGCTCTGCGTAGAATTCCTTTTTCCCTTTTGCTGCTGTCGGCGTTTCTTCCACGGCCCCCAGCGGAGACTGAGACTGCGCATATTGATTGGGATTATTCTTAGGTATTTTCTTCCCTCACCACTGTGTGTGCCTTGCTACGCTCTCCCTTCTCTTTTTCCCTCACCCTCGTCTTGTCCCTCCCCCTCCTCACCCCTCTCTGTTTCCTCTGCTCTTACCTCCCTGGCATTTTCGCTTGTCTTTAGCACCCTCGTCTGCTCGTTGGACGTTTGTGTTGTTGTACCCACGCCGTGCCCATTCCTCAGCGTGCCGCAGCCGCATCTCCCCTTTGCACGTCCTGTAACTGCATTTACCGGGCCATTTTTCTCTTGCTTTCTTTTTCCTCTTCTCTATATTGTGAAGGGTACATTGATCTTTTGACCTCTCTGGAATCCATTTCTATTCCGCACGAGTTCTTCCTCAGACTTTTCTGGCGCGACCAAACTTTTTTTTTTCCGTCTTCCCGTCCTTGGAATTACCTATCGAGGAAGTCCTGTACTTCACCTCTGCTGCATATTCACTAACCGTTGCCACGTGAAAGTCGCGACTCTTACAATACCCAAGGGGCGACTCGATTCCATCGTCATCAGACGTGCATTGTTCCTGATCGTGAGTCTCCCGCCGTTGAATTGTTCGAGTGCGAGGCCTGCAGCGTTCCTGGATTCGACCACGGACCGCACGCCGAACCGACGTGATTCTAGCTGGGTTCTAAGACAGTCAAACGATTTAGCTACGAACTCTTCCGTGCGCCGCAGTCAATTGGTGACAACCTTTTACGTCAAGCGAGTGCCTCGAACCCTTTCCGCGTTGATCTCCTCGTGTGTCTTTTCCGAATCATCGCTCGTCCTGATTCTGTGACTTCCGGCTTAGTATTTTTCGTCGCGGTTCTACCGATGCGATTTGCGTGAAGCACTAGTCTATTCAGGAAACAAGCATAGTCGGACTTAACAATCATCGTTTCGAGGACCTTGCTAGAGCGAACACTCGTCCCTTCTACTTCGCTCTCATCGACTTGACGAACATCTGCGGATCTTACAACAAGAAGAGAGATCCAACAAACGGGAATTTGCATCTTGGTGGGGTTCTAGAGGGCGGAAATTGGTTTTTTCTGATTTCCATCAGTGTCGGGACAGCTCATACATCTTCTTGTGGTTGCCTAGGGTTGTCTGTTCTCTGGTAGAACTGTTCTCCCAATCCCCTAACACGGGTATATCAAGCTTTTGTTCGAGATCATAACGCAAAGAAAAATGGCCACCGCATTTTCTTACGCCCAGGCCGCAAAAGGCGTTGCTTCAACGCAGCCATCCAAGACACCGTCCGAGTCGACTACGCCACTGTCAAAGTCGGAAGATCAGACCTCGGAAAGCTTCCAGACCAGCGCGGATGTTGAGACCCCGAAGACGGACGTCGCCGCTGATGTTGATAACACAACCGAGAAGGAGGTGAGCGAGCCCAAGGCTGAAGCCTCCGAAACTGCTTCACCTGACGCCGCTACCGCGCAGACATCCATGACCTCAAAAGAGAGTGAGAAGTCCAGTACTCAAAATGGCATTTCGGAATCTACCTGGGATAAGCAATCTCAAACTTCAGGGTCGGACAAGGAGAACGCTGCCGCCGAAGGCACTGAGGGAAAGTCTTCAGAGAAGAAGAAGAAGGAAAAGCCCGCTCCTAAAGAGCTCAAGCCAGCCGCTCTTCCCGCGGTGAACATCTGGCAACAAAGGAAGGAGGCGCAAGAAGCTAAGGTCAAGGCTAACCCGGCCTCCAACGCTGCTGCCAAGGTTTCCAAGCCTACATCTGAGACTTCTTCTGTATCTGAGGATAACCAGGACCAGCCGAAGACTGGCTCCAAGAAGAAGGGTGATTCATCGAAGAAGGGTGATGGCGTCAAGGGACAAGAAAGCGCCCCCGTTCCTCCAGTTGCAGATGCTGCTTTGTGGCCTACTCCCCAGGGCGCTCAGGGAGAGGAGAAAAAGAAAACGCAGGAAAAATCGGAAAAGACCGAGAAAAGCCCAGTGATTCGTCCCCATGGCAAGGAGAAGTGGACACCGGTTCCTTACGTTCCGACTGCGGTCTTCAACACTCCTCTACCCTCCGCTGCGCGTCGGGGTGGGAGAAGCGCGCGCGGTGGGCGAGACACCACTCGCAACGGCTCCCACGGCGCCGGAGCTGCCGACAAGAGCTTCCCTAGCCAGGCGACCTCAGCTAAGCAAACCGCGGCTGCAGACCGGGGCAGGAATGAGCCCAACTCTACCCGTGCGAACTCACTGCCTGCGCCATCACGACGCTCCAATAGCGCCGACAACGGTTCTACAGATGCCCGCAAGACACAGGTGCCTGATCGAACGCGTGGTCCCAAGGGATTAGACAACGGCAATACCGCGGCTGGTAAGCAGATCAACGGCGAGGCTTTCTCGAGACATGCCAAGCCCTTCCCCAAGAACCATGAAGGCTTCCAGAAGGGAGGTGATTATGCTAAAAACCCCAACCTTTCGGTGGATACCTACAACGGAGCTCGCTCCGGGCCTAACGAACGTCGTTTCGAGAATGGACCAAAGTCTGCGGATTTCGCCAACTTGCATTCCGATCGCAAGGACCGGGAGTTCACCCGGGAGCCCCGTGCTGAAAGAGGCAGAGGCTCGCACCGTGGACGAGGTGGTGGCCATGCCGGGTACAATGGCACCCAGACATCACATTTCCCCAACAACCACATGGCTCCCCAAAGTTACATGCACCCCAAGTCATTCGGTTACAACGACCGCCGAGGCCCCCAGCAACATGGCCTTGCCAATGGCTCTCGCGGCCACGCCATGACCATGCGGTCCCCTTCATTGCCCAATTCTTCCTCTATGTACAACATGTATCCGTCCTTCCCCGCCGATATGAACCCCATGTATGGCTACCAACAGGTGCAGCCTGGTCCCATGTCGGCGATACCATTCCAACCGTACATGGAATCGTGGTCTGTGATGAGCATGATCACGTTGCAGCTGGATTATTACTTCTCGGTTGATAACTTGTGCAAGGATATCTACCTGCGTAAACACATGGATTCTCAGGGTTTCGTTGCATTGAACTTCATTGCGAACTTCAAGCGAGTCAAGCAACTGTCAGAGGACTTCGAGCTACTGCGCCACGCCTCGCGGCAATTGAAGGCTGCTGAATGCTTCACGGGTGACGATGGCGTTGACAGGCTGCGGCCGCGGGAGAGATGGGAACAATGGGTCCTCCCCATGGAGCAGCGTGATCCCTCCGCTCAGAATGCCGGCCCCGTTCCCTCTACCGGCCAGAACGAATCTACCGTGCCTCAGAGCCAACTCGACGGAGCTACGAATGGCTTTGTCCCAAAGTCGGCGTTACCCAACGGTACTGCACCTTCAAAAACAGCACTGTCCTCTGCTGCCCCAGAGTTCTCGCCGTCTAACGGTGTCCACACTGGAACCGAGGTATCGAATGTGAGATCATCCCCGTACCAAGTTGATGTCCTTTGATGGTTGCTGATTTTCTTCTAGTAAGAAATCCATTTACCAGCATGTTCCGGAGCTTATTTCCCCTTTCCTGGGTAAGCGAGCATCCACTTTCCCTCAGTCACAGCGTGACGTTGGTGGACCTCACTGCATATGAGTGTCGACGAAGTACATGACGACTACCTACTACGGGTGGCCACGATACGAACCTCAGTACCGATGGTCTCATTTTTGGTCCAATCTCGATGCACAAATGTACAATGAATTTAAGAGTCTAGCGTTTTATGACCCCGGCACGAATCATCGGCTACGGTTTCTTCAGATATTGTTCACTTTACGGTGCTTTTTGGTTGAGCAACACGGTCAATCCCTGCCGAGGTTATCCCAACTCTGTTAGGATCGGAGTGTGTTATGTTTGCGCGCAACGTGGACGTGGAGCTCTTTCCCTGCGGCCATGTTTGCCTAGAAAGGGTGCCCTGGAACCTCCTCGGAGCCCTTGAAGTCGCTGAAAAGTTTGACCAACATCTGAATGCTACCTTGATAGCCGGGCTGCAAAAGTGATTTCTTCTCGTTCTCTCCAATTTACCCTTTTGATGTTTCTCTCGTGGCTTCGCATCCATCATGACTTGCATTACTATTTGTCAGCTTATGCATCTATCTGTCGAGTGACGGGTGACATTTATTCTCAGCGAAGTGGGTTGACATATTCACGTTCAGAGTATCGGCTTGTTGTTCGTCCTTTCATTTGTTTTTCGCTTCCCGGTTTGAAAAATCCCTGGAGTCCGGACATGTTTTTGCTGGGCCAGTACCTCCCATCCTCGATTTTTGCTTTGGGTGTGCTCGGTTGATATCGCTCCCCCGTCATAGAATGTTAATCTGGCTTTTCCTCCTCCTTTTTTTCTTCTTTTACCGCTTGATTTTTCTTTTCCATACAACTTATTCATCTCTCTCGATTCATAATATTGCGGCAATGCATTCTTTTTTTTTTTCGCCCGGGGTTACATAGTTGCCGGTCGAACAGGCAGCACACAAAAGGATTAAAAAAAGGGTTCTTTCCACAGCAAGGCGCAAACGAGTTTTCAAAAGAGAAAAATGAAAATTGGCATTGACTGCTTATTCCCGTCCTTCATTTCCCCTGTCAGTGACAGGAACGACGGCTCTCTTTTATCGTCTTTTCACGTTCTCCATCGAAGCTGAGGCGCCGCCAGCTTTCTCTTACTAGCATTATTCGGGTATTCCAAGTGTGGTTCAATTGGAATGGCGCATTGCTTGGGTACATTTTGGCTTGAATGGCGGATTTTTGCCATTTATATCTCTAGGGTTTTCTTGTTCGGAGTCAGTAAAGGGCATACTAGGTACATATCAAGGGTAATTTGCCTCTTGTATGGGCTCTGAATTTAATTTCGATATGCCTCATCCAGAGGCGAATATTCAAATTGTTATCAAACAGTTTTAAACGTTATATTGGTCTTGCTGCAGCTCTTACGGAGTAGCTCTCATTCATAGTTCGTTTTCGAGGCCATTCGGATCACGTAAGCAATTGTGCCTCAGGCCCTCAATCTCAGCCAGTGATGAACACCGGAGTCAGCTCCATCCGCTTTAGCTTTGTCCTCCCAGCTTTCCCATCAACGCGCTTTTTTCATTCCTTACCTGTACACCATCTCGGTCCCTGCTGCCACTATGGACGTGGCCTCTAAACAAACCGCGAAGCTCCTTCGTTCCTCCGCACTCCGCACTCACCCCCGTCTTGCTTCCGCCATCCCAGCAACACAAACAACGGTCCGTCGAAGAAATCTCTCAAGCGCACCGCGACGAAATGCCCCTGAATCATCACTTCTCGGTCTAGCCTCTGCAGGCTCGCCTTCTGGGTCACCTCCCACGTATTTCTCGAGCCGGCAGGCTTTGCCCATGAACACGATTGTTCGGTTCGTTCCGCAGCAGACGGCATGGATTGTTGAGCGCATGGGCAAGTTCCACCGTATTCTGGAGCCCGGTTTGGCGATCCTAGTCCCATTCTTGGATCGGATTGCGTACGTCAAGAGCTTGAAGGAGTCGGCGATTGAGATCCCAAGCCAGAATGCGATCACGGCGGATAATGTTACATTGGAACTTGATGGTGTGTTGTATACAAGGGTTTTCGACGCTTACAAGGCGAGGTGAGAGATTCGTACCAGTACTTACTCTTTTGGATAGTCTTTTGGATAGTATTTTGGGATTGGGGCTGACGTTGAGCGATTTATAGCTACGGAGTGGAAGACGCCGAATACGCTATTTCTCAACTTGCACAGACGACAATGCGATCGGAAATCGGCCAGCTGACTCTGGACCATGTCCTGAAGGAGCGTGCAATGCTCAACACCAACATCACACAGGCCATCAACGAAGCTGCCCAGGCGTGGGGTGTTACCTGTTTGCGATACGAGATTCGAGACATCCACGCGCCGGATGGTGTCGTCGAGGCTATGCATCGCCAGGTGACGGCCGAGCGGTCAAAGCGAGCGGAGATCCTTGACTCCGAGGGTCAACGGCAGAGTGCGATCAACATCGCCGAGGGTCGCAAGCAGTCCGTCATCTTAGCTTCCGAGGCCGACAGAATTGAGCGCGTCAACCGCGCCAATGGTGAGGCAGCGGCGATCCGGGCAAAGGCTGAGGCGACTGCGAAGGCGATTGAAACCGTGGCTCAAGCTATCGAGGCCGGACAGACGAGCGCGCAAGGCGCTATGAGCCTTAACATCGCCGAGAAGTACGTTGAGGCCTTTGGGAAGCTTGCTCATCAGGGCACGGCTGTCGTTGTTCCCGGAAACATGGGAGACCTCGGTGGGATGATCGCAAATGCCATGGCGGTCTACGGAAAAGTGAGCGGAACCCAGGCACGGAGCATTGCGGCGAAGGCTCTGGGAGTGCAGGATTCACAGACTGCTGAGAAGACATCGGAGACCACGCCCGAAAACAAAGCGAGCGTCACTGAGGATATCCTTGAGGGGTTCGAGCAGACGCGTCGAGAAGAGAAGAACTAAGGGCTCTCTCTGCACATTGAGTGATATTCACTTCCATTCAGTCCACGATCGTCTATCTTACAACCTTGCGGTGGTGACGACCTCTACTCGCGTCCTGCCACACAATATCTCGTGTGTTTGCTCGCGTCCGAGTTCCTTGCTGTATCATTGTACCGCTTATCTATTTCTCTCTCCTAGCGTTGCTCGATCGGGTCACAAAAGTTGATGGGGACATACCCGTGGTGGAGGACGGTTGCGGGCAAATTTCGGTATAGGTTATCCTTTGCAATCGTGTATCATGTACAGTAGCGTTATTGCGAGATATCCATGCACCATTTCACTTTGCAAGTTGTGCCTATCACGTATATAGTAGTCCGCTAGACGGAACGCAGCAGATCAAAGCTCGGGCCACCACCCGCGCCGGTGGAAGATCGCGACTTTTGGGTTTGGGCGCGCCCTCTCCGGCCCTTTTTCTGTTTGCGATTGCTTCCATCACTTCCACTTCCCCAACGTACCTGCTACGGTTCTACTGCCGACCGTATCTACCTAGTCCCTTACGGCTCAACACCTGGTAGACGCTATTTCCCTGCGATGCCCCGATTACCTCCGCTCCTGTCCACGTCAACTTGTCAGTGATCAAGCTATACCGACCCGCCCCTTCGGACAAACAACCACCACCACAACGAAGCGAGGCAGCAGGGCTTGCGGCTATGCATATCATAAAGCCTACCTGGCTAACACATGGAGGTATGTTACTTTTCTCTATCTCGTCCGAGCATCCAAATACTATACCATCACGTTTTGTGGTCTTCTATGCGTTGTCCGGCCTAAGAACCGCGTGGGCTAACCATCTTCTGTCTTTTCTCCGGTATCCTCTAGGTGAGCGAAAGGCCTTTGAAGTCTACAGTTGCGATGTGTCCCCAGATGGAAGCCGCCTTGTAACGGCAGCGGGAGGTCAGTCTTAATCCCACCGGAACCCTCCTGCGGAGATGAGGATACTCCAACCGGACGGCAATTAACATGTGCATATTCTGCTGGATACAGATGGATACGTTCGGATATGGTCTACAGAAGCGATATGCGGCTCTGAGGACTCCGGCAAGCCGAAGCAGCTGGCCTCGATGAGCAACCACTCCGGCACAATTCACACGGTCCGCTTCTCACCGAACGGGAAATACTTGGCCTCGGGCGCGGATGACAAGATTGTATGCATATATACGTTGGACGCGAATCCGCCGTCCCATGCTGCGAGCTTCGGTAGGTTGGATGCTATGCTTACAGGGCAGATAAGATGACGGATTGGATTGACGGTTTCTTTTCTGCTAGGGTCGAACGAGGCGCCGCCTGTTGAGAACTGGCGCACAATCAGGAGACTGATTGGGCATGACAACGATGTTCAGGATCTGGGCTGGTCGTACGATTCATCGATTCTGGTTTCTGTTGGGCTGGATTCCAAGGTGGTTGTTTGGTCGGGGCATACGTTTGAGAAACTGAAGACGCTCTCGGTGCACCAGAGTCACGTTAAGGGAATTACGTTTGACCCAGCGAACAAGTACTTTGCTACGGCGAGCGATGACCGGACGGTTCGGATTTTCCGCTTCACATCCCCGGCGCCCAATTCTACGTCCCATGACCAAATGAACAACTTCGTGCTTGAACAGACAATTACTGCGCCTTTTCAGAACTCGCCGCTTACAGCTTACTTCCGACGGTGCTCTTGGTCTCCGGATGGAATGCACATTGCTGCCGCGAATGCGGTTAACGGGCCGGTAAGCTCTGTCGCGATCATTAACCGCGGAGGATGGGATGGGGATATCAACCTTATTGGCCACGAAGCACCCGTCGAAGTGTGTGCCTTTTCTCCGCGATTGTACTCCTCGCAACCGGTTAAGAAAAACCAGTCAGACGGTCAGGATCATGGGGTGCAGAACGCTGTCACGGTGATCGCTTGCGCCGGAGGTGATAAATCCCTCAGCGTCTGGATTACTAGCAACCCGCGGCCGATTGTGGTGGCCCAAGAGCTGGCGGCGAAATCTATCTCAGATCTGGCGTGGAGTCCGGACGGTAGCTGTCTGTATGCAACCGCGCTGGATGGAACGATTCTTGCGGTGCGTTTCGAGGATGGAGATCTAGGCTATGCTATGGAGCTGGAGGAGAACGAGAGGTCGCTTACGAAATTCGGTACGAACCGGAAGGGTGCAGGCATCGCCGAGACTACGGATGGATTACTGCTTGAAGAGAAGAGCAAAGCTGGCGAGCTTAAAGGTGTTGAAGGTCGTATGGGTGCATTGATGGGTGATGGCCATGCTGCTGGTGATGCTGTGACCAATGGGAAAACGACATCTTTGCCATCAAATGGTGCAACACCGGCGGCAGCCCCGTCTCCGACGGCCGATGCTCAAAAGTCACAACCGAACGGCACTACAGCGACATCAACGACAGAACCTGAGAAGCCCGACCCTTATCAAGCCAAATTGGAGCGATTAAAGCAGCGGCCTACTTATACCAAAGATGGGAAGAAACGTATCGCTCCTCTTCTGGTGTCTGGCGCTGGAGGTGCCGAGTCGTCATTGCCGCAGGCCCGATTAATGGCGTCGGTTAGTAGCCAGGTCAAGGCCGATACGCCGCAATCCATCGTCGACCTCTCTAAACCATTCGACGGGTTGCCCAAGGGTGGCTTAGCGACAATGCTCTTTGGAAACAAGAGGAAGCTTGCCCAATTAGATGATGACGAAGACGGCCATGTTGAGAAACGCTTGACTTTGGCAAGTCAGAATGGCGCGACCCCTGTACTTACCAGCGCACCTGAAGGTCTTCTCCCGGCGCAACCTCAAAACCCCCCTACAGGGCAGCAGCCGACACCAGAGTTCATTCGACCCGCGGTGGTAAATCCGTGTATGTCTGTAAGCCAACTCCGGCTAGCCGTGCCAAAAGTTCGCACGCACATCTCACGTGCTATCGACTTGGCCGGCAACCCAACAGAACCTCCCAACACGTCGGGAGAATCAAATAAATCCCGAGTTGACGTTACCTTCGATGCTCGAAATCCGTCTGTCGCCAGTTTAACCGGACGACCCGCTGATCGTGAGCCCGTTCGACTTACGCTCACCCGCGGTGAACAACCTTTATGGCAAGACTTCCTACCAAGGACCGTCCTCCTTGTCACCGGGAACCAAAGTATGTGGGCAGCCGCCTGCGAGGACGGATCGGTATACATCTGGACGCCTGCTGGCCGCCGTCTCGTCAGCGCCCTTGTCCTCGAAGCACAACCCGTGATTCTCGAATGCAACGGCCCATGGATATTGACCATCTCCGCTGTTGGCATGTGCTACGTCTGGAACGTCGAGCACCTCTCCTCCCCACACCCCCCGATCTCCCTCCAACCCGTCCTCGACGCCGCCATCCACACCCTAGGTGCCCACCCTAGCGCCGCCCCATCAATCACCAACGCCCGCATCAACTCCGAAGGCCGCGTCATTGTCGCCCTCTCCAATGGCGAAGGGTACGCCTACTCTCCCTCCCTCTACACTTGGCAGCGCCTCTCAGAATCCTGGTGGGCCGTCGGCAGCCAGTACTGGAACACAACCGAAGCCCCCATCGGCAACCTACAGTCTGCATCCAACGCACAGCAGAAAGACAAAGAGGCTCGAGCGGCTGTCTCGGCTGGTATTATTCCTTTCTTGGAACGTAACACCACGAGCGAGATGCTTCTTCGTGGCCGCGCTCACTTCCTGCAACGGCTCATCAAGGCACTCCTCTCAAGAGAGGGTTACGAGAGCTTCGAATCTAGCGTCTCCATCGCGCATCTCGAGAACAGACTCGCCGGTGCTCTATCTCTGGGTGCGAAGGAGGAATTCAGATTATACCTGTCCATGTACGCAAAGCGTATCGGCGCCGAAGGTCTAAAGGGTAAAGTCGAGGAGTTACTCAAGGGCCTCTTAGGCGGATTATTTGAGGAAGAAGATGGCGGTGCAGAGGATGGGAACTCACAAAAGGCCCTCCAGCTCCGCCCCGAACACGCTGATCGTAACTGGAAGGAAAGCTCCGAGACGCTCTGTGACTGGCCACGAGAGGTGTTGCTCAAGGAGGTGATTTTAGCTCTTGGTATGCTATCCTCCGTTTCTCCTGTGAAAACCTGCTAACATACTTTCCTCTTTCTGCAGGTAAACACCGCGACCTCCAACGCGTCACAGTCCCCTACGCAAAGTTACTGGGAGTGGTCGATAACGATTCAAGCGCAGACGATGCGATGGAGACATGATAGTAGACCTCATTCTCTCGATATCGAATCCTCTTTCAGCTTTTTTTTCTCATCTATAAACTAAAGGCGTTTACGGAGCACGGCGGCATGGTGTTGAATATATCTAAGCACCTAGGTTCATGGGTGGTTCAAGCATGGCAGCGGCCTTACATCACTTTTTATCTTCATTGACGCATTTTTTTCCCCTTAGTTTTCCTGAGAGCTGCGTGCCCTAGTCATCTTTAGGGGATGCGGATGTGTACTATTAGTATTTTTTTTTTACCTATCTACCATATCCCGCGAGATGGGATCTTTCTACTGCAACTATTGGTAAGAATAAGAACTCACTTGGTAAAGCCCGAGTCAGCAGGCTGTTAGATTGGTTGAAAGTGCAGGTGTGCAGTACTCTCAACGCGCTCCAGCGAATCTGCCTGGCTGGCTTAGGGTTAGGTAGGCCAGAGGTAACCCTAGGGGATGGCTTAACGCGGTCAAAGGGAATTGGTATTCTCTAGTTATCCTAAGCATATCTAACATTATTGCTGATTGGATGATGTCCGGCTTATTTGGCTGCAATGTAATTCCGTATCAATATCCCTGGCCTTTGCTAATTCGAAAAATATATTTCCCTGACGGAACAACAATGGCCTGACGACCTCCCACGCCTTGTATCAGCTCATCATACGAATTTCGTCGTCCACTAATGACTTGCACCAGTGAGTCTTCAGAATTAATTTATGCCCAACTGGCCAATGCCATAAAGCCGGCAATCTAAAGTGCTGCATGCAATATCCACGAATGACTCTGCAGGACCCCTGCTTCCCCGCATCAGCAGCAACATGCAGGTCCGATTAGTCCCGCATCACCTGAAGACAATTTACTATAAAGCTCGTCATTCCGGACCGTTGCGAAAGAAGACTCCGCATTCCGTCTCCCGTCCGTACCTCTTTGGGATACTGGCACGTCGTTATGGATGTGTAGCCGGGCGACGGACCGCACGACCGTCTTGTCAGTCGAGACATTCGCAGTCTTTCATAGAAGCACAAATACGTATATAAGGACAGATGGCGGCTATGTCTCTTTCTCTGCAGATACAGCAAAAGCAGCAGACACTATGAGGTCCTTCGTCTTTCTATCGTCCGTGCTAGCCCTAGTGGCGCCCTCCAAGGGCTCATTCATATGTAAGCCTCATGCCCTTTCCTTGAGGCTTGAGTTATATCCCTACTAGTGCTGAGTACATGTCTACCAGGGTTCGGCGTCAACGAGGCGGGCGCCGAGTTTGGCCAGGACACGTACCCCGGCGAACTAGGCACCCACTACATCTGGCCTGACTTGGGTACCATCGCAACCCTGAAGAACGAGGGGATGAACATCTTCCGCGTTGCGTTCTCCATGGAGCGCCTGGTGCCTGACTCCTTGACTGGACCGGTTGCAACGGAGTATTTCGATGATCTGGTGGAGGTGTGTCTCCTTCCATCTTCGCATCCGGAAGTCTGGATAAAGAGAGGCAGATAACTAACTGGATAGACTGTCAATGGCATCACGGCCCTGGGTGCTTATGCAGTCATTGACCCGCACAACTTTGGACGGTAGTACGTATTTATGTCCATCAACTCTAGTGCCGCAGATACTAACAAAGTCAGCTATGGAAATGTCATCACCTCTACCGACGACTTCGCAGCCTTTTGGACAATCATCGCCACTGAGTTCGCATCCAATGACCTTGTCATCTTTGATACCAGTACTCTACTTCTGCAGCCCGTCTTTCTATCTCCCTACTGACATCTCTAGACAACGAATACCACACCATGGATCAAACTCTCGTCCTCAACCTCAACCAGGCCGCCATAGACGCCATCCGCGCCTCCGGCGCAACAAGCCAGTACATTTTCGCCGAAGGCAACTCCTGGTCCGGCGCCTGGACCTGGGTAGACGTAAACGACAACATGAAAGCCCTCACCGACCCATCAGACAAGCTCATCTACGAGATGCACCAGTATCTCGACTCCGACGGGTCCGGGACAAACCCCACCTGCGTGAGCAGCACAATCGGCAGCGAGCGCGTAACAGCCGCAACGACCTGGCTTCGGCAGAACGGAAAACTAGGCATTCTCGGCGAGTTCGCAGGCGCCAACAACCAGGTCTGCAAAGAGGCTGTCGCGGGCCTGCTGGAGTACCTGGAGGAAAACAGCGATGTTTGGCTGGGAGCTCTTTGGTGGGCTGCTGGGCCTTGGTGGGGTAATTATATGTTCAACTTGGAGCCCACCCAGGGCATTGCTTACCAGGAATACATGGATATCTTGGAGCCTTACTTCCCTGGAAACGAGGACCCAGGTACGACTGCCACGGCGACGGCCACTAGTACTACACTGACAACCACGACGACGTCAACTAGCGCTACTGCGACGAGTACAGGGACCGTAGGAAGGTGGGGACAGTGTGGAGGGAGTGGGTGGACAGGAGGCACTGTTTGTCAGAGTCCTTGGAGCTGCCAGGTGGTGAATCAGTGGTATTCCCAATGTTTGTGATGTGTCAGGTTTGCTATGTGTACAGGAGAGCAATCTGGTGATTTTCAGGGCAGGACTGACTTCCATAGTAAATGAAGTCCAAAGGTGGTTAGTAGCAGCTAGTGAGGACCCACTGCCCTGTTGCGATAACGGAATTTACTCCTAGGTTTTGTTTTTCTCCGTCATTGCCCAGGTGAACGAAGTTCATTTCTATTCCAACCGCAATTCCTTACCAACCCAGTAATCCTCTTTCTGAATCGCACTTTAAAGATGTCATTCTGGGACCAAGACTGGGACCCAAACCCAGACGCCTCTCCTCCTGAGGAGCCACGCTTCGTGAAATCGGGCAAATTCACCCACGACGGCAAGCAGATCAAATACGACGACACGGCTCGAGCTGACCTGCGCGAGATCAAACGTCCCATTAGCAAGAGTTCAAGCAAGCCATGGCTGATTGCCCAGTTGTCGCTCTACGGTATAGCTCATAAGAAAAGTGACCCTGTTGCGACAATCAGAGATGTTTACAGTCAAGCAATCAAAGCTAAAAAGGTAATTTCTCGGGGAAATGATCAAGCTGTATGTACCATGAATGCAGAATTGATGCCTAGTGCAGTTCGAAACGCCCACCCCGGAAATGCAGGCTTTTGAAGCGTCCCTGGCCGAGAAACGCAAGCAACAGTTGAGAGAACACGAGGAAGCTGTCGAAGCGTGGAGGAGAAATCAATTCTCGGAAATGGCTACACCTGCCGACGAAGCTAGGTTAAATACTAATATGTTTCTCGCCAAGTACTTTTGCACAGATAGGAAGCCAGACAGGACGAAGCAGAAAGATCCTCTTATTCTAGAGGCGCTCCACTGTTCCTATGGCGAGCACCTCGCTGAAACCGCCCAGCGCATTCCAGGTCTCAAGGTACATGTCACAAATTATATCTCTGTTATTGGCTGGGAAGGGACCCTTGATGGAGCTATAGACGCTGCATTCGCACGACTGGTGCCTCTCGGGAAGGAATGTAACTTTGACTCACTCACTGAGGAGGCACGATTCGACGTCAATCGCTTTATGCAGAAGTATTTCATGCGAGAGGGAACGAAAGACGTCCCTGACACGAGCAAAACTGGGAAGCCTCTCAAACTATATTGCTCCGAGAAGGAATCAAACAAGCTCTCAGAAGCCGTGAGGCGAGTCCCAGGTCTCCATACAGGATACATTTTTCCGTACATGTTCATCGGCTGGGATGAAAGAGAAGTGGCGAAACAAGTCCATAACATCAAGAAGGAACGCCTCAGAGAAGAAATGCAAGAGATGGCCGAAGAAGAAGCAAGAGAGGAAGAGGAACGCGCTGCGTTCTGGAAGCCTCACAAGGACTTCATGAGCACCTTCACTACATCCCCAGGGCCTCTAACCCTCAACGACCTCACAGGCTCATTCCTTGCCCACTGCCCGAAAATCGACGAGGATTGGGATCACAAGGACCTAGAGCTTCACATTCAGCCGCCGTCCAGTTCTGACGCCCATGGAGTCGTCGCCGCATTTCATTTTGGGGTGATGCATGGGACAATGCTACTTGCTCTATCAGAAGACGCCCTCCACACCTTCGCCGAAGAGATGGCCCACGACGACCCAGACGACGACACCACTGATTCAGAAAATGAGTGGGCAGGTTGCTACAACGGCAACAAACGCAAAGCAAAGACCATGTCAGCAAGCCAACCACAAGCCATCCGCAGACGCCTGGGCGAGATGCCTAAGCCCAACCGCGTATATTTCCGTTGGGCCGGTATGCAAGAGGACACAGGTGACCCTGAGGGCCACACCGAGAACCTCGAGAACTGCGGCTACCTGGACTTCGAGCCCTCCAAGGCCGTGGGCCGTGGGAAATGGGTGTGGTCCGATATGTTTGGGACAGATAAGAAACTTGACTTGGAGGTTTATAAGGTCTCTAATGAGGTGCAAATGGGTGGGCGCTCCCTGTGCAAACACCTTGTTCCTTGGTCACATTGGGGAGAGGCAAAATTTTACAAGTATAACAAGAAGTGGGGGTGGTAGGCTGGATATCCTGTTGTGGTGAGTTAAGGACATGATAAGAAGTGCATAGAGAACAGATCAGAATGAACCCAATTGCCAGTGTAGGTAGCACAGCTTGATACGAAGCCCGGAGTTTAGAACCGTCACATCCTTGTTGTTTATACGGAGAGTGGTCGTTGTCCGTGTGTCTCATAGCATTGAACGATTTGGTATCATGCGCTAGTCAGAACAATCTATCTAGTCAAAAGACGATGCAGAAGCCAAGATTGATGCGTAGTAGAATGACGTCATGTGACCACTGCCCAGCCGTCATGTGGGCGGTGAAGTACGCGCAATACATGTAAGAAACAACAGAATATTTTCGACGGCTTCGAGAACTCGAAGTTTTCTGGAACAAAACTGGTCAATTGAAGTATCTAGCATTTCTAGAGCCTCTCTTTTGGTGTCTGTATTACTATAATTCATTCTTTCTTTCTTCGCAGCGTTTCAGCCCGCCGTCAGTGGGCCGCCGTCACGACGTCGTTCCCCGTTCTGCTTCTTCGCTCCCGGTCGGCAGCTGGTCCTGCGTCGGTATCGCGTTTCTATTGCTTGAGCTCCTCTTCTTCGTCTGCCTCTGCCCCTCCACTTGTTTCGCTCTCCTCTCCTCTCCTCTCTCTTGACTTCCGCCGCTTCGCCTCCAGCAAGAAGAAAAAATCCAAGATGCCTCCCAAGAAGGCCGCCGTCCAAGAAAAGGTCCTCCTGGGCCGTCCCGGAAACAACCTGAAGAGTGGTATCGTATGTGAGCAAGACCCCACCAGCTATTAATTTTTTCTTCTGCCCCTCCCAGCCTCCTTCTTTTCTCCCTTTATAACCTGCCTCCTCCCCTGAAATCTTCCATCTTTCTTCAACAACTCTCTTGCTTTATCAAGTCAAGATGTCCTAACATCATGACAGGTTGGTCTCGCCAACGTCGGCAAGTCCACTCTCTTCCAGGCTATCACCAAGTCGGGCCTTGGTAACCCCGCCAACTTCCCGTATGCCACCATTGACCCTGAGGAGGCCAAGGTCATCGTTCCCGATGAACGATTCGACTGGCTGTGTGAGCAATACAAGCCCAAGTCCAAGGTTCCCGCCAACTTGACCATCTATGATATTGCCGGTCTAACTCGCGGTGCCTCGACTGGTGCCGGTCTTGGTAACGCTTTCTTGTCTCACATCCGTGCTGTCGACGCCATCTTCCAGGTCGTCCGATGCTTCGACGATGCTGAGATTATCCACGTCGAGGGTGACGTTGACCCTGTTCGTGACTTGATCATCATCAGCGAAGAGCTGCGGATCAAGGATATCGAGTTCGTCGAGAAGGCCCTTGAGAACTTGAAGAAGCAGACGAGACGTGGTGGACAGTCTCTGGAGATGAAGAAGCTGAAGGAAGAGGAGGCTACCACTGCCAAGGTTCTCGAGTTCTTGCAGGAAGGCAAGAACGTGAGACACGGTGACTGGAGCCCTAAGGAGGTACGTTATTTTTATTTTCTTTTTTTCCCCCTTCACTCCCCAGCATTACATGATGAATAAGAGCTTTGCTCGAATATAACCCAGCTCGTCGAATGTCTCAATTTAATTCCAACGAGAGGCAGTATGAGAATAAACCCTATCTGATATCATTGCTTTATTATCACTTGTTTTATCTGCACGTCATGTTTCTTTCAGAAGACTAACAGACAATGCAGGTCGAGGTCATCAACCCTCTATTCCTCCTCACAGCTAAGCCTGTTGTCTACCTTGTCAACCTGAGCGAGAAGGACTACATCCGCCAGAAGAACAAGTACATCCCCAAGCTCATGGAGTGGATCAAGACCAACTCTCCTGGAGACTCTATCCTTCCCATCTCCGCTTGCTTCGAGGAGCGTTTGACCCAGTTCGAAACCGAGGCGGAAGCCGAGGAGGAGTGCAAGAAGCTTGGCACCAAGTCTGGTCTCCCCAAGGCCATTGTTCAGATGCGCCAGGTCCTCAACTTGGCCAGTTTCTTCACCACAGGTGCTGACGAAGTCCGCCAATGGACCATCCGCAAGAACACCAAGGCGCCCGCCGCCGCCGGTGTCATTCACGGTGACTTCGAGAAGACTTTCATCCAAGCCATTGTCTACAACTACAGTGTGCTCAAGGAGCTTGGTGACGAAGGCGCGGTCAAGGCCGCTGGTAAGGTCATGACCAAGGGTAAGGATTATATCGTGGAGGATGGAGACATCCTTCTGATCAAGGCCGGCGCTGCCCGTTCTTAGATATACATAATCAAAAATTTACTACCCCTTTTATCTATGCTTTCATGTCTCACACATCTCGTAATTTTTTCAAACCACAATTACCCGTACAAATTCTAGTAGATGAGCGCAGCGCTGACTGCTGCGGAGCAGAATCTATGTCATAGAGATTTATGCACGTGACCGTATTCCCCGCGATCTCAGCGCATCGACGCAACAGACATAGAACTCAACAAACACACAACCGGCACCATGTTCAAGAAAGAGTGAGTGTACATGAGCCCGCAGCTACATATTCAAATAATTCAACGTCTCTTTACCCACACATCTCCCGACCTTGTGTCGAAAACCAGAATCCGAAGCTAACAAGACCCCTCCAGCATCCCACCAAGCAACCGCTCAAAAGTCAAGTCCTCCGTGCAGCGCGCCCTGCGCCAGAAACTCGTCGAGGCCCACCCACTATGCGAACCATACATTGACGAGATCCTGCCGAAGAAGGCACAGCTCGATGCCGTGAAACTGTACGTTCAACCCTTCAAACAAAACAGCCAGCCAGCTAACATCCACTTCCTGCTCCCCAGCCCCGACAGAGTAACCCTCTACACAATCGACAGCACACCCCTCTTCTACCAACCCCTCGACGGCCCCCCAATCCCGCACCTCAAGGTCCTGCACCAGTTCCCGGGCATGCTGCCGACGATTCAGATCGACCGCGGTGCGATCCGCTTCGTGCTCTCTGGTGCGACGCTCATGGCGCCCGGGCTGACGAGTCCCGGTGGTCGGTTACCGGATGCTGAGAACGCACTGGAGAAGGGGACTGTTGTTGCGGTGAAGGCGGAGGGGAAGGAGGAGATTTGCATGGTTGGGACGCTGAAGGCTGGCACGGAGGAGGTGAAGAGCAAGGGGAAGGGCGTTGTCATTGATGATGGGCATTATCTGGGCGATGGGCTGTGGAAGATGCAGTTGGATTAGGTTTCGGCATCCATTGTATGTCGAGTGTCTTTTCGAGAAGAATCTAGCTTTGTGGAATGAGCTAATCAAAATTATGGGCTATGCCTATGTACATATAGATCGTTTGTGCAGTGTAGTGTAGCTTCTTATGGCCAGTTATTCGTGCTCCCGCCGGCGGATCTGTCGGAGGATATCGAAGGCGCAGCGGACTGTGCAGACCATGATGGCGACCGGCTAGCCAGGCCGAGTCCCATCGGGTGAGTTCCGGTCCCGTTAACTCCTAAAGGGGAACCACCATGTCGCAGGCCTGCACGCGACACAGCACGGCGGAGCATCTCGCCGGAGCCATCAAGAGCAACAAGGAACCGAGCGAGCTGTGCGCAGAGCTCCCAGTCACTTTCACGGGACGCCAATATCATCAATCTGACAACGTAGTCTTCGACCGGGGCGTCGTGGCCCTCGGACTCGTCTTCAAAGGCTTGCAAGACAAGTAGATATCCAACAGCAGTTTTGAGGGAGTTTAGTTTCAAGGCTTGCTCAAAGAGATCTTTCGGGGCGGGGAGGTAGGCGAAGAGGGTACGCCATGACCGGAGCTCGGTCTTACGGGTACATTGGACGACAATGTCCAAGAATTCGCTGGATGGGAGAGAGGCTTGGAGAAAGGAGATGACCGAGGGCAGAAGCGGGTCATGTTTAGGAGTTTGATCATCGAGTTTGCTATCCCGCGCCACATTGTCCACTTCTTCGTCGAGAACATGGTGTAAAAGGATCTCAAGCGCATGCGGGAAGTACGAAAGGTGGGAGAAATGTTGGCACAGCGAATGCGCTGCCGGGATGTCGCCTTGAACAAGACTGTGCTGTAAGAAGTACGGGAGGAAGAGGTGTGTCTGTCGTACATCAGTATGGCCGAGACAGTTGTGAGATGGAAACTTACCCTGATAGCGAATTTAAGCATCACAAAGGTGACATCGCGCCGCTGGATTGTCTCGGGTTCCACCCCTAATACAATCCCTTTCGTCAAGAGGACTGACAATGGGTAGAAATCAAGAGGCACTTCAATCGATTTCGGCACATCCTCCCGCTGCAATACATCTTGGACGTCACCCCAAGCTGTAAGGTCTCTACCGGAGAATGTCCATAACGAGTCCCGCAAGGTGAGATTGCTGTGATAGTGGTTGAGAGCCAGCTCTGCTGCTGGACTAGGCGGCAGTGATTCCTGAACGGGCGGAGCAAAGTTGAAGGAGAGTTGATCACGCATCAAAATATAATATTCAACGTCGTGAGAGATAACACGCATGTCGTATTTCATATCTCCGTTATCCGACATAGATGGCTGGAGGAGCACCAGATTTCCATCAACGAGCAGGAGTACGGACGCCACCTTCACATCTTGCGATGGGTCTCCGTTCCCTAGAAAAGTCAATTACTGCCACTGAGAATGGTGAACAAATACCCACGCAATTGTTCTTCAGGTAAAACCCAGCTGATAGATCGGACTCGGGTAGGTGCTCGCACAATGCCGTTGAACGCAATTTGACCAACAGGAACGAGACGTATTCGTGACTGCGTCGAATTGATTATATAATGGTAAAGAATGTTTTCGTAGGTGTAAACAAGGAGAGAGTCCTCGCCAGAGGGCCCAATAAAGACTACTGGCGACGGCAGGTATTCTATGTGGAGAATAGAATGGTTATTCAGCGGGAGTTCGCGGGAGAACATGCATAACTACACTCAGGTTAGTCTCGACAACTTGACAAATTGACGGGTTTTTTTGTGAAACTGACCTCATAAGAGCCGTCGCGATCGATGGCTGCAATTAGGATATGACCATACCAGCACATCCCGCCTCGTACAGCAAAAGAGTTCTCAATCTTTGAGTCCTCAAACACTTTCCAGCGACCGCTATTTACGCTATAATGCGCAAGGCCCCGTTTTCCCGCTATGGCGACATATCTGCCGTCTTGGGACACCGAGCTGGAGCGGATGGGCCATTGCGAGTGGAGGTAGGCAGGCGGATACTGTGCATGGTGCCATAATGAGTCTTTACCAGAGATAGTTATGAGATCTGGCAAGTCGTGCCCGCGGTATATGATTACCTCCGTCCCCGTTTGCAGTAAGCCTCTAGCGAGATTGGCAGACGAGTAACACCCCGTGAGTGCGCTGCGGGCTGTTTCCAAAATCCATATGCGCCGGTCATCTTGGCCCGTTAAGATAATATCTGAGCCTCCGCCGATCCAACAACCATGAGAAGTGCCAGTCAGCCAATTCTCCCCGTTCGATTCGGCAAGAGACCGATCAATTGAGAAGCTGTTCCCGCCTGGTTTGCCAAATACGCTCCACGTTGTCCAACCATGTTCGTACCCCGCGAAAAGGCAGTACCCGTCAGGAGAGTAGCACATGAACGTTAAGTTGCCAGTTGTGCTGGGTGAGGCAGGGGGATGAAGTTTGTGCGACAAAGGAACATTTCCCAGATAATCTTTGGCCGTGTAGACAAGAACATTGCCGTTGGCGCAGCTGATGGTGAGCAGCGAAAACCGAGCGTTGACTGTAACTTTGACGGCCTTGTCGTTGTCGCTTGTTGGAGTATGGAAGCAATGGCCGTTAAAGAGAGCCTTGCGAGATTCGGGCTGTTGTGATGCCTCAGACACCCGTTGAACGGCGTACGCGTGACCTTCATTGGTCACCCACACCATGAGGTTGATTGCACGGTCATACACCATATCAGTGATGGAGGTCTGCCTTGACACGCCGAGAGCTCGGCTCAGAAGCTCCGACTGCGTTTGTGTACCGTGTTCGTCAGGTGTCCATCTTATGCATTGGATAGCAGCGGGCTTCGCTGTCGCAACCACAAGCTCATTGTCTAAAGCTAGCGCTTTCACAATGCCGGACTCTATCTTAATCGCCATCCGAAATCGAATGCTGACATCACGAATGCTGCTGGCATCTTCGTCTGCAGAGAGACGGGCTAATTGCTGGCGGCGAGAGGTATTGCTCTGATCGTACTGCTGCTGGTAGACACGAGAGTTGGCGTCCGTCGCAATGGTATAGGTGAGCAGATAGCCTTCCTGAGTCTGGACAACAAGGATTGTCGCATCAGGACGCATCATCAAAGCAATGTTGGAGCCGTACGTTTCCAACGATGTTGACGATCGAGAAAAGGCTGCAACGACAGCAGTGGGCTTGATCCAGTCAGTTCTGTACACCATGGAGTAGCCAGCTCAACATACCCTGGTTTGCCAGACTGTAATCGCAGACTCGGTCATCGTCGCAAACACATGGCCATTGCGAGAAACAGAAAGACCCCTTATGATTTCATCCGCCCATTGCATCGACGGCCCTGGGCCAGAATGCGATTCGGAGCCGTTGCTCTGATTCAGCGGCTGAATCTGCGCTTGCTCTGAGGAGCTGTCCTCAAGGACAGCATCGTCTGCGTCGTCCGATAGCGGGGCTGGAATTCCAGGGCCATTGATTGCATAGACCCTCGGAACTCCGTTTGGCCAGTACATGGCTCAAGAGAAGGGGGACAGTTATGGTGGAGCGCGGAGTCAGGTTTGGTCATCTTTGACAGATCCAGGCCCGTTATGCTGCCGGAAAGAGGGCGTTCTCAATCCCAGAGCTTCCGACCATAATCACCACGAGCTCTTCCGATGATGTAGATAGCTGAGCTCAAGCTCCCTACTCCGCGCTTACCGCCCGCTTGGAATCCGGAGCAGCCCGGTCACGTGAAAAGCGGGCAGAACAAACAGTGCAAAACAGAAGAAGCCTCGAGATTCCCGCGCCAAAAATATCCCCGCATCGAGGTCCGCCCCCCGCTACTTCTCGCCAGATATACAAACATTCTTGAGCTTTGACAGACTCATCCCCAACCTCTGCCATGGTATATACCCTGCAGTCTTTGACGTACTCTTCTTTGCTTTTCAAGCTAACGATCTATCTTTCAAATATTAGGCCCCCACAGAGTCAAAGAAGCGCCTCGCGCTTGCTATCATCGACTTTCTCAACACCAGCGTCAAGGACGGCACCCTCACGGCAGATGACGCCGAGTCCATCGAGATCGCCCAGTCATGCATTGCGGATACATTCAAGGTTGACCCCTCCAACGGGGCCGCTATGAAAGAAGCTCTTGGCGGACAGTCCCTTGCCAGCATCTACAGCGTCTACGAGAAGTTGCGCAACAAGTCCCCCGCTGCCGGTTCCTCTAGCACCGAGTCTCAGGCTGAGAAGAAGCCTCAGGCCGGTACTCCCACGCCTGAATCCGACAAGCTGAAGTCCGAGGGTAACGCCGCCATGGCCCGCAAAGAGTACAGCATTGCCATCGACCTTTACACGAAAGCCCTCGCCATCGCCCCCGCCAATCCCATCTACCTCTCCAACCGTGCTGCTGCCTATTCCGCTTCTGGACAACCCCAGAAGGCCGCGGAGGACGCGGAGCTTGCCACAACCGTTGACCCCAAGTATTCCAAGGCCTGGAGCCGACTGGGTCTTGCTCGGTTCGACCTGGCTGACTACCACGGAGCGAAGGAGGCTTACGAGAATGGTATCGAGGCGGAGGGTAACGGTGGAAGTGAGGCTATGAAGAGGGGCTTGGAGACCTCCAATAAGAAGATCCAGGAGGCTAGCCGTGGCCCTGAACCCCCGGCAGACTCCGTTGACGATGCTCCCGGTGCTTCGCGTGGCAGCGGCGGTATGCCCGACCTTTCTTCCCTCGCTAGCATGCTTGGCGGCGGTGGTGGTGGCGGCGGCATGCCCGACCTTGGATCCCTGATGAACAACCCTATGTTCTCTAGCATGGCTCAGAACATCATGAGCAACCCGGATATGCTCGGCAACCTGATGAACAACCCTCAACTGCGACAGATGGCTGAGAATTTCGGTCAGGGTGGTGGCATGCCCGACATGTCGAGCTTGATGAGCGACCCTAACATCGCCGAGATGTAAGTCTTAGCCTCTCATCTCTACATTCGACTAAACCGCTAATGCACATCCTAGGGCCCGGAATTTCATGGGCGGTGGTGCTGGCCGTGGTGGACCTCAATAGTCTGTATACTCTGTACATTCGTCACATTGTTTAACACCTGCGTTGATGCCCGACTTGCCTTTTTACGTTCCGAAAGTGTCTCGTTAAAACATCATTAAGTTGACTATGGTGCTGAGAAGCATATATATAGATAGCCATTGGCTCATTTTGACAGACTGATACTTTCAAAATTTTTCATCATTGATATTTTCAAGAGTATGCTTAATCATATAGGACTTGCGCAGAGAAACAACCAGACGCTGGGACCAACGGTCCTAATGCAATAATAATGCTCAGAGGAGTGGAGGATGGTGATAAGAAAGTCAGCCAAAAACCACCATGCGCCGCCAGAAGCCAAAACAAATATATGACCCTGGGCACATCAAGTGTACGAGTATGTCGTTTGAACTCCGACACATTGAAACAATCAGATACAAATACATGGTCGTCAAACGACTAGCAAAGAATCGAGAATCCTGGAAAGATCTCCCTGGCCAATGGTTACTAAAAAGATAGGGTGAAGCGCCAGCCCAACTGGCCTCTATTCGGAATAGTTAATATAGTACAGTCGGATATATCAGACAGTCGAGAAGAGGAGAAATGGTCCGGAAATAAAAGGTAGTAGTATGTCATCATGGGTCGAGCGAAATGATGTGCCGATCAAAGGAGGAGTGAGTGGTGTTTGTTTAGATGTAATCCCGAGCAGCCTTCTGCAGTTCGATCAACCTCCAGCCCTTGGTCTCAGGGTTGTTCACATCCTCGGGGATTCGAGTAAGACCCATGACATAGTTGACGAGTTGAACCTTGTCCTCCATTCCAGCGGCGAGCTCACCCGTTTTCACGTTACGGTAGACGTGAACTTCTTGCGTGCGACACATGACCACGAAGACTGGGATATCGCCGGGGTCGAGCATACGGGCGCTCATGACATCAACGCCACGAATATCGAGAATACGACCGTCCGACTTCAGACCGGCTGTGGTGATCTGTTTTGTGAGCGCCTCATAGACGTGGAACTGGGCGTCTGAAAGCCAAAGCTTGAGCGTTTCGACATCTCCCTTGACGTAGGCATCGAGGACCTCGGGGAGAATGTATTCACGCATATCCCGCAGGAATGATTCCATCTGGAAGCTAGGGTCCATTTCCCGGAACTTCTTGACCACCTGTGCAGTCTCATTCTCGGCAAAGAAACCCGTAATCCGGTCCGTGATACTTCGTGCCGTGCTGATCAGAGGGTTTTCTGACTCGTTGTATACTTCCTTTACTGAGAACAACTTCTGCATCATAGGGTTTGAATCTTTGAATTCACGCCATGACTCTTTCCAAGCCGAGTCCTTGTGAAGGGTGACGTTTGTTCCGGCACTGACGAAAAATATATTGGTTAGGGGACAGATAAAATTATTTTGAGAGGGGAAAACATACTTGGGATCTTCAACCATAGGTTCGGCCCTCCTGCGACCGGATTTGAGCTCCTCCGCCTCTCGCAGCTGTCTCTGCCGTCGACGTTCTTCCTTCTCGGTCCAGCCACCATAGCGGGAGCTGCTGCCGTCATCAATTGCCTGCTTCACGCCTCCAACGGCTGTCTTATAAGCCTCAGTCTCCCGCACGGGGCGTGTTGCCTTCTCGATCCCAGATGTGGTCGCATTGACACCCTTTCGGAGTCCCTTAACAACAGAGGTGTTCCATGTCCATGACGCGCTCTTTCCAATGACGCGACCTGTTCCCTTGAGAGCGCTCGATGTTCGTGAAGAAGCCGCACCCTGGGCAGCCTCGTAAGCCGCACGGGCACGCTTGACGTTCTCGTTCTCAGTAAACTGGTGCGCTGAGGATGCAAGTGCCTTTGTTGACTCGTTCCATTCCTTGGAAGCCCTAAACTCCGTTTGCAAAGTATCCCGGAAAACTTGCCACGGGGACTTGTCTCCATGGGGAGGAGGGGGAGGCGCATCCTCCTTATCCTCCTCCTTCTGTTCTGATTTATCACTATTCTTGGATCCATCACTCTTCTCCTGCTTTGACTCCTCGGATTTCTTTTCACCCTGCTGTTCTTGCTTTTGCTGCAGCCGAGATGTGCTGACATGGAAAGATCTGGTCAAGTGAAGGGAGGCGTAGGGCGAAAGAAGGCGGGAAACAGGGGAGTTGGTGTTTTCTATTGAGTGTAACGTCGCATACGAGGGAGACTGGCTCAAGGACCATTGTAAAGCGGAACCTGTCGTCCTCAGAGTCGACGTCTGCGGTCGCAGAGCGGCCACCCGAGCGGTGGCCGAAATCCTGGTAGCCGCGATCATGCTATGCCGATAAAACAAAGCCAATGTGCGAGGAGAATATCAGATTAGAGAGTCGTAGAACGTGCCCGGCCGCAGTTGAAGCGCGGAGGTTGGGGTTTGGAAGATGAGGCAAGAGAAGGCGATGTCGGCAACCGGCTGCTTGAAGGGAAAAAAGTCAAGCTACCAATGCCAAGCATCGAAAATTCGGCCCTTGTCCGCCGCCCTCACCTTTCCCGAACCATTGCCGCTGCGTTCAATTCATTTCAACAAGGTGTTGTCTAGGTTGAGATTCTTGCTTGTTTGGCTTCAGCTACAGCGTTCATCTATTATCGTTCCACCCGCAGCCATAATTCAAAGTGTCGCCATCAGGCCTTGTCGGGAAACTTCTCAATATCACTCGCCCTCGCGAACGGCCACTTGAAGATGAACACCTTCACTCAAAACTTGCGGCGAGCTCTTCCGTTGGTTGGTCGTCAGTGCCAGCCTAGAGCGTCCATACTCAATCCGACAAGAACTTTCTCTTCGACGCCCCTGGCCTTCGAATCCCCGTCGCAACAGATTTTGGATGAGCAACAAGGAGCAAGTACAGGCGCGCAATACAATGTGTCTGAACGGTTGAACAACTCTCCAATGGCGGCAATCACAAATATGATCCCGCGAACCACCAACGACTACAATAAAGTGGCGAAGAACATAGAATTTGATGTGATAAATCGTCCTCTCCTAAGCCAACTTCCTGCACACCACATCCACGTCCTGTCGCATCGACACAACACGATACTTACGTTCACACGACCAAATGGTAGCCCTCTGATGTCGTTTGGTACTGGGGTTCTGGGCTTCACCAAGTCTCGCCGAGGAGGCTATGACCCGGGTTTTCAATTGGCTACGCATCTCTTCGCCCAGATTCAGGAACGCGGTCTGCTGATGGATGTCCAAGCGATCGAGATCATTTACCGCGGCTTTCACCAAGGTCGAACGGCCTTCACTAAAGCACTGCTCGGCAACGAGGGGAGGAATATTCGGCCCCTGGTGGCTCGAGTGGCAGACTCGACCAGGATCAAGTTCGGTGGAACAAGAAGTCCCAGAGTGCGCAGACTCTAAGGTCTTCTCTTTATTATATCACCGTCATTGTACAAATTCTAATGTCCGGCGCGTCTCGCTATCTGGACGCCGCCGCGCTCGAAGACGCCAGCGATCCTCGCACCTCCCAGATCCGATTGTGCGCATGTTTATTTGAAACACCAGGGAGGGATTTACCTTTGTAGCTTAGTTTTGCCCATGTATATTATCCTGATTATCTCGATAGCTTAAATGAAACACCAGGCAAAAGCATCCCGCCCAGACTCTTATTTTCCGTATACGGTATAGCGCGAATAGCTTCCCCCAGCTGCACGAAAGCTGTTGACTGAACGGCTGCTCCTGGCCTCCGACCATATATGAGCTTAGCTCATCATACCAGTTACACTTCAAATTGTTGTCACTTGAACAAGAAGCTCGAATCTCCGATTCCCTGACGTTCGCTAGCTATTGGACTGTTTGCGGGCGGATGCGCCTGAGGACCCCTACGTCGACCCTCCGGCAAACGTTCCTTTTTGCGACCTCGACAGCGGCGGCTTGATGAGCGCTAGATCTTCTCCAACGGGCCGTCGTCCAGGACCGCTTGGATGCACCCTCTAAATCCCTTTCTCCGGGCCTTCTTTCGGAGCACTGTGCCAGGGCAGTGTGTGCCAGTCGAGAACCATGTACGGCTTCCGCTCTCGCGCCGCGTCGAGGAACGTCGGAGATTTGATTTACTGATATGCATGCCAGGTTCTGCTCGTCCCCGTCAGCGAATCATTGATTGGATCGCGCGATCGCGAGTCGTCCTTATTCTACTCCGACCTTGTCGTTTCAGAAGAGTTCCTAGGCAGCCATACCTTGCGAATACCGGCCTCCGGTGGAGTAGGAGGGAAGGACGATCCAAACGTACGTGATGGTAGAGGCAAAGCGAAGCAAGTCACCACTGCCAATGGGAGGACTGTGATCATCAGGGACAATTCGGTATACAGTAACAAGGGTGAGGGCGCCGTGATGGTCATCTGTGTGTCAATATGCTCATCGAACCTAGGTTTCAAGTCGCTGAGCCAGGCACAGCTAATCTCCGACGCTCTATATTATGCTCCGACCAGCGAGTCACAGCCATGGCTTATCTACTTCATCTCGAGACCTCTGGTCGGTTCTTTCGAGCCCGCGAAAATCATCCCCGCGGTAGTTCCTGGAACAGCCTTCAGAAATGACCCTTCACAAGCCAACGCTAAATCTAGCGAAACAGCCGGTTCTGTCTCGACGCCTCCGAAGAAAGAGATCAAGACCTTCGGGGAACTGCTTGCCAACTTTCCCATGATTGCGCGGCAAATGCAGCCAGGGCTGGAAAGGTTGTTCAAGGAATTTGGAAAGGAACTCGGGAAACCGTTACCTCCGCCGCCGTCGCGGTCGCCAATGCTAGATGATGGCGAATCTAATCGTTTACGCGAGGATTCGATTGCCGATGAGAACGGGTCCGTCAAAAGCTCGTCATCCCGCCGCAGCAGAGGCCTCCCTTTCAATTCCGAAGAGTACTTTGAAGACGACGAAGACTTGATGCGGCGTAGTCTGGAGACAGCTGTCACCGCTGCAATTGATCTCTTCCGACTAGTTGACCAGCAACAGCTGTCTCTCCTTGGAGCGACAACTGACCTAACGGGACCAGTTGTCGAGCGTTACATTGAGCGCTATGTCGCGGAGCAGGTCCACGAGTCACTTCTATTCCCTCGATTATGCAGTTTCCGCCAGCCTGAAGACGTCGAGCTAGATTCCAGAATTCGTCAAATGGAGTATGTTGACGTGTCTCAGGTTGGCCTCACAGTGGAAGGCGGGCGAGACGGTAAACGCGAGCTCTTACTGCGGCTTGGCAGGGCAGTGGAGGAATTTCGCAAGATGCTCGATGCGAAATGCCCCCATGATATGCTCAACACGCTCCTAGGGACAGTCAAGGTTCTCTCATACCCAGGTGAATACAGCAAGAGTGACGAAAAGCAGTCAGCTCCTGTAACGATCAACGCCGATATCTTGGTTTCCTTGTTGCTGATTGTTGTGATACGATCCCAAGTGAAGAACTTACAAGCTCGATTGCTGTATATGCAACACTTTATCTACGTCGACGACGTAGACAGCGGCGAGATGGGATACGCTTTGAGCACATTTGAAGCCGTCCTCACATATTTGATGGCTGACCCTGCGGGTCTTCGAAGAGCCAGTATCCGGAATAAACGCTTGTGGAATGCTACCAAATCCGGGCGGGTGGCTGATATGAAGGCTATTCTGGAGCCAGATGGTGACCATGAATCACTGTACGAGGCTACTGATACTCCTGATTCTTTCGGCCAATCACTAGACAAGGCGCAACATCGAACCCATTTATTGTTCGAGGACCAAATACAAACTAGCGAGGAGCAAGATTTGGGAATCCTATCGGAGGCGCCTCCTCTCTCTCACGTATTTCCATTTCAGAACTGGGAGAGGTCTCCACCTCGCGACACGAAGACCGTCGTTAAGCGAGTGTCGATGGATGTCCGGAGCCTCTCGGAGTCATCAGGCATTTCATTCCTGTCACGGACCACCACTTTGAACTCCATCAGCAGCGCTATCGAAGGAGACAGCTCGATCGAGACATTGGTCAAGACGCAAGATCCCCGTGGTGATTCCATATTGATGATGGCGGTCGAAAGTCGCCGTGCTGAAGCTCTCAAGTACCTTCTTAGCCTGGACGAGTATTATTCGATTACTGATGTACTCGAGGATACCAACACTGACGGGACTACCCTACTCAGCGCTGCCGTTCAGCTTGCTCAGACTGAGGTTGTCAACTTCATACTCAACTACTTGACAGTCGCAGCTGACGAGCATGCCATTGCGTCTTACTTGCGTAAGTCTGATGGGCGAGGGCGCACTGTTGCGCACTACCTTTTCAGCACACCGCCGGTAATGCAAAGGCTTAAAGGGCTTCTTCCATGGCGCCAGCGTGATAAACTTGGACAGACGCCACTCTTTGCTCTATGCAGGTCGTACGACCACCCTGACTACAAGGCAATGGTGAACGAGGCCCTCACAGCAGCTCAGGAGTCTCAAGGAGATGGCAAGCCTTTGCATCTTGATGATCATGTTGACTTGAAAGGCAATACCTTGTTGCATATTGTCAGCGATCCCGAGATCACCATCCGCATCCTCAGAGAAAGTGACTGTGACCCAAATGCCACAAATGACAAGAAATTCACGCCCTTGATGATGGCCAGTAAATACGGCCGCGTTGATCAAGTGCGAATCCTCTTTTCAGACTCCAGGGTAGATCTCCACGTCAAAGAGACCCGAGGCTTAACTGCTATAGAGCTCGCCAAAGACGACGAAGTCCGCAACCGCATTGACGATCTGATTCTCCTCTCCAACCCACCCTCATCTCACGACGAGCCATCCGGTCGCGTCACAACAGTGGTCCGCTCCTTCTTCGTTGAAGACGCAACAGTCCGCTTCGTCCTCAAGTCCGGCGCACCAACCCCAACAATCGACGGCCAGGACGTACCAGCCAATACAACAATGTACACCGTGACGACCTGCCGTCGCACATTTGCCGACTTCGAGACATTGGCCGAATGCCTCTCCCTCGAACACCCAGCTTCCTACATGCCCTCGCTCACAGACTTCCGAAACCCCTTCCAAATCCACTCCAAACCCTCCCGCGCTGTCCTTCACAACATGCAAGAACGCCTCGACCGCTTCCTGAAGATCCTCCTCTCCCACCCAACCTTCTCTACCCACGAGCTCCTCTGGGAATTCATTCTCGTCCCCGAACTTCAGCCGCAGATGATGGCCGACCGCTCGCACCGCAAAGCGCAGGCTCTCTCCGAATCCATCCTCGAGGACCACGACCCCATAACACCAGAGGGGATCCGCGAGGCGGAGAAGTTCATCTCCCACGCGCAGGATATGGTCCGCGCCACACACACGCACACCCTATCACTCCTACGCCGCGGACACGTCCTGCAAAACGCAACATCCGACATCGCCGATGCCATGGCCCTAGCCGCAGCCGCCCTCGCAACACTCAAATTCCCCACCAACGCCCTCCCACCATCCCACATCGACGCCTTCACCCGCTACGCAAGCTACCTTTCAACCTCGACCTCTGACTCCTCCCCGCTCCTGCAATTCCTGTCCACCCTCTCCTCAATCGACACAACCACCACCGCAATCACATCTTCCCTCTCACGGCCCCTCTCTTTAATATCCTCCCTGAACTCCTCAACGCGCAACCTAATCCGCTCCCGCAACGCCCTGGCCTCATCATCGCTACCTCGCAAATTCAACCTGAATTTCCCCGGTCTCGAGGAATCGCGTATGCGCTCGCTCCGCGATCTGCAGGAGAAGATCTCGAATAGCGAGGACCAGATCGCGAGACTCTCGCGCGAGATCAGCTGGAATAAGGACGTTGTTGTCGGCGAACTTGCTGGCTGGACGACTTGGCGGGAACAGATAGGCCGTGAGGCGATTCGGGCATTTGTCAAGAGTACGCTTGTTAGGGAGAAGGAGCGGCGGAGAAGGCTCGAAAGGTGTCTGAGGAGTGTAAGGGAGGTTGAGTGATGACGGCCGGCCTGATTATGAAGTTGAATGATGAGCTCGCAGCTGACTCTGGGAATGTAATAGATAGATATTAGCCTGTAGACATACTTACTTATCTTGCTTTCTTCGTGTGCTTATACTTCATGATGCGTGTATAGCTAGTTAGGTTCGATGGCTACTCTCATGGTGATGATAATGGGATGTTGAGACTATGCGTTCACTTGTAGACAATTCTCCCTTCGAAGATATATTCGGGAACAACTACGGCCTTATACACTGTATCCACCATGTATCATGCTCAACATTGCCATGTGATTACCGGAGTGCCTGCTCCTGCCAAAGGCAGTCTAATGCCAGAGACTGTCTAATAAGTATACATTGCCACGGTTGGCTGATAGCTATCTAAAGATAACGAACGACTCGCGAGAAAAGAAGAAATGTCGTGAGTTCAATAGCCATTGTAACGACGAAAAGCAGAAGACCGAGAAAATGACAAGCTCAAGGCGAGCGACAAAGGCAGATTCGAGAACGTCAAGTATCATCGGCAGTATAAACTGCGTCATACTTGGTATGGTAGAAAGTCATCTATCCGACTATGACCGGTTTTGGGACACAGAAGAAATACAGAAATGACAGAGTAGAGGAAAAGACAATGCTCAGAGCCTCCATAGAGGAGACATGGTCTGCGTAATTGATGGTAGACGGAGCAGTGACTTTCTAAAGCTGTGGCGTGGCGAAATTTCAGCTTCTTCAGACTCTTGGTCCAAGGTCGAAGTTGGTGAATGCGCTGGCGTACGGGGACACTCGGCCTCTAGCTCATTGCTAATACTGGCCATGTGCGCCTCAGCAGGCTCAGATACTTGAGGGACGGCCGTTCGTGAGACGGCAGGTTGAAGGGGTGACGATACAACCACAATCTGCTTCGGGATAGAGCCGCGGCGTCCTCGCTGGGTAATACCCAGATCTTCCATGTGACGTGTCGCTTCTGCTTTCATGCTCAAGGCGGAGTTGATCTGTTCGAGGGGCAATTGACCCGTAGAGGTACGGGGGGAAATTGTGCAGAGCTTGTTGCGACTGGTGCAAAAGACGCGGATGACTTTGCCATCCTTTTCCTCTTCGACCATGTATGAACCAGCAGAATGGCACTTGCTGAACATCATGGCCTCCCTCCTTGCCCTTCTCTCATCTAGCGAGTCATTATCGACTCCCTTCTTCCGTCTTTGGCGTGCGCGAATCTTCTTGACGATCGTCCAGCTGAGCAGAACGAGTGCAGCGAGAGCGACAACCGCGAAGATGCTCGAAGCGGCGACTGAAGCTTTCTCATGCTTCCAATCCTTGACCACAGGAGTTGCTGTCTGGTTTATGACTGGGTCAGGCTTTGTGCCATTGGATTGTTTTCCCTGGCCAGAAGGCTTGCTGTTGTTGGGTTTGGACGGAGGATCGCGTTTTGCGACTTCGTGAATGGCGTGCGGGTATTTCGAAGGGTCGTTGGAGGCGGAATCAAGAGAGATAGATAAATGATTCCCTGAACCGGGATCCGCAGTCTCGACGGCTTCTTGACTGTCCGATCTTTCGTCGTAAAGGACCGAGGTGCTAAATGATGTACTAGGAGAGTTAGCAGCCGGAGTCGTGAGACGGTCAGATACTCACAATGACATGGATTTAGAAGATGATTTAGAATAAGTGAAATAACTCAGGAAGCTAGGCGAAGAATAATCACATTGGGTCTAGTCGCCTAGATAGGAGCATGATGTCGAAGACAGGGACAGCGGGAAGGGGAGAGGGTTGAAGGTCACCCAACACTTGTCCAGCGAGGAAGGTGCAGCAACCCGTCCGTTGAGGAAAGCACTCCGCAGTCGAGGCCTACTAAGAATAAAGAGCGCCCTGCTCCCATCACAGTCCACCGTAGGTGCAGTCTTACGGACAGCAAGAGACGACGGGAAACTCCAATCCGGGAATGTTGTACTCGCAGCACTGGGGGTAGCCAAACAGCAAATCGGCCAGATGCCCAGTGACATCAGAATCCCAGGTCTTACTGGCTCCAAGTGCATTCAGCACTTTCGTCTGATTACCGGCTCGGGTCAGTTTCTCTGTCTTAGCCCAATTCACATACTATACTATACATCCTGTCTGTGCAATTGTTAGCTTGCACCATAGTAATGCGCCAAGTGTGCCGACTTGTTGCCGTCAGCATAAATCCACTCCGATGGTCCCAAGGCCAATAGAGCTTGACAAGGTCGTGATAATAGGCATCTCACTGATAGTTGACAGCAATACTAATCATATTGTACTCCGGTAGTGCAGTTGCATACTGAATTTATACACAATGACATCATCGTATACCATTCCCAAACAGGATTAGCGCCAAGATCTTATCTCTGACAGCCCGACGTCATACCCTTATCGTCGACGTTAATATACCTGCCTGCCTGCCTCAACGTTCGATTCTTCATGAACACATCGCACTTGCAAAGACTATCTCAAAGAAACAACATACATCTCACAGAGAGACTCTTCCACCAACAGACCTCCTTCAAAATGCCCCTCGTCGTCCCCGGAATCACCAACACCAGCGGCTCTGGCTCTGGGAGCAAGGAAGAATGGCTCAACAAGCTCGTTGGGAAGAGGATTGCTGATTCCCATAATGAGACTGTATGTCCTTACTCACCGTCCTTTTTCTTGTTGGCTCGGCATGAGTAACTCGATGCTAATGATATTCTGCCGACAGTGCTTTGCAAAGCAAGACCTCCCCGAGACTCACCGTATCGTAAAGCCGGGCGAGGTCACGACCATGGACCACAGGCCCGAGAGGCTCAACATCCACGTTGACGAGAACGACAACGTTCGTGATGTCAACTACGGGTAGATGGATATTGGAGCTCCTTGTGACCTGGTTATGAGGGTTGATGGCTTTACGATGGATTACGATACAAGATTGTCATGATATGATGCGATAATGGTTAATACTCTAATAAGAATGGAATGATCGGATTAGGTAAATCAGTTCAACTGCATTCTATATTTGTTTGTAAAGAAGTAGTGGTAAGAAGAGTAAGAGTATGGCCGTCAGTAAGATTGGTTAGTCGCTCAAGCCTTCCATCTCAGCAGAGTCAGAGAGTGCTTGGGGAAGACATATGAGCCCTGCGCATCCCACTTGCTCTCAACAATACCAACCTCCTCCTTGCCCTTCATGTTCGTCACAGCGGGACTCTCGCCCGTAACCGTAAACACGGCAACTTCACCAGTAGGACCATCAAGCTTGGCCTCGATGCCCTTCTCCTCATGGATATTGATTACAACAACATTAACATACCCGTCCTCGCCCAGCGTCGCACTAACATCCAGCCAAGGCGTATCCTTAACACCCCGCACCCACTTGGGATGCGTCTCTCCCTCATACGCAGAAACCGAAACATGTGCACTAATCGTCCAGCCACGCATGTAGTTCGAGAACAAGTATAGCGGCCACCAGGTCGTCTGCTTGATGATGCCCTCCTTGGTAGTCATAAGCGGGGAAATAACATTCACGCTCTGCGCGATGCACGCCATACCGACGTCCTTGCTCTTGCGGACAAACACGTTCAGCCAGACACCCACAGCTAGGGCATCCGAGAGATTGTAAGATTCTTCGGCGCCCTTGCTACCCTCGGCACGGATGGGGTCCCAGACGTTCCACTCGTCGAAGCAGATGGTTGGGCGGCGTTGCTCGGGAGGCACGCCGTTTTCGACTCGAGCCAGATCGATGAGAGAGGAGGTGATTTCGATAGCGCGCTCGGCCGCTAGAGGGGCGGTGACGTTGGGAAGATGCGAGGAGGAAGCTGTGTACAGGTGGATACTGTGCATGTCGATGAGGGGAACTGCACTTGTTGAGAGGGGAGAGTGGACGGGGAGCATGGTCTCCTTAAGGGTGTAGTAGTCCCAGGATGTTGGGCCTTCTTTTCCGCAGAGGATTAACTCGATTGAGGGGTCGAGGAGCTTTAGGGCTATTGAGAGGTTAGAGATGAAATCGTTGACCGAGGCAAGGCGAGTTTACCTTTGGCCCATTGGTATGCCTTGTGGGCGTATTCTTCCTTGGTGGACTGCTCCACCTGCCATGGTCCCCAGACTTCGTTACCGAGGGCCCAGTATTTTACCTGGGTAGGGGTCAGCATGGGGACAGCAGTGGGGTATAGGGCTACGTACGTTGTAGGGTTCTTCGCGTCCATTCTTGCGTCGGAGGTTGGCGTAGTAAGTGTCACGAGTACCATTACAGTAGTCAACCCATCCCAATGCTGTAATAAAACGTCAGGTTAAGCGGTGGTCCGAGGTGCAGCCGCCATACCTTCGTCAAGGGTACCAGTGCCCATGTTCAGGCAAAGATAGGGCTCGGTGCCAAGGACCTCACACCATTTTAAGAACTCATCAGTTCCGAACTGGTTGGTCTCTGTACCCAGCCAAGCAAGTTCCGGCCTCGAGGTAGTCAGCATAGGTTACAGAAGGTGTAGGCCATGAAGCATACCTTGCGGGGCGTTGATCTCTCGGGCCGATTCCATCGGTCCAGTGATAGGTTGCGGTAAAGTTACCACCAGGGTAGCGAATCACAGGGACCTTAAGGTCTTTTAGGGCTTCGAGAACGTCCTTCCGGAACCCGTCGTCATCTGACAATGGGTTACCAGGATCATAAATGCCCCCGTAGATGCATCGACCCATGTGCCTGCAGCCGAAGGTCAGCTTGGTACGGTCTTGACCCAAGGCCAAGAGGCCAGGGTCAAAGCTTACTCTGCAAAACCGGCATAGATATTGGGATTAATTTTCGAGATTCGGCGGTCCGAGTGTATGGAAATTCCCGGAGCGTCCTGCTCGCTGAGCTTTGTAAAGGTCGTCATAGCGGCGAATCCAACGAACTACCTAAACCAAGGAATAAAGTCAAGAAACCGAGAGTCGACTACTGATTGGTAGGGAAAATAGGAAGCAATAAAAGTGCTCTTGTTGAATATTCGAAGACCTAGGCGAGGCGACTGAGCAGCTAATATTAATGCCAGAAGGGCTTATCGAGGGGACCAGGATGAAACGGGCAATGCCCCGGCGGGGTCACTCCAGGCCAGACTGGAAATAGAGTGAGCTGACTCCTGCGGAGTTGAGCGCGACTGGCGATATTTTGGCGCCGTTGATTTGGCGATTGGGGCCAAGGCCAGGTCTGGAGATATTCCATCAATCAGCTGCTGCGCTCCATGACTCGGTATTCCTGCAAGCTACCCTAGCCTGCGTCTCGGTTCTCCGCACAATCGGCTGACGTTTCGTCCCGCTCCTTGGAATCGGGGTCCAGATTCTCATTCGCTACAGAAACTCATGGCCGTTGGTTTGTTTTCCTCTCATGATCCTGCCGTAGTGGCAGGCCGACGGGGTATTGCCTCGCTTCGAGCTTCTCGACAATCGTACCAGCCCGAGCCCATGTCCTTCTGGGATTAACCCGGCGGGCATCAGGTCCGCCGTGACCGCGACAATGCCACATGCCTTGGAGCGTGATATCGGAGCGCGTTGCTCACGTTGTTCCCGGCCATGGCGGCCATGTAGTTCAACCCCGGATTCTTTAAAAGAGGCGGGTCCTGCTCCTCGTTCTCTTATCTCTGTCTCCGCACTTTTCTCCGGATCCTTGAGTCTCTCAAGCATTCAAGGAGTTTGAACGTATCTCTGCATCATTGAACGTGCTTGGGGTGTTGTTCAATATGCGTCTCGCACCTGCGTGGTATCAGGTATGCTTGCTGTCCTTCGACAGACTCCTCGAAACCTACTGATAAGCATTTCAGTTCCTAGTGGGCGTTTTCGCCTCACTTGGATCATTCCTGTATGGATGTGCGTGTCTTTTTTCATTTTTGCTGTCCAACGGCAGACATAGACTCCGGTCGACTAATCACATCTTTTGTTTGCAGATGATCTGGGTGTCATTGCGGAAGTTATCGCCAGTGGATCGTTTATCAAGACTTTCAATAATCCAAACACCACCGAAACGTGAGTGTTGTTCAACTTGCGAGTAGAGGACCGAGTGGAAGATCTTAAGGTTGACTTGCTCTCTAGTGGTTTGGTCGTTTCAATGTTCACAGTGGGTGCTTTCGTCGGCTCTGCCTTTGCTGGTCCTACTGGTGATTACCTCGGAAGACGTTGGACCATCATTATTGGCTGTATAGTCTTTTGCCTTGGTGGTGGTCTTCAAACAGGTGCCCAGACCATCGACTACTTGTACAGTGGACGATTCTTCGCAGGTGTTGGGTAGGCTCTGTCGAGATTTTGCAGCTGAGTACTGTCGCTAATCGAACTCAGGGTCGGCTTCCTCACCATGATCGTTCCGCTATACCAAGCCGAGATTTGCCATCCGGATATCAGAGGTCGTGTCACTGCACTTCAGCAGTTCATGCTGGGTGTGGGAAGTCTGTGTGCCGCTTGGATTTCCTACGGAACATATATCGGCTTCGATGAGACGAACAATGCTCAATGGGAAGTCCCTCTCGGTCTGCAGATTGTCCCGGCTGTCTTCCTTGGGCTCCTGATCATGCTATTCCCCGAGGTGAGATATAACTTCTAATCCATCAATGCAATTATTAACGCGCGCCTGATAGTCTCCCCGTTGGCTTATCGACCATGGCCGCCAAGAATTGGGACTGAAGACACTGGCGCGGCTTCACGCCTACGGAGATGAGAATGATGCCTGGGTCCAGGCGGAATACAACCAGATTCAGGAAAGCATTCTCCGCGAACACGAAGAGGAGGCCAAGTCTTACTTGGAACTTTTCAAATCACGTTCGTCGTTCCGTCGTCTTTTCCTCTGCTGTGCACTGCAGGCATCTGTGCAAATGACTGGTGTATCAGCGATCCAGTAAGTACCAAGCCTCGTTGCTTTCTTCACGGATGAAGCACTGATATCTTTTCTCCCCAAGGTATTACTCCGTCACGATCTACGGACAGATCGGCATCTCTGGCGATGAGACCCTGCGCTACCAGGCTATCAACTCCGTCATTGCCCTAGTCGCCCAGTTCCTGTGCATGATGTTCATCGATCGCTTTGGTCGCCGCTGGAGTCTGATCGGCGGGAACCTGGGCAACTGCCTCACTTTTATCATCGCCTGCATCCTGTTAGCCAGATTCCCTCCGGAGGTCAACAACACCGGAGCTCACTGGGGCTTCATCATCATGACTTGGCTCTACAACTTCTCCTTCTCGTGCACCTGTGGTCCACTGTCATGGATTATCCCCGCCGAGGTCTTCGACACCCGTACTCGGTCAAAGGGAGTTTCAATCGCGACCATGACCTCTTATGCCTTTAACACCATGATCGGACAGGTAACTCCACTTGCAATGGAGGACGTCGGGTACAGATACTACTTCTTGTTCATCATCTGTAATTTCACCAATGCCGTGTTTTTCTGGCTGCTTCTGCCCGAGACGAAGAAGTTGCCGCTCGAAGAGATGAACTATCTCTTCTCAAACTCCCCGTGGATTGTTCCAGGCACAAAGAAGGAGGACTACGTCCCTCATGACTTGGAGCGTAGGGTGGTGGAGCAAGAGGAGAAACGGCATGCTTATACGTCGCATGAGGAGAAGTAGGTGTCGTATACACGAGAAAGGTCGTGTTGTTGATGTTTGATGGTACTGTGTATTTTATTGATAATTGGACATATCCATTTTAGGGCCCTATATAGGTCTCTGAAAATGGCAGGTGACCTTGAGCCAGACGTGGTAGAACAGAAAGCTTATCAAAGAAGACAAGCTTGCAATCAGTTCAGAGATCAGGCGTACAGCGAGAGATACGCAATTTTCGAATCGAGTTAATTCCTATAAGTCAAGGCGTTGCGTTCTTTTAGTGTCGCTGACACGTCTGCTCTCAGAGATGCTTTCAAGCGGCGATGCATAACGCCGAGCCTATACAGCCCAGGTTGCTTCTTTAGCGTAAGCTAAGTTGTAGCAGATTTGGTAGGCTTATCACTCTGAATCTGAGCTATAGCCAGCCAAGCCAAGTGATGGCGCGGGTGGATTTACTGCTGGCTTCGCGGGCTGTTGGGCCGGTGTCCCTTGCACGTCTTTGGTGTCATTGCCCAGCTTCTTCGTTGCAGGCTTCTCTGTGGCTGAAGCAGCCGCATCCTTCTTCTCCTCAACCAGTTCCTTGGTCCTTTTATTTGTGCCCGCCTCTTTCGTAAAAGTATCAGCAGTATCGTTACCCACCGACTTTCGCTTCCGGCCTGGGATAAGCGTCGCACCGCTTTTGTCGCGTCGTCTCTTGCGGGAGGCAATCTTCCAGTCTTCTGCTTCAGCTGCCGGTGGGATATCTTTTGATGCGTCTTCAAGATGGGCCTTCTCTGCCTCCTCTCGTTGGCGTCGGAATGCCTCCAGTTGCTCGGCCGTCTCCTTCTTCACGGTGGCTTCCTGGGCTCTAGTAGACTCCAATATCGAATCGAGAAAGTCGACTTCGTCGTCATCGAGGGCGCGGAATTGGTTCTTCAACTTTATTTTTTCTTCGAATGCTTCCTGTTTGGCCACTTTATGTCGACGAGAGGATCATCATAGTCTGTCAACCAGGCGCTTGAGGCAAATGGGTTAATGCTTGCCGTTGGATGCTGTTACTCACTTTTGTTTTGCTGCAAGACATCATACAAGCTTTTGCCGCCTTCCTGCTTCCCCAGTTCTGCCTTTCGTCTTCGTTCCTCCTCGAGTTCCTTCTGGACTCGGAGCCATTCGTCATCACGCTCGACGGGCTCTTGATCTGTCCCCGCGGAGACAAATCCTGAAGACATGTTTCGGTACTGGGTACAAGGAACCGCAAGTTTTGATGGCTGCTCCTGAGCAAGTAGATGAGCCAGGCGATGAAATGCAACTCTGGAGCCTCAGTCGGCGTAATAGGGCCAGCGGTCTCTCAATCGCTAAGACTTTGAGTACAACAGCGGCCGCCTGTAGTACAAGGCGAATCCAAAGATTCCACGAGGTGGATGTATGAGACAGGTCTGAAAAGAGTCTGGAGTCCGTTGGTTTATCTGAGAAAGCCGGCAGAAAAGGGCGGTGGAGGCTGCAGCTCCGCGGCCGAGCCGGAGAACTTTAAATAAAGCAACCAATGGGACCACTTCATCTGGTATTGACTTTCCCCGACTCCATAGGCTCGGAGTAAGCTTGAAAGAATGAATTTGTTGAATTAATCGTCGACGATAGTCTACATATACAAACAATGCGTGCCATCTACAGATGTCTAGGTATCTACTGTCTACCATCGTCTGTGGAGCACTCGGAGAATACAGCGGATAAATTGGAGAGAGAATGAGTGGCTGGGGATAAATGGATAAATTGAGCTGGACCGCACAACCCCACCATGAGGCCTCTGTGCCCCTCCAATGGCATCATTGCCCCTCGGGGATGCTGGATGGACCTGCCTTGCCATGCTGTCCTTGGGTTGGAGATGATCTCAACGCTGTCTCTTAAATTCCACCTCCCACCCCCCAGCCGGTTAATTCCGCTCAAATCTTTTCTCTCTTCCTTCTCTCCTATACAAAAGATAAAGCTCAAACCAAGCAACATGTCTATTGAACACACAAAGTGAGTGATCGCGTGCTTTGACTATCAAATCCCTCCAATCTTTCACGGAGCAACCGCTCATGCTTCTTCTACAATTAGGAAGACCTACACCCTCAACACCGGTGACAAGATCCCCGCCATTGGTCTTGGTACATGGCAATCCAAGCCGAACGAGGTCAGGGAGGCTGTCAAGAATGCTTTGCTGAGGGGCTACCGTCACATTGATACGTAAGCAGCTTCGCGATGTCGGGAGAGACGCGTTGACAGTAACTGACAACCACCTCTAGTGCCCTTGCGTACGGCAACGAAGCTGAGGTTGGACAAGGTATCAAGGACTCTGGAGTTCCTCGTGAGGAGATCTGGGTTACTACCAAGCTCGACAACACCTGGCACCACCGCGTCCAAGACGGCATCAACAGCTCTCTCAAGGACCTTGGCCTCGACTACGTCGACCTTTACCTTGTGCACTGGCCCAGCTCGACTGACCCTAATGACCTGAAGAAGCACCTTCCCGACTGGGACTTCATCAAGACATGGTACGCCCAAACCATTATCATCAAGAGGTGTAGCTTAGAATGTTAACTCGATGACAGGCAAGAGATGCAGAAGCTCCCTGAGACCGGCAAGGTCCGCAACATTGGTGTCTCGAACTTCGGTATCAAGAACCTAGAGAAGCTCCTAAACGACCCCAGCACCAAGATTGTTCCCGCTGTCAACCAGATCGAATTGCACCCCAACAACCCATCGCCCAAGCTCGTTGCCTACAACTCCTCCAAGGGCATCCACTCCACCGGCTACTCCTGCCTGGGATCCACCAACTCTCCTCTCTACAAAGACCCTACCCTCCTCAAGCTGGCTGAGAAGAAGGGTAAGACTCCCCAGCAGGTGCTGCTCGTTTGGGGTATCCAGAAGGGCTGGAGTGTCATTCCCAAGTCTGTCAGCAAGTCCCGCATTGACGCGAATTTCGACATTGACGGCTGGAGCTTGACCGACGAGGAGGTCAACCAACTAGACAACTTGAAGGACCGCTTCAAGGTCTGTGGTGATGACTGGCTTCCCGTCAAGGTCTTCTTCGGTGATGACGAATGACTATCTGAGAATGACCGGCTATCTAGACTTTAAAATATCTCATGTTATGATAATGAAATAAATGTGTTACTAGATACAGATCAGTGATCTATTAGATTTCGGATCAAGTCCGAACAAATGTATAGGTATAGGTACTTCTGTACCCGGACCTCACAGGAACTGACGCCACAATAAATCAGACAAAGCAAAAGCTGTTTTGCAGCGCCCGAACAAATTAATTACCTTTCAGAGCACTTCAGTGAGTTTCTCCTCTCTGCCAAAGGCTCATTGGTGAGATTATTTCCGGTTTCATCCGTGTGGCCTCAGGCAGGTGGCGTGATCACATGCTGCTGCGCCACCTGGAGGATGATGACCTTCAACATCAGGCATCCGTCGTCCTACTACTTCTTACCATCGAGTTCAGCTTGAGTATGGGATTTCCATCTTCATCCTCTCACTAGTTTGTGATATATCATTATCAGGATGCCTCCGTCAAGTGGGCACCTGCTGCTCCCCAAGCTATGGAGAGCAGCTAGGTGAGTCATTAGCCGCCCCATCCTATACTCCATGCCGATAGCTGACAGTCGTTCAGGTTCGCCTACGCGAAGGCGTACAATGCCGTAAGGGCAAAAATCTCAGAACCTGCTCAGCAGGTTTCACTTCGTGTTCAGCCCGCATATGCGCGGATTACCCCCCGACAGCCCATCAATCGAGCTGCTGCCATCCGTCAAGCCCGCGGTCGCCACTTCTCCACCCGCGCAACCGGCTCGTTTACTTCATACTTCAAAGCGGCCGTCCAGGGCGACAAGGCGGCTTATAGATCGTCACGCATTGCCGGAAATGTCAGCCGGCTCACCAACCGGGCACCATTCGCCTCTGCTCTCCGTCCGAACCTTACTGGAGGCACCCTCGGTCGTACAGCTGGAGGTTATGCGGTCGGTGCAGGGCGCATTGGAGGTGCTCGATACTTCTCACATGGTCCTGCCGCACCTGCTCAGGTTATAAACAATGTTTCTGTGGGTGTGCGAGCCTTCTTCCTCTCTGGACAGAAGGCTCGATTCGATGGAATTGATCCCATCACCGGAAACAAGAAGTTCAAGGCTGTGACCGTGCTTCAGGATGAAGCCGAGCGGAAGATGGCTGCCATTCCTCGCGCAGCCCCTGGCTCGTTCATTGACTTCAAGATCTCCCCTACCATCACTGCCTTTGGCCTCCAGAAGAAATTTGCACCTGCGGGTGCTGAGTCGGAGACGCTTAACTCCGAAGGCCTTCTAGACTTCCTGTCCGCCGATTTTGCTCGTGCCCTCAAGGACCTGGCTGCTATCCTCAGTGACCTCAAGCGTCTAGCTACACTAGGTGACTTACCCATCTTACTTGAGGATAGATCAACCATCAGAGTTAGATTCCCGGGATGCGACGCCGAGACAGTGGAGCGACTTTGCGATGAAGTCGGTGTTCAAAGAGGGAAGATCAACCAAGACGCAGACTTCGATGTTCGCACAGGCGCTGAACTTGCTCTTCTCTTCCCCTTTCCCCCCAGCGTCGCTCCAGCCTCGGACACGGACGATTTCATCTTCCATCAAGAGGCCAAAACCTCACAAAGACCAGAGGAAGTTGACTGGCAGGCAATGCTGTCAGGCGAAGACGCTACGCAGACATCACTCGGATACCCCAACCAATCCACACACGAGCTTAGCTTTGATGACATGACAATGTTCGGTTCTAATCCGTGGGCCAAGTCTCCCTCGGGCTATTCGAGTATTGGCGTCAGCGAGCTAGGTGACCGCGCTTTCTTCCCTGATGCTGTTAGTTATGGCGTTCCTGAGAGTACGTCGGGATTCGAGGGGTCTGAGGGCATCCGCAGGTTCATAGCGGAGTGTGATCAGGCTGCTGCCCGTTAGTTCTTAGTTAGTCTCTACTTTACTGCCCCATTTTCATATCTGGCTTTGACAGTCATTTCTTTTGTTTTGCCCACCGAACCATATACCAATTGCATGAATCTGTTACTTTTGAAATATCAAATAAACTACATAGCATTCACCCTCTGACAACAAACATAGACAATGTTGATAACCTTGGTCAACGATGCTAGACTAAATAGCCCTTTCTTGTCCTCAGGTATACTGTACAATGTACCTTCGCAGCAACCCACGACGCCTAGAATGCGGGGAAAGTCCTCAGGAGGCTAGGGCCGCCAAACCGTGCCAGGAACGTGCGTGGACGCCCCTGCAGACCCTGCTCCAATATCATCTGGACCGGGATAAATCCATGCAGGAAATCATGCGGAGGGGACGCCTTTCCCGAAGCCGCTTTCTGGTGGAGCCGCTCTGCATGGGGGTGTTCACAAGTAGGTAGCTCTACCTCTGTATCTGAAACTGGGCGGGCTCGGAGCGGACGCCGTCTCTGGACAGGCATTCCAGGGTCTAGATGGAAAGCTGGGGAAATGAGGTACGGTAAGGGGCAAATGCATGATGTTCATTGTGGCAGCAGTTTTCCCTTGAAGGTATCAAATAGCCCCTCACAATGGTTGGTATAAATGACGGCCAAATATAGCTTGATGAGAGCTCTCTGTCTTCCATGCCAATGTGGTCGGTACAGACAACGATATAAATGAATCATCTGGTGATTTTCCACCGCGTGGAGCGTTATGGAGCGCTGGCCGAGGAGAACAAGAACAAGGACGCCAAGGGCCGATTGCGTTCCCGCCAGAGGACCTCCAAAGGAGGAGCTTGGCTGCTTGAGGAGAAGAAGGAGAAGAAGGAGGAGGAGGAGGAGGAGGCCAAGGCTGAGGAGGCTAAGCCCGCTGAAGCCACCGAGGCGTGATAAGTCGCAGCCTTATGGCGATCAGCTACCCCCTGTGCCTTTTCTGCTACGGGGAGTGTCCGTCCGTCTGGGATTGGCGCCATGAAGAATTACCCCAGACCCTGATCATAGTTTGGGAAGCACGCTGCATGTTTCGTCGAAACACACCATGTCCCACTTGGAGTTCAGCAATAATGCGACCAGGCGGATCAGCCCGTCCCTGGCAACAGTGTCATCTCTCCGCGTGGGCCCTTGATTCTTTTGGCAATAGAGCGGCTTGTGTTCAATTCTAGGTAATCAAGCTGGAATGTAGCCTGATCTATATAAGAACCCTCTTGTTTGGCGTCAACGATGTTCGAAGCAACACGGACGCAGATTTCTTTCCTTTCTGCAGGTTCAGATAGACACCTTCAACATTCTACTCATTCCGTGTCCAAGTTCCGCTCAGAATGCAGACTACTAGTATGAAGACATTGGCAGCCCTGCTACCCCTGCTTGGTGCGGCAGACGTAAATGCTCTGCCCCAGGCAACAAGTACGTCTGGTGCGACACCGACTGGCTCCGGGGCCACCGCGCAGGCAACAGGCAACCCATTTGAAGGGTACCAGCTCTATGCCAACCCGTACTACAGCTCCGAGGTCATGACTCTGGCCGTGCCATCTATGACTGGATCGTTGGCGGAGCAAGCGACCCATGCTGCTGAGGTTCCATCATTCCATTGGATGTAAGTCTTCTGCTTTTCCATGATCTTGACGCCGATAAGTAACCGAGCACCAGGGACAAGACGGACAAAGTGCCTTCCATGGGCGAGTACCTCGCAAACATCAAGGAGCTCAATGATGCTGGAGCCAACCCTCCGGTTGCTGGTATCTTTGTGGTCTATAACCTCCCAGACCGTGACTGTGCTGCGTTAGCCAGCAACGGAGAACTTTCAATTGCAGACGGAGGTGTCGAGAAGTACAAGGCGTACATTGATTCCATACGCGAGCATATCGTGCAGTACTCGGACACGAACATCCTTCTCGTTATTGGTTAGTTCTCTCCCCTGAAGTTTCCATGAGCACTGTTGAGGCTGAGACACTACAGAACCTGATAGCTTGGCCAACCTGGTGACCAACCTGGGCGTGGCGAAATGTGCCAATGCTCAAGAGGCTTACCTTGAGTGCACAAACTACGCCGTCACCCAGCTGAATCTTCCCAACGTCTCCATGTATCTCGATGCTGGTATATCCAAGAAATACCTCGCCTTTTCATTGTCCAGCCTAACGTTGCCCAGGTCATGCCAGATGGCTGGGATGGCCGGCCAACATCGGCCCAGCAGCCCAGCTCTACGCGAGCGTTTACCAGAACGCCGGTTCACCAGCGGCACTCCGTGGCCTTGCAACCAACGTGGCCAACTATAACGCCTGGGACATCGACGTTTGCCCCTCTTACACGTCGCAGAACGCGGTCTGTGACGAGAAGGGCTATATCAACAGCTTTGCTCCTCAGCTCGCAGCTGCAGGCTGGGACGCCCACTTCATCGTTGATACCGGTAGTTATACAATAAACAGATGTCAAATGCACTGGCTAATCGCTTCTAGGTCGTAATGGTAAGCAGCCCACGGGCCAGGTTGAATGGGGTGACTGGTGCAACTCCAAGGGAACCGGCTTCGGTGTTCGCCCAACTACCGACACAGGCGACGAGCTGGTCGATGCCTTCGTTTGGGTCAAGCCCGGTGGTGAGAGCGATGGCACCTCTGACACCAGTGCTGAGCGGTATGATGCTCACTGTGGTGCCGCTGCTGCTCTTCAGCCGGCTCCTGAGGCTGGGACCTGGTTCCAGGTAGGTTGCGACCATTCTGTTTGTGACTCAAAAGCTAATGCTGCAAGTAGGCCTACTTTGAGCAGCTTGTGGCTAATGCTAGCCCTCCCCTTGGCAGCTAAGCTTATGCATATCGCGTTGGGCCTGTACGCATGGAGAGCGCGGATCTGTGAGACATGTAGATAAGCACATAGCCTTGGAATCTATAGTTGTGCTGAAAGCTCGTTATCCACACTGTGGGAGTATTCAAGTCAATGGACTCAACTCATAAGAACAGATCCCTCCACTAAACTTATGCAAACAATGAAAGAGGTGTGCATTGAAGACCTTTAGAGATCACGGGATCCTAGGCAAGTGCATAAGCGAAGGCGGTGAGACAGAAACAGAGCATTCTGACCGCCAACCCCGCGCTAAGCCCGATCTAAAGGATGCTCTGATAACAGCGGGAGGAAGAATGGTGAAGACACACACTGCGTTATCCTAACACTGCACGATTCCTCGTCCTTTGTGAAGACGGCCTTTGTGTGACCGCAACGGGGCAACTGCTGCTGGATGCTCTGAAGGCTATATTGGCGCTGTACAGTTCTGAGAGCCATTCTGCGCTTGGGTCATCTTGGGCCGGTCTTCTCTCTCAGGCTGTGACAGGCAAACCTTGGGAAGCGACGAAATAACGTTAACACCGATCTCGCGCTCCGGCAGACCGACCGCCAAAATGATGGAAGATTTCAATAGCGAGACCGACAGCGACTATACCAGTTACTGGAGAGACTGGGTGAGTTCCTCGGCACTTTCTTTCTATCTGTGAGATTTGTTTGGTGGGGTGGTTGTTGTGAAGGGAAGGGACATCCACCATAGCTCTGAGATGGATGGGCGGTGTTTGTTGCTTTTGAGAAGGTTTCCATGTTTGCATCGCAATCCTGAGGAGCCTTTTTCGGAAGCTTAACACACTCCTGCCTCGTTTCCCACTCTAGGATCATTAGCTTTCTGTCTGGCGAAATGGCGTTTCCTATGTATCGCACAGGCTCAGACTCGATCTCTGATCATGGAATCTCTTATCAATCTCTCCATGGGGACTCGGAGGAGGAGCTGTCGCAGTCTCATTCCTGTTGCACCTCATTCTCTGACCCTAGCCCGGCTTTGCGCTCTCTGCGCCAGCGTTATCATTATGAGCTTCCGCTTCCAAGACCGAAACCTAACTGGCATACGCAGTTCATTTCTTCCCGCGGCAACGAGTACTTTTGCGAAATTGACGAAGAATACCTGACCGATCGCTTCAACCTTACCGGATTGAACACCGAGGTTCCTTACTATCAGTATGCGCTGGATCTGGTGACGGACGTTTTCGATCTTGATGCGGACGACGACCTTCGGGAGCAGATTGAGAAGTCCGCGCGCCATTTGTACGGATTGGTCCATGCTCGCTACATTGTCACCACCCGTGGCCTCGCAAAAATGGTATGCATGGCTGTCCGCGTTAGAGTTCTCTTGTACTAAAAGAATTTGTCTGTAGGTGGACAAGTACAAGAAAGGCGACTTTGGAAAGTGCCCGCGTGTTATGTGCGAAGGTCACCCTCTCCTCCCAACCGGTCAGAACGATGTCCCCAATATGAGCACTGTCCGCCTCTACTGCTCCAAGTGCGAGGACGTCTACAACCCCAAATCGTCCAGACATGCTTCGATTGATGGCGCATATTTCGGTACCTCTTTCACCAGCATGCTCTTCCAGGTCTATCCTGCTCTCCTACCGGAAAAGTCCACCCGCCGCTATGAGCCCCGCATCTACGGTTTCCGCGTCCACGCTAGTGCCGCTCTTGCGCGCTGGCAGGATCGCTACCGCGAAGAGACTAGGAGCCGTCTTCGCGACGCCGGGGTGGAAGTGCGATATCTCGAAGACGACGAAGACGATGAGCTGGAGGATGAGGATGACGAGGAGATAGTCGAAACCAAGGAGAGGGTTGCGGGCGACGGTGCCTCTGGTCGTATGGACATTGGCAACTGAGTTTGACTTTTTTCTACAATGACTTCCGTCATTTCATAAGCATTTCAGGGGTGGATGTCATCTCTTCGATCCACAGCTTCATTTCTTTCCCTTTTTTTAGTGGTTGGCACCAAAGCATCAGGCGTATGGTTTCTTTTCATTTTGTGCGAGTACGACAACGATCATGGGAGTTGCATTTCGAAAATGGCCGGTCTGTTTTCTATTTCTTCTGATGTGTACTAGTTTCATGATACCTTGTTCATGACATGGGACATACGAAATAAACGATATCTATCTGTTCAACCAATTCACACCATGGCAAAGGCAAATGCTTTGACTCGGTTCTATTATCTATCCCTCAGCTAAATCCCCAACTCCTGCAGCTTCTCAATCGTAAATAGGATCCCTCTCGCAAGCCCCTCCCCCTTCTCCCACGCCTCATTATGCTTTCCCTTAATCGGCAAAAACCGCACCTCCCTCCTTTCGCTCTTCTTCTCCCAAACCCCCAGAAACTCCTTCATCTTCTCACTTTGCGCAACATCACAAAGTTCATCCTCATCCGAATGCGCAAGCACAACAACCCTCCCCTCCTTCCACCCCTCCACACCCTCCTCACCCATCACAACACGCGGACTCACCGCATCCCACACATTCTCATCAGCCCCGAACGCCCCCTCAGTAAACTCCTGGTACGCAGAAATCTCCTGATGACTGTCTCGCAAAAGACGCAGGTCATATATCCCCGCCATCCCAAGAATCGCCAACGGCGGAACATACCCGTCTCCAGAACCCATTCCCGGCTGGGTCGATAAAGAGCGCATGACAGCCTGAAACGCCAGCGTCGCACCACAGCTATGTCCAACGAGCACATAGCGTTCGCCGAACTTATACTTCCTCTGCAGGAACGAGAGCGCCAGCTGGACATCATCTATGTGCTCCGGGTGTCTTGCATTGCGCAGGTGGCTTTCTATCGTCGATGGATCCTGCGGGTGAGACGGGTGCGCGCTTAGTCGGTATGAGATTGAGGCGAGGCCTGTGATGTGCTGGGATTGGGACTCTAGGGATTCGGATGAGGAGAGGAGGCGCAGTGCGGGGGTGAGATAGGATGTTGAGGTTTGCGTTGGGTCGCGCCAGGCGCCGCCGTGGATGAGGCTGTCGCATGGTATCAGTATCTGGCCGTGCAAAAGGTTGGGGGGAAGGGAGAGAGGGGTGGGCATTACATCACCCAGTAACCGCTCTCATTGTCGGTGTTTTCGGCGTGGAGGGGAGCGCGTGCGGGGTAGGGCTTTGCGACGGTGACGGTTTGGAGGTCGTGGTTGCCGTAGGGAAATGTTTCGAGAGACATGGCGATGATTCTATAGGAGGTTCTATGATGAATCTGGGAGTTTGATTGTGTGAGAGGAGCAATGACGGAGTTGGAGAAGGCTAGTAGACTAAGTTGTTTGTTTATGTACGGCCGGCCAGGTGGGGACGGATGCTGGCCGGATCTTACCTATCTGGATATCGCGATAGTACAGAGTACATCACTCTGATCAGGTAATGAGTTGCTATATGATGAGTCTAGAGTTTATATCTATATTATCTGTACGGAGTATTGACGCATTGGACCAATCCAGGAAATACGATGGTAGAAAGACTCATCTCCAACCTATGGCCTATACGGATAACCTACGAGCTCATCTCGGCTTGCCGGTCTTTGGATTAGGGCTTCGGCAACTTGTAGAATACCGCAGCGCTATCACTATCCATGAGTTTATGACGAAACACGCGCCCAAGGCCGTATGAAATAAAAATAGCCGTGTCGCGCCCATCTAGCAGTGGACTCGTAGTCATACATTCCAAGTTTTGTCCCGGATAAAGCGCAGGTGCGCACACAAAGCCCTGTGAGCGCACAACTGACATCTGAAGCACACCAAACAAAGGAAAGTTGATACAGACAATGAGAACTGGTTGTCAGAATATCTTTCTTAAGATTATCATTTGTTTCAGAACAAAAGGGAAGCATCGTACATAGTGCGCTCGCTAGTTCGCACGTATGGTTTCTAGCTACAAAGCTTAGAAGGTCAATATCAAGCGGGCTAGAAAGACATATTTGGCAACAACATACAAAACAGTAAGTGCACGACCCTCTTACCATGTTGTTTCGATTATGTTCTCTATATAGTGTACCTGGGACCTTGCACAAAGGCCTTTACCACCAGGGACACCATGTTAGTTAGGGCTCCGTAGAACAGTAAAGCAATAAAAAGAACAACAGCCCATCACTTTCTCCGGTCTCCTAGAAGACATACCCAGTTTGATAAACGAGAATACATACCAAGATATATCAGGTTCGTCTTCACTGTTAAACAAAAAAAGATGGCGAAAAAGAAGGACGGTCCGCCGATGCCGCCGAACAGACCCCCGACGGCGCGCGTTGCGGCAATGCAAAAGAACGCTGCGGACAAGAAGGCTGCGGAGGATGCAAAGGCGGCGGCGGCAGCTGCAGGGGCAGGGGCTGCAAGAGGTGGGCGAGGAGGGGCGCGAGGAGGGGCCCCGGGACGTGGTGGTGGACTTGGTGGTGGACGAGGAGGAGCTGTGGCTCCAGCTGCGGGAGTAATAGGAGGAAAGGTTACGAAGGGAGCAGGGAGAGGTCACAAGGGCAAAGCAGCAGTCCCAAGCTTGTCCTTGTCTGCGCCTTTAAACCCACCACCACCACCACCACCACCTCCTCCTCCTCCTCCTCCTTCAACACCTCCTCCTCCTCCACCACCACCTCCTCCTCCCTCAACACCTCCTCCACCACCTCCTCCACCACCTCCTCCTCCTATACCTGTATATTCGTCCTCCAGCTCATCGTCGGGCGGATTCCCCCCTTCCACGACGGCCGCGTCAAATGATAGAAAATCTGCAATTCTCGATCGAGCGATACGAGGTCTACCAAAACAACCGAAACCAAGTCTTCGACTCAATACATCATTGCCAGGACGTCTCCCAGCCGATCGTATACCGCGGAGTCCATCGCCGATATTGGATCCAAAAAACCCCGTATGAACTCCGTCCACTTGAAGGTTCGCCTATCAGGCAGCTGCTGACAGTTTCGAAATAGATTGTTCCCAATCCTGATAGGGTGCGGCAAGCTCGACTGCGAGCAGCAGCCGTCAAGAAAAGGCGCAGGATTATAGAGCGATGGCGCCGAAAGATGAAGTATCCTAGGAAGTTTCTGGACCCATGGCATGGACTGGCTGCCCCTACAGCGACAGTCAAACCGTTCTTGCAGATCAAAGCAGAGATGGGACCTACTGTGCCTGGTTTCGAGGGACTTCCGGGGAATGTGGAATACTACCGTATGCCCTCAGGATTCGAGTCAGGAAGCGCGATATCGTCTGAGCATATGGGAGGGGAGGAGAAAATCGTGAAGCCGTTGATCCGAAGTAAGAGGGATGATCTCTACATGAGAGACCCTGACTGTGTCGACTGGCTTGCACGATGGGACTGCTATCTGGGGAACGCTTCGCCATCGGATTACGCTTCGCCAACCGCGTCCCCAAATGTCTCTGATACCGGGAAAGGGCCAAAGCAGGAGGACAAGGATCTTTGCGACCAACTCCTTACTGATAAACTTGATTCACCGACAGGAACATTGTTCGATGATGCCAGCTGGAATGCCGTCAAACTCGCAGTGAAACACAAAGCCGAATCCGGAATCATCAATCTTGTGGGCGATCTGATAGTCCCAAATGCCGAGTTTGCAAGATTCCGTGAGCCAGAGGTAACGGTTACGCACCTCAAGGACGCTGTATGCCAGTATTGGGATTGGGCACTTCCATTTGACGAAAACTCAGAGCGGCTGCCGCATCGATATGCCATCAATCTGCCAGCCATGGGCTACAAACCGCCCATACCACAGCCGGACTACACCGTGGGATTCGACCTCAACGCTTTCGGTCTTGCGGGGAGAGACAAGATGGATGACGCTATGACGTTCCTGAGGACGCCATTTCCATACGACCCCGCCGCAGGATGTCAAATGAGTGGGCACTCTCTCACCTCTGTCTTGCCCAGGCTCGTGTTTCCCTTCCTGACCGCCGAGTCAAAGCGAGCTCCTTCCCAGCGAAGCAAGGCAACTCTCGAGATAGCAGAACGCCAAAATGCACACAGCATGGCGGTGGCGATGCGAAATGTCATCGCAATATGTAAACGCTCCGATCCCAACCGAGTCAAAGAGCTGCACCGCCAAATCCTCGGGTTTTCGATCTCATATAACCACAAGTCGGTGAAGATCCATGCTCATTACCCGAGGATCAAATTCGACCCCAACGACAATGAGATCATGAAGATAACTTACCACAGTTGGGTCGTTAAAGAGGAATTCCAGTGGACAAAGGACGAGGACAAGTGGACCGCCTATAAATTTGTCATGAACGTCTACAAAACCTGGGTGCCGAAGCACAAGGCCCGACTGAGGGAGATGGTCAAGGGCTTGAAGACTTGGGAGGACATCTATGACAACCTGGTTGACGAGACGCTAACCAATATGCAAGGGTACAGTTCCAGCACCCCAGCTGTGCAAGATCCCAATGTGCCAGATGTCGACTTCAAGCTCTTGAAACGACTCAGAAAGGACCATCGCCGTGCCCTGCGACAAGCCGGCCGGTCTCGCACTCCAGCTGGCAGTGATGTGCCGAGTGTGGGGGATAAGATGCAGTTGATCGAGGTCCGAAAGGGACAGCGTCGTCACAATACTTGGTAATATGTAGACACACCATAGATAGCAAAGAATGCCGGTTTTGATAAGAATATATGTTAAAGGTCAACAATGTATAGAGAACGGAGCAGTGCGGACATTGGAAGAATAGAGGTCTTGGCGCGCTAGCCCGTTTCAGCCGAGGCGGTGGAAAATGTTCGATTGATTCACACAAACCATCGTCCCGACTCCTATCGCCAGCCAAGTCCACCCTCAGCAGCATCATTCATAATGGCGGAGTGAGTCTTGCTGTCGCTGGTTATCTCGTGTCGTCCTCAACTAATGTCTTCGCAGGAAAGAAGTAGCCCCCCTCACGGCCGTCAAGGTCGAGGCCCTGGTACGAAAACTCCGTCCAAATCCCCGCTTTCTTTGAAGATTTTCCGCGCTGCGATATGAGGATAAGGAGGAAGCTCATGCCGGTTAGGTTGTTATGAAAATCATCAAGCACTGCTCCCAGGCTTTCCCGACGACTGCGACCGGTTCGATCGTCGGCATGGACGTGGACGGCGTTCTCGAAATCACAAACACCTTCCCTTTCCCCGTCGTCGAAGTCCCCCCGGAATCGCACTTTGACAATGCCGCCCCCAACCCTGCCGCCGCTGCTCCCCGTGCGAAGGCCAACACAGTTTACCAGGCTGAGATGATCCGCATGCTCCGGGAAGTCAACGTTGACGCCAACAACGTCGGTTGGTACACAAGCGCCAACATGGGCAACTTTGTCAACATGAACGTTATCGAGAACCAGTTTTTCTACCAGAAGGAAATGAACGAGAGGACAGTTGCGCTTGTTCACGACCCCAGCCGCAGCTCTCAGGGAAGCCTGAGCTTGAGGGCGTTCCGTCTGTCGCCCAAGTTCATGGCTGCTTTCAAGGACAACAAGTTCACTTCTGACGAGTATGTCTCTTTTACGACTCAAACGCGAGCAAAGCTGACTTTTGTAGATTGCAAAAGTCCAACCTGAAGTACCAGGACATCTTGGTCGAACTCCCCGTCGAAATCCACAACTCCCACCTGATCACCTCCTTCCTCCACCAGCTTCAGAACCAGGCCCAGACAGCCCCTACTGACATCCCCGCATCTCTCGCCACCCTGGAGTCCTCTCCCTTCGCCAAGCAGCCCGTCCTGGCGCCCAACTTTGACAACCTCTCCCTCAGCATCGACCCCTTCCTCGAGAAGAACTGCGACCTCCTTCTGGACAGCATCGAGACCCACCACACTGAGACGAGCAACTTCCAGTACTACCAGCGCTCGCTCGCCCGAGAGCAGGCCAAGATTACAGCCTGGCAGACCAAGCGCAAGGCCGAGAACGCCACCCGCGCAACGCTCAAGCAGCCCCCTCTCCCAGAGGACGAGTGGCAACGGCTGTTCAAGCTGCCCCAGGAGCCCAGCCGCCTCGACAGCATGCTCAATAGCCGCCAGGTGGAGCAGTACGCGCGCCAGATCGACAGCTTTGTCTCGTCCACGACCGGTAAGATGTTCGCGGTCAAGGGCAATCTGCTGCCCGGCGAGATTGCCAAATGATTTACGGGATGTTTATGAACGGAGATTTGGGATTCATGCATGACCTTACGGCGTAAGGAGGGAAAATTCTTGTACTGACTGTTAATATGTCCCTTGTGGTTATTCCGTGACGGCTAGTGCTGCGGAGTATGCTAGAGATGCTATCTACATGACTTGAATACTCCTTACACTGCACTCGTAGGTGGACGGCAGCAAGAGCTTCTCCAGTAGCATCTGAGGTAGCTGGCACTGGGAACTCTGGAACCGGTTGTTAAGCCAGTGCAAAAAGGCTAATTAAGAGGCGTTTGCAGTTGGATGTATACAATTGCTGAGGTACCTGCTCTTGGAATCTATCTTGCAATCGAGTAACTAGCCTCCCACCAATCTGATATCCATAGTATCACCGAATTTATTCTACCAATCACTTAACTCACACCGTGACACCCTGGATATGGTCCTGGAAGCCATCGCGGTTTGTACTTTGTTCTCTGAAAGAACAGAACCTATCCACCTACACTACTGGCGTAGTAAGGCTCCGACTTGACATGCCAGGGACTATCTACGTCTCCTTCACCAGGATCTCCTCCATCCACATTTATCTACCCCACAGTCAACCGCAACCATACATATCATGATGATATCCCGCCAACTGCAAGCAATACAAGGGCGATACTCGATGGTCCGCGTCGCAAACGTGCTATGGACTAGCGGAGAGAGCCCGGCATTTTAAAACTGAGCGACAAAAGCTTGCCTGTGAGGACAATAAGAATATAACTCAATCAAGAATGTTATAATCCTACTCCATGCAGATTAGGGCACGGCCTCCACGTGCTATGACCTCATACATTGATAGCGACCATGGCCTCTAGACAGTCGCATTGCTTTACAACGATGCTCTTCTTGACCCTACATTTCTCGTCTAGAACGATGCGCCATCTACAATGCAGAACAGCGCCCTCGACATCTGGATCGTACGCCTCCCTTCCCCGCACCTTCGTCCCTCCCCCACAACCCCATGAACATCGCAGCTAACAATCCCAACTACCCCAGTCTGGCGCCGTCGCCGTCGTAACAGTCGACTTCCTCGTCTATCCCTTCGACACACTAAAGACCCGCATCCAGTCGCCCAACTACTCCACAATCTACAAGGACGCAGCAACAAACACAATCAAGAAGAATGTGCTCTTCCGCGGACTATACCAGGGCGTTGTCAGCGTTGTGCTGAGTACCATTCCTGCCTGTACGCCGCATTGCCTGTCCACTTCCCCCACATAGACTGGGCCAGGGTCCTGAATTGATATGCGGTGATATGCAGCAGGAGCATTCTTCACAACCTACGAAACCGCCAAATCAACCCTCACCACCGCGCAACAAGCCTCCACCTCCCCGCTCCTCACATCCATCCCCGCCCCCGCGATAAACGCGCTCTCCTCATCCGCTGGCGAAATGGTCTCGTGCCTCCTCCTCACACCCGCAGAAGTAATCAAGCAGAATGCGCAGGTCATCAACAACGCCAACGCCCCGTCCTCAAGGACACAAAAACAAGGCGGAGCCGGAAGCGGAAGCGGAAGCCGGGGCGTAACGCTCCAAGTCCTCTCGCGCTTCAAGCAGCACCCCTGGAAGCTGTGGAGCGGGTACTCGGCGCTCGTGGGGCGAAATCTGCCGTTCACAGGGATCAACTTTCCGATTTTCGAGGCTGTCAAGGGGTGGCTTGTTGCGCGGCGGCATCGGCAGCAGGGGTATACTGGTGTGAATGCTAGAAGAGAAACTGGACCCGGGGGCCAAGAGCCTGTCTATGAGCGCGCTGTACTCACGGGCATGGCGGCGAGCGTTTCCGGGAGCATTGCGTCGGTTATCACGACGCCGATTGATGTTGTCAAGACGCGGATGATGCTTGCTGCCAGTGAGGGTGATTCTTCTGCGTCTGGTGGGAAGGAGGTATCGAAGGAGCAGGGGAGTGTTTGGACTGTGGGCAAGAAGATTTTCAGGGATGAAGGGGTTAAGGGTCTTTTTCGGGGCGGAGCAATTCGGGTCGTTTGGACGGCGGTCTCGCTCAGTATTTATTTGAGTATGTATGAGGGAGGGAGGTTTTACTTGGAGAAGAGGAGGAAGAGGAAGGCCGACGAGAGTAGCTAGGCTAGTGAGTTGCATATGACTAGATAGAGTATCTGTTTGATAAAGTAGTGGAGGTTCATATAGTCGTTATACAAAGGTATCAAGGACAAGAGATGATGCACATCATTAGGCAAAAGTCAATGTCAAAAAGTAATCGTCAAGGAATCAAGCAGACTGGTATCCAAGTCCATAATCATTTCATCATGTTCATCATCAAGCATGTACAGCAGAATAAAATAATTCATCATCATCATCCAAAAGTCGTAAGCTTCTTCAGCCAATTCGGCCTCTTCGGCGCCTCTCCATAGCCACGGTCACGGTCATATCTCCCACCGCGGTCTCGCTCGTAGTCACCACTAGAGCTGGCCTTCCCATGCTCTCGCTCCGCTCGTCGAGCCTCACGCCTCCTTGCCCTGATCTCCTCGATCTCCTGGTCATTGAGTCCAGGATATTTGGTCCTCCTCCTTGACTGCTTTCGCAGCTCACGACGAGCCTCTTCATCCGACGACATTGTATGGCCGGGGATCTGCTCATCGGGGCCAGGTGGCATGTCGAGAACGGTGGGTACGATTGGAGGTGGCTCGGGCGGCTCATCGGCTTGCGAGTCTACCCACGAAGAAGTCTTGTCTTTGCGTGCGCCGAGCGGCATAGGGGTTGGTTTTGTGGGATCAGCTGCGCGGGACTTTCTTCGGCTGCGGCTGGATCGGTCAGCATCACGGTCACGCTCGTCTCTGGATCGGTGGCTGTATCGCGCTCGTTCCCTTTCGCGTTCGGGCTCATGGCTATCGAGGTAGAAGTCTCTTGCAACCGTGTTGTCGACGCGAGAATGGTGTCGATGTCGTCGTTCGTGGCCGTAACCAGAGTACTCGTGCATTTCTGCCTCCCGCTGGCGTCTGCGCTCGCGTCGTTCCGCCGCTAATCGGGCCTCTTCCTCCTGTGCTTCTTGTTCTTCTCTACGTATGCGCTCTTCCCGGGCAGCTCTGCGTGCGCGCTTCTCCTCGCGACGGCGCTCTTCTTCTTCACGCAGTTGTCGTTCCTGCTCCTCGCGCTCACGGACCCGTTCCTCTCGGCGGGCTCTTTCTTCTCTTCGGCGTGCCCTTCTCTCCTCTGCTTCGCGGATCTCGGTCTCCCGCAGCTCGTCAGCGGCAGCCTGCGGGGCTTGACGTGCTTCACGTCGCGCTCTACGAGCTGCCCGTCGAGCCTCTGCATCCTCTGCCTCTGTGTCAGGGAACGCGCCAATGACGGGTGCAATCCCTTCGCCGTCTGCCTCTGGTCGGGTAGAATGTCTCCGTCTATCCTCGCGTCGGCGACGGGCCTCATCTCGCTCTGTCTCAGTCGCGTATCTGGTGTCGTCATCGCGGCGTGATCGAGACTTGCGACGCTCTGGAGCTGGCGGCTCGGTCTTTGTGTTTCTTCGCAAAGACCCCAGCAGACCCATTAGACCGGTAGGCTCAGGCTTCTTGGGAACGGTATTTGATCGCTTTAAGCGACGCTCTCGCTCCCTAGACGGTGGGGCTTCTACGAAGGCGATGTCGTCAGGACCGGAGAATACGTCTGGTTCTCTATCGTCTTCGTGGGGTTCTTCGGGATTGGACCTCGACTAACGCATGTTATTACGCAACCACTTTCTGGAATGGATTGTGGGGGACCTTACCCGTCGCGCGGAGTCTCGCCCAGAGCGTCTGGAACCAGAATGTCTTGAGCCTTCTTTCGAGGGTTGGTCGACATCTTCCTTGTTCACCACGACTAGATCTTCATCGTCAAGGGCGTATGGGTCGGGGGCGCCTACGCTTGTTAGAAGTCATTCAACGCGTAAACAAAGATCAACGTACGAGATTTTCTCCGCTCCCTATGCCTTTCATGTCTCTCATGTCTGGACCTTGATTCCCTGACACCCATCGTCTTCGCTGCTTTGTCCGGAACGGCATCCTCGGGTGGCGGAGTTGGAAACCCGCCTTCATCAATGTCGGCCGACTGATGTCTAGACGACCGCTTGGAAGCATGGGGAGTAGACCTACTGACTGACTTAGTCCGAGAGGGCTGCGGTGGCGTGCCCAGAATGAAGTTCGAAAACGTCATGCCGCGACTAGCCCTAACTTCTCGCCGTTTGTCCTTATCGGACGCGGAAGACCGCTCTGCTTCGTTCTCAGACTCCTTCGCTTTGGATTGTTTGGTCGACTTTGACCTCGTAATGGCAGGGGCTTCCTTCTTCCTTAGTCTAGCCTCCCTGGTTTGCGGTTTTCTCGGAGGCGTAGCACCCCAGAAGCCCCAAGACGTGGCAGGTGCACGCTCAACTCGAGCTCGCTCCTTCTTGGCTGGCTTTACAGGGGTCTCTGGATTCTCGCCATCCGGCTCTAGTGCGCCGCTTGCCATCATATCATCCGCAGTGAGAGGTTCTTGTGGTGGCACAGGCTTTTTCGAGCCTTTCTTGCCCTTCTTCGCCATCTTATCAGGCTTCGGAGCAGGTGCTGGCTCTTCCTCTACTTCTAGAGTCCTCTCGGCCTCTTCAGGTGATACATCAGGTTCGGCTGGGGGTTCAGGCTCCGGTTCTTCTGGCGCGAGCTCAGCTTCTGGGGCCGCTTCCGGCTCTGGCTCCGGGTCAGGCATAGCCTCAGCCTCAGCCTTCTTCAACTTCTTTTTCTTCTTCTTTTCAGACTTTGTAAGTATGACTGGCTCCGGCTCCGGCTCCGGCACAACCTCAGGCTCAGGTGCGGTTTCAAGCTCGGCCACTGGCTCGGCCTCAGGCACTGGTTCCAGCTCGGGTGCGGGCTCAGGCTCAGGCTCCTTCGCCTTCTTCTTTTTCTTTTCAGGTTCCGGCTCTGGAAGCTTGCCTTTCTTCTTTTCCTTCTTCTTTAACTTTTTCAAGGACACAGGCTCCGGCTTAGGTTCGGGTTCTGGCTCAGGTTCAGGTTCTGGCTCCGGCTCCGGCTCCGGTTCTGGTTCTGGTTCAGCAGCTGGCTCAGGCTCCGCTGGGGGGTCGTCAAAGTCAGGAAAGCTACCAGGCACCGAGTCATGTGAGCGCTCCGTCTTAGTAGGCTCAGGGTCGACCTCTACTGGGTCTTCCTGCGGGGGCGGCTCCACAGGCTCTGGTTCAGGCGGAGGCGCTTCCTTCTCTCTTGCTTTCAATTTTTCCAGCGCAGCCTTTTCTTTCAGCCTCTCTTTCTTTGCCTTTTCGAGGGCGCTGATGCGCTCTGCGACGGAAAGTTTTGCTGACGTTTTAGTCTTGGTGGTCTTAGTTGGCACCGCGGCTGGCGCGGCTGGCTCAGGTGCTTCAGGCGCGATTGGCGGCGGCTCTGGCGCTTCCGGTGGGATGTCTGCTGGTTCGTCGGCGATATCAATTAGATCAGGTTCCACGGCCTTCGTTTCTTCTACCGGGTCAGGTTCCTCAGGCAGCTCGTCCGACTTTTTCTTGCTGACCTTTGGCTTACTGCCCAAAGTAGCCGCTCCGAAACTGGCCCAGAATCCTTTGGCGGCTTTGACGGGCTTGCTGTCGAAATCATCCCAGACAGGATCTTCTCTGTCAAGCTCAGAATCTCGGGTAAACTCTCGCTCGAGCCCTAAGGAGGGAGGCGTAGGTGCAGGGGGTGGAGGCTCTGCGGCAATCCTGTTCTTCTTTTTCTTCTTGTCTTTCGAAGACCCCCATATGCCACCCCACCCAACATCTTCCGCCGGATCATCTTCAGGCTGCTGTTCATGCACTATCTCAACCAATTGATTGTTTTCGTCTGGGACCGTCTCTGGCTCTGGAGGGGATTTCTCTGGCGCAGGTTCTGGCTCAGGCTCAAGCTCAGGCTCAAGCTCAGGCTCAAGCTCAGGCTGCGGCTCCGGTTCGGCCTCAGGCGCAGGTTCTGGTTTTGGTGGAGGCTCAAGGGGAAAGTCACGACCAGGGATAGGGAGGCCTTTCTTAGTCAACCCTCTCTCGCGCTTCTTTCGTTCCTTGGAAGATAGATTCATCCAGTTATCGTAGAGAGGATCGTCCGGGAAATCAGGTTTCCACTCCTCAGGTTCCGGCTCCGGCTCGGGTTCAGGTTCAGGCTCTGGTTCTGGTTCTGGTTCTGGTTCTGGTTCAGCTGGAGGAGGGGTCGGCTCGCGACGCGGCTCTGGGGCTGGCTCCGGTATCAGTGCAGCCTTGCCTTTCTTCTTCTTCTTTTTATCAGTTGCAGTAGTAAAAGCCCAACCTGAGCTCCAACCGTCATTCTTCTCCGCCTCCTCCTTGGCCTTGCGCTCCTCTTCCTCCTTGGCTTTTCGTTCCTCCTCCTCTTTTGCCAGCCGCTCTTCCTCCTCTTGCCTAAGCCTTTCCTCCTCTTCTTCTTGCCTCTTTCTCTCCTCCTCCTCTTCCTCCTGTCGCTTTCTCTCCTCCTCCTCTTCCTCTAGCCGCTTCTTCTCTGCTTCTTCTTCCTCTTGGCGCTTTCTCTCTTCTTCCTCGCGCTTCTTCCTCTCCTCCTCTTCCTTCTTCTTCGCTTTTTTGCCTTTCTTAGTTGTAGCGAAACCCCCTAACCAATCATCAGGGGGCGGCGGCTCAGGGGCCTTGGGTGGCTCCTCGATAATAGGCTCCTCTGCTGCATTCTTCTTGTCCTTCTTCTTCGACATAGGATCCCAACTTCCCCAGCCATCGTCATCCTTCGTGTCCTTAGAATCATCATTCGCCGCAGGCGGAGCTGGATCGAAGCCTCCGCCAAACCCAAATCCCATGGACATATTCAGGGGATCGGCTTTAAGACCACCGCCCCAAGGGTTTGTATCTTTTCCCTTGCTTCCACCCGATAGAGCATCAAGGCCCCATTTGCTGCCGCCTCCACCACTACCTCCTCCGCCCCATGCACCAAAGCTGAATCCAGTTGATTTTTGTCCGTCGAGATTCAGGTCTAGCTGGGGAGCTCCGTCATTGAGGCTCACGTCCTGGAGATCAGCCTCAGCTGGTTCCAACTGCTCATAGTTAGCAAAGAAGTTAATCTAGCGGATACGTGACAGCACACACATTGCCCTTCTTTTTCTTCTTCTTCCCGGCGCCAACTCCAGCCCAAGAGTCGTCGTTGTCCCCGTCGACGTCGTCCGCCCAACTGAGTCCTGTGTCTTGTGATGCTGCGGCCTCTTCCTGCGCTTTGCGTTCTTCCTCTTCCTTAGCCAGCCGCTCTTCCTCTTCTTTCTTCAGTCTCTCCTCCTCCTCTTTCTGCTTTTGTTTCTTCTTCTTCTTGTTGGTCGTTGTGCCCCAGACATCACCCCAGCCGTCGTCGTCTCCGCCGTCACCACCGTTATTACCGTCGTCACCGTTTCCATCCCCGGAGCCGCCTGCATCACCAGCGCCTTCATCTGGCGGTTCGTTGTTTTCTTCCGGCGGCGGCGGTGGCGGCGGATCATTGGCGGGCGGCGGTGGATTACTCTTCGCAGCTCCTCCTTTCTTCTTCTTGCCTTTATGTTCGCGAATGGCAGAGGGGTTCTCAAAGTCAATAGTCTCACGTAGGGACTTGCTTTCTGAACTTCCTCTTTCATCCAACCCCGCGTCTTGAACCAGACACTTTTGATGAGCTAGCGGTGCAGTCTCAGAATACTCGGGAGGCAAATCATCGATCGCTTCATCGTACGAGGGTGGAGAGGGGGCGCAGAAGGTATTCGGAATGTGCAGGTCAACCTCAAAGTTGGACCTCGAGTCATGGAATTCGCTCAGACAGCGCTCAATATCCTGTGTAAGTAGAAATGATGAGTATTCATGCACAGTGATGATAAGTTGCGCCGCAGGATACCATACAACTATAACCTTCGCTGCCAAAGCCAACGCACTATGTTCAGCACCTCCGTCAACTTGGAGAGAAATAGCATCCACAGCCTTTATCTCCGTTAGGGCTCCTTTCATTCCAAGCCCGGACCATAGTCTATAATCAGCTCCATTTCGACGCTTCTCCGGGGACGACATCTGTATGTAACGCGGAACCGCGTTGGCTATTATCCCGCGATGTTGTATGCGTGTAGAATCCATGATGGGCAGTGAAATGGCCAGCGATCCGAGTGGGCCACGCGCATGCGATCGATACCGAGCCGTAGGTGAGACCGCACGCGCTTATATTGTTCTCGACTCGACGCGAAACCTGTGAAATGAGCAGAAAACCACCCCGTCCAAGAAAATTAGAAACGCCCGAATATCGGCGCAAGCTCAAAAAGTCGCAATTATGGACCTCAGCAACTGTAGTAAACCAAAATCATCCAACGTTGCTAGCACCAAAACTATAGAACCAAAAGCTCATCAATCGGGAACCGAGTTCTGTCGGCAGAGCGTAAACAATCGAAGCATCGGGCTCCGAGAGCGACGAGTAATCGCAGGATGCTGGCTCAGCAGGGAAACGGAGAAGTCATGAACTTCATGACTTTCAAGGTCGAGGCGGTGGGACTGGCACTGGTAGCGTTGGAATGAAGGAGGGTGTTGCGAAAGATCGGCCAACGGCAAGACGTTATTGGACAATGTGCGACAGCTAGGACGAGGAATGTAGAACTACAGTAAAGGGGCTTGCAAAGCCAGCAATGTTAGTGGTTGCGCTTGAAGCAAGAGGGAAAATTTTTCGTTTGCTGTGCTTTCCCAGCAGCAGCAGCCATCAAATCAGTCTCATTCTGGGCTGGGCAGGCTCCCCTCCTCTTGTTCGTTGCATGCTTACCCGTGGGATCTGTGCTACGCATTGATCGGCGTCCAGGCGATCGAGTATAAACGGTGGCTGGGGAGCAAAAGGATGAAGCACTGCTAGTCGCGATGGGACAGGCGCATTGAATTTGGTGACAAAAGACAAAAAGAGGACTGGAACAGTCAAGTGTCCATTAAGCAAAATAATGATTGTAGGAAGAGAACAAAAGATACGATGGAGTCACGCAGGGACAGGCCACTTAGAGAATCAGCGGTGGGAGCAAACCGCCCTATCGATAAAGAGTCCACCCCTCCTTCGCACAAGTCTTATGCACGATAGATGTAGCCAAGGGAGATTGCAGCTTTATACCCGCATCTGTCGAGTCACCTACTCCGTACAGTCCGATAGCTACCTGACCGGGTCCGTTTTCAACGTTTAATCATGATTGTTTACAGGTGTTGTCGCCAACGAGTGGGGGGTTTCCAAGAGGATCGGACCCTTGGTTATACCTCGACAACAATGCCATGGTGCGAGCATTGGTCCGATCATCAGGGATCTTGGTTCATATTGTCGTCGCCCAGACCCTCGAGTCTGCATCTTCCTACTTCGAGTACAGCACCGGCTTCTACTAGCCTATCCAGTATCGAGGATCGCTTCTCCAACGAGAACCTCGGGTACGGTAGCCGCCAAACTGAAACTACAGTACGGAGTACTGAATGGGGAGGTCTCCCTCACCGCATCGAAGGCGAAGACCTAGTCGAGACAACCCCCGCAGCCTATGGAAGAAAAAAGGCCGTTGTCATTGGTTCTTCTCTTTTTTCTTTGTCTCGCGGCTGACGCCGTCGAATGCTCTTTGAGTTCCAAGGTTGCTTGCCAATTGCCATCCTCTGCGTAAGGCCTCAATCGATCTGACTGCTCCCGTCTCTATCTGCTATGACTTGCGGGAGGCCTTTACATGTTTCAGCAGTCCATCTAAGGTGAAGACAGATCAACGGACTCACAGGCTCAAGTCTTTTGGAAGCTTCAAAGAATAATCAGAATCTGACCGCGATGACTCAACTCGGCCTTCTGTAGCTCTTCATCTGCGATACCCACTACAGACTAAATGCTCCGTAGATGGGCAGTAGTGGCCTGCATTTTCTTCATGCCCAACATGGATACGCCGTGCCTGCATTCTCAGACTCTTCGAGTTCGGCCTCGTTCGGCCACCTAAGTAGATAGGTTCAAACAGGTCAATGGTTAATGCGTCTTGCTCCAACTCTTCTAGGTCTGCCAGACAATCGTTTATGTATTACCCTGTAGCGTGAAGAAACTCATCCTGTACACTTTCTCCCATTCTTGGATGATTGGCAGCTCATATATCATTGCGTAGGTAAATAGGACTGAACTCTGCATGCCTGGAAACATTACGAGCACCTGAGCTTAGCTTGGATGGGCGTGATATCCTTGACAGTCGAAATTCCTATGTGGGCAAGAGGCGGAGCCTCAACGATCCTCTTGTGGTGGCAGAACTGTGCTCATAGTCAGGCATAATGCCGGTTTAGCGAGAGTACACGTACAAATCTGCAGTAGATTATTGAAGCAGTAAAGTACACTGATAACACCTAGTGGGAAAACAAAGGCCGGAGATGGCCCGAGATACAGAACACTGAACGAAACAGACCCAGCCAGTCCTTTACCCCCGACAAAAGCCTTGTCCCCATGATAAAATCAAATACCGTTGATACCAAGTCATAAGCTTGAGTTACCCTAGCAAAATAATCTCTTAGAGGTGTGACGGGTTGGTCAACAAGATGTCTTCTCTATTGCCGAGCCCTGCTTGGTTTTCGTGCTGGGTAACCATACACCTCGAGATGTTCACGCTCGTAGCGTGCCCGGTCTTCTTTGGCCAATCGTTTGTATTTCTATTCCGATTAGTTGGTTTCAAAAGCACGTTTCTACGGCAAGTAACTTACCGATTTCTCCGATTCCGACAAGTTCTTCCACTCAGATTTCAGAGCCTTGCTGGCGTCCCAAACGTCTGCGTTCTTGTCGCGATTCTCCGTAAAGAAGAAAATCCAAGACGCCCTTGGGGGCTTAACCAACCGCTCATCATGAATGAGAGTGCACTTGGTCTGGGTGCGGAGCCTTGCGAGTCGGCGCCGAGCTCGGTTGGCTTCCAGGATCTGAAGAGGGCTGTGACTCTCCACAAACGCTTTCAAAGCAGCCTCATTAGCAACCTTGTTGGCTTTGCCTTGATCGGCGTACCGCTGAAGTCCGTTAGCGCTGGAACAGAAAGTTATGGGGGCAAGGAGTTCACGGACCTGTTTCTCCTCAGGGCTGATCGATCGCACAATATCATGAGCCCTTCTGAAAGCCTCGTTCGCAGTGGGATTGTCGGATTTGTCAACCATATGATACTTATCCAGAAGAGCTACCGCGATGTAGTTTTGCGGCAGCTTCTTTGGCAGCTGCAAAGCGATCTTTTTGAGCTGGCGGAGCTCCTCGCGCTTCTTCTTTTCTTCCCGCGCTTCAATTTGTTTCTCAGTCAAGGGACCCTTCCTGCTCGGAGCTTTCTTCTTCGCAGGCTTCTTTGCAGGTTGCTTCGCAGGCTTCTTGGCTACCTTCGCAGGCTTCTTGGCCTTGGTGGGTTCCGTAGGCTCAATAGACTTGCTGCCAGCAGATTTGACAGAGCGCGCTGGAGAGGCATAGCTTCGGACTTGATAACTGACTGTCGAGCTAATACAGGGCAGGCTGCGGGTGATCGAGATTGAGGAACGACGTGCGACGAAGGCGATGCGTCGGACGTGGTGCTGCGACGAAACGACACGAACTGGACGCGCGACGGCACCATTGACTGGAAGGTTCCGGAAGATACCTCCGCCTTGTCGGACGAGATTGAGAGGCATCGCGAGCTTCAATGACTGTACAGGGCACGGTCAGCAATGGAAGGGATGGATGGAGAGAAAAGACGGAACGCACTATATCTGATGTGTTAGTGATAAAAGAAGTGCAATGCTAGCGTGATCAGAGCGACAATCCCACTGCAGGGGCTATGGCGCAGTAGTAGCTGACTCTGGGCCTTACCTTGAGCTGCAACCGGAAGGCTGGGGTTTGTTTGGGCTTGGTACCTATGTTGGTAGACTGTGCCGTGCCAAGGAAAGTAGCTGTCATGTGATCCAGGGCAAGTGAGTGATCTCATCTCTGTGTCACGTGCGCGGGTGGCCAATGCTTGGGCTACTCCGTGAAAAAAGAGCGGCACTCGACCAGAACTAGATAAGCAGATAACTCCAGCACAGTGTTTGCTGCCGAGGTGCAATTTTTCTGAACTCGACATTAAATGGAACGGTAATCTAGGAACTGCTTCGCTCATCTCGCCGCGTCCTCGGGTGTTCTTTGAGTCCCAGTAATACTCACTCATTGCTGGCCTGCAACAATGGCTCGCCATGGGGATACTCGCTCACCATCACCTGTAGGCAGCACATACTCATCGTCAAGACGAAGTCGCAGAGACGACGACCGCTATGAGTGGAAGCGAGACGATGGCCGCAGTTACCGCAGGTCTCGTAGCCCCGAGGTCAGTACTTGTGCTCCGGTTTCTCCTGTACTTCTCTAACCCTGCTTCTTCTCTAGCGGCGATATCGTGACCGTGACCGTGACCGCGAATCATACCGAAGACGCGACCGCTCCGTAGACAGACGCGACAGCCACCGCGAGGAAGACGGTTATCGACGCCGAGACCGCTCCCGAGATCGACGCCGCTCTAGAGACCGAGATCGTGACCGTGACTATCGCCGAAGGAGCCGCAGCCGCGATAGGGACTATCGAAGCAGGCGAGATGACTCCCGCGACCGGGCCCGAAGACGGACAGACGATTCTGCTGACTTGAAGCACAAGTCTAGACGGGACGATAGCCGAGATCGGACCAGGGGCTCCGAGCCTAAATCTCGCGAGGTACGTTTTGGTCTTAATCCTGCTACGATTGATCACTACTTATACTGACTGGCCAGGCCTCAAAGCCGGCGACGCCGACACGCGCAGGGCCAACGGACGATGAAAAAAGAGCCGAGCGACTTGCAAAGCTTGAGGCATGGAAGCAAAAGCAGGCTGCTGAGAAAGAACGAAAGCAGAAGGAGGCTGAAGCCTCCGGTGGGCCAAGAAATATCTTGGAAGAAATCGATAGAAAGTCTGGGTTGTCACCAGCCGTTAGTTCTCCCCAGTCTCCTGCCCCGCAAGGCGTTGATGCCGCTCCAGCTGCATATGCTGGAAAATTCGATCCGAAAGCTATCGCCAAGAGTGCTGCTCAGACCCCAATTGCTCCATCTGTTCTGGGGAATGACGTGTCTGTTCCGTCCCCTGTCAAAACCTCGGTTGGATTGCCAGCGAAGGTACAAGATAACAAAACTTCGAACAACACTCCATCTTCAGGTATGTTCTCCCCTCGCTTATGTCATTGTATGCTCAATGCTTACACGCTGCTCTAGCTGCATTAAAGGCAAAAGGCAATGTGGGGAGATTCGGATTGGGCTCCAAGCAAGTGGCGGACAATGAGAAATCAATCGCCACTAAGACGCTAGGATTCGGTGAAGAAGAATCAACACGGAGGAAACTCGAACGCCTACCGACACCGCCCGTGGACGATTCAAATGCTAGTAAAGCAGCGGACGCGACTGCAGACGATGACGACGACGTTGACATGCAAGATGGAGAAACCGAAGAGGAGGCTGCCGCTGCCGCTCGCATAGCTGCCGAGCGACGGGAGGAACGCCTGCAAAACGAAGCACTTGCCGAAAAATCCAATGGTAGCACGCCAGCGAAAGAAGAAATGTCTGATAAAATGGAAGTTGACGCCCAAGAGGAGGAAGAGGTCGATCCTTTGGATGCTTTTATGTCTGAACTCGCTGAATCCGCTCCCCCAAAGAAGAAAGTGGGTGCCAAGTTCTCCAAGGCACAAGAGCCCGAGGCTATCTTTGGTGATGAGCATGACGTGGGAATGACTGCTGTTGGTGAAGGCGATGCTGAAGATTTCCTTGCCATTGCCAGCAAGGCGAAGAAGAAGAAGGATATCCCGACTGTTGACCATCAAAAGGTGGAATATGAGCCGTTCCGACGCAAGTTCTACACCGAACCGTCAGACTTGGCACAGATGTCTGAAGAGGAAGCGGCGAATTTGCGACTTGAACTTGATGGCATCAAAGTCCGCGGGTTGGATGTTCCTAAACCAGTACAGAAATGGTCCCAATGTGGCTTAGGTATACAGACGCTGGACGTTGTCGACAAGCTTGGCTTTGAGAGTCTCACTTCCATCCAAGCGCAAGCGATTCCTGCCATTATGTCGGGCCGTGATGTGATCGGCGTGGCGAAGACAGGATCCGGAAAGACAATGGCATTTCTGATTCCCATGTTCAGGCATATTAAAGATCAGCGGCCGCTTGAGAATATGGAGGGCCCAGTGGGCTTGATCATGACGCCCACCCGTGAGTTGGCGACGCAGATTCACAAGGACTGCAAACCGTTCCTGAAGGCTCTGAATCTGCGGGCTGTTTGTGCTTACGGAGGCGCTCCCATCAAGGATCAAATCGCTGAACTGAAGCGAGGAGCAGAAATCATCGTATGCACTCCAGGACGGATGATTGATCTCTTGGCAGCGAACTCTGGGAGAGTTACCAACCTTCGCCGGGTCACGTATGTTGTCCTGGATGAGGCTGACCGTATGTTCGACATGGGATTTGAGCCTCAAGTCATGAAAATCCTCAGCAATGTACGCCCTGACCGTCAGACTGTACTGTTTTCTGCCACATTCCCACGAAATATGGAAGCTCTGGCTCGCAAGACTCTCACCAAGCCCATTGAAATCGTTGTGGGTGGCAGAAGTGTCGTTGCGCCTGAGATCACCCAGATTGTAGAAGTCTGCAACGAGGATAAGAAGTTCATCCGCCTTCTGGAGTTACTGGGTAATCTTTACTCCACTGACGAAAATGAGGACGCACGGTCGTTGATCTTTGTTGATCGCCAGGAAGCGGCCGATACTCTTCTCCGGGAGCTGATGCGCAAAGGTTATCCTTGCATGTCTATCCACGGTGGTAAAGATCAAATTGACCGTGACTCTACCATCGAAGATTTCAAGGCCGGCATTTTCCCTGTCCTAATTGCTACATCTGTTGCTGCCCGTGGTCTAGACGTCAAACAGCTGAAGCTTGTCGTCAACTACGATGCGCCAAACCATTTGGAAGACTATGTGCACCGTGCTGGACGTACGGGCCGTGCCGGCAACACAGGAACAGCAGTCACTTTCTTGACGGAGGATCAGGAACGTTACTCGGTCGATATCGCCAAAGCACTAAAGCAAAGCGGACAAGAGGTGCCAGAGTCAGTGCAAAAGCTGGTCGACTCGTTCTTGGAGAAAGTCAAGGCCGGTAAAGAGAAGGCCAGCAATTCTGGATTTGGTGGAAAGGGTCTAGAGCGATTGGATCAGGAGCGCGATGCCGCTAGGATGCGCGAGCGCCGCACATACAAGACCGGAGACGAGGGCGAAGAGGAGGAAGAAAAGGACGAGAAGAAGAACGAACAGGCTGAAGAGCAGTTCAACAAGGTACTCTCTTCCGTTCAATCTGCCTCCGCACAGATACCTGGCGTTCCCAAGGGCATCGACCTCGACGGCAAGATCACTGTCCACAAGAGAGAAGTCGATCCAAATGCTCCCAACAATCCTCTTGATAAGGTTGGCTCGGCTGTTGCAGATATTCATGCACGTCTCAGCCGTGCTGGTGTCATGAGATCAGGTGTTCCCATTGACAACCGCGGTCCCGACGCTGGTGCGTTCCACGCTACTTTGGAAATCAATGACTTTCCCCGTAAGTTTTCACCCCACACCTCTCCAAGATTCAGTTTGCTAATGTGTTCTACTTATTCCAGAGAAAGCTCGATGGGCGGTTACGAATCGTACGAATGTGGCGAAAATTCTCGAGGCTACTGGCACGTCTATCACGACAAAGGGTAGCTTTTACGCTGCCGGCAAAGAGCCTGGTCCGGGAGAGAACCCCAAGCTGTACATTCTGGTCGAAGGTGAAACCGAGCTGTCAGTGACGAATGCGATGCGGGAGTTGATGCGCTTGTTGAAGGAGGGCACAATCGCCGCGGTGGATAGCGAGTCTCGGGCTCCGGCATCTGGACGATACAGTGTGGTATAGATTCGCGTCCTTGTAACACATCAATTGCATCTATCACATCAACCCGTTAGGCACCGAGTCTGTCAGATATATACAATGCTCGCCAGACGTCATGATTCCCCGTTCCAGGCAACTCAATCCCACTTCCTCACGGTAGATGCCTCGTCTGCATCCCTAGCAGCTCTTTCCTCCCTACTAACCTCATTCAACGTCTGCGTCTGCGTCTGAGCCTTTTGCGCCGCCAACTTTGACCCTAATTTCCCTTTGTTCGCAGACCCTGCCGCTTCGGCACGTTTCTATCATGCAACAGTTAGCATATGCGACAACAAAATAAAAGAAAGAAAAAGCAAAGACAAGAACCCACCTGAGCTGCGATTGCCGCCTGAGCCCTTGCATCACTAGTATCATCTAGCGTGCCCGTGCCTGGCTCTGGCCCTGTTCCTGAGCTTCCAGCACTTTCTCCACCGTTAGTCCCCAAGGTCCTCCCAGGCGACTCGAAGTTCGACTTTGGTCTTGATTTGGCGGTTGCGGGGACGGATGCGCGCGGTGCGGCGTTCGCTGTGCTCGAGCCCAGCACGCGGCCGGGGCGCGAGGATGGTCCGGGTTCAGCTTCGTTCTTGGAACTAGAGCAGATATTGCCCATTGCTATTCTTGCTTGGTTTGCGCAGCGTCTACTATGAGACTGGTGAGGCGGTAAAGTAGATGGTTGAGTATAGGTACGGAGCTCTGGTGGAGAGGGTATGCGGGGTGGGGAGTGATGATGAGAATCTGACCGACAAACTCGAATAGTGGTGAGATGTATGGATGAGTTAATTATAGTAGAGTAATTGAATTCAGATATGGTCAGTACTGTATAACGAGTGGCTTCTAGACTGGGTATGGATGTTGAATGGCATCATGGAGACACTGGAGGCCATTCTGCCTGTGCTACGGAGTACGTACTCGATAAGACTAAGATAGCTTGGCGGTGAGAGCACGTGCTCCGGAGGCTCTTCCCAGATCTGGACGCGGGAACTTGCAGCCTGCAGATTCAGGCAAGATTCAGGAAGAGAACTCCGTCTGCTGCCAAGAACAGCCCACCATCCGATAATAATTGACATACCGGGTGACGGAGAATCGCAGCCGATGTGCAGTGGCTTCGAGACGTCGTCGCGGATGTTGTGATATGGGCGCCTTGCGATTCGTGGCCTCTTTGTTGTGCTAGCTCCCAAGGTCCTCCCCCCACGCCCGCAGGGTCCTCACTGATATCAGAAATCCGCAGTTCACCATCCCCAAGGTCCCCAGCAGCTTCTTCTGCCCGCCATGCCTCAGGCTGGCCCCTCTAAATCGGGCTGCTGCTTCTGCCCCCTCTCTCCCTCTACCCAGCGCCCACGCCGACTGTCATTGGTATGTGATCGTCTCAATGCCCCTCGCTTGCATCGCATCAGGGCTAGCTAACCATCTGGACCTTGGTACAGCATGCGAAGGAACTGGATGCCTTTTTGCTTCTGTCTCGCTCGTTTATAGAGCATTCTTCGGGGTCAGCTTACGACTCCTCATCAGAAAACTCAGGCAAGATGGCTACCCACACAGGGAAGGACGACTTCTGCCTTGAATGCCATTGGGAGTCCTTTCATCTAGACGGGAAAAGCTCGGAGGGTTCGTCCGTGGCCCCGGCGTCTGACTACTGCCCTGATAAGGAGCAAAATGCCTCGGAAGCCCATGTCGACGGCGCCTGCTGCGACACCGACAACTGCTCCATTACCTGCCCCTCAGTCTGCGACGGCTTTGTCGACTGCCACGACGAAGAACACGACGACACCTGCTCCGCGTCTAGATGTGAAGAGCCACACTGTCATGATCCTGCCCCTATCTGCTTCGACGAGCACTGCTTTGAGTCCGACCATAACCCTGAGATCACAGACCACTCATTGGAGTCATTGTTCGGACTGGGGATACCGATGCCTTCAGACAAGAACGACTTTACACTCCCTTTGGAGCAGTGCCAGGCAGACCAGTTGTCCAAGCCAACCGAGCATGCCGCTGCAGACTTGAATGCTCACCTGTGTGCTGGTGCCTTTTTCAATCCCGACTCAATAGCACTCACTCCCTGTCATCCTCCTCACAGCTACCATCATGACCCTCACTCTGCAAACCTACCCCATATCCCTCCGGCACAAAATATGCTGCCACCATCATTACCAATGCCAAATGAGGTTAACCCCTCCGACGTCTTCCACATGCTTGGAATGTGCCCTGACTATTCGAATCATTTCCACGTCCACGAAGCATCAAACTGCTCTGAGAACCTCGACGGCGGCGCCACTTCCAACAACTTCACTTGCCTCCATCTTGACGATGAGAGCCTAAACAGTCTGATGAAAAACCCTATCTATACGAGCAACAACCTTCCCGCAAGGGGACCCTGCCGCTCGAACCATCGTTGCCGAAGCCACCACGCACACGCTCACCACTTCTCACCCTACTCTCGTCACTCTCGATCAAGTTTCAGCTCTCAAATACTCCCTAGCCCTGGTGAAACACCACCTCCGCTAGATGGCGGTATATCCTCGATAATAACAAGCCCCGACTTTTCCCCGACAGACGGTGAGTTACATGTCTGCAAATGGGTGTCGAGTTCCCATGGGGCCAAGACCAGCTGTGGTGCTACTTTTTCGAGTTCTTGCGCTCTTCAGGAGCATCTTGTCTCTCAACATATGGGTCCGGTCAATGGTGCCAAGGGGATCGGATACTACTGCTGCTGGGAGGGGTGCGGTCGTCCCGGGGAGCCATTCTCACAGAAGTCGAAGCTGCAGGGCCATTTCCTCACTCACAGCAATTGTAAGGTCTTCACACACTATAAATGTCTCAAACTAACTTTACAGACAAAAACTTTCAATGCTCGGTTTGTGGAAAGCTGTTCGCCCGGCAAGCAACTCTCGAGCGTCATGAACGAAGTCACCGTGGCGAGAAGCCATACAAGTGTACAGAGTGCGGCAAGTCCTTCACGGATAGCAGCGAACTAAGTATGTTCTCTGTCTCTATCGTATCTAAATAACTGACTAGATAGAAACTCACTCCCGAACTCATACCGGCGAGAAACCGTTCAAGTGCACGTATCCGGGTTGCAACTTCCAAACTGGCGATGTAAGCCATTCAACTCTTTGCTCAGATACAGTACTGACAGATCATTATAGTCATCAAATATGTCTAGCCACAGACTCAGTAAGTCTTTCCGACCTTTCATATCAGCTACAGTATTCTGACGTTATTAAGCACACGGCGAACGAAGACACAAATGCGTTCATCCCGGCTGTAACAAGAGCTTTACTCGACCTGGTACGCCACTTACTCTTTTCTGCTCCACCGTCACCCGAATAGCATACTAAATTTACATTCAGACCAACTCAAACGACACATGCGCTCAACACACAAAACCGAACTCCAAATCCCCACCCCAATCCTCGGTTCTATGTCTCCGATAGACGATCAATTCGCACTGCAGGCGTCTTTCGGCATGGCGTAACGATACAAAACGACTGATACCCGGAGCTAAGGCGTTATCGACGGATGAAATTTACTTTGGTAATTGATGGATCGGTTTACAGTTTGTCTATACTATCATATACATACGCGGGGTGGAGTACGTACATATAGAGTACCGCTTGCTTTTGATGCGATGAGCGTGACGAGTCGAGATGATTAATGATTGGATACTACGCTGCCATTCGGCAATGCATGCTGCTGATCTAGGTACCTGGTTAGGTAAAGTCGAGTCATGTTTTGAACATCTCGTTGCCCGGTGTAGGTGCCACTGCTTGGTTTTCTGGACATGCTCTGGTTACAGAAACACCGTAACAAGTTGTTGTCCTTAGGGTTGTAACACGGTCCGTTGGAGTAGGTCTCGCCGTGCCCTAAGTCCAGCTTAGATCCGTGTCCGACCTCATGGTTCAAAAAAGCCATCTAAATCCAGTAAGCATTTCTTGAGTCTTTCTGGGCAGACAAACAAGTATATACTCTTCGATGATGACAATTGTATCAGTATCCAATAGCTCAAAGGGTCCACCCTTATAGACAGTGTAGACCACTCAACCCACCGAACACCACGTATTGCAGCATCCGGCCATGCGCATGATAGAATCAATATGATAATAACAAGTGTTTGACTTCCTAACTCTCAATATCCCCAGAGAATCTAAAGAACCCCCCTATCAGAGAGAAAAGAGAGACCTCAACCAGGAACCTAATCATGCGCCCTCGCCTCCAACGCCTCAACCGCACTCTTCAACTCTCTAAGCCTCTGCCCAACCCTCTTCTTCACCATATCCCGAGCCTCCTGTGTCAACTCGTTAGGATCGATCTCTAGAATATTCTCCAGCACCGATTCCCTCTTGTTCGCGTCCGCTACGCTTTGTTCTTCTCGCGGCGCCTGTCCTTCCTTCGTGCCCGTCCCGAGAGTCGAGCCTGTGTAAAGCTCATAGGCGATAATGAGGTCGTTCAACGCGTCGCGCGCGGACTCACGGTCTGAGGCGGCGTAGATGGTTGAGTCGTCGGTGGATTCCGTCGCGATCTCGAATTCGTCCTTGGCGGTTTCGTATCTTGGTGGCGGTATACTGTTAGCCCTGTGCTGGTGCGAGGTAAAGGTGAGGTTTATTTAGGCCGTGATGGACGTACAGGTCTTGTAGCTGTTCGACGATGGCATCCGCTTGGTCTTTTGCGGATGGTGAGGCTGTAGGTGAGGATTGGAGAGGTGTCGCAGAGAATTGTCTTAGAGGCGTAATGCCTGGGCTTGAAACAAGCACTGTAGGGAATTTGAGCTTGGGCGTTTGCCGTTGGATGCCGATGGCTTGAGCTGTGACGGAGATGGAGCGGAGCTGGGTTCCTGTGCGGAGATGTCTGGTGCTCCGGAGAGCGGATGCTGATAGTTTCAATGGTCGTGGAGGCATTATGTTGTTTTATAAAGACGATTAGATCTTTGAAAAGAGCTCGGGGTAGAAATCTAGCAATTGGAGTTTTACTGGAGAGATTAAGGAGATGGGGAACAATAAAGAATGGCATGATGCCGGCTGCGCTATGACGTTTATCTGTTCGGGATTTCTCTCACGTGCAACAGCTCTATACAGCACAAGTCTACAAGGTCCCCAAGGTCTAATAAAATATAAGATTCGTCTATTGAAGTCTATAAACGAGAAGGCAGTGATCAGGATCTAAACAGTAAACTTCATTCCCCCATTCGCACAAACCACACTCCCCGTACACCACCCGCCATCAGCAGTACAAAGCATCCCCACAACCCCCGCAACCTCCTCCGTAAACGCGGGCCTCCGCCCGCCCATCTTCTCCCTAACAAGCCGCTTTTGCTCGTCAGTCAACCCAATCTCCTTGAGCACAGGGTCTTCATCCACATTATCAACAAGCTTGCTGAGCGGCGTCCCATCCTGGAACCCCTGAATCTGCTTCCAGAAGCCCTCGCCCGTATTGAAGTACATGTCGCCGGAGACCGGGCCGGGGTTCACGGCATTAACCGTGGCGCGGTCCGCAAGCTCGCGCGCCCATGTCCGTGTCATGGCTTCCAGCGCGGCCTTTGTGCCTCCGTACACGGATTGCCCGATGAAGCCGAGGCTCGAGGAGACGGAGGAGATGTTCACGATGCGGCCGGTGCGGTTGGTTGGGAGGTGCGGGGCGACGGCTTGCGTGAGGAGGAGCGGAGCAAGGACGTTGATGTTATATTGCCAGTTGAAGTAGTCTGTGTCGATGGGGCCCTTCTCGGCGTCATTAAGGGTTCGGTCTGCGGAGACGCCGGCGTTGTTGATGAGGATGTCGATTGTGGTGTTTGGGAAGTGCTCAGATGCGGCCTTGAGGATTGCGGACACGGCCTCTTGGGGCTTGGAGAGGTCGGCTTGCACGGAGACGCAGCGGATAGAGTGCGTTTTTGCGAGGGACTTGCAGAGCTCTTCGGTTCGTGAGCGCGAGGACTCGGAGGTGAAGTTCAGGAGGAGTGAGCAGCCTTTGCTAGCGAGGTTTTTGGCGATGGCCTCTCCGATGCCTTGGTTTCTTGGTTAGTTGTTGGGTCTTTAGATGGGTATAGTGTAGACCTACCCCGCGAGCCGCCGGTGACGATGCCGAACTTTCCCTTCAATAGGCGAGCCATGGTGAGTCGGTGATTGATTGTCAGGGATTGAGGAATGAGGACATGTACTCCGTGGAGGAAAAGGGCCGGTTAAATAGTCCTCACGGTTACTTCGTGGCTGTCCCACTATCTCCAACCCCCACCATCGGGAATTTACCCGTTCGAGATCCCCCGCATGATCGAATCAGAGCTCTATCATCGGGGTTACGGTTAAATGGCCTTGATCAAGCTTTGCTAGCTCACATCGAGCGAGACTCCTGATCCGAGTACCCTGACTCCTGAGACTACTGTCCGCGATAAGGAACTACAGAGTTAGAAAAAGCATCATGCATCAATCATTCAATGCGACTGTTCATTATATGGTATATAAACTGTATGTGGGACCCCATCTACCGTAGAAATTATGGCACTGTTGAATGCAAATACTCCACTAGACCGGCCGTTGAACCCAAAACACTACCCAGAAACCCCGTGTATGCCACTTTTATGCCGTTGAAGGACAATGCTTTTGAGCTCCATGTTGATGAAGAACCCCATATGTTAGTCGTAACATCGTGATCATGTTGAAAAAAGTCTACTCAGGGTATCGGAAAATTAAAAGAAAATGTTTAGTAGCGGTAGCTGCAACAATTAGTATAGGTCTCGTGAAATAATGGCAGGAAAACATACTGGTCAGCCTTGTAAGGACCCTTGGAGTCGAGACCAAGGTACTCAGCCTGGACAGGAGTGAGGGTGGAGAGCTTGGCGTTGACGTGAGCAAGGTGGAGGTAGGCGACCTGCTCGTCGAGAACCTTGGGGAGGACGTAGACACCGACGGGCTTCTTGCCGGAGGTACCGAACTCGGGGTACTTCTCGCCGAAAACCTTGTCCTCAGCCTTGAACAGAGCAATCTGGGCAAGGACCTGGTTGGAGAAAGAGCAGGACATGACGAAGGAAGAGTGGCCGGTAGCACAGCCAAGGTTGACGAGACGGCCCTCAGCGAGGAGGATGATGTGACGACCGTTGGGCATCAGGTAGCGGTCGACCTGGGGCTTGATGCTCTGGACGGACTTGGCGTTGGCCTTGAGCCAGGCAACGTCAATCTCAATGTCGAAGTGACCGATGTCTGAATGGTTAGCTACATCTCTTAAGAGAATGTGAACAGAACTTACTGCAAACGATGGCGTCGTTGCGCATAACCTCGAAGTGCTTGCCAACGAGAATGTCACGGCAACCGGTGGTGGTGACGAAGATCTGACCAATAGCGGCAGCCTCCTCCATGGTGACGACCTCGTAACCCTGGACAGCAGCCTGGAGGGCGTTGATAGGGTCGATCTCAGTGACGAGAACGCGAGCACCCATGGTGTGGAGGGCCTGAGCGCAACCCTTACCGACGTCACCGAAACCGGCAACGACACCGATCTTACCGGCAATCATGACATCGGTAGCACGCTTGATACCGTCGATGAGAGACTCACGGCAACCGTACAGGTTGTCAAACTTGGACTTGGTGACGGAGTCGTTGACGTTGATGGCGGGGACGAGGAGCTTGCCGTCCTTGAGCATGCGGTAAAGGTGGTGGACACCGGTGGTGGTCTCCTCAGAGAGACCGTAGCAGCCCTGGAGCTGCTCGGGGTACTTGGTGTGGACAAGGGAGGTCAGGTCACCACCGTCGTCGAGGATGAGGTTGAGCTTCTGGCCATCCTTGAAAGCGGAGAGCTGCTGGTCCAAGCACCAGTTGTACTCCTCCTCGGTCTCACCCTTCCAGGCGAAGCTACACAAATTAGCTTAGTCGACCAATGAATTGGGTCAAACGTACACAGGGACACCGGCGGCGGCAATGGCGGCAGCGGCGTGGTCCTGGGTGGAGAAGATGTTGCAGGAAGTCCAGGTGACCTCAGCACCGAGAGCAGTGAGGGTCTCGATGAGGACGGCAGTCTGGATAGCTGGGAGAAGTCAGATCGTTTCAGAATCGCTTGGTTGGATGTTATCGTACTCATGTGAAGACAACCAGCAATGCGGGCACCCTTGAGAGGCTGAGCGGCACCGTACTTCTCACGGATAGCCATGAGACCGGGCATCTCGATCTCAGCGAGCTCAATCTCGCGGCGACCGAAGGCGGCCAACGACTGCTCATGTTAGACTTGATATCCGCCTTGAGTAACCTGGATTGAAAGACGTACGATGTCGGCGACCTTGAACTTCTGAGCGGGGGCAGCCATGGCTGATTTTGTGAGGGTATATGGGAGAGGGGAAAACTGGAGTGATTTGTTAGCAATTGCAGCTCAAGTTGAGGAATCTGCAAATGGACTCACAAAAGAAAGGATGGGGTGGATGGGAGGAGGAAAAGAGAGGTGTGAAAGGAAGAAAAGGGAGAAGAAAAGGATCAGAGAAGAGAAGAGGGGCAGCGGGTCGGAGTTCAGTTGTTACGGCGGGGCTGGCCAAAATGGGGCGGTCAGTCTTACTCAGCCCTTAACCCCATCTACAGTTGGTATTTTCCTTTTTATTTCTGTTTATCGGGAGAAACTGATGGCTGTATTGCTTTCCGATTTGTTCTTTGAAATTATTAGCACAATTGGCTGCGTTGTGGCAGATTAGATATTTCTATGGGAGTATAGTATCGGTAGACAGCTGAGGTGGGTTTGCCGTTGGCACGTTGCTGGGGCAGAAGCCATAGATGGCTCTACGGAGTGAGTCTACCAAATCAGGTCCTCCGGCCCCGACGAACAAGGTGGCAGGAACTAGAGCATCGGCAGGTGCCTGGCACCCCTAAAAGATGGAGTTCCGGTCAAGTTACTCCGGTTCAGCCGTATTCGGGGTACCTATTCCAATGCTGCCAATCCAGCCCCACATCCGGCCTGTCAGCATGCTGTACCCTGCTATCACACCTTGGGAACGACCTTTTAAAAACGAACCACGGATTGTTGAGCGGCCCAGCATCGGAAAATGTCTGATCAAATCAAGCAAATGACATCGGACGGTAAGTACCCAAAGCAATCGGCTTATTCGCTCTATATCAGCGCCGGGCAGCCCATCGGCTCCCCGCATTGGAGCTGCGGAGTTTGCAACAGCCTACTGCATGTCAGACGGACTCGAGCATAGCATTATCGGACTTGCTAAGCCTTTATCTTCCAGAGATTTCTCTTCTCTTTGTAGTGGCTAGAGCATTACAAAGGCTCATGTACAATAACAGGAGGACGAAATAATCAAAGCCGATCATTGCCGGGGAGTTTACAAGATACAACTTTATAGTTATGGCCATCTCGAGGTTTGTTTCTGAAGTTTTTCTTTTGATATATGACTAAAAAAACAAGTTTGTAAAGGTTGTAAAATCATACTAATGCAAAAGTAATTCTTGAAGTTACTGAACATAGAGATCGTGCTATTATATATATCTCGGCGTTTAGACACCATCCCCAAAGCGATACGGGTTCATCCATCTCTGCGGATCATCAGAATCGAATTATTCCAAGAACATGGTTAGCATACCTTATCATAAGGCTTGGACGAGTCACAGAACCGCAAATCCGTAGCCAAGCGGATGACACCCGCAGGGTCCTTGTTGATAGTCGAGGCGTGGATCTATATAATATCAGTCAATCAAGTCCTATGAGCAACAAATTACTCGGAATCATACCGCATGAGGCTTGTGTAGGACAACATCCCCTGCTTCGTAGGCAGATACCAGCCAGCGCCGATTATGCTGCTTCGCAAACTCGGCTGGGAATTCGGATAGCAGCCCTGTGGCCATCATATTCGAGTTGAACGCCGAGCGAGCTTCCTCCTCTGTCAAGCCGGCATTCTTGGCTTTCGTGGTAAATTCTTCTTCGATCTTGAGACCGACGGAGTCGCCTAAACCGTATCATTAGCACCCTGCGCTTGAACGAGAACAAGAAGTTAGGGTTAGCAAAGCATACCATCCTCAAGATAAATCAGCCCACCCCCATTGACCTTAACATCCCCGATGGGCACCCAAGCCGTCAAACTCGTCGGCTCACCATACCTCAGAAAAATCTGGTCATAATGAACCCCAATGGGTTTGGTGCCAGGCGTATTGTTCCGCAGCAATGTACGCTGGAACGTCAACGTATCCTTCCCCCACCCACTGAACTTTGCAACGAAGTCATACAGCGCCGGATGATGGCACAGCTTCTCAACATACCAATCCTTATAGTGCGCCTCTATCGCGCGGTCCACGAACGTATCTGCGTTCTCGCCGCCAGGCCGTCCGTTGCCACCTACCGCGCCCGCGCCAATACCTGGGTAGTGCTCTGGGTCCTTTGTCGGATTGAAGATGCCCTCGACCGGGTCAGTGCCTTCTTTTAGGACGCCTGTGGGCGAGAGGTACGAGAAGTATTGGCGGCGGGTCTCGAGGACGTCGTCCCGAGGGAGCAGGCCCTTGAGGAAGAGGTATCCATCGGCGTTGTAGCGGGCGCGGAGCTCTTCGATGGGGAGGGACGGGTCTGAAGGGCGGAGGAGGGCGGCGTTCTCGGAGGTGAGGGGGCCGTCGTTGACGGCGAGGGTTTCAGTCAGGACGCCTGGCATGGTGAGTTTGATATAGAGAGAACAGGAAGAAAGGTGTTAGATTGGAAGACAGCATACCTGGACATGGCTGTGCAGTTGGCTGGTTAAATAGTTCTGCTCGTGTATAGATACCCCGACCATGCTTTGCTGCAGCTAGCCTAAGCTACCCCGCCTCTTCTCCAACTCCCAAGTTCTGCGTTGGACCCAGTCATTTGATTCATCAGGTTCGTTATTGGGAGATGTATCGTTAAGCACCCACTATGAGTGGATGATTTTACCCACCACCCTTCGTGGAAAGATTCCAGAATCATGCTCGATGCGGGGAAAGATGCTGGTTCAGGCTATGGCCTATTTGGTATGTCCGAAAAGGGAAAATTTCCATTCTTGTATTGCTCTATTATAGGAAATATTCCTTCTAAAGTAGTATGCGTATGTATACTCGCTTAATCACAAATGTCGATCGTGACCAGAACGCCATCATCTGAATACTCCATGCCATCATCCCACATATCTAATGCTTCCACTCTCGAAACTCCCACTCCCCAACCTCCTCGCCAACAACAAGCTCGAGCGTTGTGAACACAATCTGCTCATACATTACCCTGGCAGCCCCGCGCGCCTTTGCATGCCAGGGCCCAGTCCCGCCTGCTCTTGCATCTTCGCGACTTCTCCATACACCTGACCATGACCCATTAGCACAGCTCACCACAGAAAAAGAGCATGAGTGCAAACATACAAGTAGCAAGATTCTCCCTCTTCTCATTCTTAACTCCAAACCAATACCTCAGCAAGCCACCACTAGTCACAGCCTCTGCATGCGATCGTTCATCCAGCAAGTGCAGGCGCTCCCCATCGATATCTGTTTGCAGTGTTGACCTGAACACAACGACATAGAAACTCTGCCGCTTCCACGAGTAGCCTTCTTTCGCGGCAAGATCGTGAAGTGTTGCTGAGACGGATGACCAGTTGAAGGACTCGGCGTATGGCGCTGTGGCGTAGTCTGCGCGCGTGGGGGTGAGTGTTGTTAGGGCTTGCGCGAGGAGGCGATTCGGTGTGTCGAGAGTTGAGAGGTCCAGGAGGTGCTCCGGCGTAGTATAGGGCGATGTTATGAGATATCTCGAGTCGCTTTTGCTCGATTCGTCTTCTATTAAGTCTGAGGTAGGCGCAGGCTGCGACTCGGACTCGGGGTATATCCCTGTCGATACCCCTAAGGCCCTGGATAATGTTGGTGGTACCGGTATAGCGTCCAACTGAGGCAAGGCTGATGCGCTGTCTGTAGCCACCGGCACGGCCGTAGTTATAGAGGCAGCGGCCATTCTATGCTTATATTCATGGAAGAGCGTTCTATCGGCTTGCCATCTGAAGGAATGACAAAACTGCACGCTCCGCTCAATGCACGCAAAAAACTCGAGGACAAAAGATGTTAAGCGAAGGAAAAGAAAGAATGCGACAAAATCATCAATGGCGATTTTATACCCAAGCCCAACTGAAAGAGTGACTCAAAAATCTGAGGGTTCCAAACAACAAAGATTCCACCCGAAGCACGCAATGCGATGACGAGATCTCCCTTGGAAAGAGCACCATTGTCGCGCAGCCGGTTCCATAAGCATGAGTGGTTATTGTCTAACATTCGGATAAATACCTTCAGGAGATATAGGACACCAGGTACCTTATTGCTGCCCAGTGCGTTAATATACTTCTGGCGTCTGACAGGGTTCGGGAGTTCGGATTTGTGATGATTTGGAGAAGAGTTTCGCCCCCTGGGGAAATGTTTGCGGAGAAACTACCGCTATCGAACTACTCTAGACTATTTAGTGTGGACTATAACTTGAAGAATATTTGATTTAAGTTATCATGCATTAGCGATGGTATCATGCTCCGGAACCCTCATTCTCTAAACGCCGTGTAATGCTCAAACATCAAGGACAATGGGAAAAGCCTTCAGAGATCTTACTGTGAAGGAGGCGGCGGCGGACCCATTTTGCCGGCGCCGGTGTCGACTCGTTTCGTAGGCAGCGCAGGGACTTTGAATCCTCCGTTGGTTGTTTCCGACGAATTTTTGGGGCCGCTCTGTCCACCCACTTGGGTGAAAGTGCCTGACTTGAACCATCGGTCTTCCTCCGCCTTGCGCTTGCGGCTGAGCTCGGCTTGCACCTTGGGGTCGACCAGCTCGAGTCCCTGCACGGGAGTGAAAGCGATAGTACTGGCTGTACCAGCTGCACCGCCAAACGAAGTACCAATGCCTGATGACCGGAGACCCCTGGCTTGTAGCACGCTCGCCGTACCGCTCGGACCCTGCCCAAATGTGCGCAGCGACGAAGCAGTTCCGCTGGCCGGGGTTGCTGCACCCCAGCCCTTGTTGGATTTGCTCAGCTTTGCCCTTGTTCTCTGATCTATCTGGGTTGCGCGGATGCGCCCGTCGTTTTGCTGGCCCATCATGCCCAGTCCAACGGTTCCTTCTCCGGCGCCAAAGCCAACTTCAGCTTCCTCCTTGCCAAAGGCAACGCGGTTCTGCGCCTTGCGAAGTTCAGTCATTGCGACAGCTTCCTTGGCCTTTCGCGCTCTTCTACCACCTCGTTTTCTCGAAGGCTTGTCATCTGGAGCGGGAAGGGCTTTGGTGCCGGAGTTGGGAGCAGGCTCGGTTAGTTTCTCCAACCGTTGGTAGCATTGCTGCTTGAGTTCCTCTCCCAAGGAGCCGTCGGGGCTGTATTTTGAGACGTCGGCACGCGTAGCAAGTACCATCTTCGCCGAGACAATGCGGATGGCCTGTCGCTTTAGGTCGTTGGGGATGTCTTGGATGAGCTCCGAGTTATAAAGGAACCCTTGCGACCTGATACTAGTGTTTGTAGCGAATCCCAGACCCTCTTTCCTCTTCGAACCCTGGGCGCCCAAGTTGCATGCAGGGATCTTAGCAAGCTCTCGCAGTCCTCCCGTCTGGTTGAGGAATTGGGCCGCGGTTTCTGGACCAACCAGCGCTGCCAGATTAGGGGCGATCTGGCTCATATTGGCCTGAATGCTCTGTGTGAGAGCGGTCCGCTCGCGGTCTAGCTTCAGAATCCTCTCGCAAGTGTCCAGCACGACCTTGAGCTCTGCCTCCGTCATCTCGCGTCCTCGGGTTGTTGTGCCTTCTACCGCAACGACCATCAGAGTTGGGCCATCTAGAATGGATTTCAGAGGTACTCCAACCATGTTGTCTGCCGAGGTCGACAGGGCCTTGATGTCCTTGAGCGGTCCATTTTTGAGAATCGCGACGGTTTTTGCATAGTCGATAGAGTTTGTCACGAGGGTTTCAAGTTCCGGGAATCTGACAGAGTAATGATCGCGCAGCGATTTATGTAGTCGTGTTAGTTCGTCTGCAGTCGATAGAGCAACTTCGAACTCGTTCGTAACTGCTTTGGCGGGCTCTTGTAGCAGCAGCTCCTCGTCTCGGTCGTCTTCGATAGCCTCCGCGCCGTCAGCGTCCTCGAAGTCGTCGTCATCTTCGAAATCTCTCAGAAGCTCCTCTGCGTTGGACATGATGTAGAGTCTGCAGCTAAGCAGTTATCTCGGCTTGCTCTAGTCTGCCGTTTGACGAAGGTTGGAATTTCATCATGTAAAATGCCGCCGCAAAGGAGCCGCTGAGTCAGCGAAGCTAGTACCTACGGTTGGCGGGAGGAGTCACTCGCGCAGCTTCTGCGTTTTCGGGCAGTCAGGACATACAACCGTGACCTTTTCATTCATCCACACCTCTTTCGAATTGAGTCCCATAAACATGGAGGCATCGCGGGGACCCCCAAGGGTCAAGAACAAGGCTCCTGCGCCCGTCCAGATCTCAGCGGAGCAGCTGCTCCGTGAGGCTGTTGACCGGCAGGAGCCCTCACTACAGGCGCCGACGCAACGGTTTGCGGATCTGGAAGAACTACACGAATACCAGGGTCGCAAGAGAAAGGAATTCGAGGACTATGTGCGGCGCAACAGAATTAACATGAACAACTGGATGCGGTACGCCGCTTGGGAGCTGGAACAGAAGGAATTCCGCCGGGCACGATCGATCTTCGAACGAGCGCTGGATGTCAGCTCAACCTCTGTGCCGCTATGGATCCGGTATATTGAATCGGAGATGCGAAACCGAAACATCAATCATGCGAGGAACTTGCTTGACCGCGCCGTCACGATCTTGCCGCGGGTGGATAAGCTCTGGTACAAATATGTCTACATGGAAGAGACTCTGGGCAATATCCCTGGCACGCGGCAGGTATTTGAGCGATGGATGTCATGGGAGCCAGAGGAAGGTGCGTGGAGTGCGTATATTAAGATGGAGAAGAGATACAATGAGTTTGAGAGAGCGCGGGTGATCTTCCAGCGGTTTACGATCGTGCATCCCGAGCCCAGGAACTGGATTAAATGGGCTCGATTTGAGGAGGAGAACGGTACCAGCGACTTAGTGAGAGAGGTGTATGGGGTTGCGGTGGAGACGCTGGGCGAGGATTTCATGGACGAGAAGCTGTTCATCGCATACGCCAAGTTTGAAACGAAGCTCAAGGAGTATGAGCGCGCTAGAGCCATCTACAAGTATGCTCTAGACCGGTTGCCCCGTTCAAAATCGGTCACTCTTCACAAGTCGTACACTACGTTTGAAAAACAGTTTGGTGATCGCGACGGCGTGGAGAATGTCATTCTTACAAAGCGCAGAGTTCATTATGAGGAGCAACTGAAGGAAAACCTGCGCAACTATGATGTTTGGTTCGACTTTGCGCGCCTGGAAGAGACTTCCGGGGACCCCGAGCGAGTGCGGGATGTCTACGAACGGGCGATTGCGCAAATTCCTCCTTCCCAGGAGAAGCGACACTGGAGGCGTTATATTTACCTTTGGATCTTCTATGCCCTCTGGGAGGAGATGGAGGCCAAGGATATCGACCGTGCTCGTCAGGTCTACGCCGAATGTTTGAAACTAATCCCTCATAAGAAGTTCACATTTGCCAAGATTTGGCTCATGAAGGCGCAATTTGAGGTACGGCAGATGAACCTTCAAGCGGCGCGTAAGACGCTGGGCCAGGCGCTTGGTATGTGTCCTAAGGACAAACTTTTCCGTGGTTACATCGACCTGGAGCGTCAACTATTCGAGTTCGTACGGTGCCGGACGCTGTACGAGAAGCAGATTGAGTGGAATCCGTCTAATGGCCAATCTTGGATTCAGTATGCGGAACTGGAGCGGGGCTTGGACGATGCCGACCGTGCGCGAGCCATATACGAGCTTGGAATCGAACAGCCAACCTTGGATATGCCCGAGCTTGTCTGGAAATCTTACATCGACTTTGAGGATTACGAAGGCGAATACGAGCGTGAGCGGGATCTGTACGAGCGCCTTCTGCAGAAGACAGACCACGTCAAGGTCTGGATCAACTACGCACGGTTTGAGATCAATGTGCCGGACGAGGAAGAAGAAGAGGACGAAGAAGAGCGACCGATCAGCGACGAGGCCAAGCGACGAGCCCGGGCTGTCTTTGAGCGTGCACACAAGGTGTTCAAAGAGAAAGAGCTCAAGGAAGACGTAAGTCATCGTCCTAGTATTTATTTATGGGGCTGCGGTGCTAACATATGTGCAGCGAGTGGAATTGCTCAACGCGTGGCGATCCTTCGAACATACGCATGGCTCGCCAGAGGATATCGACAAGATCGAGAAACAGATGCCCCGGCGGGTCAAGAAGCGGCGCAGGCTGGAGGACGACCGGTACGAGGAGTACATGGATTATGTGTTCCCAGCGGACGACCAGTCGGCAGCGAACCTCTCGAAGCTGTTGCGGATGGCGCACCAATGGAAGCAGGAGTCGGCAGGTGGGCAGTGATGCAGGTGGTAGTACATACAGGGTATATTGTCATGATAGGTCATCTAATACATACTGCCTCCGGCACGCCGCACACAGTACTCCATACAATTACACTTGACTCTTGAGTCTCCGTCATGGTCAACGGTTGATGTATCAAACCCCACATTTAAGGTACATTCGGACCCGGTTATGACTTATAAGAAATAGTATCACGCCACTCCCGGGCATCTCATCACGCGGCACGCCATTCACGCGTCAAGAGTGCCTGAGAGACCAACGGCACCAGCCAATGAGGATGCAAGCAGGATGCCTCGTGAGCTGGAGTCAGCCCGCCGATCAGCGCGACTCGGCGCTGCAGGTCTGAGTGGCCACCAGCTGCAGGAACAAAGGGCCGCTCAACGGCGACTTCAGCCCGGCTTCCAGCTGCTTACTGGGCAGTTCTGTATATCTTCAAAAGTTTCACGAGAAAACTCTCTGCTCAGAAATTGGCATCTCCCAGCTGTGACGTATGAGCGATCCTTGCTAGAATCTCGTAGGAATTTCAGGAAATCATGGGACGGGCAGAGGCCAACCATGGATCGCCCAGTTGCCCCTGAAAGTCCCTGGCGCCCTTACATCTGCTCCTGTAAGGATTGCTGGCTCAGACAGGCTTGATATCAACCCGTCTGCTGACGTCGGTTGATATTGATCGATATTGCCGCCTCAAGTCTCACGGCCTCACTAGTAGCTGTGTTGTTGTCTTTCGCTCCGAACCCTCCGATCTACATGGTTGGGCAGTGTATCCGTGACGGGCGCTCTTCTGACTTCAGCTCTCGTTTCTCGAATTTGCGATTCTTCTATTTTATTCTCCTCGAAAATCTCATCGAGATCGTGGACGTTATTAATTAATTATTGCCAGTTAGCAAGGTGAGAGATTCTGTTGTGGTCCTACCTGGGGCCGTTGTTTCACTGCCAGCCTATCCCCAAATCCAAATTAATTAATCGCTCTCACTCAATCTGCACCTGCGCTTGCACTCAGAGTCTCACTCTGTCTCCCCTGACTCGGCCCTTCCAAGTTCCTCTCTTCCTCTCCTCTCCAGAGTCAATCTTTTCTCTCCTTCGTTTTTTTGCCCTTTCGACCCTCGCGGTCTCGCGTCTCTCGTTTCTTCTTCCCCCTGCCGGTTTGACATCGTGCACGCATCGCATTGGACCGGTCGCCCTATGAACTATTCCAGCCCCTGAAAATTCCCCGATTGACAGCCACCAGGTCGCTCGCCCTTCTTTTCTTCCGCTCCTTCGCTCCTGCTTGGGCTCTCGCCTCGTCGATCTTTCCTGCCTGGTTGAATTCGATTCCCAGCCGACCTTCGCTCTGTTCTGTAAAGCTTCGTAACCCACGGCCTTGGACCCCTCGGCTCGGTACCATGAGATAGGACTCTGGCAGTCACCCTTCCATTCGCTTTAGTTCAACCCTTGCCCGACCGCATTCATTTTCGGGTGGCTGGTTACCCACCAGATCCCAACTTCGGCTGGTATACACGAAGACTCGATTGACTCTCGCTACTGTCGACCATCATGCTTGCGCCTAAGCCCCCGACCAAGTTGGAGGGCCACTGCTCCGTGATTCACGACAACACTCTCTACACACTTTCAACCAATGGATTCGCCTCAATTCCGCTCGAACGAAATGCAACATGGTCTGAACTGAACACGGACGGCGCCGAGCTAGTCTCGGATGCCGTATGTGTTATGGGTGGTGTTGATGGCAACGAAAACAAAACGGCTCTCTACGTGGTTGGTGGAACCTCATCAAAGTCAGATCTGCCAGGAATCCAGCGGTACTCGCTTGAGGATAAGACATGGAAAGCGATTACTGTGCAAAACGCGCTGCTCTCTAACCGGACAGGTCACAGCGCTGTGTATCTGAAATCCATCTCAACTATCTTGACATATGGCGGCAGCACCACTGATGGATCTCAGCCGTCTTCCGAAAATTTCAATGTGCTTGTGAAACCGACATACAGACTTGACTCTGGTACTGGATATGCGACGCCTGCAGTTTCACCACCACTTTTGACCTGGAGCGATGATACGGCTGTGTTGTTTGGAGGTAAAGATGAACCAGAGCAGCCGCATTTCTGGAACTCGACTGAGCACTGGCACAATGATGGGTACGACTCCTTGAACATGACTTTTCCTACTGGGGTGAAGGCCGCCCTTTTCCAAGACTCGGATGGTAGCAGAATCTTGCGGACTTTCGACCTGAACCAATCACCAGTCGAGGTTTCGAATACCTCAAAGAGCTTAGTACCATCATCGGCTCAATCCTCCAGGAAGCGGAAAAGAGACGATAGCTCGAACTATGATGATAGCTTGGCACCTACTGTAAGCCAAACAAGTTACTCGTTTGCTCAGGGTGGTCTGGACAGCCCGTTGGTAGTAATTTCTGGCGGCAGTGGTACCGACACTCTGTCCATCTTTAACCAAACCTCGAACGACTGGGTCAATACGACCAAGCTATTCTACGGTGACAAGTCTGAACAAGAGATTCTTGGATCAACAACAACCACAACGTCATCACCCACGGCCACTTCGACAGAGGCATCTGCAACGAGTGGCTCCGACTCGTCAAGCGACGACTCGGGTGCTGACGTTGGTACAATCCTTGGTGCAGTTCTGGGGAGTCTCATGGGCGTTGCCGTCATTCTGGTTCTCATATTGTTCTATATCAAGAGGAAGAAGGAGAAGGCGCGCCAGGCGGGTGGTATGGACAAGGACCGGCTAAGCTTCCAGGACCAGGGCGTAGAACCTCTGGCCCGCTCAGCTTACCCTATGGCGGAAAGTCCAGCCCCGAAAGCAGCTGCTTCCGTGGATTCGCTAGCAATCTTCTCAGGAAACCTGGGTGATGAAAAATCTCCTCGGTCCGCTGGCTCCCTACCGCAATACTTGCAGAACACCCAACCCGCAAAGCCTAGCCCGCTCAACAATATCCAGTCCAGTGGTGATAGTGTCTACAGTCTAGATGATAAGGCCATCGAAGCTGGTCAATCGCCGGTGCGTCGCACGACTGATGAAGGCTGGGGCAAGTACTTCCAGGGCAACAACACACCGACCTTGAGCACACCGACCTTGAGTACGCCGACCCTGGTTGGCGTTCAGTCTCCATACGACTCAACGCGCGGCTCCAAAGCTACAATATGGCCGGGAGCCAACAACGCCCTCCCGCCTCTGCAGACGAGTTTCCTACAGGAGCCGACCCCGCTAGGACGAGTCAACAGCGGTAGTCCCACGACCGAAATCGGCCGTCAGATCGTAATCCCCGAGAGTCAGTCAGCACGCATCTCCAGCGCTAGTTCTGCGAGCTTCAACTCAGACGACGGGGATTATCACGGCGCGCGCGAACAAAGCTGGCTCGGCCGTCCCCCAAGCAGCACTTACAGCAGGAGCTTCTACAACCCAGGCAGCACGCGGGACGCTCTCTCAGTGGCACCGTCCACTTTGGCGCCGTCAGTAGACTACAGAGGGCAAGACTCACATCGCACGAACACGCGAGGATCGAGCATCCTAATTCCGGATGGCCAGCCGCTGCCGAGGAACAACGTCAACTCGGATATGAGCTGGCTGAACCTCAATGCCGACCGATAATCTGGTTCAACCATCAGTATCACTATCTCTGTCCGACTTCTAACAATGAACAATGGTCGGAGATCTTGCCGTTCCTTAATATATGTCAAGCTCAATGCAACAACACACTCCCTCAATTCTCATCACCTCGATCCTTACCATCCCTCATCAAAACGCCCCACCCGGATAGCGCAAGCGTTGGCACGCCCTCTCATCGTTGCAATCCTATCCTTATCTTATCAGCGCGGCGCTGTGCTTGATCTGATTTGATCTGATTCGATTTGTACACTTCCGCTCTCAGCGAGTTCTCATCTTTTCTACATCTCGTGTTTTTTTGTCCCTCCCTCGACTTAATATAGCCTGGCATGCTTTTCTTGATATCCACATGGTGTGTTTGTGTTGGTTCTGTTGCAGTACATGGCATTGTACATAGATTACATCTTACATGGGTTGTATGTGGTGTAATGTTGGGTTTTTGATCTCTTATGGCTGCTTGCCGGCTCGGTATGGTGTCCCGTGCTTGATTGCATGGCTGAATGGAATTATCGCATTTCTCATCTTATTTTTATTTACCATGGCCGTAGATTTGTATTTTGATACGAAGTCCGGAGGAATAAACAGCACTGCAATCGCGTAACCATCCAGTTCACTTTTGTACTTTCGCCCGCTCTCTTCTGTCAGGCTCACTGGTACCATGCGACGGCTGGCATCTCAGATCAATGCTCTACTCTACCCCAATGCGAATGACAATTCGAATATATCTCAGGCCTTTAGGTGAGGTGGTTGTGGGATAAAGCGAGGTGGGTGTGTCTTTGTTCTGCTATTGACACCCCAATCGGGTAACCAGCTTCACTTCTCCTCTTGCCAGTGTCCCTTTCCCATTACTACCAGGCATCCTTGATGACAATCTAGCTGTGGTTATGATAAAGTACGGTCTCAACCTGGTAAGTTACTGACAATTATCTGCCCAAGAACAACTACTGAAAGCCATCCATAGCTCCAATTGCAACCATGTCCAGCAACACGAGCACCAGCCCAAGCTCCAGCAACACCTCGAAGCCAAATTCCAATTCCACCCCCAAGAAAGGTACGTCGATCCTCTAAAAGATACAGCCGCGACACCGCATCATCCCAGCACCAAACTAATACCAACTTGCTCCCGCTAGTCTGGACAACCCTAATCACAAACACCTCCTACCTCCCGGGCCTCCTAACCCTCGAATTCTCCCTCCGCCGCGTGAACTCCGCATACCCACTGGTAGCCCTATACACAGACTCCCTCCCAGCATCCGGGCACGCCGCCCTCGACGCGCGCGGGATCGCAAAGAAACACGTTCCCTACCTGCTCCCGTCCATCCACAAGGAGTACACGAACGACGTGCGCTTCTACGACTGCTGGAGTAAACTTACACCGTTCTCGCTCGTCGAGTATGATCGCGTCGTGCAGCTTGATTGTGATATGCTCGTTTTGAGGAATATGGACGAGCTTATGGAGGTTGAGCTTGACGGGTTCGAGCTGAAGGGCGAGGGAAGGAGGGTCTTTGCGGCGTGCCATGCTTGTGTCTGTAATCCGCTGAGAAAGGAGCATTATCCGGTAGACTGGTGCGTTCGGCTTCTGGCTTCTTTGATCGAGAGTCAAGTCAAGTCAAGTCAAGTCAAGTCAAATATACTAACAGAGAACGCCAGGATCCCCTCGAACTGCGCCTACACAACGCAACACACCCTCACACAACCCATATTCGCCTCCAATTTCGCACCCCCGGCATCATCGGGCCTCGGGATCCCCAACGGCGGACTGCAAGTCGTGAACCCGTGCCTAGAAATCTACAACAAGATCACGGCGCAGCTTGGGTCCGCCGCAACATCGTCCTACGACTTCGCGGACCAATCGTTGCTAGGCGATCTGTTTCGGGACCGGTGGGTGGCGCTGCCGTATGTGTATAATGCGCTCAAGACGCTGAGGTGGGAGGGTGTGCATGATGTTATTTGGGAGGATGGGGAGGTCAAGAATGTGCATTATATTCTGAGTCCGAAGCCTTGGGAGGAAATGGGAAGTAGAAATGAGAGGGAGGGACAAGGGCAAAATGGGGATGGGGCTTTGGAAAGAAAGGGGAAGGGCAGGGATCCGTTGCATGCGTGGTGGTGGGAGGTGAATCGGGAGAGGTTAAATGAGGAGAAGGCCAAGGGGATAGATGATGGATTTTGAAGGGACAGGCCTGGGATCTAGGGCTATGGAGATACTCAGATATTCGAGGCGATGATAAGCTTGTTGGCAGGCTAATCAAGCCATAGTAATGCCATCAGCAGCTATTGCCTGGTCAGTACTTATTCATACCAATCTGAGTGACTTCTTCAACAGTGCCTAACAATCCATGCACGTTCCTTCCCTTTATCTTCAGTCCAACTTATCCACCAAGCCTCCTTTGCCTGCACGACCTAATAATGGCTGGATTAGAGAGGTTACGCTGGCTGGCTGGCAAACCGCGTGTCCTGGGGCCGTTTTCTCTGCCTACGACTGAAGATCTAGTGTTCTACACATGGTGCTTTTGGAATTCAAATGTGAAAAAAAAATACTGACGCATTTTGTGTACCTAGATTTAACTGACTCTGAGTCGCTAGATCAAACATAGATCATGTATGGCATACAGAAGCAGAGGCAGCATGAAAGAGAGAATAACACCCGAAATCATTGAGCTGCAAGATCATGGAACGCGAATGAGCAAAGTACAGGTGCAAGTGCAGGTGCAACTGAAGCAGATATCAGATCGCGATCGCGTTGTATCATGTAACAATTTTGGTAGGGCAAAGTCGTCATAGTCGTAAAGGTCATAAAATCATGGTCATAATGCCGTAGTCATGGCAGGTCATTGAAGCTCATGGCATGTCATATCCTGCTAGAGTCATGAGTTCGATATATGGATCATATCTCATAATCATTTGAAATAAAACAAGCGCATATCATGCACGAAAAGAAGGCAAAGCATTGCATTCGGAGAGGCAGCAAAATTAAACCATCACACTAGGAGACCGGCCACCTATAGAGCGTCTATCGGCAACGGAGTAATTCTCTTCAACCTCGTCAGGGTAGATCGTCCGTGGTGTATGATGGCTGAGACTCTGAGTGCGATACGGGCGAGACTGAGAATGAGGTGTAGAATGGCCAGAACCGGAACGACCCTTCGACATGGACTTTGAGCGCTCTTTGCAAATTTTACGCAAGTGGGCTCGCTCGCGGCGTTTCTGGTCGAACGACTTCCATTCTGATATGGCAGAGTTGATACCAAGGGCTGCAACCCCTACACTAGCGATGTCGGAGAGTTGATTCTTTCGTCGACGGTGGGCCGCCTCTTCTTTTGACATATTACCCTCCCTCACTTGCTTTGCTCGTTCTTTGTGCTTTTCCATATTTTCGGTCAACGAGTGGGCGGCATGAATTGTTGCTGCGGCCGCGAGGCCGGTTGCCCATAGTGTATCCTTGTTGAGTTGGTGAAGTTTTTTGTGATCGTTGTTACTGTCATCCGCGTCAGAACCACTCTGATTGGTATCACGCGATTGCTCTTGTGTGCGCGTGCTTTGGGAGCCAGGGCGCGAGTAGTGTCCCACGGTTTGATCGTAGTTCCCATTCGCTCTGGCTCCCGATTCAGGAAGGTAATAAACTCGACTCACATCTCTGGAACGCCTGGTTCGCGGTGGGCTCGGGTGGCGGCGGTAGTATTCATCGCTGCTGTATCCATCGTCCGAGTAATCATCATATCGTGATGATCTGTGGTGACGACGGCGCCGATCATCCCTGTCGCTTCGGTCTCTGTCTTTTTTATCATCGAGGCCCAAAGCTGCCATGCCTTTATTGATGTAGTCGGAAACGCTCTTGCTCCGCTTGTGGCGAGGACGAGAGTCGTAACTGTCATAGCTATCCCTCGAGTCGGACCTGTGACGAGGTCGAGAACGGGAGTGAGACTTCTGGTATCGATCATAGGCTTCTTTACCGGCAGCGGCGAGAATTCCTGCGATGGCAGCGTCCTTGGCCTTGCTTCGGCCCTTGGAACGGGAGCGGGAGCGGGAGCGGTGCCTACGAGACCTCGAACGAGAGCGCGATCCATTGACGACGCGGTTCGTAGCAAGGCCAGCAAGCGTGGACTCAAGGATATGGCGTTTAGAGTGCTTGTCCGGGTTCCGGTCAACCAAACCGTCGGTGCCTCCAGCAGCCAGCGCAGCAGTCAGGACGCGTTTGCCCTTAGCACCAGACCAGTCACCGGGTTCCTTGCGGGCGCGGAAAGCCTCAACCGCTCCAGCAGTCAAAGCAGCTTTGACGGCCTGGGCAATGCGCGCCTCGCTCTTGTCGCGGTGACGGTGGCTTCCGCGGGACGGAGACGGCGAGTACGAATAAGACCTATGGTGGCGGCTACGCGAACGTCCTCGGCCGCTATCACGGTGCTTGGATCCTGCGGCAGCGGCTCCAGCTCCTAGGCCGAGGGCGCCAAGGGCACGCTCTGACAAGGATCTCCGGCGACGGGGCGGCGAGCGGCTGGTTGACGGCGAATAGGCGTATTTCTCACGACCGCCTGGTACAGTCAGTTCGACCTGGATCCCGTTTAATAATTAAAAATGTTTACGCACGTTGTTCATCATAGTGCCTGGAACGTCGGGAGCGGGGTTCGTAGTCATCGTAAGGGTCGTCGTAGTAGTCTGCCGAGTGCGCCTTGTGGCGGCTCTTGCGTGAAGGTCTCGAGTCGCGGTAGTCGCCGTGTCCATACTCGTATGCGTCCTTTGCAGGGTGGTTGCGGTAGTATGCATCATTGGATCTGCCGGTAGCAGGGGGCTCGGCATGTGGCATGACATCCGTGGAGTGACTCCCGTGCGCGCCCCCATGGTAGTAAGGGGTCTCAGGGTACGCCGCGGGGGGATACGGTGGCCGGCTATCGTAGTAAGCCATTGCTAGAGAGTAAGGTGGGAACAAGAATTAGATGATAGAAGAAATATGAATCACTGGCTCAGTAGTCCATATGAAATGAGATGACTGACGGCCGTGACTGCAGTGAGGTGGCGAGGAATGAGGAGGGGACGTCATGAGGCCGAGCACACAAGGAGGCAGCTCAGCTGTTTTATGTGTGTCTGTGGCAGGCGAGGCGGGGCACCAGCCGCAGTCATGGCTCTGACGTAACTTCTTTATTCTCTCGCCGTCTCAGAGTGGTCGAGGCTGCGTGCGTTCAAGCCACAGATCACCAGGTTCGAGATCAAGTTCTATGACTTCGCTCGTCTCGTCTGTGGCTGGCGGCCATCTCCGCTGGAATCCCGGTGACCAGGTATAGAAGACCGTCATCCGGCCCAGACAAGGCGGCTAAAGGCACGTTCCTGAGTGGATGGGACAACGCATACTGAATTCATTATGATGCTTAGGCTATAATACATTCCGTCTATAAGTTGAGACTTTGGAGGGTATGATGTCATAGGTAGACTCAATGAGCGCCATTGCCTTACATTGTACACCGTGCTGTTGAGGTCCACAGAATATGGATGCCAGACAAAAGCAATATGTCCCGGTCTCTCGATCGATGAATCTATAACATGATGAACATCAGGCATCAAATAAGCTCCACAGTCGCCGCCCAACTCTGGGCCGGGTTCCTGATCCAGACTCTAGTCCAGCTTCTACCCCGGACCATTGTCCCAAATCAAGTCGTGACATTACTTGGCGCCTGATCCACGGTTCTACTCAGCTACTGGGAGACAAAGAGATACTCTTTGAGTCAATCAAACCCTCTGGGTATCATATGATCGCGGCTCAAGTGAGCCTTTTGCTGACGTCGCTTTGTTATAGTACATGCTGCTCGGCCGTGAGCCATGATCCTTATGCCATTCATGACATAGACAAGACAATACAAGAAAGGAAAACGCTGATAGCTGGTACATGCAAGTCTTAGAAAAAAAAAGAAGGCAGACGATGCAATGAAATATAAACCCAAGAAAAGAAAACCAAAAATCCGCGCTTTGCTGCGAAGCATAAGTCTATCGAATTCTATCCGCCATTTCTAGATGGCGAGAAAAGGAAGAAGAAAAAGAACCAAAGGAGCAGAAAGGATGAGCAGCTGGTGCTGCGGCAGTCACTCCTGTCTTCCACAGTCATCTTGTCGCTCGAAACTTCCGTAGAAGGATCTCATGATGAGCGCGACGGCCGAGAGACTCATCAGCGTCTGGGTTGTCACGGACTTTCAGAGAATAGAGAAGTTCTCTAGATGCCCTGTGTTCATCGACCCCCGCGATGGGAGGAAGGAGATGTTGTGGCGACCGCTTCAAATCGGAATCGTCGTCCTCATATTATCGTAGGCAATCATATCTCCAAAACCATGCGTCGAGTGGCCAGTTATCGTACAAACGATTCGTTTCTTCTAGCCGCCCATTCCCGGTTCGCATCGCTACTCCGCGGCGTCGAGTTGGCCGACATCTCTTCAGAATGTGTGCGATGCGTTCGAATGTGTTGCTTCATATTGTCCTTTCGGGTGAACGCCTTGTTGCAGATTGGGCAGTGTACGCTCTTCTCCCCCGTGTGTTTCTTGCCGTGTCGTGCCGCGTGCCCTGAGGTAGTAAAGGTCGCCGTGCAGGCGTGGCTGACAGCGAATGGGCAAGGGTACTTGTTCTTGCGGGCTGGTTTGGCGGCGACAGACTCTTTTGACGTACTAGCGATCGAGGTTTGAGGAGATGGGGGTTCGGCCATGGAGTTGCCGCTGAGCCGTTTGTCCGGGCGCGGCTGATAGGCGTACGGGTCATGGCGGGCGTAAGGGTGGTAGTAGGAGCCAGCGCCTGAGCTGACTGCGTAGTCGTATGAAGAACAGTCCGATGAGCCGGGTGAGGCTGGCCGAGTGGCCTCTGTGACTGGGTCGAATGGCTGCCGCATTACCCGGGGTGACGGTGAGTCGGAGTACGTGCGGCCATAGTGGTAGTCTGACGTGCTTCTTGGCGGAGGCTGCTCCAATGGGTACTGTGAGGTGGGATAATGTGTCGGGATCCCGTAAGCCGTTGATCGAACCGCGAATGCCGGGTTATCATCGTTGTTCAGAATCGACACAAAACTTGACCTGCAGCTTGACATTCTCCCGGCACAGACAATCTGATAGAAGGGAATGAAAGAAAAGAAAAATAATGAGACCCTTTAAGCGGAGAGTTAGCCTGAAGTTCCCCAGCAAAACGAACGACTAATGTGATAGAGGGAAGTGGCGGTGACATGAAACTCTAGCAGAGAACAGGGACTAAAGAAAAGGAGAAAACCCGGGAGGAAAAAGAAAAGAAAAGAAGAAGCTAAGAGGGCACACACCAGCAGACTTGAATATGTTTGCGGTTGCGCTCGTGTAACGCGCCCTTCGATCTGTAGACACTAGAGGGCGCAGAGATCTAACAGCAAACCGATGGACAATTCGAGACCAACTGCTTTGCTGGGATATGGCGAAGTCTCCACTAGACTCGGTGGACGATCTGATCTCAGATACCAGGTTTAATCCGCGGTGCTCACGGGAGGCTGCGTGGACGAAGAACCCGAGGGTCGACAAGGCGGATCAATGCAGCAATGTATTGTCTCGTAGTAGGCCCTGGTCCAAGCTGGAATAGGAAATTGGAGAAATCGGTAGGTGGTGGTTGTAAATTGGACCAGCAGACAGCAGTCCTGGTAGGTCGGTTTGAGGCGGAGAAAAAAGAAATGTTTGGTGACAAGAAGTAATTTGCAGCAGTCTTCCAGAGAATGCAGAAAGTTGTTTGGGACGGAGAGGGGAGTTGGTGAGGAGCAAAGGGTGGTGAGGGTGTGAGGGAGTGAGGTTGTCAGTAGTAGGGAAAAGAAAAGTAAGAGGAGCGACGAAAGATAATATTAATAAACTCGGAATAGATGAAGAAAATAAGAAAAGCATCCATCCATCTTGAAACCGGGCCAGGGTCTCTGTGAAGCTCTGACCATACGAGTTAGTGTGCACTTTAGTTCGTCTGGAGCCCACTGTGGACTCGAGCTTCATGGCTGTGGACCGTCGCTAGGCAGCATAATTCTCGTCTAATCAACTCTGGAGATATTCCTCGCCCGTATTGGCCAGTGAGGGTCATATTCTCACTTTTGTTTAATTTACCCCATTAACTGTCGATTGACGGCATTCAATGTCTCTCAGTGTCTCTCAGCGCACACCGTCCGTAAGCGATATCTCCGAAGTAGAGCCAGCCAGGCTCCACCCGCCTTACTCAGTCCCCGGGCCCGGGCCCTTGAAAGTTGAAACGTTAACGAGTACGTGGTATGTTCACGAATAGTATCACCTCAGCCACAAACCCGTAAGCATGCCCCATAATAATACCGTCTGAAGAGGCGCCGAACCCCTTAGCCTAGCCATGACTCATGAGCCTTCAGGGCCTCCCCCTCCACAGTCCGCGCTACGGACTAGACTAACCCATTTGATCCCTACCTAGTACGTGTCCCTGTCGTCAGCAATAGCATATGGCCAATCTAGTAATCTCGGGGCTACGTACGTTGGTCGTGCGATGAGGGTAGACTAGGAACAGGGGCCAACACTCCGTACAGAGTGGTCTTACGCTCTCAGTGCCAAATGAGGGAGCGGATCACCGATCCTTAACCCAAGAATGCTAAGGCTTGGTCTGATTATCACAGAGGATAACGGTAAGCCGTATGCATGGATTGGCAGCGAGTTTAGGGTAAAACCAGCTGGCAGCCGCCCAGATCCGGTATTGAGATTACAGGCCAGGGACACGCTCATCCCTGCCTATTGCAGTAAGGCTAGGGCCCTGTGGACAAGCTTTTAACCACGCTGCTGAACCGCGGGTGGTGGTGCTATCTGCATTAGTCTGTCTGTGACAGAAGGGTCTCTTACTGTAACCGCCGTCCGACTCATCCCCTCGCGCAAGAAGACACCGATTCAGGGCATTGACCTGCCCAAATATTGGGAACAAGTCTCGGATTTCTCTGCCATTCTCTAACACAGCACAAACCAGGGGTCCCGGGTCTAAATCCGAGTCCGAAAGCGAATGCGAAATCCGAGCTCGGGTTTAAGACGAAGGGACGCGAAACGCTCGAGTTGGAACCACAGAAGAAAATAATCTCGGACAAATATTATAGTTGCAGTTATTATTGGCACGGTTCGAGCGGGTCACGCCAGTCCCTGTCCTCCAACTTGCACAAGTTCACAACTTATGGATCTTTTGCATAATTCGAGTCTCCTCGAGTCCTCAATAATGATGTTCAACGCTTATCTGGTCGAGTCCACATTTTGTATGAGGATTTGCAAGAGAGAAGGCTATCGATCAATATACGCTGCAACCCTGCTTGGCTCCCACAGGCCGTGTTAAAAAGATTAATGCAATGGAAAGTGCGGCCGAAGCAGCAACGTGGCTTGATTTCATCTCCATCCCTGCTTCTCTTTTCTCCGTGGTTGACCCTTCGAGGATTGTGGCTTGGGAGGCTTACGTATCTAACCGAACCCCGAACTCTATCTCTGGACCAAGCGTTATTTTGAGATTTGAAGCCATTCCCGGAGTTATGAACTGCTTCAGGTTAGATGGCCACATCTGCACATCGTGGACTGCACCGTACGCGGGTTGCGTACGTATGCCTTCCCCATCTACTCCGTACGTAGTCTAGTTCACAGAGATAAGGTGTTCCTGCCTCATCCTAGCTGGAGCTTAGCCTGGATAGCGGCAGCGCCCGGAATATACGGCAGAGTCGGTACTGTACGTAGTCGTAAGGAGCAATACGTGTATGTCTGTACCTACTCGCCTCGGACTACCTCACCTCCGCCCAGGCTGCCATCGAAAGGCGGATGACTCCCGCGGCAAAAGAGAACAGTTAGGGCGTTCGACCCTTCCTCACTGGCCCAAAGGACAATAATAAAAACAATCGCACCGTCTATCTATGGCCGGCGTCCGGCGTCCGGCGTCCGCAGATCATCCCCCAGGCAGAGAAATATTTCAGCCTGGAACTCCAACTCCATTGAGTCCCTGAACGCAGTGGACCCGCCTCTGGAATCCAGAAGGGCTGAGACGCCAAGGTTTGGCGCAGATGTTGAACAAGCTTGAGGCTGGGCATCTGCGCCGCACAACAAAATAGGGCGCTGGCTACCTAAGCGGGAACGACATCCCTCAATCAGCTACTATGCCAGCAGCGATACTTCGACAAGATACAGGGATATGAGAGCATAAATCTCTAAACGCCGTAACCCGGACGAATGGTAAGGGATGTCTTGCGGTTATGGCTTTTGATCGAGGTTGACCCTGGGTATCTGCCGTGCCATCTTTCTCCATTTGTGGTTAGCGAGCCACCCCTGCTCTGGGCTGACGCTATTCCAAGAGGCGTTGTCCAGTCCTCTTGGCATATTGGCATAAGGCTGACCTCTGACCTTGGAGAAATCTCAGCCAATGAGTTAATTTCCACCTCGTCGAGTCCACTCCAAGGTCTTGGATGTGCAACCACGGACTGAAAGAATCGTACACCGAGTATGCGGGCGTTAGGTAACCGAATTACTATCACAGGCTCACAGCCAAGACAGTTCCCTGTTGCACTTGCGACTCGAAAGTTTGGTTGGCCTGACGAACCCACCTGACGGTTTATGGAGCGGAATCAGGGTCTTCCGGGTGCCACAAATCAGGGTGAGTTGTGTGGATCGTGGATATGCCTCGACATGATCTAGTCGCTTCGACGGTCTAACCGGCTCAACGAAACACGGAAACAGAGAGGATAGCCCGACAGTCCGCCAATCTCGTCCTGTAATTTCACGCCACTCGAAGGAAGGCCATGTGGAAGACCCTAAGGATAAGGGCCTAGTGTTAGCAGTTGGCACTTAGCACTTAGCACCGGTTTGCACAGGGCCGAAAACAAGAACTCAAGACCTTGGGACTTAGCTAAAAGAAGAGACGTGAGTGGCAGGCCAAGCTGGAAAATGATACGGATACGAGCTGGTGCTGGAGACTCCGCTGACAAACTCTTACGCATCTGGCCAGCGAGGCCAAGGCCCAAGATAGACTAGAGAAAAGACACGGACCTGCCAGTTCCAGATCCCTGGGCTGGAGATCTCATTCACGGACTCACGCTGCACGCAGGGACACCTGTCGACTCAAAAATGAAGGCGTCTGAGGTTGGACAGCGAGGGGATCTAGAAGCCGTGGAGCCGGAATTCGATCCTCCGCTGACAAAGCCAGAGTCACACGGTAAAACTGCGGTACCAAGTCCGATGATGCTTTTCGAGTCAGCTTCTGCGATCGTCAGGGTCTGCCGCGGCCAAATTCAGAAAACCAAGATGAAAATCAAATGATGGACGTTTGCCGAGGTGGAAACCGAAATGCAGATTTCAGTACGGAGTATTTTACTCCAACGGACTCGGAGGGCATCACTGCCGACCGTCTGGTCGGCCCTCTGTCCTTCTGTCAACCACACGACACGGGAGCCAACGAACCGCCGAACCTTTTCTATCCGAGCCCACAATCTATCAATCTTTTCAAATTTCTTCACGCTTCTATGCTCTCTAAAAGATCCAATCAATTCTTCGCCCAACTTAGCACCACTCCAACGTAAGTTTCTGCTCACTGTGGACCTCACAGACCAATGAGCGCCCTCCAAAATCTCCTACCCGACTCGCATCCCGGCAATGTGCCCTAACTGCTTACAACCTGGATGATCACTGATCAGCAAGAATATCATTTTTTACTCCATATCTACATTCTACAGACATATCGCCTCATGTCTATACCCATGGATTCACCTACAGCAGCTCGGAATTACAAAGAAACAACCCCGACATTCGAACTTTGGCCATGCAGCCTCGTCACTTCGAGCTACGTAAGCCGAGTCGTCACGCAGTGGGGTTTTCAATTCTTGATGAAGACTAGGTGAGGTCCGCGGGCAGCCTCGGCGCTCGACTCGGCGAGTCCCAGGTCTGGAAGGGCTCAAAATCAATAATCACAAATCACTAAAGCCGAGGGACTGGGATAAAGTGGGGTGTGGGTGTTTGTGGGTGTCCCCATCTGCTCCTCGGGTTTTGAGGGTCTTTTTGTGGCTACAGTCTACACGTAAGCCACACCCTCTTCTCTATCTCTGGCCAGATACGGCTGGAGCTTGCGTTGCGAACGTGCGACCGTCGAGTCGTCGACCGACTACGAGACTACTCTCACGGCGGAGACTAGCACCGGTCTAGTCAGACACGGTCTCCTCCGGAAGCCCTGAAAATGAGGAGATAGAGCGCCGAACTAGCGGAATCCAAGGACCCCGAGCCAACCAGATTGAATCATCCTTGAGCCCTGCTCCGGTATCCTGTCTTCCTGCATCGAATCTGAGGGCTAGCTCGCTCATTACTTACGTAGGCGCATACGAATGCCCTGGTTTGGGTGGGGTTAGCTTGTTTGTATAGCACGACTGCAAGGGCTGAATGGCTTAGGGTTTGCCGCCGATAGCCAGTCTACGTCTCTACTGTGTACCAGAGCATCTCAACTCAGGTACCTTGACGAGCGCCGGGCGCCATGCGCTGTAATCCTGTCGCATCGTCGGCAGTGGCTGCGAGTTTCCACGGAGGATGGAACGGATCTCTCAATTTCGCCGTCCTGCGTATCCCCTGTTCGAGATGCCGCAACCAAGGGCGTACATATTGAAGCCATTGAGAAATCTGCAACAGGGGCCTTGCTTGCTACACGATTGCGTGTATCTCGGACGCTTTGTGGTCGTTTGTAGTGCGTCCATCCGGCAAAGCGTCAACCGGTAAAGATGCTGATGCTGACCCTCATGACACAGCAGTATGGACATCTCCGGTAGGTTTGCTTATCTAGTAGGCTTGTATACGAAGTAGTCTTCAACCAGTTGTGTGTTCATGGCCAGTGACTGTCTAACCAGTCTCGTAACCTCCTCGAGTACTTCATTTTCACCTATATCAATCTTAAATCAAGCGCGATCATTGTTCAATATGTACAGGAAAGATTAGGTACATGAACCTGCAGAGGTCATGCAGCCCATTCCAAAACGCAGATGCCTATTCTCAGTGGACGTCTCTATGTATTGTCACACACTGAAGCTGTGGTCCACCTCCAGCTTTGACATCACCGAGAACCAAGGCCAACACAACCTTGCCTGGCCATCTTCCTCGTTCTTGCAACACCTTCCTCCCTTATCCTAACCATCAACCTCAACCATCACTTCAATTCCCTCTTGATCTCCCCCTCCCGCTCCATCTCCTCAAGCGTCTTATCAACAGTCCTCATCCCCTCCATCGCCGCCGGCGCACCACAATAAACCAGACTGTGCATCACCGCCTCTCGAATCTCCAGCTCCGAAAGCCCATTCCTCACAGCCCCGCGCACATGAACCCCCAGCTCGAGCTGCCTGTTCAGTGCAATCAGAATCCCGATATTCATTAGGCTCCGCTGTCTCCGATCCAGTCCGGGACGGTTCCAAATCGAGCCCCAGGCGAACTCGGTTATAGTCTCTTGCATGGGCAGCGTGAATGCATTGGTATTTGCGAGGGAGCGGCTCACGTGCGTGGACCCCAGGACGGCTTTTCGGGTTGACAGGCCGGTTTCGTACATGGAGGAGGATGAGGAGGATGAGGATTGCTCTTGAGCTGAGGGTTGGCTTTGATCGGACATGGTTTGCGAGGGGGTGTTCATTTCAGCCGAGGTGATGTGTCTTTTCTGTTGAAGTTGGGATAGACGACTGCTAATGAATTTGGTTGATTGATACTCAAGCTAGGTTCGATATCAAGTACAAGCCACCGATGCTGTCATACTCACAGCGGGCCGAGTCGGATCCATGGCGGAGGGTTTCCGCGGTTAAGCCAATTCTATACTTCGAAGCCGATACCGTATAGAGCGCTTGGACACTAGACATCATGCACGACCTTTTACCCTCAACTACCGAGCTACCATGGAGAGGCAGTAAGCCCTAAAGCTTGAGCTATACGCTCGAAACAAGCACTCCAGTTCACGACTCTGCAGAACATACCCGAGACATTCCCCAGCCACGCTGCCCCTCTCCACAAGCTCAACCTGCGAGCGAGATCACGGACCCTTAAGTCGAAACGCAAGGTAGACATTCCGGCGCGGTGATCCGCTGCCAGAGCCACTGGAATTCTTGGGGCCTCGGAATAACCCCTTGTTTCAACTGATCTTGACTACGAGTTCAGATGAAACAAGCGAACCGATCAGCCCTGGCGGGCAATTTCCGTTCTTGGGAAATGGCCGGTTCTTCGGCTTTGGACCCTTTATATGAGACAATTGGGAACATACGGGTCAAGCCTCGGCTGAGTTTGACATTTATGCACGCCTGCAGATCAGATCGCGTTGCGCGGGCGGCGAACAACATCTACAAAGGTGCTGGGAGTATGGTAGTAGGGAATGGCATGCCAGCGCCATCCCTAGGAATAAAGATAGATACGCCTTCATTCCAACGCCACCCGCGTACCCTTGACGTTAGTATACGAAGAGAAGATAGTTGATAGTTATAGCTAGGAATTATATCTCTCGGTTTACTCAGTACAGCTTCATCTCAACAGCACTGATTTACTTGCCTAGAACTATCACGACACGAACAACCAACCTACCACAATGGCACCACCACAATCATGGGCCTCCCTGGTCCTAGGCTTCATCATCCTCATCTCCTCCTTGACAGTCGCCCTGCCCATTCCATCTTTAGCAAAAGACACCAATTGCGACACCCTGAACCCTGAAACGGCAAGGGAGATCCTAGCCCGATCTCCAGTCCCTGACCCTGTGCGTTCAGCCCACACTTAATCCTACCCTGCCACTTCCAGTTTTCCGACGCTCGTTTGATCTGCATCAACTTCCAGCATATGCTAACCTCTTCCTATTTCCGGAAACAGAGAATGATCCCCAGCCAAACGGACCTCATGGCAACGATCTTCGCGGAGCTCAGCATGCAGGAGCTGGGGAAGCTCAACAAGCTGCACCCAGTGGGGGGAAATAATGCCCCGACGACGGCAATCGACGACAGTCGTAGTACGACGCATACGGTCACGGGGCAGAATAATACAGTGCATGATGGGAAAGAGCAGGCACAGGATGAGCAGGGGAAAGGGAAGGGGAAGGGGAAGGACACAACCGGGGAGGATGCAGATGCAGCGAATGACCCTGAAGGGTTTGCGGACGCGCTATTTGAGGCGCTGAAGAAGAAGTTCCGAGAAGCGATCAATGGGAGTGATGAGGTTCCATTGCTGTAGTGGAAGCAGGTAATGCAGGTGATGGTCCCTTGAGTGGGTTGGTGTATTTGCTTGCTTGCTTGCTACTGTTGATTGGTTTGTCCCGATAGAATAAGCTTAGCGTTACGAGTGACGATATTGTAGGATATGGGACTAATGGACGTGGTTCGATTCATTGATTGCGAATTATGCATGTATATTTGAGCAGATTGATAGCTGTTAGTTCGTGACGCCGCAAAACATCATAGCCTGCATCAAAGGTGCTGAAGGCTCCGGTTTGTGGGACGGTAAGGTTTAGCCTTCACCCATCATCCTCATCAAGCCATCCTGCGGAGGAAACTAGCCCCTGCTGACGACGAATGGTCTGGGTCGAGATAAAACTAGCTTCGTAGTGCTGGGGATCAAGGATATGAACCAACTCGTGACAGGGTGAAGCCTTGCCGCTGGTGACCATGGTCAACTTGCGAGAATAAAACATAGGATTCAACGCTTGTAGAACACACGTCCCGTAAGGCGCAGTAAGACCCTCGAGGATCTGCGGTTCCCTGAAGCAGTTCATGCTATAGGGCGAAACCACAACCATCATGAAGCCAATTGGGTGTCTATAGGTGGCTGCCCGCAGACCCTGAGTCTGTCCGACCTGGTGACACAGGGTACGGCAGTTACGCAAGGAGACCCTCGCACGCTCAGCAGATTTGATCTGATCAGAGTGTTGGGCGGATCTAAGCGCGTCCTCGGGACAAGTTGCCCCAGTAAAGCCCGAGGAGGCCAAGGTTGCAGTCTCAGCGCCGGCATTTACAAACAGGGAATGGCAGTGTGACCGTCATATTCGAGTTGAACCTGTAAGAGCTGTCGCTACGGTTAGCCTCGTTCATAATGACTTCTAAAAGAGTGCCACATCAAGGTAAGGTGTTCAATCAGGTCAAGTGTAGTAGGTCAACACACAATCTCACAAGAGTGAACTAGGAGATTGTCGGCATTGCAGAATTCTTGAAAGGATCATCATTGAAGCTGGGTAGATTTAGACAGGGATAAGCAAAATCCACTTACTCAGTCAATAAACGTTGTTGCGGTCATTTGTGCGATATTTCAAACTCTGCTAAGGAGTTGAAGGAGAGAAGCTTGGAGCTGAGAAAATAAAAGTGTGGACAATAGCCTCATCACGTGCCGGCCTGTATACTCGACTCAGAAGCCAGAGACGCCAGCATCACGTCAATCAGACCCTGGATTCTCCCAAAATCTGCTCACTGCCCTATTGCCCCCGCTCTCGACCCATTAATCCGCTCATTCCCCTGTCCACAATTCTCGCCGTTTCCAATGGCCGATTCACCTGGCTCCCCCCTCTCCTCCGTTGCCTCAGACGACATGTCGGACCGCGACGAGTCGAAGCAGGGTGTCTCAACCCCATCATCCAACATGCCTCCGTCAAAGCGACGCCGTACCGGCATGGCCTCCTGGGACCGTAACACGCCCGTGTCGACAACCTTCCAGGATGAGCTGCCTCCGCCGGCGTCCCCGTCGTCTTCCATATCGTCCGATACGTCCGGCGAAATTCCCAACTCGCCCACCACGCTGTCGCTCATAGGGGCAAACCAGGACGAGGACTACAGCGGGCTCTGCAGCGACCAGGTCACCGTGTGCAGGTGGGATGGATGCGATTTTAAAGACTTCGGGAACATGGACGATCTGGTCCAACACATCCACAATGAGCATGTCGGTAGCCGACAGAAGAAATACTCCTGCGAATGGTCCGACTGTACTCGGAAGGGCCAAACGCATGCAAGCGGTTATGCGCTACGTGCGCACATGAGGAGTCATACGAGAGAGAAGCCATTCTACTGCGCCCTGCCTGGTAGGTTTTCTTTTCCTTACTTGCTTGCCCCTGCCTCCGCCAGTTGTTCCGCGCGAAAATAGTCAACACAATGCTCACAACCTGGCCAGAATGTGATCGCAGTTTCACGCGCTCTGACGCGCTCGCAAAGCACATGCGGACGGTCCACGAGACCGAAGCCCTGCGCCCGTCTGACCCCGTCCCCAAGCGTCACGATAACTTCTCATCCGGCGGAACGCCGGTCGGCACTCCAGGCACCAAGCTGCAACGAATCAAACTGAAACTATCGCACCCACCGCGCGACGACTCAGAGCAATACAGCGAGAGCATCAACGACGAGACAGCCGCCAACGAGGAGCTCGACGAGTTCGAGGTCCCCGAGTTCGGCCCCGATAGTGGCTTTGACGACCACGAGCTCGAGTTGAACCCGCACCAGCTATACAGACTTCTCCGACGACAAATCCACTGGGCAGAGCAGGAGGGCACAGATCTGAAAAGCGACTGGGAAAAGATCCAACCGAAAAGGAAACAGGCGTGGGAGGAGAAGGAAGCTATATTCGATGATGTGATGACTGCGGAGGTCCGGCTTCTCACCATCTTGAGGGATTCTGACAGCCATGCGGCGCAGGGGCATGTTGTTCCAGTAAACGGTATGCCCGCGAACGTACAACAACCTATAGCGACCGCCGGCTATGGTCCGTGATAGCCCGTACCTCGTGTTTCTCTTGTTTCGTTTCTACCCTCTCCTTCTTCTCCCTTAATCAGGGATTGTACAAGCTAGCGACTTTTACTCATGTTCTCTTCCCTCTTCTCATCTATATCAAAATATGGGCTAAATGGCGGCTTATCTCTGAGGCGTTTTTAAACCAATGTTCACTATCCTGGCGCTAGATCCTTATTATCCCACATTCATGTCCACAGATCTTACGTGCCCTAATACAAAACTTGCAGAGCACTACGAAACGTAAGAGCTTACACACATTCTCAAGTCCTTAACACGTCCCATCTTGTATTATTATCAGAAAAGTTGCAATCCTGTCAGGTCAGGTAGGTAGCCAGCCACCCCACGTTCACTTCATCCATGGATGGTATAACATAAGCAGGCTAAAATGACACGACGGAGACACTGGGAAAATAGAGAAAGGGAGTCTAGCAACATTTCAACATATCACCCAGAATGGATAGTAGTAGGATACATGAATGCCCGCAAACAGTCTCAGACCCCAACGCCAACGCCAGCGCAGATGGGAAGGGGTTCGTTCGAATCTAGATAGTAGTAGTAGAGGGGTATGTGGTATGTAGCGCTGGATGATAATGAGGATGAAGATGTGGAAGAAATACAGCTGAACCTGAACCCGAGCCTGGTTCGTTCCAAACAAATGGTAATAAGAAGACAAAGAGCCAAAAGAGACAAAGAGAAAACAAGAGATATCTCATGCAACATCGTATCAAGGCCACTGCAAGGAAATGATGTTCAGAGTTCGCTGTGGTGGACCACACCAGACGCCGTCGCCATGCTTTCCCAAGTATGCATAATGAGAACAATAAGAAAAAGGTGTTTAAACAAATTCGGAAACAAGCGCTTTTTGCTGCAACTGAAGAGCCTTTAGTCTCCGTTTGCGGGGGCCTGGGCTACAGCCGATTTCTTGTGGATATCTATCAGTTTGTGATACATCTCCATGAGTTTGGCTCCTCCGGCGTCTTTGTTGGGCCAGTAATTGACGGAGACATAGTGCCTGTTCATGATGTCAGAGAGCGTCTAGAAATTGGATACAACGGTCAACATACCATAATCGAGTTTCGAGAGAGGAGAGAGAACCAGAGTTCTCTCCCCGCAGGTTGCTGTTGATAAAGCCACCAATCTTATTGAGCAGGCGCCGGAGCTCAGAGGCGCGCTCTGTCTTGTTCGGAAAGTTGTCTTTGGTGACATCCGAGACTTTCTTGAGCTCATCACGGATGGGCTTGAAGAAGCGGCGTGACATGTCCTCCTTGCTTGCTGAGTGGCCATTCTCGCTGTTTTTGCGACGGCGGACGTCTTCACTCGACGCATCGGACGGTCTGTGGCGGCGCTCATTTTCGTGGATAGACCGAGCACGGGAATCGCGATTTGGGGTATTGTGCCGTTCCATGCTGTCTCGGCCGCCGTGGGTGTGAGACCGGTGCCGAGTTCGATCTTGCTCGCGGTGACCCTTGCGTTGAAGTGACGGGGCTGGAGATGCCGACACACTTGCGCTTGCGTGGGGTCGAGAAGCGCTCTTTCGCGCGTTGCGATGATGATTCTCCACCGCCCGCTTCGCTGCAGCACTAGAGCCATTACTGGCCTTATCTCTGAGGATGGACAGAAGGTAATCAGCTCGCCGAACAAGATGGACAGCGCCAGGAGACTTCGTAGATTTGTCTTCTCCATTCAGACGCTCGGTCTTACGCTCAACTCGGTGCTCCTCCAGGAAAAATTTGTCTCCCAGGGCTAGGTCAGTGTCGTCCCGGATCTGCGCCCAAGCACCATACCCATGGCGCGATATACCGACGCAGAGCATTCCGTCTTCCCGGGCTCCCCATGGACATGAGTAATCAGGCGCTTTTGTTGCTTCTGGAACACGGAAGCTCCTGAAGTCAGGAACTGCGAGTAGTGCTTCTTTGAGCACACGCATCTCTGTAGGACGCTCAACGATGGTATACGCATTAAGACGTTTGACACCGTGGAGGTCAAACAATACCGCTTTCCTCTCCTTTTTAGTGAGAACCTTGCCAGCATTCTCGAGAGCCTCCATTCGCTGCACGTCCTCTTTAACCAGCGCCGCCGCTTTGTCAGTTATCTCACGCAGTGCAGCTTTGACAGTGTCCCTATCACGTTCCGTCAGGCGAGCTTCGCGGATAACTTCCTCTTCTCGTTCGTCAATATCACCATAGCGCAGAAAGGACCGTAAGAGGTGGCGGTACTCCTTCTCCACGAGTGGGCGCTTCGGATCGGCTTTCACATTCGGTTCCGAGTCGTCGCCATCATCATCGTTCATGCTGACCTGTACCCGTGCTTGTCGCTTGGCTTTTCTTTCGGCGCGGGTATCTCTTTCTTCACCTGCAGCATTCCGCTTACGCGGTCGATTCTGTTCAATAACATCTGCCAGGTATCTCTCATCGGCTTTCTTCTTCTCCTCCGCCTTGATCTCTTCGAGTTGCTCTTTGGGTATGATATCATCCCAAGTGAGGTCGTCAACCTTAATGTCAACATAGTCAAATGCTTTCAGAAACTCTTCGCCACCGTCGGCTTGAATGCCCTCGGCTTGCTCCGTCTGGTGTAACTCAGCGTTCGCAAGGACTGAATCAATGTCAAGCTGCTCCAGCTTCGCCTGGTTGCCGGTTTGCTCGAACATTCTCTGCCCACGACGCTTGAGTATTCGAGAAATGTCATCAGTGGAATTAGGCTCGCCAAGAGTGATTCCCCCTCGTGCCATTTTGTTCTGGATCTCGGTTGCTTCCTTGTCGGTGACACCTCTCTGAATGGTGATGAACTCGAGCAGAAGCTTGTTACGTGCTCGCTCAATGACCTCTTCTTCCACTGTATCCTTGGAGACCAAACGATACACACTGACAGGCTTTGTTTGGCCGATACGGTGCGCTCTTGCCATTGCCTGAAGGTCAGCTTGCGGGTTCCAATCGGAGTCAAACAGGACAACGGTATCAGCAGTCATAAGGTTGATTCCGAGACCACCGGCTCGTGTGGATAGGATGAATGCAAAATCGCTGCTGTCCGGGGCATTGAAATGCTCAATAGCAAGGCGACGCGACGCTGAAGGAATTGTGCCGTCAAGCCGTTGGTAAGTGTAACCACGGAATTCCATGTAGTCTCCCAGAATGTCAAGCATCTTCACCATTTGGCTAAAGATCAAAACACGGTGCCCATCTCGCTTTAGTTTTGCTAGAAGTTGATCCAGGAGCATCATCTTTCCACTGCTAGTGATCATGGCTCGCAACACATCTTCGCGACGAGTGCTTCCTTCAAGAATCTTGGCTTCCGCATTCGGGAACATGAACGGATGGTTACTTGCTTTTTTCAGTTCCATCATGATGTTGAGGAGCGATTGTTTTTGGCCCTTGGTGCCTTCGTTCAAGGCAGCATAATTCTTTGTGAGGATGTTCTTGTAGTATTCCAACTGGACATCAGAAAGCTCGACGCGAATGATTTTCTCTGTCTTGGGAGGAAGATCAGACTCAACTTTGGACTTCGTCCGGCGCAGCATAAAAGGCGAGATGGCCTTGGTCAACTGGGCCAATTTCTCCGAGGCTGCCTCAGAGTTCAAGTCCATGTCTGCATCGACATTGATCAGGCCAGGATTCAAAAAATCCAAAAGAGCCGAAAGCTCGGCTAGGTTATTCTGAATCGGGGTACCGGTAATGAGGAGGCGGGCGGGGGAGTTGAATTCTCGAAGTTTGATATATAGTTGAGAATCCCGGTTTTTCAGCCGATGAGCCTCATCTACCGCCATGAATTGCCAGTTGAACTGGCTGAGGAAGGTCGAGTCCACCAAAACATACTCGTAGGTCGTCAGGAGCACGTTGAACTTTGGCCGCCGGGGGTTGCCGTCCACCATAAGTTCATGTTCTTTGAGGACGTTGCGAGAGGCTTCGTTCCCGTTATAAACGATGTAGTTGAGGTCGGGAGACCAATTGTCAAACGTTTCTGCCCAGGACGGCATTGTAGACAGGGGAACGACCACCACGAAGGGACCCTGCTGATGTCTGACATGACGCAGCCAACTGATAAAAGCGACAGTTTGTACCGTTTTACCCAACCCCATTTCATCTGCCAGGACGACGTTGCGATTCTTTACCCAGTTGAACGCCATAAAGTTGACCCCTTTCACCTGGAACTCCTTGAGCTGGCCATTGTGTAAGAAGCTTGGTGTCCCCTTGATTGGTTCGAACGGTTTGCGAGAGCTGGGTTGTGACTCCTTCTTATCTGACACGGGCGGTCGCGAAGATCGATCTAGGAAACGGTCTATCTCGCGTTGAGCGATGTTACTAACCAACTCTTCACTTTCCCATGTACAAGAATCGTAGAACAGGCGCTTCCATTTCACCAGGTATTCGGTGCCATCCTCCCCGTCGCGCATTCCAATCACCCGCTCCACGATCTTGTGATCCTCGATAGCATCAACATCCCTTTCGCGATCGAGGTTCCATTTCTCGCGATCCTCTGGAGGTACACCTTCGTCGTAGTTCAAGCGAAGGTCTTCGGCGAGAACCTTCCGGACGTAATTATCAAGCCGGCGAGTACTCCGGCAGTTGGCCAAGCTTTCTGTCGTCTCCCATGTCGCGTGATAGTGAGACTTTTCTTGCCATTTTATATAGAACTCGAACTGGTGACGATCAACATCAGGGTCACTCGGATCGACGCCCTCCTTGGGGCGATGGTTGAGCACAACGTCTATAGCTGGTCGGTCATCATCCACGGTGTTTACCCAATAGTTCGGTGTTAAATCGTCTACATCATCCTCAAACATTGAGTCATCGTCATCTTCATTATAGTTCGAAACTTTAGCAGCATTTCGCGTTGAGAAGCGAACCTCGGCATGGGAAGGAACGTTGTTCGCGGAGGCTTGGAGTAGTCGCCGACGTTTCGCCTTGCTTGCACGAGCACGACTACCACCATACTCATCGCTATCCGACTCGTCAGAGTATGTTGATTGCGTTGCGGACCGTGAAGGGACTTTCGACGACAGCTGTGAGGCGGCAGGGCGTCGACGCTTAGAACGAGGTGCCACGTCATCGGAGTCGGAGTCTGAAGAGGAATCGGCGATCCGACGCGTCGTGCGAGCTCGCCCACTACGACGAAGACCGTATAGATCAGGATTCTGTCGAATGAGGTCCGCATCATCGACAGACGGCGATTTGCGCTTCGTGCCCCGTGAGGGTTCAGGGGAGGAAGAATTTTCAGCATCGGACGGGCTACTAGCTTTTACGCTGTTTTCCATCCCATACTCGTCATCTTCTCCCTCTGCGTCAGGAGAATCGGCATTGTACGAATCGTCCGCGGGATCGGCGGAGGAGGGGGACTCGGAGACAGCGTCATCTTCGGGGGATTGAGGGACAGGACCCTCGTGGTCGTCTGCTTCTAGCTCATTGTGGAATCCAGCTGCATCGGTAACTGGCGACACCGAATACCCGTTGGCGAAGGCACTTCTGACCCCGGGTTCGGAGGTAGATGGGATCACCATGCTAGTTGCTATGGATCGAGAAAGACATCAGCATTGTGACTCGAGGCAGGCTCGGAGAGGGTTTAAAGGCATAGGGGATTGTAGAGCAGCGTTATGCGACCCAGATCATCATTATTTGAAGCTATAAACCCAGGGAAATAGGACAGGAGATAAAGGTATGATGCATTGACATGATTTTGATGATGGGTTAGATGAGACGCGACGGAACGGGCAGAGTAAAAACCCTGCAATTGCAGGAGGCAAGTCAAGAGTAAAACCAGATTCAGCAAGAGAAATGGATGCTAATTTCGACTTGAACGAATCTAGAAGACCCTGAGTCCAAGAAACGTGAAGATATCCTTGATTCTCAGGTGGGTCGAGGCAGTAGAGATGTACTCAGGCGGCGGCACCAGGACACGTCGAAGACCACAACAAGAGAAATTAATTACTTACAATCCATAGCTTGGTGACCCCGGATCACCGCAAAACAAGGAAAAGAATTGTGAAAAAAATAGAAAAGAAAGGTGGGGGAAGGGGAGGGGGTGGATGGGATGAGACGGTGGAGAGCAGCAAAGGAATGATGGGAGGCCGCTGAGAATATGATGAGGGAGTGTTAGAGGGAAGAGTTGGACGTCGGGCTGGGGGGACGGGCGAGTCACAGCGAAGGGATTGGCTGCCGGCCTGAGCCTTCAGGCTGCTACTTTTCACCAAGCCCCGTTCGGCCTAGCGGGCTCACAAGCGAGTCCATTCCTGGCCTAGCGGCGGCAACTTGTCACGTGTGGCTCGGCGCGGATTAATGCAGTTTCCGTCGCAGCTTCCAAGGCCGTTCCTCGGTCCAATCAGTCAACCGGGAAATAATAAGTTTGTGAGCCTGAGGCTACAATCAGTGCCCACAATCAGGCCTGGCATAGATTTCTGTCTCGAGAGCCCCTCCTCGACGAATCCACGCAACGTCTCCCTCTTCTTGATCCTGGTGGTTGCTGCGCGGATATCTGGTATCGTCTGCTTCAGGCCCGTACCCTTGTCGCGAATAGGCTCTACCCCCCGGTGATCCAGTTTGCGCTTTTGTCGTCTCTATTTTCTTGATCCAGGCTATTGTTCTGGTTTCCCGCGTCCTCAATTCCTCTCAAGCACCATGTCTGACAAACTTACTCGGTATGAGCGCCTCGATTTTGATATTGCTTCGCAGCTAATTTTCTGTTCTCTCTAGTATTGCTATTGTCAGCACTGACAAAGTGAGTATTCAGTGCCCCGCTAACTATGCGTGAACGTCATATACTTATATCAACGCGTCCGACAGTGCAAACCCAAGGTGAGCGGAAATCCAACCCAGTCCAATAGCGCGACCTGATCACTGACTCGACTACTTGTCTACTAGAAATGTCGTCAAGAATGTAAAAAGTCCTGCCCCGTCGTCCGTACCGGAAAACTTTGCATTGAAGTCACCCCCGAGTCCAAGATTGCTTTCATCTCCGAGCGCCTCTGTATCGGTTGCGGTATCTGCCCGAAGAAATGCCCTTTCGGTGCCATCCATATCATCAACCTGCCGACCAACTTGGAAAGCCAGGTCACCCACCGTTACTCCGCCAACAGCTTTAAGCTTCACCGTCTTCCCATGCCCCGTCCTGGTCAGGTTCTGGGTCTTGTTGGAACAAACGGTATCGGAAAGAGTACAGCTTTGAAGATTCTCTCTGGAAAGTTGAAGCCCAACCTTGGTCGCTATGATAACCCGCCGGACTGGGAGGAAATCCTGAGATATTTCCGTGGTTCCGAGTTGCAGAGTAGGTTTATTCCTTCTGTTCGGATGACACCCGCCTCTGACATCAGCAGACTACTTCACAAAGGTGCTGGAAGACGATCTGAAGGCCGTCGTCAAGCCTCAGTACGTTGACCAGATCCCACGGGCCGTGAGAGGCCCTACCAAGAATGTCGGAGACCTCATTAAGGCCCGCGCACAACTCGGCAACATGGAGGAGACTCTCGACAACCTAGGTACGAAGATCGTCTGCCGGGCTCGTAAATCAGTACTAACGGTACCAATATAGAACTCAGACAGGTTCAGAACCGTGACATTGACCACCTTTCTGGTGGAGAGCTCCAGCGATTCGCCATTGGTCTTGTTTGCGTTCAGAAAGCTGATGTGTAAGTGCCTAATCCATGCAATAGGCATATTGGGGTTTTAATGCGTTAAACAGCTACATGTTCGACGAGCCGTCCTCCTACCTTGATGTCAAGCAGCGTCTCGCCGCTGCCCGCTCTATCCGTGACCTCCTGCGTCCTGATGACTACGTCATTGTCGTCGAGCACGATTTGTCCGTTCTCGATTATCTTTCCGATTTCATTTGCGTGCTTTACGGTAAGCCTGCGGTTTACGGTGTCGTTACCCTGCCTTCTTCGGTGCGTGAAGGTATCAACATCTTCTTGGACGGACACATCCCAACCGAGAACTTGCGATTCCGTGAGGACTCTCTCACTTTCCGTCTCGCTGAAGCCGGAGACGACTTTGTCATCGATAAGAACCGTGCATTCAAGTATCCGAGCATGGAGAAGACTCTTGGAAACTTCCACTTGAAGATCGACGCCGGTGACTTCACTGATTCTGAAATCGTCGTCATGATGGGAGAGAACGGAACGGGAAAGACCACTTTCTGCAGAATGCTTGCGGGTGCCGAGAAGCCTGACGGCAACGTCCAGATCCCTCGCATGAACATTAGCATGAAGCCTCAGAAGATCACCCCCAAGTTTCAGGGAACCGTCCGCCAACTCTTCTTCAAGAAGATCAAGGCTGCTTTCCTGTCGCCTCAGTTCCAGACTGACGTCTACAAGCCCCTCAAGATTGATGACTTCATTGACCAGGAAGTTCAGAACCTGTCTGGTGGTGAATTGCAGCGTGTCGCCATTGTGTTGGCCCTCGGAATGCCTGCCGACATCTACCTCATTGACGAGCCCAGTGCCTACCTCGACTCCGAGCAGCGTATCGTAGCCGCCAAGGTCATCAAGCGTTTCATCATGCACACCAAGAAGACCGCTTTCATCGTCGAGCACGATTTCATCATGGCTACCTATCTTGCTGACCGCGTTATTGTGTTCGATGGTAAGCCGTCTGTCGACGCGCACGCGAACACTCCTGAGTCCCTGGTCACTGGATGCAACAGCTTCTTGAGGAGCCTCGACGTCACCTTCCGTCGTGACCCCAACAGCTACCGCCCTCGTATCAACAAGTACAACAGTCAAATGGATCAGGAGCAGAAGCTGGCTGGTAACTTCGTAAGTATTCCTCTATAAATTGACTCTGTGCTGTGCTAATACACTCGCTGTAGTACTTCTTGGAAGAAGAGAAATGAAGAGGGCATCCCAGAGAGACATGATCGCGTGCCCCACAGACGTGATGGCCGCGACTCCTACCAGCGACACCATCACCCTCGTCGCAGGCTCAGGAGAATCCTTAGAATAGGGGCGTTCTTCGGCGTTACCGAGGCATCAGCGAGTCAGCCACAGCGACGTCCCCGGGGTGGTGTTGAGCTTTTTGACGATGCGGAGGGAACGTCCGAGGAGGATGACGAAGAGGGCGAGGACTCGGTGACAAGCATAGGTTCAACTCGAAGCAGCAAGCGGCTCCTTAATCATCGGAACTAGCTCTTGCCTGCTTTGACTCGGCTCCGGATATCATCTTCATCCAGGCAAAGTTTAACCGTCGCTCATCGCTCATTGTCGTCAACTCTTCTATCCGCCCCTCCGCAATTGCCTGTATTTCCAACCACAGGCACTTTTAAAGTTCGACTCTGGCGAGGACTGAGTATTGCTAGTTTTCTTGTTTATATCTCTTGTCTGATTTCTTTTTTTCACTATGGGCAACGGTTTTCTTTTATTTTTTCTTGGTTGGCATGATACCGCTGGAGTTGTTGAGCTTGTAGCAAAAGTTCCAGGTTTTTCCTGACTATGACTGCGCAGCATTATACTGCCATTGATATGTTGTTTGTTAGAATTAAGTACGTAGTAGATCTTCTATCATATCCTTGTCAGGCCAAATGATGTTGCAGTATTGGAAATATCGCGTAACCTATACACTGGGTTTGATAGTTTTAGGATATATATCGAGCGACTTCGCCAAATAACGCCCGTATATGATACTCCCTAGCAAACTACGAAATGCCGTATATGGTTCGCATGAACTAGATTCATCATCTCATGAGAAATAGCAATATAATATGCATAGGTAATCAGCTGGCTACAATCTGTTCCTAGGGTCATCATTCCATAGCTTCCAGCTCTAGCCTATGGCGTCGACCTACTACACCGCGGTAGACATATGCCATATTCCAAGCCATGCGCGTCACTCAAACAGAAGCTCATAGCAATTGTTGGAACAACAAGAACGGTATCAGCATGCAAGCCGTCCGTGACATAGGTGTCATATGACTTGCTCAATAGAGCATACAGCCCGCGGCATGTTACCTACCAGAGACCGGAGAATAAGCGCATTCAAACCTTTAGACATGCAAGCCTTAACAGATCAATAGATAGTTAAGATAAATCACAGGCTAAGGTGGCAAGTAGCCCTGCAACTATACAATGGATTTCCCTTCGGAGCTGACATGAACTACATATTCCTATCTCAAAACCACATCTAATCCTCCTCGATCTCCCCCTCCTCACTTCCAGAATGCACAGCCTTTTCCTCCTTCGCTTCCTCAGCCGCGGCACCCGCGGTGGAAGCGGCAGCACCTGAGGTAGGCGTGCGCTCCCTGCGCTCCCTATCCTTCCTGCCGTCCCGATCCCGGCTATCGCGTCGGTACCGCTTCGTAGAGCGACTCGCCACGCTCTCTGCATCGCTGTCGCGCCGCCGTCGGCGGTCATTGTTCGCAGTGACGCTAGCCGTGCTCCGAGAGTCACCGCCGTAGTCGAGCTCGTCGCGGCTACCGCGCGGGTCACCACGGGTGCGGTAAAGGCGTTCGCGCTCTTCTTCACGGTCACGGCGCTCGCGATCGTAGTGGCTGAGCGAGCGGGTGCTTCGCTCGCGATCACGATCGCGGTCACGACGGTCACGGTCTCGGTCCCGATCACGGTCGCGCTCGTCCCATCTTTCGCGGACTGGTGAGAGCCCGCTCGCGGCCTTGCGGTAGGAGCGCTCGCGGTCGGCTTGAGCTTTGCGGCGGTCGGCTTCGTAGGCGTCTGGTTCCGGAGTGCGGCTTTGCCGGCTGGAGGGGCCGCGCCGCTCGCCTCTGTAGCTGCGATGTTCGCGACTGCGATCACGGTCACGGTCACGGTCACGATCGCGGTCATGATGATGGTCTCGGCGGCTGCCGCGATCCCTATCGCGGTCTCGCTCGGCGTCTTCCTCTTTCTCCTTGAGGCGACGGATGACCTTGTCGAAAGCAATTTGGCGGAGTTCGTCGGTCTCAAGGGCCTTGTATTCGTCGTACTTTTCTAGTGTGGGCTTTACCTTGTCCCATGTGTCTGTGAAGCGGAGCGGAGGGTCCAGACGCTTTAGGCGGGAGCGCAGAGCGTCAATGGAGCGTCTTTGATGGCGGTCTGCTGCGTGCTTCTCTTCCTCGTTCCTCCGGAGAGCCTTCTCCTGAATACGTTGAAAGATGACCTGGAGAATCTCTGGATCAATCTTGGCTGTGCGGCGATCAGATGATACGATGGAGTTGAACTCTTCAAAGGTAGTTTTGGAGGTGACGTCGAATCGGTTGTCCTGGTGATTATTAGCTTGTCTATCACGATTGATACCTCGGTTAAACTCACGTCAAGGACATCCAAGACATCATTACGGGGTCCGCGCAGGGATCGCTCTTCCTCCTCGATCACATCCCAGAAGAGATCTAAAGGAGAGGAGCCTGAGTTTCCAAGGATGCCAAGGTAACGCGGGTCTTCACGAATTGTAGGGTAAATGTTAGACCACTTGCTGCCAGCTTTGATGGCCCCTTTCGACCTCAACTCCTTGAGCAAGTCAACAAACTGCTCACGGGCATGTCGTTCCTTTCTGGCTTTGGCTGCCTTCTGTTGCTGACGTGCATCGTTGAAAGCGCGCTCCAAAGACTTGATATGGTTCTCGAATGCAGTCAAAATGTCTGATTTGCTGAGAGCCTTGAACTTATCTTCGTTTTGAACTCTCTCGTTCGACTGGATGATGGCTTGTGCCTCCGACCACCGGGTATAAGGCTCAAGTTCCAGGGACTTGAGGATAGTCACAAGTTCGTCCATGGCGGCCTTGCGCGCGGCAGCTTCTTTTTCGGCGTGCTCCTTCTTGAGTTCTAGAATATATTCTTCGAAAAGCTGTCGCCGCTCGTTTTCATCATTGGTCGATCTGAAGATGGTTTCGCCTTCAATGATCGGCCGGATGGTCTTCCACCGTGTGTAGTGTTTGATTTCAGGGTGGCGTTTCAACATAGTATTGAAATCTGCTCTGAGCTTAGCGAATCTTTCTTTCGCCCGGTCTTTTTCCTGCAAGCGAACCTCGACCGCATATTTCTCAAACGCAGCCTTGCGGTCTCTAGGGTCTTTGAGAGCGCGATACTGAGGATCCTTGATAGTTTCACGCATTGTTTGCTCCCATGTCCAGTCAGGTTGAACATTGTGACGCTTCAGCATCTTCATGAATGCCCCCTCAGCTTCTTCCAGCGATCCATAGTCCGGTTCCTGTGTTGTTCCTAGCATGGAACCAGCCGCAATTCCATTGACATCACCAGCGCTAAAGCCTCCACGATTGTCGTTATATCCTCGATCATAGTCATCGCGATCACGCGGCTGGTAGGATGTTAACGAACTCACTCCGCCAGCAACGAAAGTCGGGCCTCTATAGACGGTTCGATTAGCACGATAAGGAGCACGGAGCGAACGAGACTTACGCAGCAGGTACAGTAGGTGCAGCTTGAGCCTGAGCCAGCGCGTTCTTGTAGACTTCCGGCATTTCCCATGTACTTTGCTTGGTTTCGGAGTTGGACCAGTACTTCCGTCCGCCTTCCGCGGTATATTCTTTCCATGGTTGATTGGCTAATGCCCGCTATATAACAAAGGTAGCGTCAGTAGGTGCAGGGAACACGCGCAAGGATACCTGACTAACCTCTACAGGAGTCATCAATTCGACGGGCTTTGTCCATTGTGTCGCTTTTGTCTGCACATTGTAGTAGTAGGCGCGTCCTTCAGGAGTTCGAGCCTCCTGCCACAGCGAAGCAGGGCCGGTAGGCGCATTCATTGGATTCATTTTGGCGCCTTGACGAGAAGTTCCCAAGGCCGACGTCGTTGCCGCTTGTTATCCCGGCTGATGAGGTTCGGGGAAAAATAGATTGTCGCGAGAAGCTCCCCGGCCAGATGTTTGTCTAGTTTGCATGATTCCCCATTCCCGACACGGCGGTGTCAATAATGGTCTGAATTCTGTAATGACACTGCTACGCGACTAAATGGTTGAAACAGTTTATGCTCTTTGAGGGCACCATCTCTGATCACGGACCAGAATTGGACATGCGACAGTCGCTCCCGCTATGCAAAGCCCCGATGTTCCTGGGGAGTTCCTGAGGCATGCTGTTCTAGACACAGTTGTTCCCCATGCTTCAAACATCGATCTAGAAGCGGCTCTGACATGCGCGCTCGAAGAGGGCGCAGACGACTTACCGTCCGTTCTATCATACATTCCCCAGCGGTCTGTATTGTTCTTCGGTAAGCTGGGGTCTCATATCCTCACCGAGCTTTGCCTCTTACTCATATGCAGCTTGCTACAGATGAGTTCTGCACTCCACGCATTGTCCTAAGGCTCGCCAATTGCTCTCAGAGTAGCTTGAAAGCGCACCTCCAGAACCTCGAAGTACGAATAGATGCTTTTGCCATCGACCCTGCGGAAGCGGTTGCCGAGAATCCAACAGCGACCCGGGATCTGATCTTCTCAGGGGCCGTGGACACACAAGCCGACCCTCTCGTTGTTGTCAACGAGTTTGAAGGTGAAACAGGGGAGGGAAACCATGTATATGTTATCTGGAACGTTGAGACTTTTCTCAGTATGTTATCAATCAGCCCTGTTGATTCAAGGCCGGGCTAACCATGGCTCTATAGAGCGCCCCCGTATCCGCATTCAACACCCCTCCGTGATCTTCATCGCCTCTGCTAGTCTTAACCCATCAGACACTCGACAGCACGACTCTCGCGAAGACGTATACCTACCGTCCTTAGTCCCCGCATCCACGAACGTTCTGCAACCTCTCGCGACAGACCCAGCATTCGGTCAGAAAGAACCATTCCTTCCAGCCTCCAGGCTTTTGCGAGTGGTACCAGCGAAATACAGCGAGGACCCCATCTACAATGTCCTACAAGAATCTGGCCATCCGACGCGGATAGTGCCCGCTGCAAGTGCAAGGATACGCTATTCCAGGTTGAATTCGTTTAGCGGACGACCAACGACGATCGCAAGTCTTGATTTTGAAACCACACCGTTCTTGAACTGTGAAGTCATATTTGATAAAGCAGATCTTCGCTTATCGGATGGGTCGATCGAGCTCTTAACTGACGGGCCTGGGCTAGTGCCACCCGTTACATGCCACCCACGTGATGATGTGACTCTCATATACAAACTGACCCCGGAGTATGGGCCAGACTCGAGAGATTCAACTACGGTGTCTGTTAGCACGTTGGACATATCCTTGGAAGCAGTGATCAAAGTATCAGAAAACTGCAATCCTCGAATCATGATGCAATGGACAACGAATATCGATTTCTCAATGGCGCTCAATCCGAATTTTGGTGCACCAAGCCAGGCTCTGCAGCGGACCAATCGCCCTACAAGTCTCTCGACTTTAACAAATCAAGCTGGCACTGCGCCTGGAGGAGCTCAGACAAGCAGAACCTCTCTTAGAGAGAGGGCCTATTCTGCTACCGACATGGGCGTGACTATGTCCTTTTCAGGTCCACCAAGCGTGGTTGTTGGGAAGCCCTTCTCCTGGAACGTGTTCATCGTGAATCGCTCAGCTGCACCTCGCAAATTCGCCATGGTTGCTATTCCCCGGCGGAAGGTAGCGAATGCTAGAGGGCACGTGGCGCGTCCATCCTCGTCGTCAATGACGAACCGCCGCAGCGATCAGGTGGCCGAAGCAGTGACGGACGACAACATCGTCCATGCCATGCAGAAGAGCGTGGCTGGACAGGAGGCGGACCTCGTCAGCCTGAGTACAGACGTTCGAGTTGGGTGAGTTCTCTACACTTCCTCAATGGCAAAGCTGATTCGTGTTTTCCAGGCCATTGTTACCTGGTACTTGTTTTGCGACCGAACTGAAGTTCCTTCCTCTCGCGGTTGGTTCCTTACGACTGGAATCCGTACGCCTAATTGATGTAAATACCAACGAAACAACCGATATCAGGGACCTGCCTGATATACTGTCTTTGGGACAGAATGTATAGCTCCATGACAAACCTAGATGTGATGCACTCAGATGAATCCGGCTGTATATCAGACTATCAAGGACAGAACAAACGCAGTAACGAAATAGATGAATTGAGGTTACATGCATTTACTATTCTGTAGTACTGTGTTCGTAGCACACTCATAGGTATACTCCGTCGTCTGAGTGCGATCGAGTACACAACCGGGCGAAGGTTTGAGCACTGGACCCTTATTCTAGGTTGAGTTCGGATGCTTGCTTTTTCAGACATCCAAATCCTGAAAAACGGAATCGACGATGAATGGTAAGAAAATAGCTAGCAAGATGAATCAATCAAAGACTCCGGGGTTACGGGGTAATACCGATGTGAACCCTAGCGCACGAAGGGTGGCAGTGGCACGGCTAAGCCGCCTAAGCGCCTGCGGCGTCCTGGGGGCGGATCATGGGCAACACTAAAGTTCAAGGTGGGAGGGGTCGTTCAGACTGTCTCTTCCAAAACAAACTCACCATCTTCTCTCATCTACTGTTGACTATCAAAAAAGACCTTTGATCGACCTTATCCTTACTATATTCTGCCGTTCTTCTATCGTCACTCTGGACCCAGGCGGACTGGGTCCCTTTAAGGCATCCACTTTGACGCTCCACTGCTCTTGTCAAACTCCCTTTGCGTCATACTACTGTCGCTGACCGGTTCAAGACCTCGCCTTCGCTCCTCTCCTCCACACTTATATTATTAGCCTCTTCCTCCAACTGACTTCACAATGTTCTTTGCAACTCGCCGCAGAGTCTTGGATGGGTTGAATAGGAGATATATCTACGGTCGCTTGGTAAGTCGTGTGCCTCGGTTCCCGTCTCGCTGGCTTCTTTGATCGCCGCTCTTTCTTCCCTCTCCCTTGCGTCGCGGACCTAGGCGGATCTGCCTCTCAGCAGCTATACTGATGTGCTTTTGCTTTTTCTATGTAGCCTCTACTTCATACTATCATATTCCTAATCGAGATGGCGGCGACTGCGCGGTTGGCGGCCAAATTCAACTCCTATTACTCGGAGAAGCCGGTCCTTACGACTATGGTCACCAACGCGGTAAGCTCCCCTAGACTTACGAGAAAACGCGAGCACATTCCTCATTGAAGACACATCGCTTGCGATTTGTACGGGCGAGCAAATGGCATTGGCTTTCAGGTAGCTCGGGAGCTCGCCATTCTCAAGCTCTCTGACAAAGATGCATATCTGCCCGGCGGGAAATTGATGGAAGAACAGGCGCAAGCGATGTGCCTGAAATGTTGACTGTGCTGCAGTGTCGACTCGCTGCCTCGCATTTCGACAATGAATGGCTGACAGGGTATACCAGATCCTTGGTGGAGTCGCGGACACAGTGGCTCAGTTGATCACAGCGTTTAGAGCCCGAACTGGGGTGCACCGTGGCGACGATTTCATCTCGATTGAAATTCATGATCTGGACAAGGAAAAGCCTCCCGCTGTGGGAGAATTGGGTCATGCGAAGCACACGCCGCCCCCCTTCGACTTTGAACGACTGGTTCGTTTCATGTCGTACGGTTTCTTCATGGCTCCCATCCAGTTCCAGTGGTTTGGTTTTCTTTCGAGGACGTTCCCTCTCGCCAAGAAGAACCCGACATTCTCTGCGTTGAAGCGGGTGGCATGCGACCAGCTTCTCTTCGCTCCGTTCGGTATGGATACCGAGCCAACGATGTAAAGCCTGGCTAATGGAATCTAGGATTGGTCTGCTTTTTCTCTTACATGACAATCGCTGAGGGTGGTGGTAGACGCGCCTTGACCCGCAAGCTCCAGGACGTTTATCTCCCTACACTCAAGGCCAACTTTGTCCTCTGGCCTGCGGTCCAGGTTCTCAACTTTCGAGTTGTGCCCATCCAATTCCAAATCGTGAGTCTATATTGCACCCCTTTGATGCCTTGCTTTTGTTAACTTGATTTGCAGCCCTTCGTCTCTTCGGTTGGTATTGCTTGGACTGCGTACCTCTCCCTTACAAACTCTGCCGAGGAAGAATAAACGAGTCGAGTATGCTCAAAAAAGACGGTCTAGCTGTCCACCATACTGCGAACTTTTCAAAGTGGCAGTGTTCATAGCCAGTCTTCTGCCAAACTGGCATGATGCGGCGGCGTCCTGGCCACCTTTCGTGGGCAATGGCTGCAGGTCTTGTCCCGATTGATTTCCTTGGCTACGGGTACGAGAGCATCACTGGTTGGTGCTAATATGGGCCCTTGCATCACGGTTTTATTCCGGTCTCCTGATGTCTTTCGTTGCCTTTTTCTTGTCTTGTTGAATGCTTCTAGGCGTTGCAATTCTGGATTGGATCATGCTATCTTCAGTGGTGTTCAGGCGCATGTGAAACCATTTCATGGTTCAGACAAAGTTGTTAAGAAGTACAGATAAATCTTCAATTTATCATGTCTCAGGACAAGTTTACTATATCTTCTATCGAAGCAAGTAAAGCTCCCCGCCATGCATAGGGCGGGGGAATTTAGGACCTTGAGGACGAAAACAGGACGGCACTATATACTCCGTAGCTTCAAAGGGGAACGGAGAGCAATCGCAAATCTGTACTTCCTGATCCGAGGTTATTGAGAATGCGCAGGCTCAATGTTTTCCCGAGTCCCTGAAGCAGTGAAGTCCGAAGCATTCCGTTGTCGCGAAATGACATCAGTACTAGCCCGACTACCGCCGAGCCCGCACCTCCCTCACCGGCAGCCCCACCAATTTGCGCAAAGCAAATGGCAGCTCTGCGATTCTGGATACCCCGCCACTCACCGTGACACGATTTCAGCATTTTCAAGGTGGTCTAGTCTCCTGACGGGCTTTATTTATCTTTTGGTCTCCTCCCCCTCGTTGTTCCTGGTCCTCCCTCTCCCCCCATCTAGCCTCAGCAACAATGTCTCTCACCAGCAAGCTTTCCATCACCGATGTGGATCTCAAGGACAAGCGCGTCCTGATCCGAGTACGTCAAGCCGATAAAGCTCCTGATTGACCCCTCTAACGCCGGACTGTAACCAGGTTGACTTCAACGTCCCCCTCGACAAGAAGGACAACACCACCATCACCAACCCCCAGCGTATCGTCGGTGCTCTCCCCACCATCAAGTATGCCATCGAGAACGGCGCCAAGGCCGTGATCCTCATGTCTCACCTCGGCCGTCCGGATGGCAAGAAGAACCCCAAGTACAGCCTGAAGCCTGTTGTGCCTAAGCTCAAGGAACTGCTCGGCGGCCGCGACGTCATCTTCACCGATGACTGCGTTGGCAAGGAAGTTGAGGAGACCGTCAACAAGGCCTCCGGTGGTCAGGTCATCCTGCTTGAGAACCTGCGCTTCCACGCCGAGGAGGAAGGAAGCTCCAAGGACGAGGCTGGCAACAAGGTCAAGGCCGACAAGGAGGCGGTTGCGGAGTTCCGTAAGGGACTGACTGCTCTGGGTGACATCTACATCAGTGAGTTTGCCCAGGTAACCGGGTATATCTGAGTCCACTGCTGATCCCTATTTAGACGATGCCTTCGGTACTGCTCACCGTGGGCACAGCTCCATGGTCGGTGTCGACCTCCCTCAAAAGGCCTCCGGCTTCCTCGTCAAGAAGGAGCTTGAATACTTCGCCAAGGCTCTCGAGGAGCCCCAGCGCCCCTTCCTCGCCATTCTTGGTGGCTCCAAGGTCTCCGACAAGATTCAGCTGATCGATAACCTCCTTCCCAAGGTCAACAGCCTCATCATCACCGGCGGCATGGCCTTCACCTTCAAGAAGACCCTCGAGAACGTCAAGATCGGAAACTCCCTCTTCGACGAAGCCGGAAGCAAGATCGTCGGCGACATCATCGAGAAGGCCAAGAAGCACAACGTCAAGGTTGTTCTCCCCGTTGACTATGTCACCGCCGACAAGTTCGCCGCCGATGCGAATACCGGCTACGCTACCGACGAGCAGGGCATCCCCGACGGCTACATGGGTCTGGATGTTGGCGATAAGAGTGTAGAGCTCTACAAGCAGACCATTGCCGAGGCCAAGACCATCCTCTGGAACGGTCCCCCTGGTGTCTTTGAGCTGGAGCCCTTCTCCAAGGCTACCAAGGCTACTCTTGACGCTGCTGTCTCTGCTGTTAAGAGCGGTGCCACCGTTATCATTGGCGGTGGAGACACTGCTACCGTTGCTGCTAAGTACGGTGCTGAGGACCAGATCAGCCACGTCTCCACTGGTGGTGGTGCCTCGCTCGAGCTGCTTGAGGGCAAGGAGCTGCCTGGTGTCGCTGCTCTGTCTGAGAAAAGTAAGTAAATAATTGTCTGAAGAAAGCAGCCTTTCTTTAGAACGACACGATCTACACCTTTTTCCATCCAAAAGGGTGATTTTGAGATGAATGTAATGTACCATGACTTTTAAATAATAAACCAAGTTCAATTCATATCCTGCGCTATGTATGAAGGATTCTAATTCTGGACTGTGCTACAGCTACGGGCCCCAGACTATGATCATAAGTGCTCTTTACAAGGCTGTCTAGCCGACGACGCCGATATAAAAAGTGTATCTTGGAATTATAGACCCGGAATGGCCATGTACTTCACTAGTAGTTGTCTGATATCCTCGGGAATGATAACAAGGCATGTACCAAGGCATGCATAGAACTACAAGCCTATGTACCTACCGTGGTATAATGAGCAAGTATCCCACAGCCCATCATTGACTGCCCATTTCTCGCATTACGTTTGGGACCACGTTCGAAGTAGCATCGCGTAAGCAGTTTCTGGACAAGTTGAACGCCTCCGTATGCGGGACCGTTTGCGGTGTGTATGTGAGAATAAGAGACAGGAGTATCAAATAGTATTCAGTTTATCAAGTTCATTCCTATTGTCATTTCCATTCTATAGCGCCCGAGCATTAGGAAGAGGAGGCGTCGACTTTCTTGAGTTCTTCCCTATGATGCGAGAGGCTGGTTAGTCACGATACTCGAAGAGTCTGCAGAGCACATATGGAACACGGTTATCGTTCGAGCAAACGGATGCCTCGGCGACAAAAATGGCGGTGGAAAGGGGGTAGAGGGAAATAAAGTGAGATGAAAAACGCACTTCAACTGCTTCGAAAAGTCCTCGGCGGCGTCATCGTCATCCCAGCTCTCTTCCCACAAGTGAACGTTATTCCCGTTTGCGGTAGCTTGCTCGGTCTCGTTCTCCGGCCAGTCTGAGCGAGTTGAAAGCACGTTAGCATTTCATTCTTGTCTGGAGTACTTGCGTGGCACATTGCTAACGCATCTTGAGCGGGGAGATGAAGTTGAGGGACGAGAAAGAGGGATCTGTGTCAGACACACGGGCGGAGCTCTCACCATCAACAGGGAAGTCCTCAAACTCATCGTCTTCCTCAAGCACGGTAGGCTTTTGTTGTTGCGGCTGTTGCGAAGCTTCCTGCTGCTTGGTGTCTTGAGATTGCGTGTTTGACATTGTGGCGGTGGGTGTGTGGTGGTCGGTGGGATGGGGAGGAAAGGGGATTGTGGTCTGATAAGGCTCTTTGGTGACTATGTATCTATAACGAGGTGTAGGTAGGTGAAATGGTAGGTTGGAAGCTGGAGTTGGAGGAGATGGGTGCTGTGCGGAGAAGAAGCTGAGTGTTGAGGCCCAGGTCCCAATCCCGCTCCGGAGTTGCCTTGCTGGGATTGGGCTGTCACATGGCTTGCCAAGACTTGCTTGCAATATCCTCAGAGGACCCTGAGCGACACCATCAGGGACACGCCACCAAGACTCGTAGTATGAAGGCTTGTTTTCATTTGATGGCCGATGAAGTATTTGTTCAATGCACAGTTTGCCTGGAGGATAGGCATACAGTAAACAAATCCCACCTCGTTATACCTCCAGATACTGACGTGGTTCAGTTATACTTTCTTTTTCTATATGCGCCTTTTTGACTTGCATTTGAAAGACAGCTATGACCCAGATTAAGTCTGGCCCTAAGAAGACTAACTCCTTCAGATGCACCCCGGCCATAATTTAATGCTACTCCGAGTGGTAACTCCGTAAACGCAAAGTAGTTTGTATGATGTCACCCTGAATCTGTTGCGCCGAAAAGAGGATGGCACAGCGGTCAGCAGCGGCAGAATCCGTATACAGCGAGGCAGCACGAGGCAGTCGAGCTGAGTTGGAGGCTCTTAGTCGTTGAATCGTTGGACAAAAAGCTGCCTCAAATTGCCGGAGAATTTCTAGCACCCCCGCATTCCGATACAGTCATCCCTGAATCTGCCTTATCATCTGAGATTTCTTGATTTGTGCAGCAATCAGCTCGCGATTAGAAGCTGAACGATGCTCCGCCTCTCCGGTGGACCACGGCCAGACTTGTCCCATTTGATCGCTTCTGGTGCTGCTTAGCGCGAACCGACGCTCGCTCCGGGTGTTACTACGTCTCATAAGTGTATTATATCGTCAGCCTTTCGTTCCGTCGCCTTTTTTCACTTCCTATTTATGTGCCGTGGCCCAGGACTGATGCTCTCGCAACCTCTCCGGCGCATTCTTAGACAGTGATCCTGCTGAGATTAGGTAGATCATTCCGTCCGTTCGTTTGGGATCTCGGACCGTCCGGCCCGGTATCTGATTTTTGGCGTTTGAATAAACAGCCATATCACTGCAATTTGCTCGCTCTCTAATTCTTCCCCTCTCCCGATTTGCGGCTATCCTGAGATATGTTTGGCGGCTGGTTTGGGGGCAAAAAGCCTAGTCCAAATGGATCTGCGCTTTCGCTGAATGCCTCGACAGAATTGCAGGACTGTGAGTGACGTCCGCATATTTGCTTGAAGATTGCATGCTGATGCTCATCGTGTACGGCAGTGGAGGATGCGATCAAAGGTACGCGAAGGCCATCAGTGTTCTCGACTTCTGGATCGTCGTCCAGGTATACTCCCAAGGCTGATGAGCGCTAATCTTTCCGTATCCGGCTCACAGCTGCCGAGTTGATCCTGAACGATGATGTTGATGGTGCTGAAGAGGGCCTCGCCGGACGAGATTCAGCTTTCCACCTGGTACGAGGTCTTCGTTATTGAGCCCTCAGTAATATTGGCCCTGGCTGGGTGCAACTGACATGGCTACCATCTCTAGCTAGGAAGGGCTGTGGTGATGTTCATTAGGGCAACCCTCGGTTTTGAGCAAGATGTTATGCGCCAAGGTTTGAACCAATCTATCTAGCTTCAGTCGCAGCAACTCATATTATGCAGCGGCGGATCGACTTAACGAGGCCGAAAACAGAGCATACCAGGACCAACAACGCATCAAAAACAAAGCACAATCTCCAGATATCTACCATTCAGAGATCTATGCGCCCGGTACCGAGTTTATCCTCGTTCAGGCAATGGCGCAACTTATGGGCGCTGTTGTTTGTGTGCTCAACGAAAGTCTTACCGAAAGTATAAAGGGCTTCTATAAGTTAAGAAAAGCTTATTTTGCGCTGGACGCAGTTTTGAAGATGGAGGAGAAGTTCATGCAGTCAAAGCAGGCCGGTACTGCAAACACTACTTCTTCAACTCCTTCACTAAAAGGGGCAGAAGCTTCTACCCAATCTGTGGACGTTTCCGAAGACATTTCCAATCTTAGCCTTGCCGAAACTGCCAATGGCCCGGATTCGAGCAGCTCGAGCACATCAGAAGTGATCAACCACGATCCAGAATCCGATATCTTCAAAAATCAGATCGACGTTTTTGTGCACTCTGGAGCCAACTTTTGCTACGGTGTTCTTCTTCTGCTTATTTCCATGATTCCACCCGCGTTTCATCGGCTCCTCAGCATCGTCGGATTCCACGGAGACAAAGAGCGCGGTCTAAGATTACTTTGGCAAGCTAGCAAGTTTCACAATTTGCCAGGTGCCATCGCGGCCTTGACTCTTCTTGGATATTACAACGCTTTCGTCCGTTACTGCGATATTATGCCCGACGCCGTTCCCGGTAAGCACGGGGACATTCAAGGCTATCCTCAAGAGAGGCTCGAGGCTCTTTTGGCACGGATGAGGGAAAGATTCCCCAAGAGCCAGCTCTGGCTTCTTGAGGAGTCCCGCATGAACGGTGCCAACCGCCGGCTTGATGTGGCACTTGAGCTTCTGTGCACCAAGGAACAGAGCCCCTTGAAACAGGTTGAGGGGCTCAAGATTTTCGAGAAGAGTTTGAACGCGTTGTACATCCACAAGTACGAGCTGTGTTCTGAAGCGTTCGTTGAGGTCTGTTCCTAACTAACTCCTCTGGTCATTACTGTGCTAAGAATTATGTAGTGTGCTGACATCAACTCTTGGTCTCGCGCATTATATTACTATATCGCAGGGACCTGCCACATCAGTTTATACAGAGAGTTCGCTGTGACTGACCCGAAAAAGGCAAAAGAGCATGCGGACACTGCGATTAAATTGCTGCATCAAGCTCCTCAATATGCAGGAACAAAGAAGTTCATGGCGCGACAGCTGCCGTTCGATGTCTTCGTCGTTCGCAAAATCGCTAAGTGGGAGGCTCGGGCCAAAGAGTGGAATATACCGTTTATAGACGCCGTGGGAGTTGATCCTGTGGAGGAGATGATCTTCCTGTGGAACGGACATAGCCGGATGACACAGGAGCAGCTCGAAGAGTCATTAAAGAGGCTTGCATGGTCCGAAAGCGACGAGAACAAAACGTGGTCTCGTGAGGGAGCAGAAGAGAAGGGAATCTATCAGCTCCTACGTGCAGCTGTGCTGCGATCGATGCGGCGGCACGACGAAGCAAAGGAGATCCTCGAGAGCTCGGTCTTCACACTGGATCGCTCAGTATTCAAGGGGCGCCACAAGGATGATTGGGTGCATCCGGTTGCCCATTTCGAAATGGCGGCAAACCTATGGATGGAGCGTCCGACATACATTGCCCAGCATGGCGGGCCAACCCCAGAGGGTGCCAAAGAGGACCCAGACAAGTTCGAGAAGGAGAGAGTACGGAAATGCAAAGAGAACCTGCAAAAGGCCGCTCGCTGGGAGAGCTACGAGCAGGAAGCTCGCTTTGGGCTAAAGGTGACGGCGGCGCTTGAGGCTGTCACCAAGTGGGAGAGCCAGCACTCGACAAAGCTTGAGTGAGGGGTATGTATATAATATGACGCATTATGCTGGGCGGTACATTTTGTTCATAACAATCGATAGACTAAAGTTCATGAACCTTAGAGCATATTTGGATATTTATCCCAATCGGTGCATCTGATTCTCGCATAGCCTCTTTTATTGAGAGCTACGCCTTTCAAAATTATCCTACCGACTATATTACTATTGATGCAATGGTGACCTCTTGCTTAAACGGTCTCGGCACACTAGAGCAGTTCCACCCGTTTGACAGTGGCGATCCGCATTCCACAGTCCACCGGAAAAGATTCCGCTGTTCTCTTTTCTTGTCCATTTACCGCTTGGCTAAAACTTGACCCGCTATTGACCCCGGTTCATTGATATACAGTCTCCAAGGCGATGGTTTGGGGCCTGCGAGATGCAATAGCGACGATACTGACGCCTCAGACGGCCCCCTGTAAACCACAAACATGATCCAACGAATGCACTAAATTGTCCCAGGCTACAGCATTGTCGAGTCCACTGTATGATCGTCCCCAGATCCACCCTATACTCTCTAGCGAGTCGCGACTCAAGCCAGCGGCGTTATCGGAGGTCCGACAGATGCACGGAGCACCCGATGCTGTTGAATCGGTTAAGACGGCTTTATTCCTGAGTCTGGATCACACGCTATGAAGACTTTTTAAGCTCTGGTTCCTGCTAGCCAAAGGCTTATTAGCCGCTGGTTCGCCCAGTTGTCTGGAGTCGAAATGACGTCTGAGCCGACTCTCTCCAAAATTGTGACGACAATGCTGGAGTCTTTTTCCTCGCCTACCTCTACACAATCACAATAATCCTTCACTATGAAAGAACAGTACATGAGGGACAGGGATATGGATTCCTCAAAAATAGAAAGAGAGGGCGACCTCCAACCGAACCGCTCTTCCACCTCGTCCCCCGACACCGACACCGACCACGGCCGGGAGTATAATGCTCTCCAGGCGCAAACAACCGCAGCATCAGGGATGTCCCTCGAACAGCGCGCGCAGTCTGTCATCTCCAGAATCCGAAGCCGAGAGCCTGGGCAAGTTGCGCGCTTTACGCATCCGCTGTCGCATACGAAAACGCGAGACGATGTGATCGTCGACTTTGATGGACCCGACGATCCTTACCGGCCGTTGAACTGGGGGTTTCGGAAGAAGGCGATCACAACGGTTCTGTACGGACTAACAACTATGGGTATATCGATCTCCTGTCACGTCGAACTTTATATGAGAATGAGACCTGGAGCTGACTTGTAACTGTCATAGGCGCGACATGGGCCAGTGCTATGTAAGACCACACGGGTTCGCTTTCGAAAGTTCGGCGGTTCTAACCCTAGGTACCTAGTTACTCAACCGGCGCAGGCCAAGTCAGCTCAGAATTCGGGATAGGTGAGGAGGTCAGTACTTTGGGAACCACGTTATTGCTCTTCGGGTTCGGTAAGTTAATGTCAATCGTTACCACCACCAAATTCAACCAACATTAACGTCCTCAACCCAGGCTTGGGTCCTCTCGTCTGGGCTCCCCTTTCTGAAGTCTACGGCCGCAAACCCGCCGTGCTGGGCCCTTACTTCATAGCCGCGATATTCTCTTTTGGCAGCGCAACAGCCAAAGACGTGCAAACACTTATGCTAACCCGCTTCTTCACGGGCTTCTTCGGCGCTGCCCCAGTCACAAACACCGGCGGCGTGCTCAGCGACATCTGGACGCCCGAGGAGCGCGGCGCAGCTATTGTCGGGTATGCCATGGCTGTCGTGGGCGGACCGGTTCTGGGACCCATCGTTGGAGGCGCGATTTCGCAGAGTTACCTGGGGTGGCGGTGGACGCAATACGTATGCTTCTCTCACACCCACCCTGGCCAACCAAGCCGATAAACTGACACTAACGTGCGTATATAGATAACGGGCATAATGATGATGTTCTTCCTAACCCTCGACATCCTCTTCATCGACGAAACCTACCCAAACACCCTCCTAGTCTACAAAGCGCAACGCCTACGCTTCGAAACCGGGAACTGGGCCCTCCACGCCCGCCACGAAGAATGGGACGTGACTCTTAAAGAACTTGGGAACAAATACCTGATTCGCCCCTTCGCCCTCCTCACAACCCCCATCTGCTTCCTCGTCGCCCTCTACGCCTCGTTCGTGTACGGCATCCTCTACCTTTCCCTCGCTTCGTTCCCCGTCGTATTCCAAGAGCTCCGCGGGTGGAACCAGGTCGTCGGCGCACTGCCGTTCCTCGCGTACCTGGTTGGGATCCTCTTCGGCGCGGGCATCAATCTCGCGAACCAGAAATTCTACATCGCGCGCTTCAAAGCGAATAATAATCGTCCTGTCCCGGAAGCACGTCTGCCGCCAATGATGCTGGGCTCGGTGGTTTTTGCCGGCGGCCTGTTCATCTTCGGGTGGACGTCCCAGCTCGATATCCACTGGTTCCCGTCGATGGTTGGCGGGGCGTGCATGGGGCTGGGGTTCTTCACGATTTTCCAGGCAGCGCTGAATTACCTGATCGATACGTTCCAATCTGTGGCTGCGAGTGCAGTTGCGGCGAATACGTTTCTGCGCAGTGTCTTTGCCGGTTGTTTCCCGTTGTTTGCGACGGCCATGTTTAGGAATCTGGGGGTGCCGTGGGCGTCGAGTGTACTTGGTTTCGTCGCCATTGCGCTGATTCCGATTCCATATCTATTCTATGTCTTTGGACCGAGAATTAGGGCTAGGGGGAAGTGGTCGAGGGGCTCGGTTTATTGAATCTCTTTCCTTGCGTTTAGACCTTTTTCCAAGTCGGTAGAGTGCCTGATTACAGTTTTGGATTGAGGGATATGATGGGATGATTACAATTGCATCAGCGGTCAGCCTATTATTTGGATTTACATATACCCAGGAGTTAGATACAAAGCTTTCATCGCGTGTAAATATGGCAATCAGACAAACATAGTACATAGTCAAACCAAAAAAAAATAATATCACAAAAAGATCGTCAACTTAATTAGATCAGAAAGTATTTGAAAGGCGATTACACCCTCGTAGCCAGACCCCCAAGCCTAGTGATCTTCTTCGCCAGGATTCTAGCCCTGTCAAGGGCACTCCACTCGCTCTTTGAAGCTGGAAGCCGGGGCACGTCTTGCCTAGAAACGGAAACAGTCCTTGATGGTGTCCTTGCATCCACAGGGGCATAAGCCGGTGCGGGCGCAGTATCAGAAGAGTCCACATCAGCATCACGCTTTGTCATATTCAATGCCACCACAGCCATATGGCCGAGGAAGGTTGAGTGTGCTAGCAGATCCTCTATACGGACATGCAAGCCAGTTTCCTGCTCGATGATCCAGACGACCTGGGCAACATTGGCGATGTCTCCGCCGAGTCCGAAGAAGGATGAGTCGAGCTGGTAGGATGTTTGTAGTTTGCCGGCGCTGGATCGGGGCTGGAGGACTTGTTGCCAGATACGGGTAACTAGAGCAGAATGCGCGAGAATTTCAGAGAGACTGTGGTCGTTGAGTGAGGAGAGTAGGAGACTGTCCCTGCTTTCGGCTGTGGGCGTGTCTTCGACGAGCTGGGGTGGTAGAGAGCGGATGGTGGATGGAGACGGGAGGGCGAGGTTAGGGTTGGCGACGAGGCTCTGCGCTGTTTCGCAGACCATGTCTAGCAATGTGGAAACGAAGCTTGAGGGGATAGGGCCCTTGTTGGAGTATCCTATGGCGACGTTGATCTGGGTGGGCTGGCCGGCAAGAGGTTTGGAGAAGAGCATCAAGTCTGTAAGGTTATCGATGACTCCGAAGCCGCCCATCTTGTACGTATGATTGTCCAGCTGCATCTGCCCTTCGTAGTCGAGGGTCTGATGAAGGACGGATGTCGTGAAAAACGTCGATTCGGGCCAGTCTGTGCAGCGCCTGACGATCTCCCTGCACCCCAACGACTCGTAGGTCATATTCGCTACCTGTTGGTCCTGGAGGAAACGGAACAGATCCAAACCGGTCCAGCGCTCTTTGAACTTAACCCTAATAGGGATAAAGTTGAGACATGGTCCGACTATGCCCTCGGCTCCGGGAACCGCATTTCGTCCGTTTACAGTGAGGCCAAAAACAACATCGTCCTGAGCACACATCTTTGCAAGGGTGATTGCCCACGCAGACTGCATGACTGTGGCAATGGTGACATTTTCCGTGGCACTGGAAGGAATCTCAATGACCTTTGCCTTCTGCGTGTAGCCACCAACATGCTGGAAGGTATTTAGCCTGTCCCGCTGGATGATTTGGGTCATTTTCGAGCCCTTGAGCAGATTGCTCCAATGCTGGTAGTGCTCAGGTGTGATATTCCCAGGTAGAAGTCGCATGTAATTCAAGAAAGATGAAGGCGAAATGGGACTGCCCTCATATCCCATCTTGATAGCAGTCATGATCTTCGACAGGCAGAATCCGTCGTACTGCGCGTGTGACAGCCGGATGAGAATCCGGTGCTCGTCGCTATTGGCCTTGCGCACAACATAGAACTGTACACATTGCTGACCTTGCCCTGGAGATTGCTTCTTGTCGCGTTGCTGAAGGGAATTGCTGTACTCATCCAGACTCTTATCCGTTTCATGGACGAAGATATCAGGCTTGACCTTGCGGAGAACCACTTGGTAAAACTGTCCATGGAAGCACACGAAGACGGTCCGGAGAATATCGAAAGCGTCAACAACACGCAGAAAGCTCTCCCTCAACCGCCGCATATCTATGGCACCCTTTCCGTCAAGATAGAAGTAATTTAACATCCACCTCGACTCGAACATGGTCCCCGTTAGCGAGAGAGCTTGGAAGTCCGTTACTGGTAGAACGTCGACTATACCCCCCTTGAAGACACCAACCTTTGGGGAGATTGCTGCACGCAGGGACCTGTCGTCAAACTGGACTGGCATCGGCCTCAAGATGGAGAGCTCTTGAGAGGAGTCGCTCTGGGGTAACAAAGGCTTATCTTCGACCTTCTCATCGCTATCTTCGCGCTTTTCCGTCTTAGCCAGAGCCATGATCTTCTTCCTGTCGTTAACCAGGGCCATCATCTTCTCAAACACGGGGTTCTTGATCACATCAGCCACGCTCAACTTCATTCCCTCGTCGCGTGCCGCGCGGACCAGTTTCATAGCTGTAATGCTGTCGCCACCTAGCTTGAAGAAGCTGTCTTGATACTTGATAGGATGTGGTGGCAGCCCCAGTGTTATGCTCCAAAGTCTCCAGAGCTGACTCTCCGCATCGATTGGGGTTCTGTGCTCGGTGTCGAGTGTTTGCGTAGAGGATGCAGGCGTCTTTTCCCTTGCCACCACCACTCCTTGGAGAGACTCTTCAATATCCTTTTCGATATGGACGAAATCATCCGACAAGTCATCGCCATGGTTCTTCATCCAAGACGTGTCGATTTTGCCGTTTCCGAGCATCTGGCTGACGACAAGTTTAATTCGCTCATCGACCATCTTTTCAAGCAGGCTCCTATCCATGAACGGTCCAGTGGCAGTAGTATTCTCTTCCTCCCGGATCCTCAAGGCTGAAACTGGTCTAGTTGAGTCCTCCAAGAAGCAGGTAAGGACTTCAGCAATAGCGCTGGCGAAGGCAGCCGCCTTTGCCTCGGAGACAGCGTCAACCCAGTATCTCAACAGAATTCCCTCGGAGCCTTTCGCACTCTCAACATTTAACGTAATCGGGTACTAGAAACCCGGAGTTAGCCTGCGGTCGTTCGGTCTAGGATCAATATTGCTTACCTCGCAGGGGTCATGTGCCTTCTGCATCACGAATGAGAATTCTCCAACCTCGACCTTACCCACTGAGCCGTTTTGTATGGACATGCACGTGTTGAACAAAGGCTCTCCCTTCCTACCAAGCGCATGCTGGATTTCCGCAAGCGAAGACCGTTGGTACGGGAGGCTGTCGATGCGGTCGTCTTGCACGGACTTGGCGATATCCAGCAAGGTATGGTTGGCTCGGAACCTGACCCTACAGCACAGCGTGTTTATAAATATACCCACGGCATCCTGGATCCCAGGCACAGGCAAGTCGCGGCCAGTTGACGGATAGCCAAAGCAGACATCGTCGGACTTTGTATAGCTGCGAAGAACAATCGCCCATGCCGCGAGAATCAGGTTGGCGAACGTGATTGAATTCGTCTCGCAGAAACTTTGAAGCGCAGCAAAGCGGTTGAATGCCACCATATGAGTGCCGAGTTGCCGAGAGCCGTTTTTGCTCGCAGCAACTGGTAGGTAGCATGGACGGACACATGAGAGACGAAGCTTCCAGTAATCCAGGGCTTCAAACGCACCCTCCTCCTTGAGGTATTTGATGTATTCGCTGAATAGCGGTCCAGGCCCCGGAGGAAGCTGGTTGCCGTAGGCTAGTGCCAGCTCCTTCAGCAGGATGGAAGCCGAGCCGCCGTCGATGATAACGTGGTTCATTTCGAGCTTCATCAGCACCCGCCCTATTGACGTCTTGCAGAAGATCACCTGGTGATAGCGGTCAGAAGACTTGCCCCTGTTCCGAAGGCTAAGGGCGTCAAGTTGATCCATAGCATCTGAATCGTCGCACTCAATATCGAGGGCTTCCTCGCTAGCTTCTTTGATCACGACTTGGTCGAAAGATCCTCCTTTGCAGCAGCTCTCAATGAAAACCGTCCTCAGGATCGAGTGACGAGCGACAACCATTGACCACGCTCTCTTGAGTCTTGCGAGGTCGATATCGCCATTTCCACCGGATCGCCGAAGCTCAAATATCACGTTAAATATATATTCGTGCGGATCCCGTAGCTGGCTGAAGAGGATACCCTCTTGAATCGGAGAGCAAAAATAAATATCCTCGACCTGGTTCCAGCCCGCTATACCAAGGCTTGGAAGCACATTTTCTGTCAAGTCTTGCATCTCATCATAGGTAATGGGAAGCAACGGATAATCGCTCAGTGTAGGCTGCGGAGGGACATCCTTGAGCTTGGGCATGTCTGTTTCGAGCACGCGTTTGCACTCAGCCACCCAAGATTGAATTTGAGCCTGGTGACGCATGTTGCGGTTGTAAATAAACGAAACATGAAGTTGCTCCTTTACTATCAACGCAGTAACTTCGAAGAGAGCGAATCTCGGCGTGTCACGTCCCATGTCGCTCGCTGAGTCCATTGATTTGGCACTGAACACATCCCCGTAGTGCTGGAAGATTGACCCATCGCGCTCTAGTTGTTGGAGCTGGCCAAGATAGTTGAATATAATCTCGAAAGGCGCGGAGAACTTGACGCTGTCGCCGTTGCTGCGAGAATGCAACATGTTGTGGGCGAAGAAAGCACGGCCGAGTTCACTGATTTGGCGGCGTGTGTCCTTGACTCGTTTTATCGTATCAAGCAGGTCTTACTAGTTAGCATATATCATACGCACAGAATAAGTGGATAACTTACCCGAGCCAGTTTGAACATGCAAAGGACTCATGGTCGTAAACCAACCAACTGTTCCTGAGGGTTCAGAAGAATCCCAAGTCTCACGCCCATGCCCCTCATTAAAGATCGTTGGGGCATTCCTGTCAGTAAAGACGCGATTGAAGGAGTAGAGAACTGCAGCAAGCAAGACCTCTACTGTCTCGGTCCGCAGAATCGCATGACAGTGGCGAGAAACGAACGCAGTGGCACGTTTGTCCAGAGTGAAACTTTCTATCTCGACATGGCCGTAGTTGTTGGGTGTCCGGCTCATGCCCCAGTAGTTGAGATCTGGTGGCTGACTAGCAATAGTTTTGTTAAAACTCTTGCTGCCATCACGCTGAACATTGCACCAGGACTGGAATGACAGAGGCGTGTCAGAAGAAAGCGACCCGGTCTTGATGAAATCCTCGAGCTCCTGAAGGACAATGCGCCAGGAAACCACATCCACACATAGGTGACTAGCTACCAGGAAAAGGATCTGCTCGCCGTCTTCGTCGAAAAGGTCTGCTGCGACTACAGGTCCCATTTGAATGTTCAGAGAACACTGAGTTTTGGCAACTCTGCTTAGCATATCGCTAGAACTCTTGACAAAGTGGGCGCGGAAGTTGTAAGCTGAATCAACGTCCTGCGTCATGGTTAGCTCTGGAATATCAAATCAGGAAGAAGATTGAACCACTCACACTGGTAATTCTTTGTTGCCACGTTCCATCTGTAGACTTGCTGAAGCGAGCCCTGAGCATGGAGTGCTTTCGGACAACAGCCCTAATAGCATCCTCCACGACAGTCGGCTCAACCCTGTTTGCAAGACGAACAGTGATGCTCTGGTTGAATCGCCCGGATCCTTTCAGCACAGTGGGGGACGAGCGGAAGAACAACTCTTGAATTGGAGATAGTGCGAATGGACTGCACGATTCGGTTACGCTCTTCGTTGGAAGCAGCCTAGTGTCACATGATGCAGCAAGTTCTTCGATCGACTTCGCTTGGAGAATGCGGTTGAGTGTCAGATTAAGCCCGCATTTACGAGCCTTCGATACTACCGCCATACCGGTGATGCTGTCTCCACCGAGGTAGATGAATGATCGATCGGGGTCGACCTTGTGGATGGGTAGATTGAGAACCTGGGCGAAAATATCTCGGATGGTTTCAGGGATTGTGTCGGGCTCGCCCTGATCCTCATTCTCTTCTTCAATGGTATCAGGCGTAGCATCATCATAGTCTTGCATGATACGATCGTAAGCGGACTCGTCAAGTTGTTCGAGCCAACTGGAAATCCGTTTCCTGTCCAACTTCCCAGAGACAAGCATTGGGATGTTCTTGATCACTGCCCAAGCTTGGGGCACCATGTAGTGAGGGAGCTGCTCCTCGACCCTCTTTTGAATTGCACTGGCCTCCAGGTGTCCAACTCTCAGCATATCCTTCTGGCTTGCGAGCTCGCAAGCACCCGTCGCAATCATGTTCGAATCAGACGTGAGCGACTTCAAAGACATAACTGCAACCAGCTTCTGCCGTAGAGGACCTGTCTGGGGAAGTATGACTACCGCGTTTCGAACGGTCTGGTTCGCAAGCAAGCGGTGCTCAATCTCTCCCAGCTCCATACGCTGTCCGTGCAGCTTTACCTGGTGGTCTTTGCGGCCGAGGTACTCAATCGATCCGTCATAGTTGTACTTCGCGAGATCACCAGTCTTGTATATTCTCCTTGGAGAAGGCAAAGAGCTCGAAAAGTTCTTAATCCACGCGGGTTCACTCACAAAGTTTTCGGCTGTCTTCGTGGGGTTCTTGAGGTATTCCCTCGCAAGAGTTGGGCCTTCAAGTACAAGTTCCCCAACAGCTCCCAGAGGCGTGAGTCGATCATGATCGTCTGGGTCAACAATCCAGGTTAAGGTATTCGGATGCCCGTAACCGATGCAGGTAGAGCCATGGTTGACATAGTCCCGAGCCACAAGCGCAAACACAACGGTTTCAGTAGGGCCATATGCTCCGATGAAATTCACGTGGTGCTTCCAAGTCTTCACTACTTCGCTAGATAGGGCTTCGCCTCCACAAGTAACAACTTGCAGAGATGGCACAGATGACGGCTCAATGATGCTAGCAACAGAGGGCGTCAAGAAACTCCATGACACGTTCATTCGTTGTATGGCACGTGGAATGTCATTCAAGCGCTCGTCCTCGCTCGGAATGCATATGCAGGCTCCTAGCATCAAAGTACCGAGTACTTCGAGTATAGCTGCGTCGAAGGTGAGGGATGCAAACTGGAAGACCCTGGAGTCTTTGTTCAGCTCAACAACGGGAGCAAACCCAATGATGCTGCTGCATACTGCTCGGTGCTCAACAACGATGCCCTTAGGTCGCCCTGTACTGCCTGACGTAAAGATTGCATACGCCGCATTTGACGGACTGGTGGTGAACCGCTCTTTCTTGGTTGTCGTGACTGCGCTGTAGGCTAGTATTGTGGCCTTGCTCACCGGAATGATAGTGCTGACGGAACCAAGATATCGATTGCGGAGTTGCGAGGAGCAGAGTATTATATCTGCCTCTATCTCTTCCAAAATCTCCTTGTGCCTTGAGGCAGGATGCGAAGGATCGAGTGGGACAAAAGCGCCTCCTGCAAGTAGAACACTCAGGATAGTGACTATTGCCCAAACAGACTTGTCCACACAAACGGGTACATAAGTTTCCGGCCCAACTCCGCAGGACACGAGATATGCCGCAAAGGAAGAAGCAAGCTCGAACGTCTCCTGGTAATTGAGCTCGCCATCCCACGAGCAGAGAGCAGGTGCTTGCGGCTGCATCAGAGCATTCTCGCGGATAAAGTCCTGGACGCACTTGTCGATGCATGTCACCTGTCGCTGGTTCCAGCTGGCAATGCTTTGTTTATCCAGAGGACTGGCGACATCAATAGCGCCCACCGTCATTGGGCTGTCTCGAGGAACGTTGAGAAGTTGCTCAAGCACAAAGCCGAACTGCCCTAAGAGCCTTTCTGCCTGCCAGCTGTCGAGTATCATTTCATCATAGTTGGCCTGAATCAGTAGTTTGGAACCGGAGACCTGGCATTGAACAACAAGGGGATTTGTGAAAAAGTCCCCTTGTGTCTCCTGTTCCGCCCAACTCCAAATGTCCTCATTGAGCTGGGCGTTGTCCGACTGTATCACGAGCAGGTTCTGAAATTTGCATGCAAGCGCTGCGTCGCCGCTGAGCTTCTGAATTCGCTGAAGACCGTGATGCTGGTGCGGTATCATAGCTGCAGTTACCTGGCGGACATCGGACAGATACTGACTTATCGGAAGCTTGTTGTCGACCCGTACGCGCATGGGCACAGTGGTGATAGCTGGTCCTGCAACGTCCGCGATGCCTGGCATATTGACATTTCTTCCCGAAAGGGTTTCACCAAAGCAGACATCACCAGAGCCAGTGTGGGCGGAAATCACAATAGCCCATGCGGAGCGAATCAGTTCTGGAATCGTAACATCACTGGCTCGTGATGTCCTTGAGATATCAAAACTGCGGCGTTGGATACTGCCTGCACCAGTGGAACTCGAGTCATTGTTTTTCTGCGGAGGGAAGGGCTCACAAGAGAGACCGTCAAGGTATGCCTTCCAGAAGTCATCCGACTGCTGCATATCGCGCTGGAGCAGATGATTGATAAAGAACTTGTACGGAACAGTCGAGTTCTCAGTCGAGGAACTGGCGTAGACATCCTCGACCCTTTTGAGAATTTGTGGGACATTCCAGCCGTCGTAGAGCGCATGATTGATGGTCCACACGAAGTAGCGAACAGAAGGCCCAATTTGGACAATCGCGTACTTCGCCAGCAGAGCTCCGCTACCCTCGACGGTATCATCAGTCACATTCTCAAGTGAAGTCTCAAGGGTCCAGGAGATCCTTTCCCTCTTGATGACAACTTGCAAGAATCCAACATCTTCAATGTGGACAATTCGGGTTCGAAGAATGTCGAGTTCGTCCACGGTCTGCTGCCAGGCGGCCTTGAATTTCTCAAGATTAACATTTGGAGAAAGGCGATAGGGAACCCGAGCAACGTAGGCTCCCGGGTTCTTGATGGAGAGAGTCAACAGCCCTTCCTGCACTGCAGTGCATGGATAGATATCGGTAATCGAATCTTTGGCGACACAACACTGTTCAGAAATTTCCTCAAGAGTATCGGGCAACGGTGTTGAGTCAGGGACCATAGTAAAAGGCTCGAGATCCGGTCTTTGCGTAACCTCCTCGGCATCCGCACAGCACTTAGCCATGTCTACAAGAACAGGGTGCTCATAGATCTGGGCAACCGTCAAAGAGATATCTTGAGCCCTTGCGGCTACCACCAACTTCATGGCAGAGAATGAATCACCGCCGATTCCAAAGAAACTGTCTTCAGCGCTGATAGAACCAGGTTCAATTTCGAGAACCTTCGCCCATAGGTCTCGAAGGGTCGACTCTGCTGCTTGTGTCACCGCGCGGCCTGATCCGGAGTTCATAATCATGTAAGATCTTAGTTGCTCTTTGGAAAGACCTTGAACCATCGCTCGCAGCCCTTTTCGGTCGAGCTTGCCGGTGCTGCTTAGGGGTAGATATTGAACCGGGAAGTAGAGCTTGGGTATCATGATCTGCGGTAGGACCCGGCTTAGCGAGCTGTGAAGCTTTCCGATTGCCTTTTGGACAGATTCAGAGAGAGGAAGGAGTAAGCTCGGGGACATGATCTGCTCCGATGCTGCACTTCGTGAGTCGTGTCCATCGACGGTAATAAAGGCTGCCAAAGTCTTCGCTACCGACTTTGTCTCCGGCACCACGACTTCGACAGCGACTTGTGTGTTTTCCGGTGACAACAGTGTGCACTGTTGCTCAATCTCTTCCAGCTCGATGCGTTGCCCATTGAGTTTGACCTGCGTGTCTTTGCGAGAAATGAAGCAAATGTTTCCGTCAGACTTGTAGCGCACCAGGTCACCAGTCAAATACATGCGGCTAGTGTGACTAAACACATCCCGAAGCCCAGGCTCTTTGGACCACTGAGGCTGCGAGATAAACACTTCCTCCGTCTTCTTGGGATTGTTGAGGTAGCCGCGGGCAATAATGTCTCCCTCCATCACGAGCTCTCCGACAGCACCAACCGGAAGAATACGATTATGATTGTGAGGATCGACGATCCAGGTTCTTCCGCACAGGGCTGTACCAATGGAACTGCAGTCATCATCCACTAGCACGCCGTCTTGGTTGATCTTTAAACTTGCCGTGGCGAATATAGTAGACTCAGAGGGTCCGTACGCTTCGAAGAACCGGAGCCGTCTGCCCGTCCAACGCATAACATGGGTCTCTGTAACCTTCTCGCCTCCGACGTATAATCTTTCCAGCGTCGGGACTCTGTTCGGGTCTAGTGTGCTTAGAACCGTTGGGGTGAAGAACGCGGAGTTCACCTTCATCCTCGTGATTGCTCCAGCCAGGTCGTTCATGCGCTCTTCGTCACCAGGCATGCATACGCATGCCCCTACCATGAGAGTAATTGATATCTCAAGAATGCTAGCATCGAAGGTGTAGCTTGAGAATTGCAATTGGCGGGTGTTTGAATCAATGCCCAAGATCCTTGAAAAACATGAAGAGGCAACGGCGAGTGCGGCATGTTCGATAACGGTGGCTTTCGGTTTTCCGGTCGTCCCTGAGGTGAAGATGGCGTAAGCTGCATTGTGGACATTTGTAGTCGGCAGTCTTCGTACTGCTGGTGGGTTGGGAATCTTTTCAAGCGCATCATGATTCACGGCCAGTGCAGCCTTGCAAATACGAGACGCTTTCTCCAGATATCGGGTCGAGCACAGTACAATTGGGGCGGCAATATCATTGACAAGGCCTTGCAAGCGGCCTTCTGGGTGGGCAGGGTCTAGTGACGCAAAAGCTCCGCCAGCCTTTAGAACAGCAACCTGCGCAATGACAGCCCAGGCGGACTTCTCAAAGCAGAGACCAACGAAGACTTCTGGGCCAATGCCTCGGTTTACCAGGTGACTGGCAAGCTTGGTTGTCAAGAAGTCAAGTTGTGCGTAAGTAAAATTTCCGTCCCATGAACATATGGCGGGTGCTGCAGGATGCGCCAGTGCCTGCTCATGAATGATGGCGTGTGCACATCGCGTTGGTTGTGCAGGAAGGGTAGCGTTCCAGGAGCTCACTGCCTGGCAGGAACTTCGGCCAAAGAAATCAACATCTCTGATCAATCGGCCTGGTTCAAGGAGAGATAAAACAGAGTTCATGGTGCATTCATAACAATCAATCAAATGGCCCATATCTGTTTCCGAAAGGCTCGTTGGCTGATAATCGAAGTTGATCTCCGCTGAAGAGCCAGAGACACTGGCGTTGACAACCATGAGATACTGGCCTAAGTTCTCGTTCAACGAGTCAAAAATAGCATTGCTGGACTCAGCAACTGCTGAAGTGGATTCCTTATATCTGAAAACAGTGTTGAAGATTGAAGCGTTTTCAGACTTGATAGCGCGGTGAATCTCGAAAAGCGACATCCGGTGGTTCAACATGCGCTCGGCATCCATTTTCCTTTCTTGCATGACGTCTCGTAACTCCAGATTATCGTTCAGGTTAAGTCGGCAAGGTAATATGCAAGACGAAGCGTTCTTCTCGTGAATATGGTAGCCAAAGCAAACATCTTCCAGGCCTGTATAGCATCGAAGGACTAAGGCCCAAACGGTCTGGAGAAAGAGGTTCGGAGTGATTGCCAAGTCGTTGCATACACGTTGTATTTCTGACGCATTCGATAGTTGTAAGCTCATGGTGCAGAACTTGCCCTGCTCTCTCTTCGGAGTCAGCTCTGGGAACAGACATGGCTCGATATCAGCCAAGTGCTCTTTCCAGTAGTCGACGGTATCATTGAAGACTTGAAGGCTTCCACCTTTCTTTGGAAGATCGACGATTCTCTCTTCCAGAGCAGCAGACGATCTGAAAATATCCAAGCATTCGCCGAACAGCGCTAGTAGCTGGTCAACTTGGGAGTTGTACATGGCCCTATCATCATAACGAGCCGTTAGATTCACTCCAGTCTCTTCGATTGCACAGAGAACCGCAAGTGGGCACACGCCAAGCTCGGAATGTAGACGTTCTTGGTTTTCTAGGCTTTTCAAGTGAAGACCCTGCTGTTCAATACTCATGGCCGATATCGAAAGCGTGGACTCAAAGTCCAAAGCCCGGGCGGTGTCAGCGTTGATGTTCCTGATTGACGAAATTGGCGTTCTTTCGAACGGTCCAGCTTTGGCCAAAGAAGAGGAAGTTTGGTCCAGAACATCAGAAATGCTGAGTGAGTCGTGGACCCGAATCCGACGAGGGATCATCGTTGCCTGTGGTGAAAGCTGCTCTGACGAATTGGTGCGATTTCCGGGGTCGGCCAGCAGCTCGCCAAATATTGTATCGTCACATTGCGTGTAGCTGTGGATGGCCAACGCCCAAGCAGATAGTAACACAGGTCTTGCGTTGGACTTTCGCAAGGCTCCACTCCATGATACTGTCAGGCTTGTTTCGATCATCTTCGGGGCCGGTGGTCCTTGGAGTGAAAATGGCTGCATAAGGAACTTCCCAGAAAGTGGCGGCTTTTCTAGTTGATGCCGCCAGAAATCTCCAAACTTCTTCACATCGTACTCAAGTAGAGAGGTAGCCGGAAGATTTCGTGCTGCATCCCTCAGACATGAGCGATCGACTGTTCCCAGCGGTGTCAATAGCAGTCCTGACACAGGGAAGTACAGGCTGGGAACCTGGCTTGCAGGCAACGAAGCTGCTAGAGCAGTATATAGCTTATTCATGAGCACTTGGAAGTCGATGGTCTTCGACAAAATTCTCGACGTCTGCTCTGTAGTGATAGTCGGTTGGTCCGTTGTTGAAAGGACGAAAACAGCAATGCAAGTCTTCGGGTACTCTTCGATCCCCAGATAGAGTGACTCAACAACACAGCGATGGCCTGGGGTATACTGTTTACCCAAGAATTGTTCGATTTCAAGACCAAGCATTTGTGGCTTTTGATCCACTGAGTCACTCTTCTTTCCCAAGTACACTAGGGTTCCGTCGGTGTTGTAGCGAACCAAATACCCTGTTCTAAACATTTGCGGCCGCCGCTTCGGGAACAGAGAGTATGGCCGCTCCAAGGACTCGACAACACCATAGTCTTTCCGAGGAAACATCTGTTCGGTCTGTTCCTCATCGCGCAGATAGCCACGAGCTACGCCAGCGCCCTCTATCACCAACTCACCGACGCATCCTACGGGAACTAAGCGGGAGGAGTCACAAAGGTCAACAATCCACGAGCAGCATCCTAGAACTATTCCAGTGACAGATTGTGTGCTCGAACTTTTGGTGATTGAGAATTGGATGCAGGTGGAGGAGCACTCAACTGGTCCCATGAAAGAGAGGACTTGAACGCGTTCTGACCACACTTGTTCAATCTCACTCGATGGAGTTTCACCAACAAGGGCAAGCACTCGGATGCTCGGTACATCTGAGGGTCGGAGAAAAGAAGCAATTGATGGAGTGAGGCTGACGAGGTTCGCATTCGTCTCGTTAATCGACTCGGACAGCTGGCTTAGGGAATCATTTCTGGGAATACAAACACAGCCCCCTGACATAAAGGTACCAATGACTTCCTGGAGGTATATATCTGAGGTATAGGGCGCATATTGGAATGTTTTTGTGCCTGAAGTGATATGGGCTGCTGATGCAAAAGCTGCTGCTCGGGCCAAGATTGCGCGTTGGTCCAGAACAATCGCAGAAGACTCATGGGTGCCATTAGAGCCGAAGACAACGTAGCTGTCATCGTAAGGCTGTGTGTGAGAAAGATTGGTAGTATTTGGACCCATGAGGAAGTCGAAGAGTGATTCATCAACGCTGACGACGGTAGGGAACTGCCCTTCTAGCGATTCAGCACCAGAAGGAGACGTCACTCCAGTGTGTGCACCGTGGTCAACAAGCCATCTATCCAAGTCGTTCTCTGGTTGCACCTCATCTCTGGGCACGCATATGGCCCCAGCCTTGAAAACAGCCAGTATAGCCACGATTTGCCAGACGGATTTGTCGAAGTAAATTGGCACCAGGGTTCCCTTTCGTACGCCGAGTTGCGAAAGATACGCAGCCAGACAAGTCGACAGATGCTCGAGGTCGCTGTAATTTAGAGTTCTGTCCCAGGATATGATGGCAGGTGTATCTGGCTGAGAAAGTGCCTTCTCTTGGATGATGTCCTGCACAGAGAGATCAGCTTCCTCGGGTGGCTGTTTGTTCCACTTTCGTAAGCGCTGCTTATTCCAGTCGCTCAATGTTTCCAGGTGGCCAACTTGTTCCCCTTGGTGACGAACAATGTTCTCGAGGCATTTGAGGAAAGTGCTAGTAACATTCTCTGCCTGTTCATCGGACAAGGTATCCGTCCAGTAGTTCACCTCGATTTCCGCCGCCTTGTCTGTCGCCACGACATTGACAAATAAGGGATACTCGGCGGGATCCTGAATTGGGCAGAATCGAGAACAACTTATGCTTTCGGTAGAGGACGCCTCTGACTTGGTGACCTTCTGGAATGAGATCATTGTGTTGGACAGCGCTATGTCGGAGAGCTGGAGTTCGTGCGTAATATCAATGAGTGATACGTTGTTGTGCGCGAGCTGCTCCATACAGTCGCTCTGAACCTGCTGCATGAGGTCGCCAAGCAAACCGTCCCTGGAAATCTTCATTCGACATGCAAGCACATTGATAACAGGTCCAACGACTGACTCAATATCCTCAACCATGGAGTCTCTCAGAGACGTCGTATAATTGAAGCAAACGTCGTTTGAGCTGCAGAAGAGGTGAAGTGTGAGTCCCCAGGCGACAGTAAAAGCTGTTGACAGCGTCAAGCGGTTATCGTCGCAGACTAATTGTAGGTCATGGAACAAATTAAAGCTAGGGCGCAAGATCATGAGCTGCTTTTGAGCGGCCTTCTTGCCATCAGACAGCGTAGGGAAAAGGCATGGTTCGAGGCCGGCCAGGTACTTGTTCCAGTACCCAAGGCTAGAGACTTGTGACCTATTGCGCATATATTGGATGTAGGCTTTGAACAGCGGCCTGCGCTGACTGAGTTTTCCGTCGTACGCGAGCTGTATGTCCCTCAAAATGACTGCAATGGATACGCCATCCATAACTGCGTGGCTCAGTTCCAACCGGAAGAACAGTCTGCCGCTTGCTGTCTGGCATAGCATCAGGCGATGGTGCGGCTTGCATTCATTGTAGACAACGGGAGGCTGATTGTTGAAGGTTGATACCACGTCAACATCGTCCGAACAGCTCAGGTGAAGGATGGGTGGCTCGCAGAATTTCAAGACCAGTTGAGAATATAGGTCCTGACTTGTCAGGTTTTCCACGAACAAAGTTCGTAGCATCGCATGACGGGAAACAACCGTATGCCAAGCTTCCGCAAATCTTGCAGCTTCAGGCTTGCCATTTAGCCCTCTTACTTCGTAAGTATCGTGAACGGCATACAGGGAGCTGTCCCTAGACCGGGCAAGTAAGATACCCTCCTGCATACGAGTACAGGGATAGATGTCTTCTATAATCCCTGGTGAGCTCACTCCAATGCTGGGCAGTTTCTTCTCCAGCATGTTCTCAAGGGTTGGATACGTCAAGGATAGCATCGGGAAATCACTCAGTGTTGGTCGCATGCCGATTGCCTGGAGTCTCTTTCCGAGATATTTGAGTACCTCACTGCAGCTGGCGATCCAAGCGCGGATTTTTTCCTGATGTTTCATATACTTGCTGAAGGAGAAGATGAAACGTAGTCTTCCGTTCACAGCAAGAGCCGATACCTCAAACAGCCCGAATCTAGGAGTATCTTTTCCGTAGTCTGATGACCCTCCGCCCTGACCAGTCTCACCGGCCATCTGGTTCAAGAGTTGGAATAAGCCATCTTGTCGTTGCAGATCACGATGCTGGCCGACGTAGTTGAAGGAAATCTCCATTGGGCAAAGGGGTCTCTTTCTCTCATCTTCTGTCGTGGTTGACATGACTGTTGCAAACTGTTGCCTTCCGTTGTCTATGAGGCGGCGGCGAAGGTCCTTCACGAGCACGACTGTGTCGACCGGGTCATCTGCCACTTGACCCTCGATAAAGATTGGAGAGACTGTTGTAAACCAACCAACCGTGCGGGAGATATCAATTGATGAGTCCCAAGATTCTCTTCCATGTCCTTCATTATATATTGCTGGCAATGACCGGTCTCTGAAGGTTTGGCCAAATGCATGCAGAAGCGATGCTAGTAAGACGTCAACCGCTTCGGTTCCGAGGCTCTTGTGGCAATCCATCAATATAGAGCTCGAATCATCGATTCCAAGTTCAAACGTTTCGCAAGTGGCATCTCCGTACGTCGCAACCTGATTTTCCATACCCCAATAAGCAAATTCGGTTGAGGGCACATCTTCCAGATATCCGCCGAGGCTAACTGCCCGCTCGTCTTGCAGGTAACACCAAACTGAGAACGGAAGAGAATTGGTGAGTATTGTCTTGTCTTCGGGGTGAAGTAGGATATCTTCAAGGTCCTCGATAATGATTCTCCATGATACGATGTCGACGACAAGATGGTGAGCAACCATTGATAAGAAGCAAGTTTCATTCGTATAGAAAAGGTCGACCGACATGAGCGGCCCTTCGAATGCGTTGATACACAATTGGCTTGCCGAAATGGCACTTTCCATCTCAATCGGCCGTTCAATATCGTGAACTCGCAACCGGTAGGATGTGTCTATCTCTTTGCTGATACGCTGTCGGAGCGCTCCTGTAGCAGTATCTTCAACAAGTCGTGCTCGGAGCATGGAGTGTCGCTCAATGATCACTTCTATCGCATACCGTAGATCGTGCGCGCTGACTCGTCGGTTCACTCGGGTACGCATACTCTGATTGAAGTAGCCCTGGCCCTCCTTTCGGACCATGAAATGAAGCTTCTGGATAGGAGAAAGTTCGAAAGGCTCGTCAGTTGACTCATGGTATTCCACAACCTTCTTGGTCTCCTGAACTCGAGTGGCGAGATCTCGAATTGATTTGCTTTGCAACACATCCTGCACCGTGACACCCATGCCCTGTTTCTTGCAGTAGCCCATGCAGGTTATTGCAGCTATAGAGTCGCCGCCGAGAGTGAGGAACCCGTCTTCAAGACTCAACTTGTCACGAGGTATGGCGAGGACACGACTCCATATAGACGCCAGCCGATCTTCCACTGTGAGTACCAGATGCGTGGGATTCGGAGACTCGGTGACCTCAGACTCGGCATTTTGGGCGTGGATATCATCTTCCAAGTCTGTAACCCATTTTACAATCTCCTTCCTGTTCAATTTCCCGGATGGCATCAATGGCAAGGCTTCAACGCACAGCCATACTGCAGGAATCATGTATGTAGGTAGGCGCTTCGACAATTGCTCGCGAAATTCCGCAGTAACATGGGCTCTCTTTGAATGGGGGAGAAGCTTGAGTGGCATGGGGTCCACGGATAATTCTTGTTTCAGAGAGACCACGGCCACTACCTTTCCATTTGCGAATCCTGATTTGCATAGGAATGCTATGCAGTGCTTGACTGTGGGGAGAGTGCTGATAGTGTGTTCAATCTCACCCAGCTCGATTCGCTGGCCGTGAAGTTTGATCTGCGTGTCTTTTCTTCCTATGAAAGTCAGCGAGCCAGAGTCAGAGTTGTACCTTACCAAGTCTCCGGTCTTGTAAAATCTTCGATCGCCACGTTTGGAATCACGCTTTGTCCATGCAGGGTTGTATATGAAGACCTCGTCCGTCTTCTGCTGGTTGTTGATGTAACACCGAGCAAGGGTGGGTCCCTCGAGCAGCAGCTCTCCTGGGCTTCCAACGGGAACAAGCTGGTTGTGGTCATCTGGGTTCACCACCCAGAAAAGCGTACCTGTCGGTAACCCAATATCTCGGCAGTCATAATTCACGTCGATGTCTTCTTTGATAGAAGAGCAAACCGCCGCCTCTGTGGGCCCATATCCGTTGAGGAGCCGAATATGCAACCACCTTTCCAGGTCTGTTCGCGACATTGCTTCCCCCATTAGGAGGATAGTCTTTAGCTCTGGGACACTCGACGGCTCGACAAATCTGGCAAAAGATGGAGTCAAAGACGTAAAGTTGACTCTCATCCTGGTAATTGCCTTTACTATATCGTTCAAACGTTCTTCGTCGCTCGGCACACATATACAACCTCCATGTATGAGTACAGCCAACGACTCGGCAAGACTACAGTCGAATGTATGGGCTGCAAATTGTAGTTTGCGAGTATCAGCGTTCAAGCCCATTGGCCCGCCGAATGCCGTAGCACAGGTAACGAAAGCCCTGTGCTCTAGCAGCGTACCCTAAGAAAGTGTGAGATGGTGAGAAAACAGATTTCTCGGGGAATGGTAATATTGACCTTGGGCTGTCCTGTTGAGCCAGAAGTAAAAATCAGGTAAGCTGCGTTGGTGCTTTTGGTTTCTTCCTGGGCATATCCTCTGGGTGAAGGAGATATGTTCGCGAATAATTGCTCGTCCAGTGGTATCAATTCCTTTACCACCTGGCTCAGAAGCTCTGACCTGCTTCTGGAGCATAGCATGATTTTCGCGTCCACAGACGCGGCCAACGACCGCAACCGAGAGGTCGGATGAGTCGGGTCAAGGGGGACAAATGCACCGCCAGCCTTCAAAACACCGAGCATAGCCACGATATTCCATTTCTACATAGTCATTAGCCTTATCATAATATCGACACCCGTTTCGCATTTGCGAGGATGGGTTAACCGAGGAAGTGGTCAGACAGAGTTTGAAGGGCAAGCACGCACCGATTTATCAAAGCAGAGGGCAACGAGCATCTCCGGACCCACCCCATGAGATTTTAGATAATGCGCAAGCTCAGAACTGAGCCCGTCCAGTTCTCCGTAGGTAAGATTGCCATCCCAAGAGCAAACAGCCTCTCGCTCCGGGTGGAGTCGCGCGTTCTCACTGATAATATCGTGGATGCAACGGTCACGGGCCTCTGGCAACACCGAATTGAACTTATAGATACGGTCCCAGTCATGTTCAAGGAAGCAACCTGCTTCAACAACGGGAGTATCTTGGCTGAAAACGACTTGGTCAAGCAAATGCTCGAAGTACCCGGCGACACTTTCCATCTGTGTCGTAGAGATCTCCGTATTCCACCATTCCAAGAAAATGCAAACATCGTCTTGCAGAATCTTCACGTGAAGTCTAGCACGACACTGGGGAAATGTCAGAGGGTCATACCACAGTCTATGATCATCATATACACCATACCTCTTGTGGAAGTATACTCGGGAGTACGGGTCGCACAGAAGTCCTTGCTTTTCCACGATCACCGCAGACTCGTACCATGACCACGGTATTAAACAGCGAGTAAGTATCGTAGTCCGCATTGAGGCACCCGCCCCCGTTGACGTCAGTTAGGCAACCGTTTTCACCCCAGGATTTCTCCAAGAGGGTCTTAATTGTATCCTGCTCATCGATTGTGAGCTTGCACGTCAAGAGCCTTTCGGCGTCCGACGAATGGGAACCAAAAGCTCGAGCACCATGGCTCCGGTATCCGAAACAGACATCCTCCGAGCCGGTATACCGGTAAAGCAGCAACCCCCATGCAGTTTTTAGGATCGAGTCTAATGTGTTGCGGTCAAACGCGGAAAGTAACTTGGCGTTCTGCGCAGACGTCGTTTTTGCTCTGATTGAGACGGGTCGTTTAGGGCCGTTAAAGGTGGTACCAAAGCTGGGGAGAAGACACTGCGCCTGCTGGACCATTTTCACGTCAATTGGGTATAGGTATCAACCAATGCACAAAGATTGGTGAGTAGAAGGCAGAAGGCGAGGAGTTCGCTTACAACTGTGGGCAAGACACGCTGTGTTGCTCTTATTAGCGGTTTTAGATAATCATGCGGCCTCTGTTTCTGGGGGACAAAAATAGCCTGGGGTGCTAGCGATGCAACCCAAAGAGCTCACAGAATGCTCTAAGCACCTCGCGGAATAGTGAATATGGGTCTCCTTGGGGCCCAATGGTATGGCCTCGCCCTGAATAGCATAAAAGGGGTTGGCCATCGAGCAATCGGGCTCTCAGGTACATCCGGCATCCCCTTGCTTGTTCTGGAGATGGTTGGAGACGACTTGGCTAGCCGGTGGCTTTCGATTTCTGCGTCCGCCCCATGTAATTGCAGATACTGGCTTCAGCCCTCGAGCACCTGCAAGCAACGCGGTGGGGTAAGTTGGGCGTAGCAGCGTGGCGCCAAAGTAGGAGGAACACTGGTCCGGGTAAGCCGGTATGAAGAGGCCATGGCTGAGCTTGCACGAGGACATGTCACATCGCATTGCTCGCTTCTTGCCGTCGATGATGGCTTGATGGCAATGCTTCCGAGGGTATACAGGGTGTATGCACCATTGACGCGCCATGTGGAGGCTGAGAAAACCCCAGTCGGATCCTGAACAGTCCAGGCCAGGTGAGACTTGTCTGCTCTGCAAGTCTGCCAAAATAATTTTAGAAAAGGATGAAAGCTTCCGAAAGAGGAAACTTGCACGATTTGCCATTGAAAAACTCCGATGCTGAGGAGTTAGAACGGACGTTCTGGGCCAGGATGTAGTGTGCCGGGGTGTTGGTGGCTGAGAACTTGAGAAGGAAGGAAGCAAGTACTAGCCTAGCGTCTAGTGACCCCAGGCCTCGAGGTCGGGACCGCCCGCCGGCTACCTGCAATCCTCAATCGCTTTCAGACTGGAATGCTGTATGCACCTTCTCGTTAATGAACTGCAGACGTTCCTTCAGACATCCTTCATGGTGCTCGACGCATGCTCACCAACCGCTTTCAGTTGACATTTGGACTGAATGCAATGGCGGTGCGCATGTCTCGGGGTTACTCCAGATGGATTCGACTCCTACTGAATACGGAATTTTATTTCACCTAACTTATATGATAGGCCAGTGGCCCCCACAAGGCCGACTAGGAGGCCGGCAGTCCCACAACTCTGGGAGCTGCCAGGGCAGGATATGGCATCCTCGGGTTGCTCAGCATAAGTGAATCATAGATGGGCGTTAGGTTGAGCCCAGCGGTCCAGCTGAGGTGAGATTCGGACCCTGAGCAACCTTGTCAGTGAAGTGAAGAGTCCTCAATGCCTTCTAGACAAGTTGCGATGGTTTCTTGTTGGTGAGATCCAAGATAGCACGGAACATCTGCAGGGCACTTATGGCCGAGTACACAAGTCCGAGCATCGGGATCCGATCCCAACGCCATAGTGGCAAGGAAACCAGGCTTTGATCCCACCAAGGAAAACACACCAAGTATCAGGCCAATTCGGTGTGTATTTCCAACACCCAGTCTGCAAGCATCATGATTGGGCTTCGATGGCTACTGTATTTCTAGCACCTTGAATCCTGCGATGCCACTTCACCGATTCTACCCATACTCTAGCGTGAACATCGCCATCAGACCTTGGATCAGTTGACGAGTGGTCAAAGGCCTAGAGTTTCCATGGCTTCGATCGACATCCTCAAATACTCGATTGATCATCTTGTGGGGTAGATGACAGGCCTCGCTGTGTTGCAGCGTTGCTAGTGAGTAGTGACGTGCATCCTTGCCTACAAACATTTCAAGTGCAGACGATGAGCTAGATTTGGCAGGGGGTAAATTGTCTTTTATATCGTCGAAGGCATCAATCTTGACAGAGCCGCGGTTCATCTGCGAGGTATCAGGCTGTACCTAAGGGAGGCACAATGTGTTTGCCTGGATCTGAGGTCCGCCTGAAGATGCGCACGTACCTATGAGTTCCTGTGTAACTACCGATATATGCCAGTCCTGCATGAGATCAATCAGCGTGGACGAAGTACCTAGGTCCTAGGGAGTAGAGTTTTGCTTTTTTAGTCCCCACAGTTATTCAGCGAAATTGACATTATTCTGGTTCGGGAATGGCTTCCGTAGGCCCGACGCGAATCATCAAGCGATGGATCAATCACCGTCTTGGTCTCGAAGCATCGATAGTCAGATCCACCTGTCTCAGACTCATCGTCCTAGCTTTCCTTAGTTTGTTAGCACTCCGCATATCTGCGTTGTCGAATGTAGATGCTCCGTATTTGTGTGGTCAATTGGTCAGATGAGGTAGTGGGTACTGACAAGTGGGCATCGCTTATGCACGCCAGAGGGTGTATAAGGAACTTCAGCCGACGGTTCCTAAGAATGCTGACATGAACGGTGAAGAACCAGCCTCGAGCGCCCAGCCTCAGCCACACATTCTCGCCTGAAGAATGGCGTTGGCCCTATCTCCTCCAGATCCAATCATGAACGATTCTCATTCTTCAGGCTGTAGTTTGCAACACGCCACAGGCTACATATCTTTAGTGTGCAGTTCCAAGGTTCGAGCCAGGACTCCCGCCTGATCTCTTGCGGTTCGGCTCTTGGTCCATCTCATCGATTCGCAGCCTCAGACCTCTCCTAGTTTCCTAGCGGCCCGTCATCCCCACTCCGGCTTGACAAGGTTTATATTCCTAGCGAGCTCATAACTGGTCAAAGACTACTCAACGAAGCTCGAACAGGTCGTCTAGACCAAGTGGATCGTGAGAAATTAATATACGTGATCATCGCTGCCATCGCTGTCACCGAGCATCTTATCCCCACTTCATTTCATCGAACTGGAAACCCCCTTCGGGCGCTTCGCAGCGGTGAACAGGGGTACTTGTTGGCGCCAGGCGAAAGAGTCGCGACCTCCTGGCTGTCATGGCGTAAGCCCAAAACGTGGAACAGATCAAGGTCCGGGATCGGTGGCGCGCTGAAAAACACCTGCAGTTGACAACTTTTTCTACTGGGGAAACCAGCAGGAATGGAATCCCAGTCGCGATTGAGGAACGACAAACGTCAGAGCGCTTGAAGAGTCTACTCCGTATGAATCAACCGTTTGACTCTACTGCAGCCTGGGGCCGTCCGATTTGAAATTTGAGATCATGCGCTGATCCTGCACCGGTGGATCTTCGTCAAGGGCAAAAATAATCTTCTGCTTACGTACCAATGATGATAGTGACATTTTGCCCAGCGAAAGACAACGCGAGCTTGCCCCTGGCATCGAGTCAACTCAGTGCTACCTTCGGAGACTCGAGGTAATCAGCAAGACCAGGTTAAGCATTTGCCCCAACTTCTGCAACCATTCACCTTGGTGGCTGTTAGGTACTACCTCACCTCCGACCCTATCCATAACGTCCCCGCGTACGTCGGAAACGTTTTCCTAATAACCTCCGACTCGATTGTCTTCGGGCTCTCGGAGACAGTCCTGGCCGTTACACAACTTGGGCACCTCGTGTTGGTCGGCGATTTGCCCCAGTCACTCAAAAAGTCACGCAAGGTTATGCAAGGTGTCAGGAGTCATCGCCACTACCTTGGGCTAGTAAATAGAATCCGCGACGGATCAGATCAGGTCTGGGCTTGAAGGCTCTCAAACAAAGCCAATCAGGAAATCTAAAGCGGCAGGGCCGATCATGCTGATGCCGATGCCGATGCCTCATTCACGGCCAACCGCCAACGGCCAAGGTAGAATGCCTTGGAGTTGGCTACTCGGCAGCGAAAGGCTCGCGCTGTTCCGCTCCTTCTGGCCAGGCCCAAGGTACGGCGTAACAATCGATTTTTCGTTGGTCACGTCCGCGATATCCACCCAGGCGCCGCAGGCGGACTATACTAGGTACTTCTGACACCTACGTAGGTGGGCAGTGTCCTGCTCGGTTCTTAGTCGTGTGGTATAGTTCGTCTGAACGCCATCTTTCTTGGAAGTATGTCTAGGCAAAACATGGGCCCCTTCGCACAATATCCTCACCTCACTCTGCTATAACTACCGCATTGGGACGCCAAAAAAAAACAAAGCAGCAATTTTAGATGCATATCAGCAAGTACCAAGAGGTCTCCAAATTCCCCAGAAGGATCCGCCGTATAAGGTGTCTTTCGATACTTCAGTAACATACCTTTCCGATGGAAGGCTGCTGTAGAAGGCAGTGATGGCGCTTCAACCACCTCCCTTATGCCAGCAGGCGGACAATTCTCTGAGCCCGGTTCCCTCAACATGCCGAGGGGGCTTTGATTTCTCTTTGCTTTTTGAAGAGTTGATCTTGGGCGTTGTACCTCTGGCAATCATAGCAACACTCTTACCATGGCGGCTATGGCATCTATTCCAGAAGTCTCGCAGAGTAGTGCCTTCGACCCTGGAATATGCCAAACTGGTGAGTTTGAGGCCATTGTGTTTCTTGATGTTTTTAGGTGCTATGTACTCACAAGTTTTTGACGCGAACAGTCTACTTGGCTCTGTTTGTCAATTGTGCAGCTGAGTTTAACGACACAATGGGCACGCCCGTCGCTCTCAACCTGGCGGACGGATGCCTCTGTCGCCGTCAACGCCATCTTGACCTCCGCCTTCTTTCTCTTCTGCCTCCTCTCTTATGCAGAGCACAACTTCTCTACCCCACCTTCCTTTCTTCTCAACATCTACCTTTTCGTCACTCTTCTCTTTGACATCGCAAAGACAAGGACACTTTGGCTTCGGCAAACTGGCGGGACCACCGAGACCATTGCGGTCCTAACAACTATTACTGTGACCCTCAAACTCTTCCTTCTTTGCCTCGAGTCGTCCAACAAACGTTCGATACTCCGCGATGGGCACAAGGCCTACCCACCAGAAGCGACAGCGGGAATTTTCAACCGGATCTCCTTCTGGTGGTTGAACCCTCTATTCCGGAGGGGCCTCTCTCATTCCCTCGATGTCGACGATCTTTTCGTTCTCGACAAGCAACTATCTTCGAAGCACCTACATTCAGCTCTGGAATTAGCTTGGGATAGAGGTAGCAACCCATGGGCCGCTGCACGTCCCTTGTGCTAACAGACTTCTAGTTTCCCAGAAAGAACCAAATACCCTCCTCGTTTGCACACTGAAAACGTTCAAATGGCAGATTTGCGCAGCCATTCCCTATCGAGCCTTCCTCGTCGCTCTGAACATTTGTCAACCTTTATTGTTACATAGATCGCTGTCTTTCTCCACGGAGCCGGTCAACAGTACGACAACCAATATTGGATATGGATTAATTGGAGCATATATTCTTGTATATACAGGATTAGGGGTGAGTCTACGGTCCATTGTGTCTAACAACATACTGACTGTATGGCTCTAGATTACCATGGGGCAGCAACAACATATGACATACCGCGCAATAACAATGGTCAGAGGGGGTGTAGTATCGATGGTCTACAGAAAGGCGTGTACATTGAATCTCAAGGATGCCGACCCGGCTGAGGCGGTTACCCTCATGAGCGCAGATATCGAACGGATTGCCCAGGGCTGGCAGACCATGCATGAGATATGGGCGAACGTTGCAGAAATAGCACTGGCGGTTTTTCTTCTGGAAAGACAATTGGGCGTCGCGTGCGTGGTTCCAGTGGGGGTCACAATTGGTAGGCTCTGAGCAACGGCAGTACAACTGCGTCGTCAATTGCTAACAGTAATCTTCTATCATAATAGTGGCTCTAATGGGATGCTCGGTCTGTATGCCCTTGGTGGCAGCGAGGCAAGCGATGTGGCTTGAAGCTATTGAAAGGCGTATCTCTGCTACATCATCGATGCTCGGCTCCATGAAGGGTATCAAAATGCTCGGTCTTCAATCTTCTCTCATGAGGCTTGTCCACGGCCTACGAATTGATGAGCTCGAGATCTCGAAGCGGTTCAGGAAGCTTTTGGTTTGGAACATGGCTTTTGGTGAGTCATGACGCTATATCTATCTCTTCCGCACTAACCTGTCAGCACAGCCTGGATAACTCGATTGTTCGGACCCATGGCCGCGTTCGGAGCCTTTGTAGGTATTGCGCATAGCCGAGGCAACGACGCGGCCTTGGATACATCGACCGTCTACACTGCGCTTTCCCTCTTCTCTCTGTTAGCAGATCCACTCATGTCACTCGTTATGGCATTGATGGCTTTTGCTGGGTCTGTTGGTTCGTTCGCAAGAATTCAGACCTTTCTCGAGAAGGAAAGCCACGTTGACCCAAGGAACAAAATTTCAGTGCAGCCATTGAACCCTTTGAAGATGTCCAAACAGCTCGCTATTATTGCTCAATCAGAAATGACACCCAGCGAATCAAGCTCATCACAGTTTTCCAAAGGCTCAACGTCCTCGCTTCCACACCATATGATCACAGTTCAGAACGGCTCATTTGGATGGAATACCGACGAAGATCCCTCCGTGAAAAACGTGAATATGGCTCTACCATCTGGAACTATCACGATGCTGGTCGGCCCATCTGGCTGTGGAAAATCGACGTTGCTAAAGGCAATCCTTGGAGAAGTCCCCTGCCAGGATGGGACTATACAATTGACAACAGGGGGCGTGGCCTACTGTGACCAGACAGCCTGGCATATGAATGCGTCGATCCGGGATTGCATTGTCGCCATGTCTGACTTTGATCAATCATGGTACACGACCGTCATAAGCGCCTGCGCTTTGGCTGAAGACTTTGCACAATTACCTCGTGGAGATAAAACCATCATTGGGAGCAAAGGAATTTCCCTCAGCGGTGGTCAGAGTCAACGCATTGTACGTCCTATACCTATCTATTCACTAAGCTCAGCGTGCTCATTGACATTTATAGGCAATTGCAAGAGCAGTATATGCCAGAAAGGAGCTAGTCATCTTTGACGACGTCTTCAGCGGACTTGACACGGAGACAGAAAACCATATTTTTCACCACTTACTAGGTGATCATGGTCTCTTCCGCTCGTTGAATTCGACAGTATTGTTTGCCTCTTCTTCAGGTAAATCGTCATTTCATGCCGAGTAGGGAATACCGCTGACGCTATGTAACAGTCAAGCGAGTTCCTCTTGTGGACCACGTCATTGCCCTCGACAAGCACGGATACGTCGCCGAACAGGGAACTTTCTCTGCTCTTAACGTGGCTGGAGGTTATATTTCGAGTTTCTCGTTGAAGCGTCCCGATGCGGATACCAAGTTGATCACAACTCAGAAGGCTGAGACGATTGATGTGCAGGCTTACCCAGGTGACAAAGGCTCTGATACGGATTTTGATAATTACAGAGGAAACGGTGACATGTCCATCTACTTATACTATATCCAATCCGTTGGGTGGCTCCCGACATTGTTTTTTGCCATGGCGGTTACTGGTTTCGTGTTCACCATCTCTTTTCCCAGTAAGCTGTCTGCGGCTCCCATTGAAGCTTGTACTAACTTGGCGTGACAAGGTATTTGGGTCAAATGGTGGGCAGCATCGAATGAAGCCAGTCCAGGCAAGCACACGGGATATTACCTTGGGATATACGCGATGCTTGGCGTGGTGGGGATGTTTTGTATCGTTGCGGGTGCATGGTTGGTAGCCCTAACCCGCTGGTTTGAGGGCGCGATCGGCTGACAAAAAAGGCAAATGATCATCAGAATGGTGCCAAAGTCCGGTGAGGTCTTTCATAGGAAGATATTGAGCACTGTCTTGAGGTAATCTATTTCTTGTATGAAGTAGTCTCATAAATGCTAATCAAAGCAGTGCGCCCATGCTGTTCTTTTCCACGACAGACAGCGGCTCCATCCTGAACAGGTTCAGCCAGGACTTGCAGCTCATTGACATGGAACTTCCCATTGCTGTTATAAACACATTCTCCAGTAAGCCTCCTGTCCGTCGATCCTTGTGACTCATACTCACAAGCTCATCCAGTCCTCATGCTCTGCCTCTTCTCAATGATCTTCATGGGCATCGCCTCAAAATATGCGGCTGTCTCCTTTCCCATTGTTTTGATGATCATCTACATCATCCAGAAGATATACCTTCGGACCTCGAGGCAGCTACGATTCTTGGATCTTGAAGCAAAAGCCCCGCTCTATTCCCACTTCACCGACTCCCTCAGCGGCTTGGCCAGTATACGAGCATTTAGATGGCAACATTCACTGCAAGAGAAGCACTACCAACTTCTTGATCGCTCTCAACGGCCTTTTTACCTTCTCTATGCCGTTCAGCGATGGCTCACACTCACTCTGGATCTCGTTGTTGCTGGTGTCGCGGTATTGCTCGTTATCCTAGTGGTGGTTCTTCGGGGACAGATTAGTGCAGGCTATGTCGGAGTGGCGCTGCTGAACGTCATCATGTTCAGCCAGAGTATCAAGCTTCTCGTAACATTCTGGACTAACCTTGAAACACACATCGGCTCCATACTACGCGTCAAGAGCTTCACCGAGACTGTTCAGTCTGAGGATCAGCCGGCTGAACGCGATTCGGTTCCGCCAGGTTGGCCAGTTGGAGGAGATATCGAGTTTCGGTCCTTGTATGCGGGGTATAGGTGAGTTACTAAAGCATAAGAACCTAGAAGTTGGTATACAACTAACTCTGGCCGCAGGGATTCGGAACCCATTCTCAATGACATAACTCTATCCATCAAGGCAGGCGAGAAAATAGGTATCTGCGGCAGGACAGGAAGGTAAGCCATTCTCCATCCTCTTCAACCACAATTCACTGACCCTCTGCTCTGCCTTTAGCGGGAAGACTTCCCTCGTCATGGCCCTTTTTCGAATGATAGACATCCAAAGCGGCAGCCTCACAATTGACGGTCTCGACCTCACTCGACTCCCCCGCGAAGAGATCCGCTCCCGCCTCAACGGCGTGTCCCAAAGCCCGCTCCTAATCAAAGGAAGTGTGAGGCTAAACGCCAATCCAACCGCTACCGTCAGCATCGGCACAAACACGGTGTCTGATCAAAAGATTCTCGATGCTCTCCGATCCGTCAATCTCCACAACAAAGTCCTCGAGAACGGCGGACTGGGCGCCGACATCGACGACCTGCATCTCTCGCACGGCCAGAAGCAGCTCTTCTGTCTAGCTAGGGCAATACTCAGACCTGGGAATATCCTTGTGCTGGATGAGGCTACGAGCAAGTACGTTTACCCTAATCTCTCTTCCCTCCATAGCAACTCTACTAACAACACCTTCTCATAGCGTCGACTCCAAAACCGACGAAGTGATGCAACGCGTCATTCGCGAACGATTCAGCTCGCATACCATCCTTACCGTCGCACACAAGCTTGAGTCCATCCTTGACTACGATCAAGTCATTGTCCTTGACGAGGGGCGGATCATCGAAGCCGGCGTCCCGTACGATCTTCTAGCAGAGGGTGGTTCGCACTTCAGTAGACTTTATTACGCTGGACTTGGTTCGGATGGGGCGGAGAGTGGCCGCGAAGAGTAGATATGAGGTACCCGACGTTGTGCGTCAGAATTGTTCGGTTTCGCTTTCTTTGGCTTGTTTATGTTTCTCGACGCGGTGATTCTCTCCTTGTTGTATTTTAAGAGGCTTATGGTTTGCATTGCGACCTTTGAGTGTTGATTGTATTGGATTACCGCCAGATCAATTGGCTATATAGCCTGTCCTTCCAAGGTTATACTCCAACGGATTCACCTATTTATGGTTCATCCATATTGAATATATATACAGCCCTACTCATCTAACGCATCTACCCTCTCCTCTGTATACCAGGCCCTCGCTCTACGAGTGTCCTACTCTTGCAACATTGAATAGGTACGACAAAGAACCACCCCCAATGCCACAACACACTCTTCACCCCTCACTACAAACCCCCCATCTACTCTCTTGGCCCTTTTCGCCGAGCTATGGGGCTCCGAGGACGGACTTAATCTGTCAACCTAGGGCGTATCGACCTATGTGATGAGCTAGGTACGCGGTTGGGGCTGTTTGTAGAACATCCCCTCTAGGTCCCTCCGGTTCTAGCCCTGTGGCGCTTTGTCTGCGGCTACACACTAATCAGCGATGTATTTCCGCCTGTCAAGTCATTTACGTAGGTAGGTGAGCCCCGTCCTTGCCCGCTCCTTCAGCCTGCGGCTGGGTTGCCAGGTTGTGTGTGTCTCTTATTCAACAACTAAATCGTATATTTGGACTGGCTCTGGGGCTCGTTGCGGCCGGCGGGTCGCTCCCTTCCGCGCGGACCGTAGTGGCAGTGGGTCCCTTTTAATTATGAATCTATGATCTGGGCACCCTAGAATGACAAGTTGACAACTCCGCAGTGAGGGCAGTGTTGTCTCTCTGGCTCATTCCTACGGCTGTAGAAATATAGCAAGGGCGTATGCTATTTGTAGCCGTGTATTGTGCCTCTGGTTTTATTCTTCACGGTCCAAAGCACGTTAATGGCACACGATCAAGTGCAAGGTACGAAATGTATATTGCCGCGCCCTGTCGGCATGCGCAAATTGTCGCAGCCCTAGGTGACTGCTACAGGACATAAGGACGGACGGAACAAGATCCCCTACAGCATGGACTTCTGACTACTCTGTGAGCATTCACTTCATTAGCATATAAAATTCGTCACTTGATCCATTGAATATCGTTTGAAGCCTCTAAGCCAGTTTGGTACATGTACTTGCGCAGTAATACCTACATAAGTACAAAAGGCCAAAGGTAATATATATAGTCGGGCGTGTGGTTTAGGGGTATAACGCTCCATTCGCATTGGAGAGGTCCCGGGTTCGATTCCCGGCGTGTCCACTGTTTTTGCCCTAGTACAAGATACTGAGCCAGAGAGGTTACTTTTTTTTTGTCTCGGCAAACATGGCCGGAGAGTTACAGTTCCGCCTGCGCCTCGCTGGTCCGAGTCCATAAGCGTACTGGCGGCGCCGTGTCCTACGAAATACAATTGTTGGCTGTGCCCCTCGATGTCCGGACGCCCCAGAGATGTCTCCTCCAGTTATGTTAGTAGTGGGCAATTTGCTTTCGACAGCTCGAAATGCGTAATCAGCAGGCATACCCAAGGTGTCATATAAATAAAAATACCGCTGTTGCACCCTGCCAGTTAGTCCCATCAACCTTCCTCCTGAAAGCCTCTACAAGGACCTGACCATAAGGACCTAAGCCCAGGAACCTCGAGCCCTAACTCCCTCCTCCGCCCACCTTGATAATCTCACATAACCCCAAGGTGGACTAGAAGCCGCCCCGGCCATATAGCCATTATTACAGATTACCTCCATTCGAATCAATGAGCCCTCTGACCACGCCTTGGCCCGTTGAGGCAAAATGCCTACGTTGAGGAAATTGTTGTTGGACAGAGCGGGAAGCCTTTTGTTTTGGAATATAAAGCTAAACATCGGCTGAATAAGCACGTCTATTGGGCGCTTGGTTTAGTGGTATAACGCTCCATTTGCATTGGAGAGGTCTGGGGTTCGATTCCCCAAGTGTCCATTTTTTTGCTTTTCAACCATCACTCCAGTGATCATGGCTATGAATACCCGACGTAGAACTGTTGATCGAGACATTGGGTGGACCGTTTCTGCTCGCCGCATATTGGCCTACTTACTATATATACTACTTACTCTTGACCTGGCTGGCCATCTTCCTGATACCGGCACCTCAGTTAGTGCTGACATTCGAACCACCGCAAAGTCCGATATAATGCTTCCTCTAATCGCTTGGGTCTCTAGAACCCATCAAAGCGCCTCCGCAAACCGACTCCTAGCCTTCGATGCAAAACCGCCAGGGAACGAGGAGTTTCCGGTAAGGGGTACTGGCGAAGGTTTTTTTGCTGGAGGACATGGGCGTGGAGATGCTTTTGTAAATCGAGAGAGCCTTCGCCCATGGAGCTGGAGGTTATGTGATCACGTAAAAAAAAGCAAAAAACATACAACAGCTGGGATTCGCATGTGGTCACCCACCATACTACTAACCAGCCGGCGTGTGGCTTAAGTACGGCTGAGCGGACGGGAAGCCCTGTTCTCCACACCCTGTGGTCGTATGTGCTTGGATAATATAAACTTTAATAAATATAGTATAAATTTGGCGCCTAACTCTACGCGTCGTATCGCTGTGCATTGACTTCGGATGTTATGTTGCTCCATCGAAGTCTAGTCCATTTCTGGAATCTCGATGTGAGAATCATTGATCAAGGCTGTGCACAAAGGCCTTGATCAGAAGGCGAGATGATGAGACTGTCAGCAACAGTCTTAACGTGAGCATCTGACTTATCACGTGGAAGTGGAACTTCCAGATAATATTGTCGAGAGCAACCGATCTACCAACTTAATATCATCCTGACATGTTTACACACAAGAATAGGAACATAAATGGCCTTTGATACCTAGTATATGATACGATACAAGATGAAAATGCGAAATACAGCCCTAATGTAACCCGACCGACCCCAGATTAACACGGACAAGCCAAGCCGGAGTGAAATAAACCAAATCGTCGACGTTGAGCTCAAGCTTTCTGGAGCTCTCAAGTAAGCAGCAACGCCCCATCATTACCAGCCCCGTTCCTCTCCAGCTCGAGTCCCACGCCATCATCGAGGCCAAACTCCCAGTCTCCGCGCTCAATCCTGCTCACCCGGTCCAGCTCAGACTGGTACTCGCGGCGCAAGTGCTCGAGCGTAACAATGACTCGTCGTTGCGGGCCCTGCGCGGTTGTTGTCGGGGGCGGAATAGAGGCGGATGACTTGGTAGAGTTGGAGGGCAGGAGTCGGAGGTTTGAAATGGACCCGTGACGCGACGTTGGCGCGTCTGCATCATCCATGAATATGTTCCCATCGTCATCTTGTGCAGCCGCTGATTTCAGGCTTGCATTGCTGCGGCGGACTGAGAGCGAGCGCGACTCTTCTTTATCGACGAGGATGTAGGCTTCGCTTTTGTCGACGCAGGCGAGGAGGTTGATGAGAGAAAGGAGCTCGTGTCTAATTTCGCTGCTCTCAGGGTCGTCTTCAAGGACATTATGGAGGTGATCGCCTGCTTTGGCTTTGGAAAGGAGGTGGTGGGCGGATGTGTCTCTGGCCTGGCGGAGGCGCTCGACGTTTTGGTAGGCGACTTCTGCTGCCCCGCGGTAGTCCCCGCGCTTGATGCGGTAGGTTTGGAGGATTCTTTGGTAGTCGACCGTGCCTTCAGCCCACTTACTCTTAGCATCAAGGAAAGTGGCCGAGGGCTGTTTCCGGGCGAGAGAGACCAGGATCTCGTCGACGTGAGAGGCGAGGTTAGGGATTAGTGTTGTTGGGAAGGCGAGGATCTGGTCGAGCCCAGCGGTACCTGGACCTGAAGCGGCCAGGATGCTGGTGATGAGGGAGCCCAAAGCGGATTTCTGCAGCGCAAGGTCCTGGTATCGAGAGAGGGCAGAGTATGCCTGGTCAAATTGACAAATTTGCAGAGAAGCGTAAAACAGGCGCGAGAGGAGGTCGTTCTTCGTTCGGGAAACCTCCAGGTCCTGCTCGCTACCGTGTTCACTGGCAAGAGCCTGCAATGCTAGGCCAGCAAACTCTGAAACATGAGAAAATGCTCGGGCCTGCTCAAATATTGAGAGCACATGTTGGAAGTATTTTGGAAGCCCATTATGGAACGAGTCCACAGAGACAATGTCAAGGAGTGTCGAGGACATCTCGTGCAGGTTGCCCAGCGGCTTTCCACAGGCTAAGCATGATCAGTATCAGAGCGTGAATAGAACTCATAGAAACTTACAGAGAAGGTAGGCAGCTTTTCTGAAATATAAGGCTGCCGTATCAAGCTCTGACATGGCCACGTATAGACGACCCTTAACATAGGTCGCCCAGGATGTGCTTGGTTGGAAGCGCAGGAAATCCCAGGCAAGGTCAATGTTGCCCTTGGCTATCAGGTCGCACTGTATGTAGACCAAGGCGTTGGGGTACGCCACTTCGCCTGGTCGAGTCACCCATGACAGCACATCTTGGATGCCGAGCGTTAGCGTATAGCTCTGAGGTAGACCAATGGCCTGACGAGGCTTTATGTCCGTTGCAAACAAATCCTCCAATATGGTTGCAACCCTTCTATCCTTTTTATTTGAGATGCTGGTCAAGGCGAAAGATGAGTTTGACGAATCCTCTGCCTTCGCAAATTTTTCGGTTTCTTTTCGCGTGTTTGAGCTTAACCATAACATCATCTCGTACTCTCGAAGCAGGCTGACCAGCTCAACAAAAAGCTCAACCGCATCGAAAGTAGAGCCTTCTTCTTGCTGCACCTCTCCGTCGATAAAAACAACAAGCACCAGCAGATCGATTAGTATCTGGCGTGTAAACAGAATCGTGTCCTGGACGCCGTTCACAGTAACCTTCACCCCAAAATATGTAGGGAGGAGGTCAGAATCTTTACCAGGGAACCCAAGCGGAATGGTCCCCAGTATCTTGAAGAATATTTCGCTAGATAGCATGTATATGTTGAGTTGCCGATTCATCTCAGAGAGTAATTCGTCATATATCTGGTTAGAAATTTGCTCTGAGAAATCGCATCGATCACGGAAATTGTCCATCCTGTCTTGAACAGACGAAGAGGCCTCTGCGAAGATTTCCGCCTCGATGGCACTCTGACAAGCTGCATCGAGATCAGCCGAGAATTTCTTTCTGAAGTCAGAAGCAACCGTCATCAGATGCGAGGCCTCCTCAAACAAGTCGCCGAGTTCTGACTCCAGATTCCGGTGCCTCAACCGATCTCCGATTTTGGGCCCTTCACTCTGAAGGACAGGCCCTGAGTTGTGCAGAAGAAGCTCTGTCGAGCTGCATTCCCGTACTATCGCACAGCTATCAGAAAGAAGCACCCAAGGGGTCTCATAGTACGCGTCGTAGGATAATGTAACTGGCTCGAATCTCCTCTTATTGAGGTCATCGGCGATCTGCCAGAACTGCCGCCATTTGGAGTCGGTATCAGTGCGATACCGTGAGAAGTCCATTTCATCGTCTTCGAATCTTCGCAGAGACACTGTAGCAGCGATAGTCGAGCATAACCGTTCTGAGAGAGGGGCGCTCTTTTTCAAGCTACTTGAGGAAGACAGTGGCTTAAGCGCCTCCTGATAAATCGTCAACGAAGTCTCAAGGACTTCTTGGGGGAACCTGTTTGGCTGTAAAAGGTATTTCAACCACTTCTCCGTCGGATCGATGACGTCAGAGGATGGCGCCGGTGGTGGTTCCTGTCGGCGGGTATCTGTTGTGGCAGAAGTCCAGTTGGTCGCCCAGTCCGCAACCAGAGACTCAAAGTTAAAGTGGAGAGTGTACAGTTGATAGAGACCGCTGTTCCTCCACAAGACCCAGAGCTCCATGCGCTTCCCTTCCTCCGCCGGCTTGATTTGGAAATCGGCGATGCTCCAGAACATACTCCCGGTCGAATCTGGATCCAAAGGCCTCAACGTCGCGGCAGGGAAAAGATCTTCGATTTCCAGGGGCGAGGTAAGGCCTCCCTTAATAGCCCAGAACTTGAAGCATCCATCTTCAAACGGTGAATATGTCACGGCGTAGTAGCGGTATCCACCATCCAAAGCTCTCTCAACATTGAATACTCGGATAAAGGACGATTCGGAGGGATTTAAAGAGTATGTAAGGGAGTCCGGTTGCTGTATCTCGCGACCAAGTAAATCCTTTGTCGCAACCAACTTGTTTGTGGCGAGGTTCCAGATCTTCAGTGTGTGGTTTAGACAGACCGCGAAAACATACGTCTGGTCGGATGTCGTAGCGACCGCGTTTGCTACGTTCGCGTCGAGAGTGCGACCGCCGTATTTAATAGAACTATGGGCATTCCACCTAACCAAGCCACGAAGCGAAGCACCCCAAGTTCTCTCGTCAAGCGTAAGCGGTGACCAATTCGAACCTTGAAAGCGTAGCGTCAGCCATCTATTTTAGTATCCTCACGCAGATTCAGAACATACCATCGTCAGCGGCCCTCCGGGTCAAACGCAGAAGCGCGCCGCTGTCAAGGGAGATGAACAGCTCCAGCGGGCTGCTCGCATGTAATCTATGAGGGTGCGAAAACGCCAGCGGCGCTGGAACATAACATTTGCACCAGTCCGAGACCTTTTGGTCAATTGACGCCGCTCTCCTGAAGAACTCTGGTCGTAAAGCCAAGGTGTGCAATTCCTTGGAGGCCGTGATTACAAACACGTTCAGCATGTCATGACCCTCCAAGTCTGCCAGAGCAACGCCCGAGGGCAGTATCTCCTCCTGGAAATCCAATCGCAGTGTGACATTGTACTCGTGGTTCTCGATGCCGCCTTTTGTCAGGTCCACGCATTGGATCTCTAAAATCTTGCTTTCGTTGACGACCCTCCAGAGAAATGCCCGCGGGTAAACGTTGCGTTTGCGAAAATACACAGACCCCTGCGTCGCGATGTATCGTCTAGCAAACTCATCCTCGTCTTTCGCTGCTGGCTCGACAGAGTCTGTGAGGGAGGGGATTGTGAATCGCGCCCGGTTATGCGACCCTGTCTGTGTTGGTATCGGGATGTTGACAACGGTGGTCGGCGAGTACGGCCGGAGGTCGACCTGAGTATCTTTGTAGATTTTCGCCATATCGAATGGCAGCGGACCTCCTTGCACACAATTATTTGATGTTCAAATCAGTTCCCCATAGTTGGGGGCGAGGAAACGAGAGTTTGACAATCCGAGAGAGTTGCCGAAGAGCTTCAACTCAGCTTTCTGCCCTTCAAAAAACAACGTCTTGGCATTGCATCCACCGCCTACTTATCACCATGTCTATTCCAAGTCTTTGACTACGACCCTTCGATTTTGAGAATATTGAATGCCGTTTTCTGTCTATGCTCTGAATAATGTGCTACCGTAACATGCGACCACCATATTACAAAAAGATAAGGATATATGCTGAAAAACTACGTCAAGTACAATCAAGCGGTAGAATCAATGAATCGTCGCATCATAATCAAGGTGTGAAACAGCATATCACCCATCTCAATCATTCTCCAGATCCTTTGGGCTCGGGTCACCTATGCCGTCTTCATTGATGGCGAAGAGACAGTCACTCTCCGGAAGACAAGGGCTGTCATAGATCTTGCAAACTCTGGTTTCGCCTCTTCCTTTCTTCAAGCTCAATCTCGTTGTACTGGCGTGCGCAATGATATTACCACCAATTGGCTTCTTGGGGTCGGGGTTGAACATCGCACTTGGCCCACCGTCAACCTGGGCAACAACCTGATTCGTGATGACAACCGCAATACCAAACTCGTCGGCCAACCGTTGCAGGGTACGCATGAACTTTGCCAGATGCGTCTGTCGCGTTGACAGCTCACCACGACCGTTGAAATCGGTTCGATAAAGAGAGGTAGCTGAATCGACAACCAAGAGAGAAAACCGGGTCTCACACATCATCTGAGAGGCTTGGTTAAGTAGTTGCAGTTGGTGATCGGAGTTGTATGCTCGAGCATAGGCCACATTGTCCAGGACCTCCTCACCGACGAGACCGTACCGCTGCGCAACAGCCAGCAGACGCACCGGCCGGAACGTCCCCTCGGTATCAATATACAGACACTTTCCTTCTCCGCCACCCATATCAAAGGGCAGCTGACATGTAACGGCTAGAGTATGGCAAATCTGACTCTTTCCTGTTCTGAACTCGCCAAAAATCTCCGTGATGGACCCGGTCTCGATTCCGCCTCCCAGAAGAGTATCCAGCTGCTTAGAGCCCGTGGTGATAGAGATAAGTTCGCTTCGCCGGGCGTGCATCTCTGTAGCCGTTGTAAAGCCCATCGGGACAAGTTTCGCCGCTATCAACCGGGATTTGTTAGAAGACATGCTCTGAAAGTGTTCACCAAAAAAACTCACCCTCAACCAGGATCTTAGTGGCCTTCTGCTCCGAGATACCCTTTATTTGCTCGAGTAACCGCTTCGGCCTGTATATGTCAGCCCGTCCTGTCAGACCAGAATTGTACTTGACGGTGTCAGGACGTACGTATACGCAATTGACTCGACAGTGTTATAGCCCGCATCAACGAAGAGTTTTATATCTCGGCTGGTCAACCCAGCCATTCCCTGTATAGCTTTAGCTGATTGACTTCTTAAAAACTGGCAACGGGAGTCATACCTCCAGTGATGACAGCGGAGTTGGTGCTCCTGGGCCCGGAAGGCCGCTCTCATCGTATTCATTCTGGCTTTCCACGTCTGGTGCCGCCATTTTCGTTCAACAGTCACAGGTGTACGGAGTAAGGAAGTTGCAGAGTCTTTGAATCGGTTTGCCACTCCGGCTCAGTTGAAGAACGCGTCTGGTCCAGCGCGTTGTTGTGGACTGAGTTCTGTGTTTGAAGCAAGTTAATTCTCAAAAGTTTGGAGTTGTCCAACAAAGACCTCTTGCGATTGATAATGAAGTCGATTATTTGATTCTTGCTATTATATTCCTGTAATCGTTTCTTGAGCATACGGGTTGAGATGTGGACGCGTCTGGGCCGTCACGAGATCACGTGCCAGGCACCGGCTGCTGCCTTGATAAACAAACCAAACCAAACCACAATTTCGCCTCAATTTATACTCCGTAATCTGCTTGGATAAAAGATACAATAGCCATCCAACATCAACGTTAAGTACAGGAATCCAGCCTCGATTTTACTGTTGCAACTCATATCAGAGGATAATAATATCCTAGATATACACGCATAGCGCAACAATCGCCCATTCCGTCAACGTTGGTATCTATGGCTGAATTTCCCCCCTCGACTTTACAGCAAGGGGAGTAATGACTCTCTCCATCGATCTTGTTCCAATGCTATCCTCTGTCGACACTTGATAGATCGGAGTGAGCTGGAACATCTCGCGTGGTTGTGGCCCTGGCGGAAGAGTCTCGTCAAAGAGCTTGCTGAACCTGCGCCTGAAATCCTCCGATGAACCTCGATGGCGCCCTGCTAGGGTATTAGCAGGATAGACTTCAAGGACCAGAAACCGCGCAGTAAAATGGACTCACCATCACGTACTGAGGATCGCTTATACCCTACGATGGGTTTCATCCATGAGCTGCGGGAGGCAAACCACCCTCGAGAGGGCGGCCTCTCCATGTCGGATGTTTTTTGTCCGTGGCGACCGCTAATATCAAGCCTCGGAGGCCGACTGGACCGGAAAGTGTCAATGTGGATGCTCTCAAGTACACTCTCAGCTTGACTCTCTGCGCTCCCTGACTTGCGGTGCGGGTCGGAATTGTTGGTGGATTGAGGCTCAATGATGTGAGGCGTCTGGAGACTGCTGGTTGTCGATTTATGTCTGAGTAGCGAACCTAGTACTGATGACCGTTTCTTCTCTGCAATACTCGCTGGCTTAAGGGAGTGTCGCTTCATCGTCCATATACCCTCGACTTCGATTCCCTTTTCCAGTGCTCTAGCGCCAAATGGTATCTCGTTCGATGACGATCCGGCCTCGCCCATCTCAGCTTCCTGCTCCGCTCGCTGGCTTGCTTCTTCGGCAGCTTGTTTCCTGATCTTTCGCCTATTGTAGGTGAGGACGCTGAAGGAGTAGACGAGGACAAGGAGCTTGTTTGTCAGTAATGGTATGTGTACACGGGCGTCTTCTTACAAGAAGGAATGCTAGAGCCTGTGGAAGGTTAGTCTCGTGCGTCGATAGTAGGGCAGAGTGTGCCTACAATGCTCAACTTCTGCCATAACGCCCAGCCCTTCCAGAACGCCATGCTATAGTGAGTTCCTATCACTAGGGGGAGGTAACGGCGCAACCACTATGGCTCAAAGGCAAAGTAGCAGAGTGTATGTTTTGTAAAAGGCGTGCGATTTAGAATTGAGGTCTTTCATAACCCGTCGATAGGTCTATGGGTAGATTGATAATAAAACAGCGATATGTATACCGTGTAGTATCGAAGCGAATGTAGCCATAGAGCCGATCATGATGGAGGCGTCTGACGGAATCTCGAAGTCGGTGATCGCAGCTGGAGTTCAGAACTGAGGCAAGAGCGACCTTGTAAACGCCCAGGTGGAAGGACAGACGACCACCGCGACCATCCACACTCGCCCAAGGGACTACTGCGCAGTTCATCGCGATAACTGAGGATCTACTACTGATTGATACAGAGTTGAGTACGAGAGTCAAACAAAAAAGAAGCAAAAAGTAGTTGTCCAGCCAAACAGTCAGATTCCCTGTAACGCGACGGTGTAATCCGATGACGCCACCCCAGGGTGGAAGTGTCTCTGCAGAATTGCTTCCCTCAAGGGTCACTTCCATTGCTTAGTGCCGTGTAGCATTCGTGGATTACTCGCACGAGTACAATCGACAACCCCAGGATTCGTACCGGGCACCAGTCAACGCTGGCCAAGACCTTTAGCAAGGTCACTGACTAACGGCTGATCTCCCACTCGACTATCCATGACAGATAAAAAAAGATTGCCACAATTTAATTTATAGCACAAACGCTAATAACTTCTCGCGAGGACATCAATTGAAACTTTATTGCTTCGCCTGCTGTTGTCAATTTGCTATGAGGGATCTTCAGTGTCAAATTGGTGGCTCGATGATTACTCCAGGGCATAGCCGCTCTTCGTAAGTCGATAATGAGAACTTGGATTTCGAAGCTATCTGGAGGAATAGGCTTGCAGGAATGGGACCTTCATACTCTCTGTCAGGCATTAGAACTCTGGCCCGAGAACCTTGTAAAAGTCCAAGTATCCATAGAAACCTCCCGAGTCACAAGCCACGAGCGTGTACTATTGCACCTTTGGCTCCGCAGAAAATAATCTGCGGTCAGGGATCTTCGGGGGCCGATGGCATGGCTTGACTAGCATTTATGCAAGTGGATAATAGGTTCAGCACGCCATGAACAATCTAGGAACGGAGTGCCTGTGCAATTCAATCGACCTATCTTGAGACCAATGGCAAAGGATCCTGAGTCTGTAGCCTCATAAGGCTGGGAAAACCACGTGGGGAGGTCTGGTATTGAGTCTATGGACGGGTCTACGAACCGTTGCAGGTGTACTTAAGTGTCGAGTCCTTCATCTTAGGCTGGGTTAGACAAACCTTACATATTTATTGCATAAAATTTACCTACGAGCCCATCTTCGAAACAACCCGGATTTCCCTTCAATTTCGAACGAGATGATAACCGACTGAATTCCACCAGGACCTCCGCAATCTCCAAGAAACTATGACGTTAGCATCGGGCACTAAAGGTCCATGGCGATCTTCATAAATTGTCCCGCCGGCCCCAGACAACCGATCATGTGAGGTACATAACGTGGTTCTCTATAGAAAGATTATCTCCAGTCGTCGTCTTACCACTTCCCCTGTGTATCCATTAATCGATCCACTTTCTTTCTGTTACACCCCCGTGCCCTTGAAGAAACACGACCAAATGGCTCCGTTCCTCAACTTTCTGGGGCGAAAGCCCGCCGGTCCTAGTGGCGGGGAAGCCGACGCTCAGTCCGATGCCCGGCCCTCTGAAGACCAGCCTTCGACTCCATTGAGCATCAGAAAGAGCCACGAAACTGAACCACCTGAGTATAAGCTGAGCGGTGTGTCTCGATCCTGCTTTGCCTGGAGCACTATCTAATCCAGATGGCGTAGTTGTCGATTGCAACGGGGATTATCTTCCAGTACGTTTTTCCATACCTCCGCCTCCAGCTCAAAGAACAATGCGCATACTAAAACCGCAATGCAGCCATCACCACCAGAGAAGGAGAGCTTCTGGCGCAAATATCCAGGATCAAAGTCATCCTCGAACCATCGCAACCTTGTCGACGAGAATGAACCATTCTCCATCTCCCGCGAGTCCTTCGACTCTTATCGTCGCTCTTTCGTAAGTTCACCATCGCCTCCTTACCTTGGCACGATACGGAGACTCATTCGTACAGGACATCTCCGCGCGCTCGCCGGTAATCTACCCAGACAATATGCCCTCTCGAACATCTCTCGACTCTCGCTTCTCCCGCATAACCTCAACGTCCGGCTACAGCGGTCAACGGCCCGCGCCCACAATGGAAGAGGACCAATTCGAAGATGTCGGGCTCAACGACGACGACACCGAGTCCACTAAGCCCAAAAAGAAAGGCATCTTCTCGCGCTTCGGCGACTTCTCAAGCGACGCGCATGCAGGAGGGTCCAAGCCATCGTCACATCTCGGCTTTCACATCCCGGGCCGGAAAAAGTCCGCCCAGGCGCCGCCTAGCTCGGAGATGCGCGCCATGAAATCACCATACGCTTCTCAGTCTGAGGTGGCGGGGGTGCGCGAGTGAGTGTTGACTCCGAACTGTTGAGTGACATTGCGCTTTGCGGAATCTCATTGTGGCGCCACAATCGCTTTGTATGATTCGATGAAACTGGTTGTTTGGATCGGGGCGTTATGGCGTCGTTTGCATCTGCCGTTTGCCCGATTTATGTATCGGGCCTGCGACTTTGCTTCATCTTGGATGATTGATTTAATCTTAATGCTGGATACATCTGAAAGACATTATCATTCGATGCTATACGGAGTACGGAGTACTGGAGAATTGATCGATTTGTTCCTCTTGTGCGCTGCTCTTGGCTCTCCATAATCTTATCGCATATCGCAGCAAACGGTGCAAACAGCGCTAGGTATCTACACCGCCCGCAGTAGCGACCGGCAGTAAAAAAAAAGTCGGATATCTCACCCAAGCCCGAGAAGCAGTATTATCAGCGGCGCATTCTCCCCTCTCTGTTGCTATACCCTAATTCCTCCATATCCGACCCGGAAATAGCTTCATAATCATGGTCGGAGTTAAACGCCGTGTCGACGCCGGCGAAGACCGCAATGGGAAGCGGACGAAGACCAAGACCGCCGTCCCGTCGAAGGGCAAGTCCGCGCCGGTGAAAGCCCAGAAGAGCTCGAAGAGCGCACCGAAGAGCAAGGAATTGAAGTCTGGAAAGAAGGACAAGAAGGTCTTGAAGAAGAAGCCCGTAGAGGAATCAGAGGACGACGAGATCTCTGATGAGGATGATGATTTCGATGTCGATGATGTCGACGACTCAGAGATTGAGGACGTCGAGGAGGAGGATGTTGATATGGATGACGTTGACGAGGAAGACGAGGATGAGAGCGATGAGGAGGTCGAGGTCAAGGATAAGAAGAAGGTGAACCCGAAGGCTCAGGAGAATGAGGAGGCGAAGAGTAAGTTCTTTTCTTTTGGCACGTCCATTCATCCCAGCTAATCTGAACTGCGCAGAATCCACCTCTCGTGAATCGCACATCAAACAAAAAGCCCTCCAGCAAGAGCGGAAAGCCGCGAAGCCCAACGCCGACCAGATTGCCCGATCCAAGAAACTATGGGAGCGCTTACGCCGCAAGTCGCATGTCCCTCTAGAGGAGCGCAAGAAGCTGATCGCAGAGCTTTTCGACATCATCACTGGCCGAGTAAAGGACTTCGTCTTTAAGCACGACTCTGTCCGTGTTATTCAGACGGCGCTGAAATACGCCAACACCGAGCAGCGGCATCAGATCGCGCGCGAGCTGAAGGGTAGTTACGTTGAGTTGGCGCAGAGCAAATACGCAAAGTTCCTGATTGGCAAACTGATCGTACACGGCGACTCTGAAATCAGGGACCTGATTATTGCTGAGTTCTACGGCAAGGTCAAGCGCCTGATTCGACACCCTGAGGGATCATGGATCCTCGACGATATCTACCGGACAGTGGCAACTAAAGAGCAACAAGCGCACCTGCTGAGGGAGTGGTACGGCGCTGAGTTCGCCATCTTCCGAGATAACAAGAAGGACCAGAAACCCACCGCAGACCTCAAGACAATCCTCGAAGAAGACCCCGCCAAGCGCTCCCCCATTATGCACTTCCTCCTCGAGCTCATCAACCAGCTCATCCAGAAGAAGACCACCGGATTCACAATGCTCCACGATGCCATGCTCCAGTACTTCCTCAACACGAAACCCGGCACCACCGATGCCACCGAATTCATCGAACTCATCAAGGGCGACGAAGAAGGCGACCTCGTCAAGAACCTCGCATTCACCAAATCCGGCGCCCGCCTCATGTGCCTAGCCCTTGCCTACTCATCCGCAAAGGACCGCAAACACCTCACCCGCTTCTACAAGGACACAATCAAGATGATGGCCGGCGATCTGCACGGGCACCTCGTCCTGCTCGCCGCATACGAAGTTATCGACGACACAAAGCTCACGGCGAAGCTCGTCTTCCCCGAACTCCTGAACCAATCCATCGCCGACGAGGAAGCCCGCAACGAGGAACTCCTCTACCAGGCCACGGACCTGACAGCCCGCATCTCCATCTTATACCCCTTCGCCAGCGACCCAGAGAACGCCAACGCCAAGAGGCTGAAGTGGCTCCTGCCTGAGCAGGACTTTGCCGTCCTCGACGAGATCCGCGACATCCGTAAGGAGACGTCGAAGAAGGATCCCGCTGTCCGCCGCTCAGAGCTCATCAAGGCCGCCTCCCCGACACTCCTCGACTTCATCACCGCCCGCGCAGACACCCTCCTCACCAGCAGCTGGGGCTGCCAGTTCCTTTCGGAAGTCCTCTTTGACGCTGACGAGGCCAACGGCAAGAAGCCTGAGGCTTTATCCGCCGTCGCGGCCGCGGCAAAGTCCTCCGAGGCAAAGGACTCGGCGTTCTTCGGCCGGATGCTGAAGTCGCTTGTGCAGGGTGGACGGTTCAACGCCGCTGAGAAGAAGGTGGAGAAGGCCGACCCGCCGCTCGGCTTCGGGGATCTACTGTATGAGCAGATCAGTGGTGAAATCGTGGCGTGGGCCACAGGGTCAAATTCTTATGTCGTTGTTGCGCTGGCGGAGAGCGATGACTTTGCGAAGAAGGCTGAGCTCCTTAAGGCGCTGAAGAAGGGGAAGAAGGAGCTTGAGAAGGCGAGCAAGGGCGAGAAGGGGCCTGCTGCATCTGGGTCGAAGTTGTTGTTGGAGAAGATTTAGATTTAGGAGTTATATCCGGTTTATTGTAGACTTTTACATTTATTCCCTTGTTGTACAGAAAAGCATACATCTTATTCTTACGAGCTGTAAGTTATATCCATCTCCTACGGAGTACTTGTTCTTACTGAAGAAATATGTATATATCCACGAAAACAAAAAAAGCCATCCATAGACGCAGTAAACGAGCACAGGGTATAATCAAGAGCGAGAGCCTATGTACAACCATCCCGTTTTAACCCAATTGAAGAAGGAAAATTATCTATACAAAACATAAAAACCCAACCCAGTTAAGTTTCCAGTCGTAACCACGAGGCCTTCCATACCATGCCACAACCACCATAACATACACTCGCCCACCGAAGCCCAAAGCCCGTAGCCCGTACATGTTGAGCCGCCGGGCTGAAAAAAAAAAAGAAAGAAAACTGGTAGTTGTCGACGGCAACCCATTACCACCAATCCAGCGTCCAGCATCCGGGATCGAAAAAAAAAAAATCAGCAATGCCTACCCTACTCTCATTCCAACCACATTCAACATCACAACGCCCCAGCCCCCGAACCCTCAGGCGCATTCACCTGCTCCAACACAACAGCATAGAACTTCCCTGTGCCGGCGCCAACACCAAGCGTGGGATCATTGTACGGACCAGCCGCAACAATCGCCCTGGACAGACAAATTAGCACCCTCAAACCCAGCAACGCTACTACACACATCGGCGTGAGGGAACAAAAAGAAAAGACTTACCACCCTTTATACTTAACCCCATTGAAGATCTCCGTAAACGCCGTGATAACCCGCAGAGGCAGATCCAGTAAACTGCCGACTTTCAGACCCTCGGGCAGTGAGCCCGGGCCGTGGACCGGCAGGCCGAGCTTGTTGATTGGGAGGTATGTGAATTGCTGCGTGTTGAGCTGGGCGTGTGTTTGCTGGACGGAGTAGGGGATGTTTGGGTTTGGGGTCAGTGGGTTGGTGGGGGATTGCGGGTGTTGCAGGGGGGTTTCTTGGAAGATGAGGAGGCGGCGGTTTGTCATTCTTTTGTTTGTTCAGAGTATTTTTTTTCTTGATCTTGAAGTGGTAGGGGTTCTTCTCGAATCTCGACCAAGGATGAGAGAGATGATTGGATATAGGTGGGATTAAAGTATTGTGTTGTTTCAGTGATGAGGGGTATCGAGGGGTTGATATGATTCTGTTTTTCCTTATCGGGAAGGCTTGCAAATCGCGGGCCCGCGTTTGATCCACGCGCGTCGACACGTGCTGTGCTGACCCCTAACTACCCCTAGAATGATTTAGAAAAAAAAAACATGGTCCTCCTTGATCAATAACTAGGCTATATATATGGGTATCACAAAAGCACCACAATTAGAGATTAAGTATAAGAAATATCCGTCAGGTCAGATCAGGTATCAAGCTCGCCATCAAGCACGCGCCGGGCGGCCTCCAACCGCCTCCTCAGCAACCTCGCCTGCTTCTCGTCGTAATCCGGGGTTAACGTAAGTTCCTGCAAGTTCATGCAGACGTCGCCAAGGCTTTTGAACAGCTGCTCGAGCAGTCTCGTATCATCGTCGTTGATTCCCAAATGGCTGTTCGCGGAGTTGGGATGTGGACTTGCGGCCGCGCGGACTGTTGAGACCAGCGACGAGGCGAGCGATGTTGGTGTTGCGGAGCCGGTTGCTGCGGAGTCGGGCCGTTGAGAAATGACTTCAACCGCAAGAGATTTGGATTTGCGAGGAGTGCGTTCTGCCTCGGAGTCAATGTCTGTTGGTTCCTCGTCGTCTTCAGCATATGTATGGTTGAGTTCTGGGATTGTTAGCTTTGGGTTGCAACTTGGAGGTGTTAAGAACAAGCGTACCAACGTTGAATTTCCGGTCCCAGTACAGAACACTCTCAACATCGTCTCTGCCCTCGGCAGCGGTGGCAAAGGTCGCGATGGTGGATATCGAGTTGTTGCTGTTAGACCGGGAGTGCTTAATGGAACGCATAGAGCGGCGCTTGTTGACCGGCCGGGTTGTCTCAACAGACGTTTCCGACGCGTTGCTTTGCCGTCGGAGTCGTGCTTGAGTATAATTACCCAAGGCGCTATGCAGGATAAAGTGCTCGTAGTCGAAGGCGTCCTCGCGCTCCTCATGAGGGGTATCATCGGTATGTGGTACCCCGGGGAACGATTCTAGCTCATCCGCAGCAAGATCGTCGTCGAGAGGTTCCCGTAAGATCTCCTCCAGCGCCGCGCGGTCAATATCCTCCTCTGCATCCTCGTAAAGACTTTCCGCGGTCGAGTGGTCACTCTCATGGTCGGTTAGTTCAAAGGCTGCCACTATAGGGCCGTCCGATGACTGCACGGGCTCGGAAGATACGGTTTCCGGGACAAGAAGCGTTGAATCAGTATTGCTACTGGACTTCTGCCCGCTACCGTTGAAGTGGCTGTTGATGGGCGAGTCCATGTATTGTTCATACTCGGCGCTCAAACGCAGCGGGCTACGGCGTGCGGTGTGATCAAGAGGATTGGCATACCAATGGGTTGCAGCTGTTAAAGGGCTGGGCGTGCGCAGACTTTGCAGACTGCGTCGCCGCAGACCATCTTCCTGCGCCTTCACCTTCAGCGTCGAGATTTTGATATGAAGACCTTTCATTTGGTCCTGCAGATCGCGCACCTGCAGCTGAGACTGGGATCGAGAAGGAGGATCGTGTACCGGGTATGCGGTATTGAATTCTTCCATATTAGACGGTTTTGTCTCGTCTTCCTCTTCTTCAGACACCGGCGGGGAGCCAGAAGAGGCGCGCTCTTTCATAGACGGATTCGAGCCATGTTGCTGTATAGACGAGACCGATGCCCGGTGAGTCAGGTACGCTCGAGTGGGTGCGTAATGAAAAGAGCGCTCGCCACTATGAATGTTGGAGCTCGTGCTAGAGCCCATGGCGCTCATGGAGCGGGAGAAGTTCTTCACAACGGTGGGCTGATTTGACGGTAGGTTGGTCTCGCTGTAAACTCGCGAGTGCCGGTTGTTGGTCGTATCCTGCGAATTATATATCTGTCGCGACCGGAGGTTGGAGGACCTGCGGTCTGCCGCGCGATGAATCGACTGGTACAAGCCGCCAACGGGCTGTCCGAGACCAGGGGACGTGGATGGCACTGGCGATGACGAGGCGGACGGAGTAGTTGAGCGCATTGTAGATCGAGCTCGCGTTAGATTGCCCTCCATGAGCTAGAAAAATTAGCTACCGCTCTCGTAGACAAATCCGAATGTGTAAGCAACATACCGACAATCGTCTCTTCGCGTTCTCCAGAATCCGCTCTGCCTCGCTCTCCAAGATAACCGCGGATAGGTCCTCATCCGGACCCTCATCTTCATTGGCCGCCGGCGCGTTTGCGCTCGTCTGTGCCGTCTGTGCACCGCTGGACGGTCCAGGTCCAGGGGCTGCGCGACGGTCTTCTCTCGATCCACGACGCTCCTGCGCAGCCACGTAGGCTGCGCGCGCCTTTGTCTCATCCCAAGACGAAGTTTCGCTTGCGGCGCTGATCGTCGAGCCCGACGAGCTGCTGTGCGCTCTGTTTTCTGCACCTTCGGAGGTGTTGTCCGCCTCGCGGATTGAGGCCGGCGAATCCAAAACACGACTCTGCCGTGCCACTGTCATGCCCGGCGAGTTCCTCATCGCCCGGTAAGGCGACCCGGTCTCCTCCTCCCCTATGTCTGACAAGCGGCGACTGGCGGCATCGTGGTGACCTTCGTTCATCCACGTGTGTCGCGGAAAGGCTTTTTTCTGGGTCCGGGGCGCGCTAGTCCTCGTTGGGTCCAAATTATTATACCCGTTTGTGTAGTTCGTTCGGCTCTCGTAGAAGGACTGCAGGTGGGATAAGGAGGGCAGATTGAACGGAGGAGACGGTGTGGAATTCTCGCGCTCGTTGTCATCGAAGGGAAGGATCATGTCCGGGTTTGACAGGGTCGGCGACGGAGGAATGACCGGAGGAGGGTGTTGATGATGGGTCGAAAACATGGTGGTTTGATCTATCGATTCTGTCGGGCTGGATGATCGGTCGTTTTGGCAGCAGCACGAGGGACAGCTCCTAACGTGATGTAAACAAAGTCCGCGATCGTTCCCCCTTTTTGCTCCTCTAGGCGTCAGCCATCTGCAATATTGCTGCAACTGGGTCCCGGGCAATCGGTTGGCTTTGAGAGAATTTGAGCTGCAGGGGATCAGTTGCAAGGATTGTCGGCCAGACTGAGGCCTGAAAGAGCGACTCAGACTGGTACAAGTGACAAAAGAAAAGAAAGATGAAAGAAATAATGAAAGAACGGCGTGCCCACTACGGGACGGAGATTAATACAATATATAGTGATAATACAAGGCTCTATAGCACAGCGGCCAAATTATTAGAAGACGACAAGATAAAATCTGAATGATCCTGCGATTTTCCTCAGGGCGCTCTGAGTACTCCTGATGCGCCCCTAAAGAGGCAAAGATCGCGTCCAGTCAATTGGGGCAGTTTGGTAGCTTCTTTTAGTGAGGAGCTCTTGACTGCTTCTGGCTTCGCGCTGCTGATCGTCATATCGCACGCCGTTGTTGACTGAGGGTCGTCGGCCGAGGATATCCCCAAGACCAAGTAGTTTGATAGTCAGTAGTCCATGCACAGACTGCGAAGTGCATTAAGCAAAACACGCTTAAATGTGTTTGAGTATATTTCCATGTTATAACTGCTCATAGTGACATGGTTATCTACAGACGGCGAGCATCAGTTTGCCCCGTCTGTATACTAAACTTCTGATACACTTGACATTGTTTTATTCTTCCGCTTTCTTTTCCATAGCCCATGTCCCGCCATTAATAAACGTACACGTTATTAGAAGGTAAAAGGTAAAAAGAACTGAAAAGAGATAAGGCACAATCCGAGTAGCTCCGAGTACGACGTCCGATAAGCATGTTCATTATCACCATAGTCCTCCACTACTCACGCATAGACAGTTGGCAGCAACTTCGATCCATAACGGAGGTCGAAGGACCGGCAATCAGTCGGGTCGAACCCTGCAGTTTGGCGCTGCTCTAGGTAAAGTGCTTGGGACTCATTAGCATCACATAAAAGAAAATAAGGACATGGTGTAGCTTACGGGTGACCTTGATCATGTCGAACCAGCGGATGGCGTTTTCATCACTTCCCTCCACAGCCTCGAGGACCCCGCTGTCCGGCAGTGGTTTCGCCTTGGGTGGCAGACTCCGCATCTTCAACAGCATGTGTAGGATATCCGAGAAGCGGTCGCCTTGCGCCGCGTAGGACTGGGGCCGCTTTTCAAGGGGCCACCGCTGCGTGAAGTTCTCATCATCCCAAGACCGGAACAGCCAGCACGTTCTCTCCACGCAGTTCAAGAGAATCAGAGAAACCAGGAAGGTCTCGAACCAGCCGCTTTGCTGGCGCTGGAGGAGCCTCCTTTCCAAGTCATTCATTACTGACTTGCTCAGCGCCGCGGCACGCTTCTCGGTAGCTGCGCGCAACTGGCCGCACAACAGCGCGTATGACTCGGGATTGGTGATTTCGTCGATCGGAATACGCCCGTCATCAGTAGGCTGCGCGAAGGAGTAGGAAGCCGGTGGTAAGGACGGGTTGCTGAAAGTCTTCCAGTGCGTGTCGACATCAACCAGAATATGGGTGGCAACCCACAGCTCCAACACTCGTTCTAACAACAAATCCTGCAAAATGAATCAGTATGTATATAACGCAGTAAGCATGAGCGTCGTACCTTCTTCTGTGCGGCCAACTCTGCCGCTAGCATTAATGTTGGTCTCATGATGTCGGAAGCCTCGCGCTCGTAGAACATTGATCCAGTCTTCTTGATGTACAACTCAACCTTGCCGGGAATATCTTCCATATCGCTGTCTAGCAAGTAAACCTCCTGAAGGGGTCCCTGAAACTGCGGATCGTCCCCAAGCCCCTGGAGCTGGGGGTCGAGCGTTGACGTTGAAGTCTTGTGGCCCTGTTGTCCAGCAAGAGTGACAAAAATCAAGCTCTCTTCGAAATGAGTGACCTCGATACGGCCAGCAAAGACGTCAAATTTGACCTGATTTCGAATACTGCCGACGTCATGAAAAGCCAGGGTTGCGTGCAAATCTAAAACCTAGTTAGCAATGTCGGCGATTTAGCCGAGCCCAGTTCACATACTAGCATTGAACAGTTCGAACTCATCCGCGATTCGGGTGCGAATACATGGGTGTTTCCACAAACGCGCGCTTTCGACGCTGGCGCAGGTGGTACACGGGCTGTCGCCGGAGCACTAAACATGTAAGTAGAGTCGAATCAAACGGCGGACAGAGATACATACGGGCTTTTTGAGCATACGGCAGCGTATACACGCGCCTCGTTTCCTCACTTCTTGAACCTCTCGACGTCTCGCTGCGGAGAACCGACCACGGACCTTGGGTTTAGCCGGCTTGGTCGAATTGCCAAACTCGTTCACAAAGCCCTTGGTTTGGGAGGCGGGGTTCATCGCGATGGGGCGAGGAAAGGAGGCGGCGCGTTGCGTCGCTGCGGTCAGCGTCGGATCATGCTCCTGGAGGCTGTCGAACAGCAATTGTTCTTGAGTTGAGAGCTGTTGGTTCCATGCAGAACTCATCTTAGACAAACCGTCAGAAAGTCCAGAGCTAGGATCATGATCCAACGGGAGGCCGTGAGGTACCATTTCACTAGCAGATGCGGCGATCATAGACAGCTGCGACTGCCGAGAAGCGGCGGTAGGGTCGGGAGTCATAGATGTCTCAGGCAGGGGAGGCGATGCTGACGAAGGATCAAGTGAACCGGTAGGAGGAAGTGAGGGAATAGCCGTAGCGTCTGTAGGGGTGTTGGGAGAGACTGCGAGTAGACGATTCCTTCTATTAGCGAGCGTTGCAAACTGAAAACACAAGCTAGAAACCGACTCTTACCCGGAATCTTGACGTCCTCGTCCATCTGGTCAGACTGTGTAGGATGGCCCTGAAAACCCTCTGCCTCAAGCGCAGGGTCAACGACCACAGTCTTTCCACCAACAGTGACGGACTGGGGAAACGCAGGAGCCCCCCGCTTCGACTGGTCGGAAGCACCCACCTGTCGCGACGCTTCGGCCAGCACATTCAAACCGTCGAAGTTCTGGCGCGTGGTAAAGGAAACCTCACCGGGCTTTCCCTTGTTCTGTCCTGCAGCATTCGGGTCCTTGTTTTGGTCTCCGTCGGCGAGGTCTGGAAGCTCGTGAAGTCGCAACAAGACGCGTTGTCGGTCCCGCAACGGAATTGCGGTGCATTTCTTTACTAGGTGATTGGTGAGACTGTCGATGCGACCTTTGGGAAACTTTTCGCCGCATGCCTTGCACGTATGTTGATAGCGGTTGCTGGCATCTTCGAGCTTTTGGCCCCGAATGAAGAACTCGAGGATGAGCTGGTTGGGTTTGCGACCCATGTTGAATCGTGTGGCAGAATTAACGGAGGCGGAGGGAATGACTCGAGACCAACTCGCAGCCTCAAATCTTAAAACTGAAGCTCGAACAGATCGTATACAGTCGCTACACTCGATAGTCCCGCAAAACTCGCCTCAGTAAGTTGAGAAAGGGGGAATAGCAGCAACGCACACAAGGAGGAGCAGATGGAGGATGGCAAAAAAGTGCGGGCGGTGCGATAGTGTGGGAAGTCAGCGGCCACCACCGAAAGGGCGAACCCTTTGAAAGGGGTGATTCAGTGAAATGGACCACGCCGATAGCCAGAATTGATGGCAATAATGGCCTGAAGACGACAAAAAGCCGGTGAAGTCGAAGAGGGGGATGGAGAAAGAAGAGCGCTGGATGGCAGGCAGAATCGGTGATGGTGGGCAGAATATGACCGATTTTCGACCTCTAATGACTAAATCTCGCAGGGGCGGTCTGTGTGACCTTCACCGCAGCATGGCGGTGATGAGATCGGTCAGAGAGGGAAGAAATGTCTCCAGTGTGATGGAGAGAAGAGAGATGATGAAAGTGTCAAATTTTGAGAACACCCTAGACTCTAGAGAGTGGAATGTGCCTTCCTTGGAATGGAACTGACAGAGTTTCTGTACCACACGCAAAAATACATACACAGACTACACAGCAGCTTGCTCCTCCCTCAAGATTCCCACTCAGTGACCGCTCCTTCTTGCTGGAATAAACCACGTCGCATACAGCAAAGATCTGACATTCATGCAAAAAACAAATATTACTGATTTCATTACTGCATTAATACTTGAAGGATGGCCTTCGTAAACGTACGATCATGTACTATCCAGAAATCACCACTTCAAAGGATAGATAGGTAGTAACGATGCCAGACCACGAATATCACCCACCATGCTTCATAAGTGGCAGCTGCGATATGGCAAGTGCCAAAAGCGCGGCAAACTGGACACTTCAGCAGATGCGATGCTCTGGAGGACGCCAGGGTACCCCCAGGAGCTCGAATATGCGCTCTTCGCTCCGGCTCTCGATCAATCGACCGGTGTTGAGTTTGGCCCGTTGAGGGCCACGCACCACATCCGCATAAAGTCCTTTCTGGTTCAGCCGCATACCTTTCTTACTTGCGAGTAGTCTGATACTGCGATTGAAGATATCATTCCCAGTGAAATATACCAAGGCTGCTCCTAACTCGGACCCAGGCACGAATAGAAGGTCGATACGCCGCCAGAATTGTCCGCCCGGTAGTTTGGATGCGCCGTGCCATTTTGAACCGTCTTCTCGAGACGTGGTAGCTAGACCGGTTTGGAGAAACCCCTCCTCGAAGAGTTTCGGCACAACAATGTCCAGCATCATTGTTCGAATCTCATCGATCGTCGCATCAGATCTTGTGATGAGCAAATCAATGTCGCCACAATCGGCTGCTCCGCGCCGGTAAGAACCCCCGATGATAACTTCCATTTCAGGACTTTCTTTTTGCACCACTCGCCGCACATAGTCTCCGTGTTCTTGTACCTCGCTTCTTGGTATCCGCTGCGAAAAGTCAAAGTAGTGTTCCAAACCGATGCGCTGCGACTGAGTGAGGGTCGCCCTTGTGCGCAAATCATCCAATGACTTGTAACCTTGCGCTATCCATCTCGAAGCCACGGCCAATCCCGCCCCATAGACACCCAGGAAGGTCTGTAGTAGACGGTCCTCGGCGGTATTGCTTGTGTTTTCCAGGCGACGTAGACGATTTGTGAGCACTATTTCCTCTATTTTGTCTGCTAGACGCTCTCCAATTCCAGGGATTTGAATGGCATCTGCGCGGTTTGTCACCTTCTTTGGCTGACTGCGTAGAGCACTGATGGCTTTCCGATAGGCCAGGGTGCGCCACTGGTCAGCAGTTCGAGTGTAGTATTCGAGCATATTTTGCAGTACCTCGATTGTTTTTGCATTTGGGTTCTGCGTCACGGATTTCGAGGTCAAGTCATGCTTCTGCATGCATCGGAACGATTTCTGCCATGATCCTCTTGCTTCATTCTCATCACGAGACAGCTTCCTTCTCTTAGACTTCGCCGGTGGAGGTTGTGAGTTGTCAGTTTCATTATCAGAGTCCCCAGCGGGAGCATCGTCATCTGAAGGGTCCAAAGGCTATTCCGAGGTCAGAACATAACAGAGCAAGATGGTTGCAGACAGTCTTACCAGGTGTTCGGTGGCTTTAGTCTCCTCTATCACAAGATCCAGGGCGTCACGTTCACGTTCAGCAAAACTGTCGGGAACCATCTGCTTGTTGGCTTCGTCCGGAAGGTCGAGTACCGGCGCTGGTTCTGGTGTGGGTTCTTCTTGTTCAAGCAGCTGGGATGATCTCTGAGTTTGGGGCAACTGTTTTCCTTCTGGCTTCAGAGGCAGAGACCCGTCGGTGACAGCTGGTAGTTCTTCCGGCGGATTGCTTGGTACGCTAGGTTCGGATGAAGGAGCACCTTTGACTTGGAATCGAAACTGTGTCACCTTCGGGATGCTTCGCCATTTGATGCAGTCCGCAGGATAACTTTCATTAACCACAGCGATTTCAGGCTGCAATAGTTAGTGATGAGATGGGACTAGCAGGATGTCATGCACGAACCGGAACTGTCTCCATCTTCAAGTGCTTCAGGATGTCATCATATTTCAGCCCTTTATCAACAATGATGTGCGTAATATCGTCTCTCCACGTCTTGGCCCATAGAGCTCCATATTCCTGGGCTCTCTGGATACGCACCCGTCGTAGGGGAGAAACGTCATTGTTCGGGAAGAAGACTATATCAGAGAGGGAGGTCAGTCAAAGCACTCATATGATCCGCACCTGAGGAACGTACAGAATACAAGGCCTTTGAGGATCTGCTGCTGCTCAGGGATTATCTTCGCGGCTAAGACTCCTCGCTTGCGCTTTCCAGAGGCATACTTTGCTGGACGTTTGGATGATCCCATGTCGCTCTGTACATTCAGCTCGTTGCCTGTAATCTCAGTGATGGAGGTAATAGAAGAGACAGGAGACAACCTGCCGGCAGCGACAGGAACATCTTCTAAAAAGGATGATTTATATGAGGGACTCCGAGGATAAAAAGAGTCGGGAGACGAGTGAATCCCACCATTCCGCCGTGAAGTTGCTATGAGACGGTCAAATTCACCCTCGGATTCATCACTAGGGCAGTCCAGCTGCTCTAAGCGCATGAAAAACGCCTCTTTATCCGTCGTCATCTGTGGCATATCCGAGTTGGTGAATAACCAGGCATCTATACGGAGATACTTGAGCCATAAGTGAATAATATCCCGCCAGTTGCCTGGCGACGGCGACGGCGACGGGAGTTCTCGGAGAATATAAACTGTGTTTTTACAAACTCACTTTAAACTCACACAAGTCTTGCGTGTCCGAGTCCACACGGTCCAGGTTGTAGGCAGCCACCCAGGACGTGTTGTGCCGCGGAACCATCGCCGAGTCACGTGTAGCAATTAGGTAGGTAGGTATTCCACTATCGGAACCGAAAGATCAGAGCCGGAGCTGGCCAGTTGACGCATTATACAGCAACAATGTGGAAGCCTCCAGTGCCTCTCTCGTCCTTGCTGGAGCCGTCGCTCCTACAGAGCCGTCGCTGCCTCAGCTGTCAGCTGCGCGGCGCCTCTGCATTCCGATCTAGACCCTCACTCCGTCCCTATACAACGAAAAACGACAACGGAGAGAAACCGCCGGCCCCAACGAAAGCCCCGACAAGCAGAAAAGTCCAATTCCAGCAGAATGCTGCCCCGCAAGCTGTTCCTCTCGAGGCGTACAATCCTAAAGAAGACCCAGTTCCACAATTAGACCGGCCCATCGGTTCGGTGATTCCGCCGCAGGAAGGTCAGAACACCGGGATTGACCAGCGGACATTCGGGCAGCGCCGAGATGATTTCCTGAATTATGAGAAGCATCTTGCCAGACGTAAACAGCTGTATGCATCCGGCCCTTCCCTGTTCCACAATCCAAATATTTATCATCTTCTTCCTACTTTCTAGGACGAAACAAGCCGCAAAGCCCTACTGGCAAGAATGGACGAACATGCAATACAGCAAGGGTAAGAGCTTCATTTCGAACCCGCGGTTATTCAAGCGCGACAAGGCGCTTTACTTCCCCAACCTGTACGGAGCGACACTGGCCTCGCCGAAAGAACCGCAAAACACCACATCCATTCTCCGCGGCAAGGTCACTGTCGTGAACCTCTTTTGTAGCGTTTGGGCAGAAAGCCAGGTCGCCACATTCACCGGCCCGCAGTTTAATCCCGGTCTTTACGAAGCGTTCAAGGAGGGCGGTCAGCTTGTGCAGAAGGTCGATATCAATTTTGAGGACAACATACTCAAGGAATGGCTAATTCGCCTGTTCATGTGGCGGATGCGGCAGAAGTTGCCCAAGGAACAACATTCGAGGTACTTCATAGTGCGCAAGGGTCTTGATGATGGCCTCAAGCAGGCTATCGCTATGTTAAACAGCAAGGTTGGATACGTGTATCTCCTGGATGAGAACTGCCGTATTCGATGGGCAGGTAGTGGACCTGCTCAGCCCGCCGAACTGGAGAGTCTAAACAATGGCGTCCATAAGCTGATCCAGGAGCGCAGGATCACTATGGGATCTGATCTACCTACGCGGTATTCGCAGGTGACAGGAAATGGACCGAAGAAGGCCAGGGTTGTCGAGCATAGCCGTTGATCATTGTATGTACATATTAGTGTGAGCGTGTAAGATATATAGATAGCCCGAATGCCATAACTCCGAACCCGTATTAACTTTCCGAAGGAAACGGATGGATGTAAACGCCATCTAGACGACGGCTGCGGGGAAGCGGAAGAGACGTCTCATCATCGGAAGAAAAGCAGCATCAGAAAACAGAAGCCAATAAAGGCTCCTAGTATAAGCGCATCCCTCCTCCTCTTATTCCCAATTTTCCCGATTAAAGCATTCACACCGGGTACCTGACTCGCAGCACCCACAATACGACGATTTATGCTGGATATCGTCTCGCGCTGTATCCCAAAGTTCTCATTAATCGCATATGCCTGGCTCAGGACCCCGTCTATCACTCCATGGCTCTCATCAATGCGACGCCGCTCCTCCAGCATGTACTCTGATTCGGCGGCGGCGGGGTTCGAGGAGCGGTAGGCGTTGATGTCGGACCGGACGTTTGAAAGGAGGTTTGCGCGGTCTCGCGACTCGGCGATTGCGGACGTGAGGCGGGATAATTCGCGTTTGTGTTCTGTGAGGATTTCGCGGTGGCGGGCTAGGTTGCTTTGTTTGAGGGCTGAGGAGGTGAGGGTTGCTTCGGAGTCGAGGAGGCGGGCGAGTTGGGCGATTAAGGATTCGCGCTGAAAACGACCGACATTAGCTTCCGGTATATTGATTAGTCGTAGGTTGTTCACCTTTTCTAGGAGGTCGTTGATCTGGTTCTCATTGCGGGTTTCTTCTTCCGAGGGCTGTGGAGGCAGCTTCGTCATGGAGGCATATTGGGAGTAGGTGTGAAAGAGGTTTTCGGTCTGTCAATGTCAGAACCATTAGTAGTCGTTACAGAGACATCCAAAAGCGCCAGGCCCTGGAGAGGTTCGCCGTACCTGAGTCTCAAGAGATCTGGCCTGCTGCCGCAGTTGTGCCCAGCCGGCACCGGTAGAGGTAGCCATGTATGAAATAGAAGGACGAACGAAATGTGTTGTGAGTATAAATCGAGTAGAAACAAGGCTTGAGCACCAATAGTGAGCTTGCCAACTATCCGTCCAGCGGAACGCAGCACTTGCAATCGATCAATTACTTACGGGGGACTTACGTACAGGGCTGGGCTGTATCTCCCCGATCCGGACCGCCTAGGCCAGGGCAGCGTCATCCACCGCCCGCGCACTAGCCTCCGCACTAGCCACAGTCACGTGCACCAGCGCCCGCTTAGCCGCCGCACCACGCCAAGGAGCAAAAAAAAGCCCTAGTCCCACAGAAATCCTCCAAATCGACACCGGTCCATCTTCAATCCTCACGTCGACAATCAACCATTCGACAAGATACCGCCCACCATGGTATGTACAGCTACAGGGACCCTGTCGAAAATTTGGTGATGCGAGCGTCAGAATGGCATGCTGATTTTGACTCCTGATGTAGTCTTCCAAGGTCAAGGCTGGTCAACTCTGGGGAAAGAGCAAGGATGATCTCACAAAGCAGCTGGATGAGCTGAAGACCGAGCTGGCTCAGCTCCGTGTCCAGAAGATCACCGGCGGTGCCTCGTCGAAGAGCCTGCGGATGTGCGTTTGATTCCCTACCTACAATCACAAAATACACCAGAAGCCGGATGGAAGAACGGAAAATTGGGATCGGAAAGAATGTGCGCCCGATCGACTCGCATGAATACAACAGCCCGACTCGAAAACACGAAACGACGGCATGGAAACGAATTAAGAGGAGGCGAAATGGAAAATTCGGAGGACTCGATGACAGACTGCGCGCATTCGATCCGATCACAATCACCGTTCACCCATCTACCCATTCGACACATCCACATCAGAACCAAATACAGGAGTAGGAATACTGATTTTCGCTCAATAGCCACGACGTCCGCAAGTCGATCGCCCGCGTCCTGACCGTCATCAACGCCAACCAGCGCTCTCAGCTCCGCCTTTTCTACAAGAACAAGAAGTACCTCCCTCTTGATCTCCGCCCCCGCCTCACCCGCGCTCTCCGTCGCCGCCTCACCAAGCACGAGGCTACCCTCAAGACCGATCGCCAGCGCAAGAAGGAGATCCACTTCCCTCAGCGGAAGTACGCCATCAAGGTACGATCATGAAACACCAACAGGCAATCAAAGTTCTCGTCACGCAGGCTTTGTTTGGCTGGGACAATAAATGAAACCAGGACTGACAAAACCCGCAGGCGTAAATCCCTAAAGGAAAAGACGGGATCGAGTCTGGATCTTGATGATGGAGTTCTGGGACGTCGTTTTGACCTGGCCTACCTGTGTCACAGCAGGAGGTTTACATAAAAGACATGGATAATGTATCTTAGAAGATAAGATGCAGGTCGATCTTGAATGAATCCTTTGCTTGCAATGACAATCAATACCCCTTGGCCAGCCACTTTTTTGCTTACCAGGTGCCCGCTCACTCGACTTGCTCGTCGCATATTGTGGACGACTACCCCCTTGCCTACTGTGTCCCTGTCGGAAATCGTTTGCCAAACAAAACTAGCACGGATGTCAAATTGCAATCCAGCCTTTCTATGACTGTGGTTGTGCCGAAGAAGTGCTGATATGAAGTGGATTTATCCGACCAGTGAGTACTAGATTTATGTCCTGCGGCTGGCAACGGCTGAGATGGCATACGTCCATTGAAGATCTGGAACATACCGTATACTTTAGCACTTAGTTTATAGCCTGTCTAGTTTTATCAAATCTATCGCTGTCGATCACTCCTTAAAATTGACTCTTCGAAACGAATTGAGCGCCATCTCGCCTCATTCCTTCACTATATTCAGTCTCACTGTACCCCGTCACTCTAACACTCTCATCCAATGGCTTGGAAAAATAAGTACAACCCATCATTAATCAGTTACCCCTAAGTTCTAACCAAGATATATATACCAACTTAACTGCCCTCAAGATTCCACATCCCCCCGCAAATACAAGACCGCAAATGGCCCAACTTCAGCGTCATCCGAAACGACAACACCGAGCGCGGCGGATACTGCGCCTCGGAAACCTCACAGCACCTCACACACCGTCTGCTCACCTGGCTACCGCCAATGCCCCCATTCCTAACAGCTGCACCAAGGCCCGTGACCGTCTCACCGTTCCCCAGAGCACCAGCAGCAGGTCTCGCAAGGATGGGCGTCTTCTTAATGATATCCACATTTCTGAATCTTCGATATGCTTCCGTCCGGCTGTCCGACCCAAATCCAAGCCAGCTGTAATCACCCATGTAGATTGCCATGCGATCCATTTCGCCTCGCATCGCGGGCACGGTCTGGCGGAGGATCGTGTTGACGGCCGTAACGAGGACGGGCGGGATGCGGCTGGAGACTAAGAGTTCTTTCTCGGGGCCGGGCCGCTCATTATCGCCGAACCCGGCGTTCGTGTAGGCGTGTTTCACGGCGGAGTCGATGCCCGCTAGGAGCTTCTCGTAGACGTCTGTACGGACGGGGGAAGAGTCGAGCGCTTGGCATATCTCCGTGTAATAGACGCGCGAGTCGCCGGTGAGAGGGGCGTTTGCGTAGCCGGCGTGGATGCCACGCAGGCCACGGCAGATCAGACGAAGGAAGGCGCGGGACATGCTAGATAGGACAATTATGAGTGGTAGGGAGGCGGTAGTTTTGACTGGCTTTGTATTAGAGTCATGCATATGGTTCAGAGGAGTCTGGGGTTGCGGACGTTTCTGGTTGAAGGCTTCTTGGTCAGATGAGACGCTTTCACAGTCATCTGCGAGGTCGAATAACTCGTTTAAAATGTATAAAGAGAAGTCAAGCGCCCATTTGGTGTTTCCAAGGACCATGCGGAGGACGTCTGGGGTAGTCAGCAACGGTTGGTTGAAGTTCAGTGGTGGGAATACCTGGATCGTGTGGTTCCGGTCCTTGAGCTGCTTTGTTGTATTGGAAGAAGGATGGATATATCATAGCGGCCTGGCGAAGCTGGATAATTGCCCATGGAACATTAGAGACAATGTTGCGCGCTTTGTGACTATTCTTAAAGCCTAAAGCGGCCTGTATGCTAAGAGCACGAGGGATATATGGGTGATTGATCAATTTATCCTGCTCGGTCGTGAAGTTGCAGTTGATGGATAGTGCGCGATAAACCTCGTTGAGGAAGGCGGTTTGAGCATCTAAATACTTCGATTAGAAGGGTGTCAATGACTTGCCAAATAAGACGGACCTGGAGATAATTGGCGTATTAATATTAACAAGATATCGTCTGTATTGACTTCACCACCGCACCCCCGGCAGAAGGCTAGTGTAAGTGCAGCAATGGCTGCGGAGAATTTATCTGCAAATCCCATTAGATACCCTGAAAAAGAAAATGTACACTACCACATACTCTCATCATATTGGTCATTCTCTGCTCCGTAGGAGTGCTCCATGATCCTCAGGTGTATATTTCCGTCGATGTCCAAGCCAACGGCCAGGCAGGCGCTGGGTGAGAAACTCATATGTAACGCTTTGCGAGGTCAGGGTGATGTGATACAGTAGGGTCAAAGGACGAACCTGAAGGCTCAAGCGGGTAGTGAAACCCTGCCTGAGCAAGGCTAGTTACGTTGTTTGTATCGTCGACGCCATCAAATGCGGCCATAGTCTTCGGGTCATAGAATGAAATCGAACTATCGTCAAACGATACAGCTAAGACGTTGCCATATTCCGTCTGATCGACTGAAATGACATGCCGATCTGAGGTGACATCGTCGAGGCGCCGCAGTACAGTTTTCGCCTACCCTTGTTAGCTAATGCTATCGCGGGAAAGCACATTCATACCTTGACCTGTCCGTTGCCCTTCTTAGAGGTCACGTCGTCGAATTTTGGGTGTAGAGTCGGATGGCCGGTCTCATACTGCCACCGAATAATGATGCTAGCTGGTACTTGTGGCTGCTGATGAGGAATGATATTGTGAGGAGGAGTTGTGAAGGCAGCTACAATCCAGGGATGTGGCGTAGACCCAGCCGAGTTGTCGGATGCAGGAAGTATTATTTGCAACGAGGTAAGGCAGTAAAGAGAGCTGGTGGAGGGAAGTTGATCGTCGATAGTTCCGGTTGCGCCATGGTTGCTGGGGATATTATAGGGTACTTCGACTTTCAAGTGAACAAGGCGGAAGCTTGGAGCAGGAAATTGTTGGGCGCCTTGCTTCTGCTGCGTGGGCTCCCACTGGGGAGGGTTCCACTGAATGCTCACTCGGTAGAGAGAAATTTTCTGACAAGCTGAATGGGTAGCGATTAGAATTCCTGTTTGTGTTGTCACCAAGGCTGCATGGGTAAGAAGCCTATCCGAATAGCTTGTGTTTTTCAATTCCGCCGTTATCTCGGCCCATCGGTTGTCTGGATTTTGATAGAGGAGCTTCATGACTCCAGACCTTGTGACGCAGAGCAGCGCTCCTTTGTGAGCAGGATGATACGTGCCAGTCGGACGCCGTCTAAATGGTGAGTATGCCCAACGGCCTTGCACCTTGGCTGCCTGGTAGAAAGAATGCACCTAGGCATGTTTAGCAACAAGCCGTCGGCAACGAACCATATACTCACCGAGCGATGTTGGCTCAGCCACATCATCCCAACAATTTGGGATGCATCATCATCAGCGTCAAAGGCCGCTTGGCGCGATCCGTTCACGCTGTTCAGGGCAATCGGAATGGAGTAGACAGATACTCGACCGGACGAATCAGCCACAGCGAGCTCTGAACCAGATTCGTTCCAGCATAGATGGACCAGGGCGTGACCAGCATGGGCCTCTGTTACCTGAGCCAGGGGCGTCTCATCGCTCAGCACCCATTTGCCATCTGACTGCTGGCACTGAAGATTGCGGACGCTCACTCTGGTGGAATCTTGCGAAATGGCCGCAATGCACCCGAGTCGTGACCATGCAATTTTTCTGGTATAGTCAGCTGACAGTGATCAAGAGTATAACAGTCATAAGCTTACTGGCAACATCCCGTCAACCTCATCTCATCCAGACGTTGGGCTAGGCCTTTTGTCGAGGCAGTTGAAGTGCCCGTAGGTAAGCCCAGCTCGAGCGAAGTCGATTCACCGAAAAGGTCGTCCACATTGATCCCGTCCTCCATGATCAATGGCATAATGTTGTATGTTATGAGAAACGGTATGTGCAATGGTAATGTACAGTCTAAGGATGGGTGAGTCTATAGCAGCACCCAAGTATCATAGTGGGTGCGATCCACAAAGCGGGATGGATCACGGATGGGGGAGGAGGAAGTCAGCGTGGGGTTGGAGGTATGAGGCATCGAAGCTGAACTACAGCGAGTTCAATTAGCCCCAGGGACAGCAGTCAGAAACCCCACGATCCAAGCCTGTCTTGGCAGATCAAGGCCTCTCATTCTGAACTTCATAAAGAGAGCGACTGAGGCTTGCACCATGTGGAGCCGCAGACCCGCTGCTGATTAAGCGTCACGTGCGTCTCTATCTACGGTAACCGGGTCAACCACGAGACGAGTTTTCAGACGATTTGCTGGCGAATGCTTAGGGGGGAACTCTACTATGGACTACGCTTTGTATGCGTAGCAATTGATAGCATCGTTATTCTCCAACTTGGGGAGAAATATACTATACGGAGTACATTAGAAAGTCCCAGTGTTTATTGGCATCAAAGAGGTTAGCGTGACCCCAGCCGCCAGAAGCTGCAAGGCCCATCGCTGGCAGCACCAATCACAGCACCCATCAACTTTGCGACCGAAAACAACTTAGTAGTTCAGAGAGTGCAGGTAAGGTCAAGCATCAGTTCATTTGCAGAGTTGTCTATATATCACTGGCCTGGCCCTGGGGGTTACGTCAGGAGTATACTCCGTATATATAACACAATCCATAACTCAATATCGGGGCAGCATCGTCTGTCCGGCATTCCTCCATACTTCTCCGTCCTCCACGTCTCTCTCCAGTCCATTCCTCTCCGTCCTCTTGTGTCTGATTATCCAGCAATCCCGTGGGTCAAAATAAACACAACGTCGGCTGCAAGCGAGAACCGTCAGAGCCAACGTCTGGTTCTTTGGTCAGTCAGCCCAGCCCTCCTTCTACAACCACCTTTCCCGATTCCTCCTTCTCGTCCTCGGCTCCATCGATTTTGCGCTCTGGAGATCGCACTCGGGCCCCATCGCAGTCACGGGGTTTCCGCTCTTGAAACTGTCCCTCTCTATCCAACATCATCTGTCCTGTCTCTTCCCGCCAACGAGACGCAGAATCTTCGGCTCTGAACCCCTGGAACCCCCCTCCTCCTTTCAATTGATGTCGTCTTTGTGATTGATTCTCCATGATTGCCTTGCAACGGAGTTTGTAGTCTTTTAGCGACTCCTTGTCTCATATCTTCTTCCTTTTATCCCTTTTCTTTCTCTCTTATCCTAAACCCTCGCGTCATCCCGACCGGCCGTCATTATGGCTCCTCGCAGAACAAAACCCGCACGCAAACCCACAACCACATCTACCTCTGCATCCTCATGTCCATCTCCAACTAGCCTTCCAACCCCTATGGAGATCGATGACATTTTCCTTTCCGACTCGGAGTTGAGCGATGCGCAGTCTCTAATCGAGCCTGAAGGCTTCTCGTTACTGTCCCCGGACGAGTCTAGCGGCGGCCGCAGCCAAGACGAGATGCCGCCCGCCAAAAAGAAGCGCCGTGTGGCCGGCCCCAAGGAACGCCGAACACAGCACCTCGACCTCACTCCCCGCCCGGGTTATTCGGACTACGGTGATCAAGAGGCCCAAATTGATCTGCTTGTCAACACTATTCGAGGTCACAAGAAAATTGTGGTAATTGCGGGAGCTGGCATCTCCACCTCTGCAGGCAGTACGCGGTCTTCCTGACTCTACGCTCTATTCTCAAACTAATCCAAAAATTGCAGTTCCCGACTTTCGCTCTGAAGATGGACTTTTCAAAACTTTACAAAAGAAACACAACCTCAAGGCGTCGGGCAAGCTGATGTTCGATGCTGCCGTCTACCAGGATGAAACGTTGACCGCTACATTCCAGGAGATGGTACGGTCGCTATCAGAAGAAGCCGAGAAAACCTCCCCCACCGCTTTCCACCATATGCTCGCCCGACTAGGAAGTGATAATCGCCTGACTCGGTTGTATACCCAGAACATTGACGGTATCGAAACGTCAATGGATCCTCTGGCTACTCAGATTCCATTGAACATCAAGGGGCCATGGCCGCGCACTATACAATTGCACGGAAGTTTAGAAAAGATGATTTGTCAGAAGTGTCGGCATATGGGAACATTTGATCGAGCCATGTTCGACCGTCCGGACCCGCCTGAGTGTCCGGAGTGTGTAATAACGAACCAACTCCGTTTGGAAACCGGTCAACGCAGCCATGGGATTGGGAAAATGAGGCCACGCATTGTTCTATACAACGAACACAACCCGGATGAAGACGCCATTACCTCTGTCATGAACGCTGATATACGCTCGCGACCGGATGCGCTAATCGTGGTGGGGACAAGTTTGAAGATTCCCGGGGTACGTCGCCTTGTGAAGAGCCTGTGCTCGGTAATTCGGAGTCGGCGCAATGGAGTCACCATGTGGATCAACAACGAATTGCCTTCGGGTAAAGAGTTTGAAGACTGCTTTGATCTGCTGGTCAAGGGCGACTGTGAGGAAGTGGCACGACTCGCGCAATTGAAGCGGTGGGATGACAACTCCAAGCCGGTATTTGACGAGTGCAACTCTGCTGATGTCGAGCGGATAAAGACCGAGCAAGGGCCGCTTTCTGTCGTTATCAAAACGCCCAAAAAGTCCAAGGTGCAAGCTCAGACTGGGATGCTTACGCCATCATCCAGCTACGATGGCGACGCCGAGACTACTTTCAACACTACACTTTCAAACCCTGCTAGCAAAGGACGAAAGCTTACCGAGATACTCAAGGCCAGCAAGAAGGACGCGCTCAAGCCCAATGAGGCACCTAAGCCCAAGGGTGCCGGTGTTAAAAAGCCTGCGCCTAAGAAGAAGTCCAAGAAGGAGCCGGCCAAGAATGCCAAAATCACCACATTTAGCAAAGTCACCAAGGCTCAGAAAGTTATACCAGACGAGAAATCCATCAAGCTCGAAAAAGACGCGCACAAGGCAATGCATCCTCTGCCACCCGGAGCAGCGCGCACCAATGCACCGATGTTCCCTGGTCTGGCCAAGGACGACTCCAAGTCGACGCCAAGCGGCAAGCACCGCGGCGAGCTGGAGACGATCTCACCCGACCGCATTCCCAAGGGTATGGCCAGGCTGCTGAATTAGCGGACTTTCTTCGTTTCACTCTGTTCGGTCCAATTGTTTAAGATACCACTGATAGACATGCCGTTGGCGTTTCCCGCGTTCATGGCTCAAAGATCGGCCTTGTCTATTGTTTGTGCGGGATGGGAGTTAGAAGGCGTTCAGGGGCGCTTGTCAAGAACGACGGCGATGATATATTACTTTACTGTGGGAAGCATATCTAATGGCGCATTATTAGTTAGTGTTAGGGTAGTAGTGTTAGGGTAGTAGGGATAGTAGGGATAGTAGGGATAGTGGTGTTACTTATGTACATCAAACAATATCGGGCTATTTTTCGCATGGGAATCATCTGGAAATCAGGTTGACGGGCTGAAGTGTCCCCAACTCTCTATCCCAGCCCTAGATCCCCTCGTAATTGGCCCCCTGGCCCTTCATCGTCACTATCACTGTCGCCCGCCGCATCGGGATCGACCATCCGCCGTGCCCGCGCGCCGCGGTCTAGATCTTCCACCCGATCAATGTCCTCGTCTTCCCTCGTCTCTTCCTCTTCGTCTTCCTCCTCCTCTTCATCCTCCGTAGCATCACCATCCTCCTCATGCTCCTCCTCAATCTCATCCGCCTCCACCACATCCTCACCCTCATCGTCCTCATGATCTTCCATCTCACCCTCCCCCTCCCCATCCCGCTTAACCCTCTTCGCCTTCGCGCCCCTCACAACCTCACCCTCCACCCCCTTCATCTCCGCATCCCCATCCTTGCCGGTCCCATCCGTAGCACTCGCCCCACCGCCCGTCTCACCGGTAGTCCCAGCATCCCCGCTCTTCCTCGGCTTCCTCTTCGCAGCCTTGAGATCCGTATACTTATCCAGCTCCTTCTCGAGGCGCGGGCGGAACCCCTCGAATTCCAGCTCCGATAGCGCGGCCAGGACGTCGGCGGGGGAGACGGTGCGTTTTAGGGTTGCTTCGTTGGCGCTGCGAACATACACATGTTAGCCTACCGGACTTGGTTTGTTCGGGGATAAGATAGGGGGAGAGCAACACGCACTGCGACGATAGATAAGAGACAAACACGGTCGCGGCCTTCTGGATTGCAAGCACGGCGTCCTTCTGCACGGATGTATTCGGCGGCAGGACGGATTTTGCGAGGCGGAGTGTTATGGAGCGCGGGAGGAGGTAGTCCTGTATCTCATGCTGTGATTAGCATCTCCCATATTTTTGTCCTTTCCTTAGATGATCCGACTGGGTGGGAGTGCGTGCGTACCTCAATCGAGACGCCCTCGGCGCGGGCTTTGAGCTGCTGCTCTGTTGCTTGTAAGGGCTGGGCTTGGGCTGGATCCGACAGCCGAGATTCGGCGTCTGCGTCTGGAGGTGGTGAAGCGGACATTTTGTCGGCCTTTTTTCTTCTCTCTCCTCGTCTCCCTGCTTTGATTCGGAAGTACTTCTCAAACGAGTTGTGTTGGTCGTTCGTAGCTATCGGAGGCTGCGCGGGGTGTCGTGTTTCTTTGTCTTTCTTGGCGCCCAAAGTTTGAGAGTCCGTTGCGGGTTTGAGTTTTGCGTTTGCTAGTATGCCGATGCCAATAATGAGCTAGATGGTATTAGGTGTTTTGCTGGAACCGGAGGAAAGAAAGCAAGGCGGTGATATTATGGACGCGACTCGACGCGATGGATGGAAATTGGAGAAGATTGAAGGGAGCGCGTATCATATTCGGGTTATCCACTTTTACACCTGTCAGAATCTCGACTGAGCTTTTACGACCGTGTCCAAGATTTACCTAAACAACGGATTTCATATCATCTTCCTGATAGAGTGTTCGTCTTAGCTCGGAGTAGTAGCCTAGTCCTACACTACAGCGAGTTTGCTTTGGAGTTGGGGCCTCGGACAATGGACACACACTATGTCTTCCCGCACACGCACCATACCCTACAAAGTACATTATCACTCTTGCAGTCAACGCTGGCGGGTGTGCTTTGAGCCGCTTCAAGGTCAGCGCCCATCGTCACCAAAACCTTCGCTACTGCACACAGCCCATGTAGTGATGCCAGCAGCAGCGGAGTTTGGTTGAATTCATTTTTCGCTCCATAGTCAAGCAGCACCTTGGCGTTTGCCTCAACACCATATCTTCTGCTCATAGCAGCCAGAGCTAGCGGGCCTTGGCCCAGATTGTCCTTCCCATTGAGATGGGCGTGGTTCTCAGCTATCAGCCTGGCTACTGCCTCACAGCCATATGCCTTACCATCCAAAACGACCAGGAGTAGGCCCATGTAGCTTGTTGTGTTCATATTGACACCATTCTCGATCAGCATATTGGCGACCCATACGCGCCCTTCAGAGCAGCGGTTACGATCATGGTCTATAGCACTTTATATACTTAATACTAGTATAGAGAGGTACTAAAAGTTATGTTATTGCTTATAGCATAGACACTTCGACAGGGGGTGTAAGTCCATTCTGAACAAGCAGTGTTGCGACCACCTCGTCCCCATTCTGGGCCGCCCAGTTCAACGGAGCCATGCTATACTCATTACGATCAACCACAGCACCGTTCTTGATCAGAAAATCTGCAACCCCTTCTTGCCCGCTCCGGGCAGCCCGCAATAGGGGACTCAAAGGAAGAACCGAGCGCATTCATGTTCGCGCTTTTTTTGGTCATCAGCTTTGCGAATGCCTCATGTCCCCCTTGAGCGGCTAGAGATAATGGGCTTTTCATGCCGTTTTCTTCAAGTTGCTTGAGATCAACATACTTGAAAAGCTCAGTCACTACTTCCATCTTATTCATCTCAACCCCTCGTTGGAGTAAGTTGCGAACACCTCTCTGTAGTTTTGCTCACTGGCATCTTGTAAAAGAAGCTCGGCCATAACGGCGATATTGCCGTATTCAACTGCTGTGAGGAGAAAAAATTGGTGCCACTACTGCATTAGCGCCTTTGTCAAGAAGAATGGACGCTATGCGGACATGGCCTCCTTGAACTGCGTTCCATAATGGCGTATGGTAGGTTTCGGATCGAATGTCGACTTTGACCCCTTTAGTGTTAGCGAGCAGCCGTACGACTTCGATATTCCCTGTTTCTGCTGCGTGATGTAGAGCCGTTCGTCCATCACTGTCGAGCCCATTGACGGGGCAAATTTCTAGTAACGTCTGGACTGCGGAGACGTATCCTAACTTTGCTGCAACATGCAGAGCAGGTATTCCTTCACCGAGTAGCGGTAGGTCGTTGACATGGAATACTTCCGACCCTGCTTCCACAGCAATCCTCAGTAGAGGCATATGGTGTTCCCTTACTGCGTATCCAAAAAGGGCATGGACTTGGGAGCTCAGTGAACGCCCGCCTTTAATCCACGGGTGGAAGTCCCAGGTGTCATTGAAAGTCAACGCGATTTGATTGAACTTATCCCAAACCGGCGATGTCGGCGCGATATCCTTGGTGTGTAGAGCCCAATTGGCAGTAGCGTAGTCGAGAAATTTGTATTGTGCGCGGCAAGGAGTAGATTTTGTGCGGATAATAAGAGGCAGGTTGACAGGTTCGAGCTGCTTTTTGCCCAGCCTCCAAGAGAAGAGCTTCCCAATTCCAACCCTAGACGGCAGCGTGGTTTCGCGAGCCATCGACCTAGGGTCTGGAATCTTTGCGGTTATCAATTGCATTCTCTGCCTCTCCAGCTGGAGACAAAAGTCAGAGAAAGCAAGGTATGAGACACAGAACTCTCCGCATTCGAGTTGGCCCTTCTCTGGAGTCTTAGGCCATGAAGGAAACCCATCGCTATGTTTTCGAATGTATTGACCCACAGACGGATGGGCGAAACGAACCGAAGTATCTACTGGGTCTTCAACAACCAAGTTCGCGCAGCAACCGACGATGAAGTTTTTGTTGGGGATTCGCTCAGCGTCCCACTCTTCATCGTGAATGCTGAAAGCAGTCGCTTCTCTCAGCTCCTCGACAAGAAGAGGCCGTGACCCAAAACTGACCCATTTAAGCACCTTCACTACACGCACGTCGGCAAAGTTTATACGCTGGAGGCAGCGGTGGTATGTTTCCTCAAGACCTGGTGGCAAGTTGCCTAACGCTGATCGTATTTCTTGGTCTGTCTCACAAGTTTCCCATAGTATCTCCAGTTGGAGATAAACCCATAAGAACCTGCCTTGGAGGTTAGCATCCACTCGGAAAGTACTATCAGGGTAAGTTCGTACACCTCGGATGATTCTGCTTGGAGTTTGCTTTTGATATCACACAGGACTTCGGCACTATCCGTAAGTCTCTTGTACATTCTTTTCTCATCGATACTTTCGTCAATGTAAGTTCGTATATCATGAGCGACATTGCGAGACGTTGATATTTGACGCACTCCTGGCATAGCTGTAGTTATATCGACATTGCCAGGGAGATACCTCCTACTGAAGAGCAAGAACCGTGCTGATGATCGACCATGGTCTCGTAAAGAGCGAAAGAGCTTGAGCAGTCGTTTTATATCGTGTTCGGTGAGGGAATCAAGCCCATCCAGTATGTAAATGGCTGCTTCTATGGGTTGAGCTATTTTCAGAAAGATATCGGCCAAGTCCTCAAAGTCAGGTTCCGTCCGATCAGGACCAAAGAAGGTTTCGATCATTCTCTTGACTCCATCAAAGCCCCGAGGCACTCCATAGACGCCTAGCAAATGATACAGCTGGTTGATAAAACTAGTGAGGATAAACGACGCATGGAGAAATTGGGGTCTGTCAGGTTCGCAGTAAAAGAATACCGTCGGAGCCTGAAGCTCCTTGGGTCCACTCCGGGCATGGTCGACGACAGAAGTACTGCAATTGATTTAATCTTCAGGTACAGTGCTTCAGAGTCACTGACTCACGCTATGATTGTCTTCCCCGAGCCAACTGTTGAAAATCAGCATAATGAGACTCGTGCTGCCTTTAGTGCCAAGAGAAGCAGAGACGTACTTTTCCCAGTACACCACAAATACTGAAATTGGCTCTCGATAAACCAGGCTTGAAAGTAAGGGTGTTTCGTAAACCATTGCGTAGTGTTTGTAAGGCGCTTGTGCGATAGTCTTCGATGAACTTTTTCGTGATCATAGCTCGAAAGATTCTTTCGAATCACTTTCTCACTATCTGTATTTGCCGAGTCAAAATTTCAATCCGTTTCATGGCTTTCAGACACACTTACCACTTTGCCGGGCCGAAACCAAGGAGAATTCTGGCTCAATAGACTCAACCCTTTGAAGACTGATCGATTCTAGACCGAAGTGAGATTCATACGCCAAGACAGCATCAGGGTAGACAACTTACGCGCAGTTTGCCACCCACCCGCAGGCATGATGGTAAGAAGCTCCCTGGTGTAAGCCGCAGCCGTAAGAGCAGCATAGGGCTGCCACTGCTTGTTCTTGTGCGAATCAGCGTAGTCACAGATCCCTCGAATGACTGCACAGGGAAAATGGTCGAGAAGTCCTGCAGCCTCCATCTCAAAGCATAGAAAATCGTATTGACGAGCCAATCTATCTCGAGTAGCGCCATGTTTCATGACCTGATTTCCTGATGCGATCAGGCCATAATGAATGCGTGGGGTCTGTGAGTCTCGAGGAGATCGGGCGACGAGTTTATCACAGTGCTCACATGTCTCCTCTGATAGGGGATGATCATACTCAGTCTCGAATAGTTGGTCTTGGTCCTCGCCTGGGTATCCAAATTCTGTGCCCGCAACTTGGTACTTGGCGGTTATATCGGAAAGGATTTCCGATATTTGGCCTTGGTGTAGTTGATACTGCGCTTGTAATCGGGACATTGCCGTCAAGACAGCATACGGGGGTTTATTCAGCGACCCCGTCCGTTCAAATTTCCCACCGGCAACCGTTTTGCCAAAATCATACTGCACCACTCCCCCAGAGTCTCTAGTCGGTTTGCTCACCACGACATCCCCAAGCCGAATGTCAGACTGCGAGTTAGGCACTCCACCTCCGATTCCAACCATTAATCCGACCTGAACAAAAGGGTATGTCAAACGCATATTGGCAGCCACCACCGCTGCCGAAGCTGTGCCATATATCCCAGTCGGTAGACAAGCGATAACCACGTTGTGCGCTCCTATGCAGCCTAGAACGTAGGTATTATAGTCCCCGGGGCTCGATGGCAGGTCCGAGTGTTTCTCATCAAGCATGGCGATGGCAGCTGCCATTTCCACGGGAAGCGCACATACCCAGCCAACCCCATAGTCCTGATGGCGCTTAGCTACCATGATAGCAGTTGCACGGCGAAAGGTGTGCCCAGGCGAGAGCGCGAGAACTTGTCAAGGCGACGAATAACTGAAGAGCGACTAGGGCGCTGATAAGATGTGCAAACTGCAAATAAAAAAGGACATGATCGTAATGACCGTCATTCGAAATGATAAGAAACAAAGCAGCTTGGGAAGCGTCGAACATCTCGTGTTCAGCCACGTGAGGCTAGGGAACGAACTAATTGATACAAGGACGGACAATGGCGCATACTGGTCGAGCGTCGACTGCTTTTGCTCCCGCGTTTTGTCCAATAACAAGCCTATCGGTGCCGCAGTCCTCGTATTGCAATACTAAAGAGACTACCCGATGGCTGTTTCGAAAGGAGGGTTTCGAATGGAGCTGGAGTCCCAGAATAATGTTGACGTTGTTTTTTCCTCCTCAGTTTTCGTTGTTGTCTTCGCCGAGAGGGTCGTGATTGGACTTATACTTTCTGCTCCAATCAATACCAACTCTAGCTCATGTCTCGGCTTGCAGTAAGTTACATTACCTGAGTGCTTGACCTTGTCCATTCCCGCTTCTTGCTCTATATGACAAAGGATATAGCGGCCGCAATTGGTTTTCGGCGTGATCCTACAATAATATACATTGTTCGATCAACGGCTATGATAGGGAAGAGCTAATGTGGGGCTGCGTCAACGGAACAAAGAAGGTTCGGCAAAGCATCTCCAAAAACAAGACCGGCGGTTCTGGACGATTCTTTTGGCAAAATGCAGAAGTTTTGTTGTTCAAATGGCCTTAATAACGATTTAATGAAGGAGCACAAAGTCGAAGGACCACGGCCTAAACAGGAAGGCGCACGTGTGGGGCTGTTGTTTGTTTAGTTTGTCCCGCCTTGTAAGACATCTCCAAGCTTCCCTTCTACACTTCGATTCCAACGCGATTCCCATACTTTCTTGATACTGCAACAGCGAATATCCACTTCTATTCTTTTGACTTCGCTGAGAACGCTCTCAGGGCTATTTATACAACCGTCAAGCCGCTGAATCCTCTCTCACGTCGAAATGGAAAATCTCCCTGGTGAGCTTCCAAAAGCTAGCTCTCCGTCAAGCTGCCCGCATTAACAAGCGAGTGCCCCAGAATACATTCAATCGCTGCTACACCACCCAACAGTCCAACAAATCGCCTCTTCCCCTCTAGCGTCCAGTTTCGCCAACCTCCACGCAACATACCTCAACCCATCCTTCGTCCACCTCAGAGAATCATACCTTGATCCATATCTCGCCCAGCTGCGCTTGACCTACCTAGATCCCTACGTCGTGCAACCGCTTGCGCACCTTCTTGCTACGATGCCTGATTTTGCCTCAGTTCTTGCTATCCTGCTCGTTCTATTCGTCTCGTTTAAGGTCCTCGATTACACGCGGCGCGCGGTGATGTGGTGGATAGGGACAGCAATATGGGTGGCTAAATGGGGTTTTATCTTTGGTGGCGCATGGTACATTTGGCTTGTGGGATGGGAAAAGGTGGTGCACGACCTGGGATACGTCTTCAACTTTCTTTCGGGGCTGCTGGAGCAGTATGGTCATGGCCTCGAGTCGAGACCGCGAAACGGCCAGCCTAGTCAAGGACAGTGGCGAAGGAATGAACTGTGATCATTGGACTCGATTATCATTACAATTTCTCGGATTCTGGGATTGGCCGATACAAAAATTTTGCATTCTGTGTTATGACGGCGTCGGGTTGGAAATATTAAGCATGGATATTGGTGGTTCCTGCATACATTGTTCCTGCTGGATCTTGACATGACTGGATGAGCTATGCATTGATAGAGTATTATATGTGTTCATGAGAGTTTCCAGTTCTCTTTAAGCTTAGATAATGATCTAATGTGCCCGCTCCAATCAGCCCGTAGCGCAGCTTCAGCAGCTCAGCAGCTTGTGCTCATACTCCAAGTATATTGCCGAAGTGCCCTTTCTTGTGGCAGACAATATCGTGGTATTTAGTTGTGCCCGGACGAGAGCGTAGCCTGTATGCGTGTCGAATAACGGCATAAAGCCGAATCCGGCGCAGAGACTGATGGCTGATAGCTGTATAACCGAACCAGTAATGTATCTCGGCTCAAATTCCCAAGTCAACATCTTCAATCCTCGTAATCGACTTCCTGCGCATCGTTAGGCTCCCTCGGCTCTTGCGCCTCGTGGTACTGAATGGCGTCGTCGATATGGCTCAGCACAGCAGCAACACTGTCCTCATCCTGAGCCTCTAACTGTAAGAAGGACACCATGCTGAAGTCATCGATTAGTTGAGCGACGGCGCGGTTCAGCCTCTCAAACGACCCGCCGCTCATCAAAGATTCCTTCGACATGGGGTCCGAGCTCGCAGCATCCTCTGCCTCCTGATTATCCTGCAACAGTTGCACATCCACCCGAGTAAAGCGTTTCAGTTCCCGACGTGACACCATCTCGCGCACCTGATCCATTTTCGTGAGGATGTTCACGTGCGGCATCTCCAGCATCAACATGGCGGACATTGCGCTCAGTGTCCCCGCGAAAAACTTGGCCTTGTCGACGACGAATGTGCTTTCGAGGAGATACGCGGCGCAGAGGTTGATATTCAGGGGGCCTGCGCGAGATAGGAATTGCACGAGCGACGGGAGAAGTGGTACATGTGTATAAAGTTCGATTTGACCGGGCATGTCGAAGATAATCAAATACTCTTCGCTAAGCGGATCGAGGGCTTCGGTGAGGAAATCCAGGTTTTGCAAAAGGAACTCGAAGCAATATATCAAGCCTCCGTTCGGGCCGAGCCCTAGCTCCTCCATTACATCTTCGAGGGTGATCAGCTCGCGGATATCGAGGTCAGGGTCGTACTGGAAGCTCTCGGCGGCGGGGTCGAGGTTGACGTAGAAACAGCTCCGGCGCGTGGTCTGGCAATGCTGGATGAGGGCGTTGCAGAAGGTGGTTTTCCCAGCGCCCGCTGGGCCCATGACCAGAACTCCGAACTTGGACATAGCGATGATATATGTGTTGATTGCTGTTGATAGGGAATGTAGAGATATCGGAGAGACTCGAGTTTCTGGGAATTTTTACTCCGCTCTTGAGGGATCCACCGCCGCAATTGGCTCAGGTCGAGTCTGCAATAATATGCGGTATGCGCCTATCGACACAGCACGGGTTGAACCCGAGCCTCCGAAGCTCGAGTCCCTATTGTATCTAGTCTACTCCGTACTCCGGCACCCCAAGTCGTTACTGTCAGCTTACGCGCTGATCCGCCAGGAAAAGGATCTAGCTCAACTCAGACTTGTCAGCTCCGAGGATTATCACGCAATTTCACTGAATATTGGCAGTGTCCGGACTTCGGTCTTTCTCTTTGCGGTGGGATTTTTCTGCCACCGCCCCGACGGCAGTTGAACCAGCCTTTTCCCGTCCCCTCTTTAAATCAGTGCAGCCCCGCCCTCCTTTTTTCTTACCTCTCTTTTCCTCATCCATTCCTCTCTCTTTTTTTTGCTCCCCTCCCTATCGTCTTCTCCCCTCAATCCCACACCACCGTCACAATGGGCTCAGTCGCTACCCCCAATGGAACTTTCCTGTTCACCTCCGAGTCTGTCGGTCGTGGACACCCTGACAAGATCGCCGATCAGATCTCCGATGCCATTCTTGATGGTATGTCAATATTGACTGTAGCAAGACCGGAAGATAGGCACTAATGAGGTACTAGCCTGTCTCGCTGAGGACCCCCTCTCCAAGGTCGCTTGTGAGACTGCTACCAAGACTGGTATGCCCCTTGCCTCGCCCGCATCTAGGCGCTTTGCTGATCATCGCAGGTATGATCATGGTTTTCGGTGAGATCACTACCAAGGCCAGACTCGACTACCAGGCCATCATCCGTGGCGCCATCAAGGACATTGGTTACGATGACTCCGAGAAGGGTTTCGACTACAAGACTTGCAACGTCTTGGTCGCCATTGAGCAGCAGTCGCCCGACATCGCCCAGGGTCTCCACTACGAGGAGGCTCTTGAGAAGCTCGGTGCTGGTGACCAGGGTATCATGTTCGGCTATGCCACCGATGAGACCCCTGAACTCCTCCCCCTCACTCTCCTCCTCTCCCACAAGCTGAACGCTGCCATGACCAATGCCCGTAACGACGGCTCCATCCCTTGGCTCCGTCCCGACACCAAGACTCAGGTCACCGTCGAGTACGCCCACGACAACGGCGCTGTCAAGCCCCTTCGTGTGGACACTGTCGTCGTCTCTGCCCAGCACAGCGATGATGTTACTACTGAGGAGCTCCGCGAGGTTCTCAAGGAGCAGGTCATCAAGAAGGTCATCCCCGCCGAGCTCCTTGACGACCGCACAGTCTACCACATCCAGCCCTCTGGCCGCTTCGTCATTGGTGGTCCTCAGGGTGACGCTGGTCTCACTGGCCGTAAGATCATTGTCGACACCTACGGTGGTTGGGGTGCCCACGGTGGTGGTGCTTTCTCCGGAAAGGACTACTCCAAGGTCGACCGTTCCGCTGCCTACGTTGGCCGCTGGATCGCCAAGTCCCTCGTCGCCGCTGGCCTTGCCCGCCGTGCCCTTGTCCAGCTCTCCTACGCCATTGGTGTTGCCGAGCCCCTCTCCCTCTACGTCGACACCTACGGCACCTCCGACAAGTCCTCCGAGGAGCTTGTCGAGATCATCCGCAACAACTTTGACCTCCGTCCCGGTGTCATCGTCCGCGAGCTTGACCTGGCCAAGCCCATATACTTCGAGACCGCCCAGAACGGTCACTTCACCAACCAGAAGTTCTCTTGGGAGAAGCCCAAGACCCTCAAGTTCTAAGCGCTGCCGCTTCGGCTTGATACCCCTATGACATATTCTCCTTATCTCTTACGATTGTAATGATTCCTGCTTTGTTTTCAACAACTCAAAGCACAAGCATAGACATGTCAAAACAAAAAGCACATTTTGTTTCATTTCCTATTGTCTGACTATTTCTTTGCATGGTCCCCGCGGGGACCAGGGTTGCGCGGATAAATTCAACATGATACCACTGGGAGGGCTGTTACGGCGTTGCTTGGGAGCGATCATTCAACACTTGAGCCTTAGAGCTCAGCATCTCGTCGCAGGCCAGATGCCTGCATGCTAATCTAAACATTGGCAATATAGATTAATAATATACAAACTGCATTATATGCAACCATTTCTCTATATCCTCATTCTCATCAAATGTATCACTTGTATCACATGTATTCCTTTCGAGTTTGTACATTTAAGTACGGGGTACGGAGTAGTGAGCGCTCAACCTCGACGGTGTACATAGTCGACAGACTCGACACGGAGTTTTCATGTGTTTTAAGTTCTGAGTTCGGTCTTGTCTTCGAACGGGGGCTTTCCGGTACAACCCCACAATTCTCGTCGCTCTGATTGATTTTGGCATGATTTCTGGCATTTCTGTGCTGATGCCGGGAATCCGGATGCCCCATCTAGTGGCCCCACGAGAGCAAACTCAGCAAACTCATGTACGGCACTCGTGAGTCGTGACTCAGGCACTCAGGCATTTTGTTTGCTTTTCCACGGGTATCCGTATCCGTATCCTTTTCCACTAAACGCCTGACGCCAAGCCAAGTCGCGTCCATGAGATAAGAGATAGAGCGTGGATTCTTACCGATCACTATACCCTTTACTACCTATCTACCTCCTGTCCCACTCTTCTTTGCGTTCTAGAATTGTATCATACCTGTTACATCTCTGTCTGGATTTTTCACCACCAGCCGTACAATGTATGAGTAGTTCCAACGCGTTCATGGCCTCGCGTGGATCTCTCAATGTCCTCGAACCCATCCCACTCAATCAGCTCCACGATGCTCCCCATCCATCACTGAAGAAGCGCAAGCTCTCCGACTCTAATGGATGGACAGCAGATAACATCATAATACGGGTGCGTAGTCAGCACCGTCCAGTGAACGACTCGCCTTCCAAGTGCTAACATCTCTTCTTTTAAAAGGCCCATGCCGCGTCCTTGTATGATGACCCGTACGTTCTTGAACCGATTGCGGTGATCCCACGCTATCAATTGCCCTTCGACTGGCTGGATGCCCCTTCGGCGCTATCGCAAATCCAATCCGGAAGTCTTTTCGTTGCGAATATCCCGGCTCTCGAGTCGGAGCCGCAACCTGAAACGGTCGTCCTAATCGTGCGACTATCTTCTGACGGAGGGCTATATGTGGTTGAGAGAGTCAAACGAGGGATCTATTCACTCTCGAAATTGGCTCGCGGCGTGGAGGAGGGGGATGTCCGTGTTGCGGTCAAGGCGTCTAGCCAGCGAGTCAATTCCCTGCCTCCGTGTACACCTCGCAAACAGCCGGATGTCGTCTCTAGTGGTGACTGGTGGCGGCTGGCGCAAGTTGACGATCCTGCGCCTGACCTCACTCTGGAGCTACCTGCGAAACGCGCCAAGGTTGATTTCGTTTTTGGGGCGTCCTCTGAACTTATTGATAGTGATGAGCAAACGAAGGGCGCTACTTCCATGGGCCATACGGAGAGGGGCTCCAGTTACGATGTCCGCATGCTTTCGGTACCTCCAGAGCCCGGGACTACCGAAGCTGTGGCGTCTGGTGAAGAGGGTGAGGGGATTGGTGAGGCCACGCAGACCCCTCAGGAGTTGCTGGATGGGCTGCGGGAGCAATACCTCCAGGCTCTCTACGTCTCCAAGGCATCGGTTGCATACTTTGCCAAAGGCCCTCTACCCCGTTGTCGAGCCGCATTCCAAGCTCCAGAGCATGGGGAGGGCAACATCTCTGAGCTCATCAGCTTCTACAGAGAGGCTATCCTGACAGCGAAGAAGATGGACTTGAAATTCCGCGAGACGTTGCCAACAACCCTTCATGACATCGTGCTCACCATATCGGATGATGAAGCGGCACCGAAGAAACGAAAGAGTAAAAAGAAAGCGCTGGGAAGAAATGGTCTCTACCCAGAGGAGCCAGACTTTGTCCGAAAATGGTGGAAGAATAGAGCAATGACCGAAAGTAGCGGTCCTGGCGAAACCTCCAGGGATGCGGAAATCAAGAAACACGTGTCCGACTTGCGATTACGAGAAACTCAGCTTCAAATCCTATTGATTCTAGAGACGATCGCCCTCGAGACAGGTGCTGCGGACGAAGCAAAGAAAGCTGGCCAAGGAGAGGCTGCTGATGCAACTGCCCCGAAGCCCAAAACCAAGAAGCCCCAAGATCTGAACGTCATGCTCGAACTGCACCTTGATCGTCTGTGTATTTGGCATGCCGTGAGCTTTGACGATGCGCCAGTTTCCGAGTCCCAGGCATCGGCTGGCAATCAACAATCTGGTAAGGGTGGAAGCGACGCGATGCGAGACTTCTGCACAGAAGTTATTATCCCATTCTATGCTTCGCGGCTGCCGGATCGCTGCAAATCAATCACGCGGAAACTGGGGGTTTCCGCTAGCACTATACCTGCATTGTCCAAGTCGGTAAAGAAACTGCGCAAGGAACCGGGAGCTGTTGAGCGCATTCCATCTCAGAAATCTCGACGCTCACTACATCGGGTCCTGACGGACGAGCAAACCTCGCAAAACCGATCACAACCCTCGCTTAATCGCTCGATTACCGCTCCGTCGCAGATAGAAAGCAAGCGAGAAACCACCCCCTTGTTACCAACAGTCAGCGCCAGCGTTCGGGGCGGTATTCAGAAAGCGAAGAGGGCGGAGAACCGGGAAGTGGACTTGTTTGCCGTAGCACGGCAGCACGAGACGAAGCTCAAGCGCGTGCAAATGCTCGCGGAGCAGAAGAAGGAGCTAGACGCTGCTATTCTCGCGCTCCGGAAGCCAAACCGCGAACTAGTCGCCAAGGATATTGCCCAGGATGCAGAGAAGCGAACATCCAGCTCGAGGAAACCCAAGAACCCGGTCCGGAACCCGATGGGGCAGGGTGTTCAGGTTATGGCCACACCTAGCAAAATCCGGAAGAGAGACGTTGGTCTTCCCCCTTTGCCCAAGAGCGTCACTAGGTCAAAGTCGAAGCCGGCCGTTGTCTCTTCATCACCTTTTACAGCGGAACCTCAGGTCATTCCTGGCTCTACCATCAAGCCTAGCTCGCTACCCTTCACGGTGGATACCGCGGTACAAGAGACTCCCTCTCGTCGTCCAGCTCAACCTATGGCCTTATCTAAAGACCCTGCTGAAGCCAGCGTCGCGGAGTCACCCGGCCCAGGAACTGGAAACCTCTTCCGAGTCCCTCGGCGACCAGCCCCTCGACCTACAGAAACAAACCCCCTGACCCCAGTGCGGTCACAGCACCAAGATGCTGCAGACGTCGTCACGCCTATAGACGGCCGTCAGAGTCAACGTTTACCTCCATCACCACCTCCGCTATTTGCTCTCCCCGCCAAAGTCACGCCTTCGAAATCTTCCATGATATTCGAGACACCCCCGAAGCCCAAAGCTGTCCCTGTTCCGGTCCCAGTGGTCGCTTCTCGCCGACCTAGTATCTCTAACCCCTCAAATTCTGCACTAGTCTTCGAGACGCCTCCAAAGCCGAAAGCTGTCCCAGACCCAGTTCCTGTGGTGGCCTCTCGTCGCCCTAGCATTCCTACCTCTGTTTCTGCTCCTGCCCTTGTTCCTGGCCCAGTCGAAGCGCAAGTTGTGCCCGTGACGCCGGAGAAATCCATATACTCAGCGCTCGGCTGGGATGATGATGATGACCTTCCAATGTGATTCCTTTCTGGTTTAGCGGGCGTTCACTAGGTTAGACTCAGATTCCATTGTTCTTCAAGATCATGATGTTGCGAATACTAGTCTTTTGCCCAGGTAGGAGTATACCGGGACAATTCTTACCCGTCGAAAATCCTCGCTCGTAGATCACCGGGCCTCGAACGTAACATACTGTGCGTACAACGACCTCGGGAACCAGATAGTGATACCCGATTCGTAATCATACCTAATTCCAGCCCGAGCGATGCCCGGGGCCTCCGAGTCTCGAACTTTGACTCACGCCCCATATGATCTACTGCAGCGACCACGCAATACCTCCACTCCCCCGAGCTCAACTCCCAGGACATGACCCGAGGCCAAGCACCGGGGTAAACATGAACATGAAAGTCTGAGTCACAAGTCACTGAACAGTGAAACATGGCCGAGTTTGCGCCGGTAGATCCCCCATGGTTGTACTATGTACTATGTACACCCTCAGGCCTGGGCCTGCATACATTGCAAATCCACCTGTCTTGATACCATTCCTGACACCGCAGCGGCTACGGCCATGGTCTATAGTACTTTCCATACGACAGCATAAAGAGGTATTTCGAGATTTTGTCCTTGTTTTCTTAGATTTAGTTACTTCGCATCTTATAGGTTTTGCACCATGGCCTATTTATATGGTTACTTTATGCTATGGAATGGTCGACTCTCGATAGAATATATTGCTTAACATGGATACTCGATCCTCGGACAGCTGGATCTTCCTTATATGGGCCTGAAGATGGATCATGTATGGTGGACGGGGTAGGCTGGATCGTGTCCTCGAGACGAGGTCGAGGGGTTCTCCTCCGTACCATACGTACTAAGGTGAATCTGTTGAAATTACCTGCCCTCCGACTAAGAGCCAAAGAAGCCGGCTTTGATTGGGGATTCCCAGTTGTTTTGTCTTGATAGTGTCCTGTTGTACGCGTCGTATCTTGATCCATGGTCGTAATTTGGATTCCCAAGAGGTCATGGACACCGAGTCGCGGGCTAGGGGTTCTATACATAGTTCTACACTGACTCATGGTGAGCCGTGCAGCTGCGGAGGGTGAGCAGGGCAGTCCGTGCTTTTCAGGGGAAAGGGATGGACCCGTTCAATGCCATGCCCAGGGCTAGACTGGGTCTTCTTCAAGGAGAAACGACAGCTTATGTTACTGTACTTAGACCATGGCCCAAACTACGCACCAAGAACAGATAGGACGGGGAGAGTAGAGTGATAGTACACGAGTATGTGATATGCTATAGCTAAAGTAGGCTGTAGATAAGTGTTAGATACATGCAGGTGCGATGTTCGATGCGATGCAAATGCTCTCCAATCCAATCCAATCCAATCCAGAATTTTGTGCAGTCCAATCCAATCCATATAGAAACTCCAAACAGTTTTGTGCTGTGCTCCAGTCCTTGTATATACCATGCACCGTTGCACGCCAGAATGATGAAAGTAGAAGGTGAATAGATATAAGAAGCGAAGAAGGGGATTCGTTATTTCGTTCAGTCGTTCACACGGAGACGTATTAGGGCGGTTTATTAGGAGGTCCGTGGTTGATGAATTGTGTAAGGTGGTAAGTTGATGGCGAGATGAGAGGCGAGGTAGGTAGTAGGTAGGTACTTTTCGGTGAGGGTCGAGTGATTGTGAAGTGTCGTTGAGGTGGTAAGGTGAAGTCGAGTAAGGTTGAGCAACGATAGAAAGCAGGCTAACCGGCAATGCGAACGGGCATGCACTGCACAGGCGACGGCCACGCCTTCTCAAGACAGCGTCGTCCCTTGTCAACGATACCCCCAGCAGCATCCTTCTCCTCGGACAGAGCAGTCTGAGCAGGCTGCTGAGGCTGAGGAACAACCTCAAAGTGGACATGGATAGTCTGCTCCTCCTTGGGTGAGGTTTCCGTGTGAGTCTCAACCTCAATCTCAACCGGCGGCTCGGCGGGCGTCAAAGCAGGCGCGATGGACTCGAGCTTGCGCTGGATCTGCGCGGTTTTGTTCTGTGTGCTTTCTTCATCCTCAGACTCGGAGTCATCCTCGAACTCGAACGATGTGATCTTGGACGCGGTCTCCTGCTGCGCCCACTCTACAGACAGGATGTGCATGCGGAAGTGGTGGAGGCAGCGGCGGATGTCGGGGTCCGGGGCGGTGGCCTCGCGGGCGAGTTTTTGTTTGGAGAGGTTGGTGAGTTTGTAGGAGAGGGAGGTTCTATCGGCTAGAGGTGGGAAGCGCTTATTCATTTTGGTGGGTGTTGTTGTGGTGGTGGTGGTGGTGGTGGTGGTGGTGGTTGGGGAGAGGACGTTGACGGCCATGTGAGATGTAAGATGTTGGATACAGTAAATTAAGGCTCCTAGGGCTGTAGCTATGGCAGTAGGAAGCGATTGAGGTGATTTGGGTGGGAGAGGAGGCTATAGGCGCATGGGTGAGAGGAGGTGGTGGTGGGAGAGATTTTGGGGGAAAGGCAGAGAAACTGGCAGGGAGAGGGCAGGACAAGATTTAAACACGAGCGAGGGGGAGGAACCATCGTGAGATTCTGGCTGGAGTGTTGGTCATGGTCTGGCCCACGGCTTTTCCCAAAGCAGTGACCCGAAAGGCTTTGCAGTGCGCATCGCTGGGCCTAGGCATTTGTCGCCCCCGGCCAGCGGAGCCCGCCCATGCCCTGCTTTCTGCGTGCTACAGCGGTTACTCGTCCGATAGCTTTTCTCACGTTATTCGACATCAGATCGCATGATCTATCTATCTTCATAACATCAATCATTGCCACTGAGAACTGTGATGGCCTGGAGAGTCCGGACTCCAGAGAGTCTGGAGAGTCCGAGAGTGGTCTGGTCTGGTCGCTCTGGAGATGCAGGGTCGCGGGCCTAGCAAATTCTCAGAGTCAGTTGACCATTCCAGGTGGAGCGCTTAAGAGTCCAAGACCCATAGAACAAGTTCGATTTCTGGTCGTCTCCAACCAAGTACGTACGCGTCTGCCGTTTATCCATTTTCCCTCCGATCACCTCACCGGCCTGGTCACATTGCCTGTAGATTTTTATAGTCTATATGTTCCCCTGACTGAAGTCCCCAGCAACAAATTAATAATGCGTTTGCGCCCTGAGTTCATTCTCCCGAAACCCCTTTCCCCATGCTGAATTTTCACGCGGGCCCTAGCGCTAGAACAGGGCTAGAATGTCACGAGGAGAGCATTCCTCTCGCCTGATTGGCTGCTCTTTGCGGGGTAATTCCGCATTCGTCTAGCGCCAGTAAGCAAACCTGACTGGCATTTGTTCAGGATTTATGTCATTGTGTTATCACTCCCAACAGTGCCATTCATTCTGATCATTATTCAGCCTCTGATCAGTGCTGAAAATCAGTTCCATTTCTGCCTGATGTGCGGTTCCGCGTTGAGTGTATGTGAGTTTATTTGTTCGTTTCAGTCGCCGGGAGGCTTTCCTGTTGGTTCAGAGCTGTACTTCGCCCCGGTGATGGAGTCTGCCCTAACTCGGTTGTGGGCGAGGTTGAAGTCATAGATCATTGATCTGATCAAAACTGGTCAACGACTCAACATATTCTGTACTCTAACGGCTCTACAATTAATGATTGACATGACGTTACTCGAGATGCTATATTGTAGAGACATTGGGCAGATGCACTCGGTTGATGCCGTGATTTGCGCTGTGATGCCATTGTTGGCCTCTAGCTTGACATGCTGGGGCGATACATGAGGCGAATTCACGGACACACTCATATGATTGTCGGATCTGATATCATATTGTGTGATTCAGTCTTCTCTTCCGTTGTGCTCTGGCCATTATCATTGCCTGTTAGAGCTTTCGAATATGGTCGCTTTAACTCATGCTATAGTATCGTTGAGGTTTCGACCACCATTGTTCTCAATACAACGACCGAGTCAAGCATGAGACCATACAATAGAGTACGGAGTCACTGTCTCTGCCTTATTCCCCCGCGACCCAGTTTCCCCCGACCCCGTCCTCCTCCGTAGGTCCTCCGTGTCTTCCCCGGGCAAGCTGGCTCCATAATCATTCCATCGTCATACGGAGTAAATTGGAGGCCCACTCTCACATGCCCAATTGCCCCCAGATTGACTCATACTCTCACGATGAAGCAGCTCCAGAATATACACCCGGGGCCTCGTGATCTCCCGCTTGATTCATCTACCCGTAACCTACCTTGCGACGAAGACTAGCTAAGCTAGTACATGAAAGCTGTGGAAGACCTCGAACTTTTGGCCTAGCTTACCTTCTGACGCCGAGCAACTGCTTGCAGTGGACCTGCGTAACCGGCTACCTACATCGAACAGCTCTTTCGTAGCTTATATCTGCCTTCCAATAAGTCCATGCATATCTGAGCCTGTCTTTCCACATCTCAATCTCCTCCGTACTCTACCATGAACGATGAGCCTGATGTTTATCGATACGCCACTACCCTGATACCCGAGACAGGAAGCTTCGGACATGGATTTAATGTCTCCAATATGAGGTCAGCAGTGGCGCGAGGCGAATCGAAGCATTGACCATGGGCATGGAGTGATGCGGTAGCTCGGCTGTCTCGGGTACATGCAGCTGCAGGCCCGGGGCATGACAGAGGCAGGAGACTAGACGGCACGGAGAGGTCTGCTGAGACCTCTTCGTTCCCCGGTGCTTCTGGATCCTGAGTGGGCGGGCGGATGGATGCCCGGGTGGGTGGATGTCTTCGGTTATTGCTGTATGAGCATGGACATGGTCATCGGGTCTGTAGTTTCCGTCTGGAGCTTGCTTGCGTTTTGTCTGTTTGATTTTAGCCGTGTACGGAGTAGCAATCGGGAGGAATAAGCTCGGAGTCTTTGAGATTACCCTGTTGGTATGGAGGGTAAGGATGGGAGAGTGATTCGAAATCGGGAATATGCAATGGATGTGGTCTGGGAAGTAGAGGCAGCGACAGATATCTATAGAAGTATGAGTGTGTTGCTCAGGTATATGCTAAGAGGACTCTTGACAGAACCTTCGACGAGCATCAGTAGCTGAACGGCATGGCAAACGGACATGGTCTTGATATATCATGGGTGTTGATAGAGAGGAAGAGTAATTGCTTTTATTTACTTTAGAATTCTTCGAAGTCAGAGATATAGACTTGTAATATTTATCGAGAAATTGTCAAGCGCCCTCGCCTTTTTTCAACTCCACAGAGATGATTTTCTCGTTTGCTGTCTTCTCTCGACCCATCTCTAGCTCTTGATATACCAGGATAGATAAGTCACTCGACTGCTACCTAAACCATGGGTCTATATATAATCAAACTCTACCTACGCAAATATCTGCCCTGTCGACCATGTCCATAGCATGCAACACAAAAATTAAATATGGACATGGTCCTTACCCCATAGACCTGGCTAGTATGTACAGCAGCTACAAATATTCGGCCATGGTCTATCCCTATAGCATGAATACAGAGTATAGAGTATAGAGTATGACCGGATTCTGTATTTACAAGGATCCTATAAGCATTTGATAATCTATATATGCAGGCCAAAAGGGCTGGGGGATTTTTATCCCACCATGTTCCACCTACTGATTCCACAGATCTATCCGGTGAAGTCTCTGGTAGAACAGCTTCCACGTCCATAACATATCTAAATCAACGAAATTCCCTCTTATCGCTCGTTCCACTCTAATTGTACAGAGCATAGCCCTACAAAGTAGACCGCGCGGGGCATTCATGGAATAGCCCAGGACAAGGAGTTAGCGCAGCTATAATTTCTTCAGACGATGGACCATGGCCGCAGCGGAAAGCGATGTTAGGGCTAGGCTCCGGAGGATACTGATGGTGAATATGAGGGCAGCCTCTGTACCTAGCATGTGGTGCTAGGGCACCGTACTCTGAGTCTCTGAGTAGGGCCTAGTCCACAATCTATGGATATGCCTGCGTATATGCTCGCAGGACTGCAACTCTTCGCAGGTATAAGCGGTAGGGGTCTATCCAGGTCAGGATATGATGCCGCGGAGATAGACCCAGATAATCTACCTTGTGGGTGAAAGCATACCACTGCGTCTCGTCTTGTTTTCTTCCGATGTTGTTCATTGGGGATATATTTTCCAATGTAGATACAAGACGCTCTATTGGCTGATTGGGTCTGCGACTGCTCCGGACAATTTCTACGAATGATCGGGCTGTTGCTCTGCGTCAGGCCTATCAGGTAGACGAATCCAAATTCCAAGTCAATGATCCTGGATATAGCCATGACTACCTGCTGCAGGTTATTGTTATTCAGACCGGTGCAAAACAGAAGCAGATCCATGATTCGGATCGCGACAAGTACTCCGGTCATATCGCGTTGACCCTACCTGAAGCTGCCCATACGGGCTCCTTCCAGACAGTGCGTACATATCGAATGCGTGAAGAAGTCGAAGAACTCGTCATATCATCCAGCAGCCACAGTAGTAGAGATACCAACCTTGCAAGTTACACCTAGCACTAGGTAGCATTGTAGCGTTCCGATCTAGAACATGCTTGACGGTCATTGGTTGATCCCAGGCTCGTTGGTGCTATGCTCAGCTTACGTCGGACAAAGAATGCAATGCACGTCCTGCTGCGCATGCACCGCCCGCCCAGCTTTAGCCTTTAGCCTTTTGGACCCTGTCCCTGCTCCCGACCCCGCCCCCGTCCGTTTCGTCCTCTGATCGCCTGAGTGTGGTGTGACTCACACGGACGGAACCGTTGGTTTGTGTCGCCTTCCCGTCGCTGTCGCTGTTTGACAACGACAGCTCGCTCGCGCGATGAGTTACCTTCTGCAACGGGCCTGTCGATCTGTCCGGTTTGGACGCGGCGATAGGTGGTAAATAGTACTAGGCAGACAAGTGCCCGCATCCATGCCGTATCTTGCATAGCCCCCAAGGAACCCGTGGACTGGACTGCAGTGGGCCAGGGCAGGCAGCATAGATTAGGCAGGGCAGGGCCAAACGGGAGGGTGGACGCACGGTCCTGATCGACCCGGGTTTCCGCTCGGCCTGCGCAGATGACCACTGGGCAGCACGGTCATCTGCCATGTTGTCTTGGCCGGGCTAGCCGGAGTTGGTTATGAGGGGTTCTTTGTTTGGAGTGAAGTGGTTGACGGATGATGCGTTTGGTAGGCGGAATGAGGGGCTGCTATCGCATTTACAGCGACAGCGCGAAGGCAAAGTATCGCGATTTCAAATAGAAACAACATATCGTAAGATCATCGCGCCGAAAAATGGCATAGCGATGATTGACGGTCTATTCAAACCTAGAATCGATAGTTTTGCCGCTGGTATACTTCGGGCTCGGTAGAGTCTCACGCAAAGGAAGAACGCGAAGCTTATCGGGTCATACAGCTAACGATCATCCGCCCGATCAGAGCGCATCAAATCATATGAAGACATGGCCCAAATGAAGTCCAGGATAGCCTCGTCACTGGCCAGCTCGTGCTGAATGGCATGCCATGAAGCGCCTCGTCGTAATCTACAACATCAAGGCTAGCGCGCAGCAACTGCACGTCTAGAATCAGGTAATAGATCCTTGCATCTTTCGTGCATTAGCAAGATACCTCTCGCCACTAGATAGCCACTAGGAAGGCTGGGCTGGGCTTGCGACGAGATAACGGACAAGCTGCTGGGATCCGGACGGGCGCTTCGATTATATTGTCGTGACAAAGAATCCAAGATTCTCTTGCCTCAGCTTCTTCGACAAACGCTGATCTTTTCCTGCTTGGATTATCTCGTCCAACAACTCCGGAAAAAGAATGCAGAAGGTTGAGTGATCGGAGCTGATCATCGCTCGTGGTCAGCATGATCGTGGTCACTGGCGCTTAGCGTAGCGTAGACAATAGCCTGTAGCATCCTCGACTCGACTCGACCAGACTCGACATTACTGATATCACAGTCACAGCCAAAGTAGTCATTGAGAATGCTACTAGACAAGCCACAGCCGTCCGTCAATCCCTCGCGTTGGCCGCTTCTCCGAGATCTCCCCGTCCAGTGCTATCGGCAGGTCGCGTCGGCGACTCGACGAGGCTCTTCCTATCAGATCAGCTCAGCCTGATCATTTCTTTGGCTGCTCTTTCGTCCAAACTGGTTGATTGTTTTCTGCGACATCATTCGCCCTGTTTCTTAATTTTTCTCTCGCGGAAATCGCTGCCCGCGCCCTCGCTTGCTGAACGACGCCGCTATTGCCGGAGATGCAGGGTTCTTTTCGTCGAGTCTCGAGTCAGAGCTCCCTGCTCGCAGCTAGCCCGACTAGAAGAGGAAGAGGAACTCCGCGTAGTCACGGAGTAGACGAGGTACGGAGTAAATGACCAGGTTATGTCCAGGACGGGATCTGTGCAGCTTACAAATGGTGCATAAGCGCAGCCAATCACAGCATAAACAGACTTGTGCGACCGAGTCCCCTCAACAACGAATCCCAAGAATCCTTCAACTCTTTCATCAAATCTCCAGCGCCGTGGCCTCGCTTTGTCTGGTGCATCGAGCATCGACATCTCCAACCTTTGTCCCCACTCCTCCTCGTTCTCCGGACTTTGTCCCCCTCCTCCACCCACTAATCCTGCCTTTCTACGCGCATACTCCCAGGCCCCGACTAGAACTACCCAGCACTGTCTGTTGGTCACACCCACCCCCGTCGCCTGTACCCACTGATCGGTTCCGTCACGGCAGGCTGTGAATCATCTTCATCTCGCCTGGACCTTTTGTGGCTCTGCTCTTCTGCAGAAGCTATTGGTACCTTGGGACCCTGTCCCGACATTCAGTCCGGTCTCTTTGATCTCATTCAAATCGCAGCAGTCCCCAGCCTCGTGTGGCGGTGCATTTGCCTGTGCCTGTGGCTGGTGGCCCGTCGTCTGCCTTGATTAGTCACAATAACGTGATCTTCCCCTCTCCAAGTCCAGCCAGAGTTAATCCAGCGTCCCGTCCACCACCAGCCAGAGTCAAGAGCCCGTCCTCCTCTAATCTCTTAACCTATCCCGCGTCCTGGAAGCTCTGACACTGATTTGCTCCCATCGGTTTCCCCGCTGATCCGCCCTGCTGCCACCTTCCCAGTCTTACACCACCAACTGCATGCGAACCTGCGACACGTCTGCTCTGAGTTGTCCGAGGGCCACCTGCATCGTCGCTTCGTTGTCTCTTCCCTTCGCCTTGATCCAGTAATCATCACATCACCTCCATCTCGGCGTTTTGACTCCTCGCGCGTCTCTCTGACCCGCCCGCGGCCTCGCGACCGCTCTTCACCCTCCCCCCGTCCCTCCTTGGCCCGCCATGTATGGCACCTCCCATTCCGTTTCCGCTCCGATGAATGGGATCGGAGGCGATCTTGTTGATGGCTCGGGCACCATCAATCCTGCTGCTCTGAATAACACTAATGGTATGTCGCGTACTTGTATACTATCGTCACATTTGTTTTTTTGTTCCTGTCTCGTGTTTGTGTTGCGCGACGTACGTCGCGTCATCAACATTACTGGGGTCTACTATATTTCTTATTTCTTATCGTGTCCATCGCGACGACCCTCGAACTGACCCCTTCTAGTTTCAGTTGTTCTCCCAACACCGCCTTATGGAGCAGCAGATCCTAGTACAACCCCTCGCGGCATCAAGCGCGCCCGCACGCCGGAACAGCGCGGAATCTCTCGCGATGGGGACCAGGATGACGGTACGTGCGCCGGGTACTCTTGCGCTTGAAGTACAAGCCAGAGTACACCGAGCTGCTTCGTCTCCTTCGCTGTTGACTTGCCATTTTGCGTTCGCCGCACCTTCGCGACCACATGCTAACGCGCGATACTAGTAATAGACGAGCAAGGCCGTCGGAAACGTGGCCGACCGCCAAAGACCCCCCGTCCATCTACCAGTGACTCCTCAGTCAACCCCCAGTTGCAGACTCCTCAAATGCAGCCGCAACAATTGCATGGATCTCCCACCAACACCTCACCTCCGTTGGCCTCGCCTCCCGAGAAGACAACCCCGTCGAAAGCGCCCTTGGTCAAGGCTCTCCCGACCGTGAGGGACCACACTACCGATCAACTGAACGAGGCGCGCGACGAATATATCCCCAAAGAGTTCGACGACGCAGGCGAGAAAAAGGTGGACGCGAATGGCAACCTGCAGGGTGACCGCGAATACAGGTGTAGGACGTTCACCGTGCCACTGCGGGGAAAGAAATTGTTCATGCTGGCTACGGAGTGCGCGCGCGTCCTGTCATACAGGGATTCGTACCTGCTCTTCAACAAGAACCGATCGCTGCACAAGATTATCGCCACGCAAATTGAGAAAGACGATCTCATCCAGCAGGATATTCTTCCGTATTCCTACCGCTCACGTCAGATCGCCATCGTCTCGGCGCGTTCCATGTTTCGTCAGTTCGGCAGCCGAGTCATTGTGAACGGGCGGCGCGTGCGTGATGATTATTGGGAGAGCAAGGCTCGCAAGCAGGGATTTACCGAGGACGACCTGGCCGGTGAGAAACGCCCAGGCGGCGCCAAGGCCCGCGAGGCTGCGGCCGAAGCAGCAAATGCTGCCAACCTGCTGCCAACTCTGGCACATGGCGATGTGATCTACAGCAACGCTCTGGAAACCGTACCCAGCAATCTGTCGCTAGGATCGGGCGCTTCCATGTCGCAGCCGCTTCCGATGATTCATATGGCCACCACCTCAGATGACCCACGTCTGCGGGAGTACAACAGCATGCCTCGGCCCCGGCAAGAGCTGACCGGCCAGCCGTACCAGGACAAGTTGCAGCCTAGCACTGCCGCTGAGATTCTTAATCAGGCCACGCACACGGCAGACTTCAACAAGATCTTGACCAATCAGCGAAACTTCCGCCAGAAAGGACTCGATGAGTTTTACGCCAAGCAACGTGAAGCTCCCGTATCGGCGGCGCAGTCCCAGCCTGAACCCACCACATCTGTTGCTCACACTATGCAGTCGCCGCGGCTTTCAGCAGCCGGCGTTCTGAGCTCAACTCCGGCACAGCCGAGCATGATGCCGCAGGCTCCAATGATGCCCAGCCAAGCCGGGTTCCAGCCGCCAGCGATGCATCAGCAGCCTCCAGTGGCGCAGTCTCCGATTCGCGCTATGCCTCCGGTTCGTCCTGAGCTCATGCACCAACGGTCCAACCCGGCTCTGGCGCCGCAGGCTGGGCCATACGGATATCCTCCGCAGCAACAGCAGATGTGGGGCCAGCCACCCCCTCAACCTCAGGCTTCCCCTCTACCCTCCAATCCCCAGGGAATACCCCAGTATCCGACCCAAATGCAGCAGCCGGGGTCACAGCCGCAATCCCAACATCAACAATCGCCTTCTCCTCTCACCCACAACCTACCGCAGCAACATCCATCACAGTCTCCTCGTAACCAAGTTCGCCCAGGGGTGCCGCAGATGCCGCAGTCTTTTGCCATGCCTCACGCTCAGACACCTCAGCAGCAGCCCATGGCCTCGATGGGCTTCCCTGGTGGCGGTCCGTACCCTACGATGGCTCCACGAAGCATGTATCCGTCGCAGCACGGCCCAGCCGGCCAGCCCTTCATGCCGGGAACCCCTCAGCAACCGGGAATGGGCATGCAAATGAACCCAGCTATTCCAGGCTGGCCTGGTCAGCAGATGCAACCTGGTCACCCACAGCCTGGCTGGTCTACATACTGAACGAACTCCTTTTTCTTTGGTGTTCAGGAGTTGAATGTGGATTTGGCTTGACATGTATTCGGTTTTCCTCCGCCTGGAATTTACTTTGACGTCTGTTATACATTGCTTACCTCGCCTTGGCATGACAAGGGGATTTGAAGACTCTTAATTTGTGCATTTCATTGAATACCCCTTTTTATACCCGGTTCATTCCCACTGCTTTCTGGTTTCGGGAGCTAGGCTGTCTGCTTGATTGATTGAATTTATGATCTGTGCATTATAACGATAGAGGACCGGTCAGATAATTATGTCAGATAATCTATAGGGACGGCGTCCTCTGCTGTTTTCTGCTTGCCTTGCATCAGTCTCCCCTCTGCACTCACTGCCTTACGCTGCACCTGCACCTGCACTTGTATTCTCTTCTCTGCGGTCATGTCACGCCATGATTCATGCCTGTCTATGCCTTTGTCTCTACATGCACACAAATTGACTTACTCTATGAGTAGTAGATTACATAGTTCTATTCTTACTATTATCAGTCATGTTATAGAATCAGATCAAATCAAACATATCCGCCCAGCCCGGGTCCATCCGCCATCCTCACTCACCCCTCCCGTTTTCAAGCCACAAAGTAACCTAATACGGTGTCTCCGTCGACAAAGCCGGGAACCCCGTCGTCACCGGCGCCGCCGAGCTCTGACACACACAGCCCGATGCCGCGCTCGTCACCGGTGGCGCAGTGCAGTACGCACTCGGCGTAAACAACGCCGTCGTCGTCGTCGTCGGCTGCGGCTCACTGATCTCCTCGGCCCGGATCAGTACGGGGATCACGGCGCCCGTGCTCAGCTTGAAGGCCTGGTGCCCGATCACGCGGAGGATGGAGCTGATCTCGCCGCTGTGCGCCGTGATCGAGATGACCAGATCCGAAGCTTTTCCTCCTTGAGCTGGAGGTGCGGGCGAGTGCGAGGGAGACGGGCCGCCGCAGACACCAGCCGGCCTACCGGTAGACGACCTCTTCACATTAATCGAGAAAGAGCCATTGACCGTCTCAGGGAAGAAAACATCATCCAGCGCCGCGCGGGACCTCAAATCCTGCGTCTCACTTGTCTCACCCTTGATACCCTCCCAAAGCTCATCCTCCTCCGTGAATCCCTCCTCGATAATCCACTCCGGGAACAGACCCTGGATGTAGCTCTTGGTGCGTCGCTCATCGCACGTGTGCAGACTCACGCCCTCGCGGAAGCCCTCCTTCACCGTTGGAATAAACGGCGCAGCAAGGATACTTGAGAGAGGCTGCGTCGTGAACGTGAGATTCGCCGTCTTGAGCGCCCTCGTCATCGGGCTGCTGTAGTAGACATCCGGGAAATGGATCCGCTGCTCCTTGTACTGCGCAGCCCAGTAATCGCGCGCGACCTCGGCCTGCTCGATTCCGGCGGGCGTTAGGTCCGCGTCTTTCCAGGTTGCTGTGCCGTTGCCTGTTAGGAGGGACCAGTAGCACTAGGGGCAGAATTAGTTCCTCTTTGTCTGCTGCAGGCTCCCTTGCCGAACAAGGGTGTGATAAGGGAGATGGGTAAGTGAGGACTTACGTTCCATGCAGGCGTTCCGTAGTAATCCTCCGCGGCATTGTGCCAGCCTTCGCCGTGGCGGCCGAGGAAGAGGAGCTTGTACTGGACGTGCGCGGGGGCTTGCGCGTTTAGGTATTGGAGTTGAGCGTGGAAGCGTTGCCATTGGGTCAGATTTTTGGAGGGGTGCAGAGTGTCGGACTCGTAGGTGCGGTCCAGGAGGCCGAAGTTGTGGGATGTCTATTGTTATTAGTTTGGTTGCTTAGATGTGTACAATTGGGATGGAGGCAGGCAGGCTGGGGTAGATGCTTGATAGGCGGAAGTAGGGAGAAAGGGAACGTACGTAGTCGAAAGTAGAGGGGTCGGTGGAAGGGTCATCTTGGGCAAAGTAGCCCGTCACGGTTGTGTAGTTGATGAATTTGGCGCTTGCTGAGGCGCTGAGGGCCAGCGAGGTTGTGAAGGTTGAGAGCTTCATCTTGTTAGTTGATGTTGCTCCTTGACCTCTTTTCCAATTGAAGAAGAATTCGGGAGGGAGTCAACGTACTCGGTGCTTTATTTATAGGTAGACTTTTCCGTTGATTCCGGTTGACATTACGGTTGACGTTCTGTACCTGAGCTAGCGGTAGGCTTGGAGCGGTTCGACGTGAAGCCATACAGATGAGTGATGGTTCCCACGTGCAGCCAAGAGCGGGCTTAGTAGATTAAGCAGGACACTTAGCAGAGGCACCACGACTCATGTGGGTTAAAGTGGCAAAAGCTCCGAAATAGGACGTAGTCGTAGTAGTCAAGTAAGTCGTCTATTATGTATTAATATAACAAGGTAATAGGGTAATATACGTAAGTCTCCGAGTATGTATGTCCAGTCCAACCCAGCGCTTCCAAACATGCACAAATGAACCAACCAAGCCAAACCACAACACCAATGACCGATAACCAGACCAGCAGAATGCGCGAATCCAACCAAGTTCAATACAAGGATATATGGCAGAGCCTTTTATGTAAGAGTACAGTAATACAAATAATGTAAACGCCGAAATTCATCAGCCGAAATTCGTGGGGGTCCGGTGCTCGGCGAAGGTGTACGCCTTGGGCTTCTGGGATGGAAGCTGCTGGGCCACGAACCGGTGCGCTTCTTCTTGATCGGGGAATTCGTAGAGGTGGAATTCCGTCGCCTTGCTGGCGTCGATCGGGGTGTGCATACCAGCGTCGCAAAATGGAGAGCCTGAAGCTCGGCTACCCGGATGGCTTTGCTCGAGAGCCTGTTCGTATGAAATTGACGAGAGATCCATCTGCTGACATTGGTTCTGGAAAGAGATCTCCGGGGATGGCATGGATGTGGCTTCCCAGTTCCTTCCCTGGAGACTGCCATCGCAACCGTAGTCCGGGAAGGTGGTGTAGTGTGCTGGGGCGGACATGGGAGGCGGGACGCCGTGGTACGGGTATGAAGGCATCATCTCCATGCCTAGTGGTGTGGCCGGCGGCGACGCGATGTTGATCTGCATCGGCTGTGTTGTGGGGAAGAGGTGGCTGGCTGGCTGTGCGGACAGGCAGTAGCCATCGGTGGTAGGGGTGTTGGGAAGCAGATGGTGCAGATCCTCTGGAGTCAAGGGGGTGGGCGGAGCTAGTGAGTTGGTAGTGACGGGCTGGAGCATGGTTGACAGCTCCGTCTTCGCGGAGCTCAGCACACCGGCCTCAGAGAACGTCGACAGGTTCAGAGGAGAACGCTGCGCAGATGGCTTTCGCACACCCGCGTAACGCGAGCTAAGGTTTCCGGCAGATTTAGATTGCTTCACAGTGCCGTAGCTTTGCCCTCGCGTCGTTGGCGACATAGCTTGAGTGTGGAGCATTGAAGAGGACCTAGAAGTGCCAATGGCAGCAGGCCTCGGTCGGTTCCTGCGGGCAGCAAGATCAAGCTCCTTGCCGTTGTCCTTCCAGGTCGCAGCCCGGTCGGTCCGGTTGCCGAGCTGTGAGAGGCTGGGTGAGGTGGTGATACCAATTCCCTCAAATGAGTCGGCGAGCACATCTGATGAGCCCCGTCGCGCAATGGCCACATCTGCCTGCAGGGCATACTGCATTGAGTTGTACGAAGCACCCGCGTCGCTAGCTGAGCGGTAGTCAGAGAGTGTTTGCGAGTTGTCTAATCCGGGAACGGACAGATCCCCGTTTGTCGAGTTCACTGAGCTCCAGATAGCCGAGTCGGCGTCAGTCGGCAGCGATGTGGTTGGGGACACTGATCCAGATCCGTCCATTGAAGCGTTCTGAGCGTCCTGGTATTGAGCTGCAGCATTCATGGCTCTTTGCAGTGAGGCAAGACTGGCTGCACGAGCAGACTCGCTGCGGGTGGGCTGGTGCTTCGACCCGACAGAAGCTTCAGAGGATTGGTCTTGGTTGCTAGATGTGGGCTTTGACGCTTTAGGGGTGGAGACTTTGCTGTCATCCTGCTTTTGCTCATCACTGGCCTCCGCGAACGAAGTGTCCGAAGGCTCTGATTTTACCTTGACGGCCTCTTCAGCCTCCGCTTTTGCCTTTTGCATGCGCTCGTATTCCTCTTGTCTTCTTTGCTGCTTCGCTTTGGCTCGTCGGTTTTGGAACCAGTTCTACAACAGTCAGTCAACTAGTCATTCAACCAGGTATATATCACGTACTGCGACTCGAGGAAGACTGAGGTGTGTTTGCTGGGCTAATTGGCGCTTGACGTTGCTGCTGGGCTTGGGGTGTGCCTGGAACTGAGCCTCCAATGTCTCCACCTGCTCCTTGGTCAACCTCGGCCGCGAGAGGTTCTCGGCATATTCTTCGTAATCAATCAGAGGCTGGTGGTAGTAGTCGACCATATCGAAGGGGGGCTGGGCGTAGAGGTAGCCGTCCATTGGGTGATGCATCATGGTAGGGTGAACCATGGTCGGGTCATAGGTAAGGTGCTGTTCCATTGGCACGCCGGGGTGGCCAGTGAACTGGTATGGGTGGTGAATGTAGTTCATGATCGCAGTGTTGAGCCAAGAGGCTCGAAGGAAAGATTGTTCGTCCGGTGCAGACAGTAATCGGAGGGGCAATTGTCGAGTGTCTGGAGCTGGATCGCGCGAGACGGTTGAGGAGTGGTGTAGAGAGTGGCAGTGGATCGAGATAATAAGAGAATGACTGGGGCTGAAGTTGATATGTATACTTGCAGCAGATGGGATCCAAGATTTAAAACGTCAAAAAGGTCCAGAGGCCAGACATAAAGTCCGACGACTAGTACGGGTAAGGAGTGACTGCTGTGGGATGCGATGCAGGACTGCAGAGGAGCAGAAATAGAAAAAGAAAAAATAAGGAATGGATATTAAAATCAAAATGGCAAAATTAATAAATTAATAAAAAAAAAATGAGAACAAAAGAGGGAAAGGAGTGTGGTGTGGATGAGATAGAAGGAGAGAAGAGAGAGAGAGAGAGAGAGAGAGAGATGGAGGAGAGAAGAAGAGAATCATTCAGACCAGACTGCGGAAAAAGTGCCATTGGATGATCGTCGCCCGGAACTGTACTGAGAGGATCGGTGCGCCGGTATCTGTCTTACAGTACGCCTCTGCTTACAGGCTGCTGCACAGTTCAGGCATGCTAGAGGCTAGAGCTACTCTACTGGGCACGTAAGAACAATACAATGGCAATGGAAACATGGCGAGTCGCGATGATGCTCTGTCTGAGCGTCAGTCCAGGGGCCAATTCGATACCCGACCCGGCATCTTGGCCCTACTCCCCAGTCTCCAGTGGCGGTGACCGTACGACGCTCTGTTCTTCTTATTTAGGTTTTGCCCTTTTTATTGTTTCTTTTTCTTGTTTTGGAGATCGGCGGCTTTCTTTTTCTGTTATCATCGGATTCATCTGAGTGGTGCTGAGTGCTGACCCGCAGGGTTCGTGTGGTTCGTTTTCGAATTTGAACCCTTCCCTTGCGGCATGCCTTATGCCGACCGTCGGCTGACGAGAACGGTACGGAGTACGGAGGGGAGGCTAGGCCTGTCAACGTCAGAAGCGTGGGAAGAGAGCATGATCAATAAAGGGAGCCAGGGGCTTTCTGCGACTGTTCTCGAAGCCTGAGACCTGATTTTGTGGCAAAATAATCCTCTCCTCGGAGTTTCAAGAGGGTGGGCGATTGACGGGAAACTGGAATTGTGACGAGTTGGAGATGTTTTCATCGAGCTTCATCAGTTCCTGCATTAGCGTCGTCTCGCGGGGACCAGTTATCGCTCGCCCGCGGGCAATTGGGGGTGCGATGTACTCCAGCATAGCGTATCTTGATACTCCAAACAGTTAGCAACTTGGTAGTCGGCGGCACTCAGGCCTAAGCGCGCACGACGTGGCGATGCAGAGTACAGACCTTGTCCTAAACTGATTTACACGATTCGACATCTGGGGTGGATCGGGCTGCGCAGACCCAGGATCTTGGGAGTTGGAGAAGCCCGGTGGGTTTAGACGAGGTCCGCGGTCACGGGATAGCTACACATTGTCTGGATCCGGTTAGCGCGACGGGCCGGTGCCAAGACGGTCTTCAGGTGACCCAAAATCCGTTGCCATCCCAAATCTGATCCACGGCTTGGTGTTTGTCTGTACTCCAGCTCCAGGGAGCTCGGACAAATTCTCCTCGGTTTACACGGCGTCTGCTGCGAAACAATCCTCACGGGAGCTCCAGAACGGTGGGTTCTTTATTTACGATGAACTCCTTTGACGGTGCTTGGTTTCAGAAGCCAATAGTCGGTCTTCAGTGCTTCAGCATGGGCGGGGGTTCCGAGGCTTCAGCCTCCGTACCGTAGTTGCTCGGGCCAAAGGAGACGTCTCGCTTCCAAATCTTGAGCCCTTTTACTTGATCCAGAAACTCGAGGGTCGTATCTTCCGCAGGATGCGGATGGCACGCCCTGTCTCTCCAGACTCGATCAGGTCACTTTTGCCCTACCGAACGCGTGGAAATCCAGGCTACATCCGCGTCAGTAGACCGGACCCCCAGAGCACGGATCGCCGCCAGCCATGCCTGTCATTCAACATCTTTTTCATGCGATGGCCCTGGGTTCCAGGATCTGCCAATCATCCAACGGCCTGAAGTTGGGGCATGACAAAAACACGAAATGGCAGATCCTTCTGGCGTTTCTGGCATTCTGCCCTGCAAAAGCGTGGCTGCACAAGCCAAGCCCCACTAAATTCAATAGTCGACAGATCCTGTCGATCATGGCCGGGCATCTATTTCGCCTTTTGCGAATGAAGCGCCCGCGCAAGCCGGTCTCGCTGCTGCTGTATCTCAGGAAAATCTCGGGGAGAACGATTGCTGAGTGACTTCCAAATGTCAAATCGCGATTCGTCCGATTTTGAGCTCTGACCTGACCGGCAGGGTGTTCTGTAGATGTGACTGTCAGCTTGTTCAAGCTCGGCGCTAAAGCTGACACTGCGCGGAGCGCCCGCACCAGTCCACAGGTTACGCAACAGCTGTCCAAGAACCGCTCACCATGCAGCGTAAGAGGCCCTCAAGACTCCCCGAGATGCTAGGGGCTCTTTGGCTCCTCGGGACTATCATATGCTGTCCCTGCGGGTCTCTATGGCAAAGACTCGACTCTAGAGCGGTTTATGCATGCATATTTTCTATATTCATGCTTCTCTAGTTCCTCGTTCTGACCGTTCATCTGCCGCAAGACCGGTTGATATTCCAACGCTCATCTCAAACAACCGGAAGAACTTAACCGGCATCTCGGGGATTTGAGCCGTGCCACAGTGCCACAGTGCCAGGGAAACTCGAACGTCATTATTTTCATCGAAATGCCGGTCCAGGTTTGACCTAATAGACGATCATGGGCCGCCAATCACTTTGCGCGAAACATGGATCGCCCTGCCACTGGTCTCCACGATCACAAAGTACCGAGGCCCCTATACTCCTTCGGAGTAAGTCGGTGCTCGTTTCAATGCACCAGGTAAGTAAAAGGAGCACATCCAAACACGCCGTGGTTCACGTGCATAGCTTGAGCCAGCGAGAACAAGTTCTCAAGGGCTGTCACTGAAATTCGAGTGGTTACGAGCCAATGACGGAGCATACAGTGCTCCGACAGAAACCTTCTTTTTGTCTCGAAGCCAATCAGTATTTGAATCACCATCAGTCACAGTGAGGATGTGCTTCGACATGCAGACAACAAAGCAGAATAATACAAGCTCTACACTAGATCCACGGTTGACCCCTGGGATGATCCCGGCGCCCGCGAATACAGCGCACGCTCCCCCGGGGGAGGCGGATTGGCTTGGCGTACGAACCTACGAGGGGCCCGTTATCGCCGGCTGAAAGCCTGAAACAAAAAAAGAAGCTCGATGTTGGATTTCGGGCGGACGATATTTCCCCGACGATTGTCGATCGATGCAATCAGCAAAGCTTCGAAGGGATACGGAGTACCTTCGGAGCAGGCAACCCCTCAGGTTCCCCTGGAGGATTGAGTCCGAGCTTTAAGACCTAACCCAGGAAGTACCGGTGTCTATGGCCGGGGACACGCTCCCAAGTCCCTTTTAACAATTTGGCATAAGGTTACGCCTTGGCAGCGGAGTGATCTGCTGCTAGCTGTAAATCCTCTCAATGAGGTCCTTCTCGATCCTCCCACACCCCTGGGTCTGATCATCGTCAATCACTCCCTGGGATCCTTTACGGGTGCAAATCATATGATACAACCGTATTTTCGGTGAATCTTCAAGATACCGGAAGACTTTTGTGGTTAGTCAACCTTTCGTGATGTCAAGTTGTCAACGGGACTTTTTTTGATGTAGAATAGTAGGTGCCGGACCTCAAGTCACCATGGCCTACACGATACAGTCACTCCTGTAGGCTTGGTTCCGAGTACACCTCCGATAACATCATACCGGTATTCCGTAATCTTACTGCCTAGCTCTGAGACGACGAGATCAGCGCAGTTCCAGCTACGCCACAAAGGTGGTTCACGAAAGTGCGCTATGATGTCGCCACTGATTCACCAGGTATAGGAGTATGTGGCGGTGCCTTTCTCGCCCTCAAACACCGGTTCAATGTTGGAGTTTTGGCGGGTTGTTCTGCAGGGTCATGATAGCTCCAAGCCTTCTCGGAGAGCTATCGTCTGGTTTTGAACTAGGAAGGACCCTTCGGGATTTGTCAGTCGTGCCAATAGGGCGATAGTACTGATTCGAAGACGGAGAATTATAGGTGGCCACTCAAGGGCGAGACCTGAGGGGCGTTGTTTCGACTTCTGGGCTTTTCTTTTGCGGGCCCTGAAGGCCGCTGGATGACTGGATCACTTTTGCACTGTGCGACAACGCTGACCGCGGCTATTTTTGCTGCGAGTTTCCTTGCTATCTTGCGTCGAGCACGGACAATCGAGCTCTGATTACTCGCGACGACACACTGCAGTCATTCATGTTACTTCGCCTCTGCATATTGAAGCCTGGACTCAAGAGAAGCTGCTATCCAGGCCGAATTCTTGTACAGCTGCAACTGTGTATGCATTGCAAAATGCGTCAGCAGGACGGAGTATGTGCATAAAATTATGTGCAAACTGCAGAAGTCATAAAGGGCTATAGCAAATGCCGCATGAGGCAGGGGATTTCATTGAAATCTCGAGGGAGTCAAAGTTCCTTTCTTCGCCTCCTTCTTCTCGGTATCCTCACTTTCAGTCCCCTTGGGAACTTGCTCGCACAGTACTCAAGGGATTCCATCGCCCAGACATATGGCGAACCAGAATCGCGGGGTAATCCAGTCCAGATCACTACTCTCAACCCGAAACACCATCGAGAAACAGAAAGAAACGGAGCAGTGACCCCCACTTGAACGATTACTTATGCCGCAGCATCCCTTGCAGATGGCGCTGAATAAGTCGTTACATGCATGACGGTGCCATCAGGCGATCTAGCCTCGTTTCTGACTCGACGCGGCAACAAAAAATCTGATACATCAAACTTCCAGAACCTGATCAACACCCTTGTCAATGAGGAGATTGCCTTTGGCGTTCAGAACGCTCATGTGGGGAACAACCCCGGCTAAGCACAGCTGGTCGTACGAATGCATTCCATTTCCCGGCAGCTTCCAAATGGACATCCAGCAACCGGGGTCTGTGCCCTCGATTTGCTTTTTCCGTGGTTTATCGGCAGCCTCCGATGCAAGAAACTGGAGCCGTGGATAGACGGTAGCTCAAGCAACATGAGTGCTTCGCTGCGTGCCGTTGACCTGGCCGCTTTGCTCCGGCTTTTGCAGTCCAGCCTCTCGATATTCTGCCCTCAAGCCTAGGTTGTCGGTGAGTGCTCAGCTTCCGCGCGTGCCTTCTGAAAAGTCTGTTTGATTCTGATATATTGGAGATTTAGGTTTGGGTCTATAGGTCCCTTTGGGACGTATCAGAAAAGGGACAGGCAACGCCGCAACGGTGATGCTTACCCGCAACGCTTAGTATCGGTGTGCCGACTTTACTCCCAGCGGCACCACATCATATGTCTCGAAGATTTGCTCTCAGCAAACATTCCACCGCTGCTGTGGATTGGCTATGGAGTGTTGAGAACCAGAGCTCAGCTATGTACTTGCGAACTGCTGGCTTACTGTCTTCTCTCCATTGGGTCCACGTAGCCTCGTTTGTCGGACCCCTGTATTGTTGAAAGGGATTTGAGTATACTCGGCAGCTCCTTGACGGCTTCTCGCTTGCGAGTCTGCTTCTTCATGGAGAGGAAGGGGCGGAGAGGGCCGTTGAGCCTTACAGATGCAAGGCTAAGTCCCAACGTATGTAGGTATCCATTTTATTGCACACGTCACATCCCGCAGAAAACCTTAACTCTGGAGTCTATGTATGTACAATAGCGCTGTCTATCGGTCTAGCGTCTACCTCATGAATCGTGCGTATCTGCAGAAACAGGCAGCAAAATCTCACCGACACAACGGCCGCGAGACTTGCAGCTTACCGGACTAGTCTCGGGGCAACCCGAGCATTCCTTTACTGGAAGGCATTCCGAACCTCAAGCTGAAGCCGCCCGTCAACAACACCCTTCACACTAATACTCCTCAAATCCTCTACAATCACGTCCGCTCCAGCCGCCTGGAGCTGCTCCAATGTGTGGGTAGTGGTCAAAGCGATGACGGTGAGCCCAGCCGCCTTACCAGCCTTGATACCTGACGGCGCGTCCTCCAGCACCACTATCGAAGAAGAGTGCTCCAGACCCAACTTCTTCCGTCCGAGCAGGTAGCACCGAGGATCGGGCTTCCCTTGCTCCACATCCTCCGCAACAACGAGGACTTTGGGATGTGTGAGACCAAGAACACCGAGCCAACCGTCGATGAGTGCGCGTGTGCCCGATGTCACGACGCCCCAGGTGGCGCCGCTCTCTTCCAGAGCAGCGAGGATAGACCGCGCGCCGGGGATCTCGACGGCATCCGAGCCGTACTCCTTCGGGATAACTCCTTCAATAAAGCTGACATCTTTTGGCAGAAGGACTGATCAGATTCGTGCCCTTTATGAATTCCTTGCGCAGGGCTGAACTTACACTCCCAGTTGGCTTTCGAGGGGTCGTACAGCTTCAATGTATCGATGCTTCGACGGCCGTGAGAGGTCTCGAGGATCGTCTTGGGATCGACACCGAGCTCAGCGCCGATTCTGGGTGGTGTTAGCCTCTAGTTTAATCCCATCGGTGGCTCCGCTGTGACTAACTTGTGCCAGTGCTTTACGATCGCTGGGAAGTGAAATCAGCAATGTACGAATTAATCACAATGCAGGGCGGGAAACGGCAAGCGTCGCCCATGATACGTAAGGACTGTACCTGGGGATAGTCACTTACCATCCGTCGAATCGACAATGGTGCCATCGAAGTCGGAAAGTAGGCCATCGAAGGTGATTACTTGAGGAGGGGCAGAGAATGAGCCGGTGACCGTCATGATATCGTATAACAACGAATGAGCAGGATAAAAAGCAGGGCTATGTGGTATAATGAGTAGTTCTAAAAGAAAGATAGACAAGAAATAAACAAATTCGAACCAAAATGTTAGGGTGAATCTTATACACTTCTCCCCTCATTCTAGGTGGGCAATGCGGGCGCCTCGGAGATCGGCGAAACCGGGGTTCCGGTTATCTTAGCGCGGGAAATCTTCAAAAAATTAACATTTCCAGACCGAGTTTTGGCGGAAGTCCGAGTCCAAAACAACACATCCAGACTCTGCCAAAATGGTTAAACTAGGTATGTTAGTCCTTGAAACTGACGTCTGGAACTTCCGCTCACGCAAGCAGGCAAAAATTCGAAGCGGACGCCCGTCCGGCTACGACACAAGATCGAGAAGGCCTCCGCGGCGAAGCAGCGCAAGCAGAGAAAGCTTGCGAAGAAGGTACGCTACCAATTATCTTTGTATATTCAACTAGGGTGAGTGCTGACGATCTTAGAATCCGGAATGGCGCTCGAAGATCAAGAAGGACCCCGGTATCCCCAACCTCTTCCCGCACAAGGAGAAGATGCTCCATGAACTCGAGGAGCGGAGACGCATGAAGGCGGAGGAACAGGAGCGCATTCGTGAGCAGGCTCGTGAGAGGCGCATTGCTGCGAAGCAGAACGGTGATGCTGGTGCGGAGGCGGCCAACTCTACTGCGGTCGACCTCGAGGGCGACGACCTGCTGGATGACGAGATGGACGAGGATATGGGTGACGATGCCAACCCGATGGCTGCTCTGCTTGCCTCGGCTAGGGCTCGGGCTGCGGAATACCAGGGTGGTGAGAGCGACGAGGATGACGATGAGATGGACGAGGATGATGAGATGGATGTGAGCGAGGATGACGATGTTGCGGACGAGGATGGAGTCCCTACGCTTGTTACAGCTGGCAAGGAGACCTCAAGACGCGCATTCGACAAGGTTTTCAAGAAGGTTGTCGATGCGGCGGACGTTATCCTGTACGTGCTGGACGCGCGTGATCCCGAAGGCACACGGTCCAAGGAAGTCGAGCGGGAGATCATGGCCGCAGACGGCGGCCAGAAGCGCCTCATCCTCATCCTCAACAAGATTGACCTCGTCCCCCCGACCGTGCTCAAAAACTGGCTCATCCACCTGCGCCGCTACTTCCCCACCCTCCCCCTCAAGGCGTCCAACGGCGCCGGCAACGCCCACAGCTTCGACCACAAGCAGCTCTCCGTCAAGGGCACATCGGAAACCCTCTTCCGCGCCCTCAAGACCTACGCCCAGAACAAGGGCCTCAAGCGCGCCATCTCCGTCGGCGTCATCGGCTACCCCAACGTCGGCAAGTCCTCCGTCATCAACGCCCTCACAGCCCGCATGAACAAGGGCTCCAGCAACGCCTGCCCGACCGGCGCCGAAGCCGGCGTCACCACCAACCTCCGCGAGGTCAAGCTCGACAGCAAGCTGAAGCTCATCGACTCCCCCGGAATCGTGTTCCCCAACACCACCGAGAAAAAGGGCAAGAAGAAGCAAGACGACCAGGCCCGTCTCATCCTCCTCAACGCCATCCCCCCCAAACAAATCGAAGACCCCGTCCCCGCCGTCTCCCTCCTCCTCAAGCGTCTTTCCTCGTCGGAAGAGCTCATTTCAAAACTCCTCCAGGTCTACAACATCCCTACCCTGTACCCCGGTGGCACGACCACGGACCAGACAAACGACTTCCTTATCCAGGTTGCTCGCAAGCGCGGACGCCTTGGTAAGCGCGGTGTGCCGAACCTCGAGGCCGCCGCTATGACGGTCGTCAACGACTGGCGCGACGGACGTATCCAGGGCTGGGCCACGCCTCCCGTTCTGCAGGTCGTTGACACGACAGTAGGCGGCGCTCCTGCGGATGCGAGTGCCCCGGCTGCTGCTGCTGGCGTCGACACAAGGCAAGTCGTCACGGAGTGGGCTGCGGAATTCAAGATCGAGGGATTATGGGGTGATGGTGGGAATGCAGATGAGACCATGGAGGAGTAAAGTCGGGTCTCGATGGTGTCCTAATGTCTTTTTTTTCCTGTCGTTCATTTTTTTTTTGTCATGTCATGGTCATGGGATACCAGACGGCGTTCTAGGGTACAGCCAAAATAGATTACTACGTAGTTACTGTGGTCGCGTCGAGTCAATTCAGTTCGGACGAGTTTGATGACATCCTGTGTTTTGATCAGTTCTAGGGGTGGAATCACCTCAAGTAAAGGATAGGGTGTGTTCCTGCATGAAATATATATTTGCCTCCCGGTCAAGAGAATTAACCACGACCTCCCTTCGCGACATTAATTTTGGAAAAAAAATCACACAGACTGAGAGAGACGAGTTTGATTCGAATCAACCTCATTCTTTGACCTATTCCGTCTCTCTGGCTCGTTCAAGAGCGACATCCGATAAGCTGGACTCAATATAACTTGCTGGGGTCGCACGTTGGGTCGGGATCTGGAAGCTTCCAGTTCTCCTTCCCTTGCCCTCTCTGAGCTGACTCTACTCGGCACGGTTGACCACATAGGGTGCTTTGTAGGCTTGGTAGCTTGTCTTCTATAGACCGTGGCATAGCCTACGAGCCGCGTCATGGTATACCTATTCGTAGATTTCCACGATCCTACTTGCAAGGTATCGGCTTTCTCTCGTCCCTAGACTGCATTGGGCTGCGAAGGACGCGGGATGCCCGTGCAATATGAGTGCGATGTGAGAACTTGGTACTCCTCGATTGTCGGCCTGGGCCCGAACTGTTCGGGGTGACCCATGGATATGGCGAGCTTCCCATTTCCAAATATGCTATCCTATCAGGACAGGACTTCTCATGGACTCTCTGCCATGGTCTAAACAAGTCCGGTCCAGACAATCCCGGATTCATACTCGTAGTATAACTTCCGTGCGGTTGAGAAAGACTCACAGAGAGCCTCAGCGCATGCCTCCAAATTCTGGAATAATTTGTCCCGGGAAGGCTTCATGCTAGTCTTCGACACCCTGGCCGTCCCATGTGCATTCTTCGGTCCCTGGGAAGCTTTGGAACTGCTTGACCGAGATACTGATCCATCGCCCTCTCTATATGTGCTATCACCCCGGCGCAACAACTTCGCCTTCTATCACCAGGGACCCACCCAACTGGGCCGGACTTGAGCTTGCACAGATGGCAAGTGAGGGCTTACTGGACAAGTCCACAGCCTTTCTTTCCACATCGCCCTGCTAGTACGCGCCATTCGAGGATTGACCAAGGGAAAGACTTCTGGAGTGGAAGTCGGTTGCAAGCATCAGCTGTCTTCCCTGAGCACGACAATCTAGGGTTGCGTCCTTGATGCCCGACGCCCTGGCTAGGCTTCTAATTTGCCTTAATGATAGGATAGTACTCCATTTCTTGATGATCCTCACCCCTCTTGTCGCGGGACCCTCGTTTATCGTCCGACCCTGTGCTCTTGCCAACAGAATAGCGTGAAAACCGGATGGAACTGTGTAGCTGCGCGCTTTCTCGACATCGCTGGGTGCTTCGCATGAAATGATAGCGCCAATATGGCTATTCCATATCTATCTTTCTAACTTTGGCTTTAGATGCCGTTTTGGGAGGGTCATCGAGGTCGAGGTCGACTTGGATTCTTCGGTCACTGTTTTCTTCGCACTTGGTCGGTCCAGGTGCAGACGGTGCTCCTCTGGTATAGATGACGGGTCGGACAAGAGGTAGGACGATGTAGATGTCATATGGAGTGCTCCGTATATTGTGGTTACTGGTGGGTAAGGTTGATGATGAAGTTGAAAGAAGGACGAAGTGGCTGGCGGAGGCCGGCTGTGTAACGCAATTGTCCCTATCAAGTTGGCGTAACCAGACCGGGGTCATGGCCGAGGAGGACGCACCGTTCTTAGGACTATGAAATCAGCTAGTTGTTTCAACAAGGTGAGATTCTACTTCCAAGCAACAGCAGGTACAAGGGATACTAAAAGGGTAAGATAGGAGTCTCAAGGTCAAACCCACTTGCTAATCCTGCAGGTATTCGTTTAGCTTCGCTGTTATAAGAGCGCAAAGAGCACAAATATGAAGGGTAGTAATCAACCAATTCTTCTCCGTAGATCGATTAGTATAGGATAGCAGCCGCCGCGACAGCAGCTCGATTATATACATTAGAGCAGAACGTCGTGGTGCTCGTAACAAGCATATATACAGTACAACACCGTGACTCTGTAAGCCAAGTCAACGAATCAAAAGCAAAATATGATGTAAACACCAAACACCGGCACCAGGGGATATATAGGTAGTCTTTCCAATGCAATCCAGTGTATGTGCAGACTCCAGAGAAGAGTAAATGAGTAGAATGGCAATTGTAAATCGCGGGAGGTTGTATTAATCGGAGTGGATATGTGCATTAGGAAGGGTATAGTTAGTTCCGGCCAAGGAGGTTCTTGAACACGTTGCGTTCGGTGAGGATTTCCTGCTGGAGACGGCGGGTGTCGCGGAGAGCTTCGTCGCTGTTTTGTGTGTTAGAATTATTTCTCCAGACAAGGAAGGGAAAGGGCGCTTACCGAGCGGCTTGCAACTCGGCAACATCGATCTGGGCCCGGTTCATCCTGCTGACGACCTCGCCCATCTCGCGATCCGCCTCGCGCAACAGCTTCTCTAGCTCCTTGACGCGTTGATCTAGCGCCTCGGACTTGACAACCTGCGTCAAAGCAAGTCCATCACCGCTAGTCGTCTTATCCAAGCGAGGCGATTTCGCCATAAACGGCGTGTTGGGAGAGCCGGTGCCAATGATAGGGGACAACGACGCGGGACTGCGCGATCCGTTCTTCATTCGCAGGAGCTGTGCATTGTGGCTCTCTTGCAATTGGCGGACTTCATCTTCGTGACGTGAGATCTCGTCATCAGCGTGTTGCTGTGCGGCAAGGAGGGCGTCTTCCATTTCCTTGAGGCGAGCTTGCATCTCGTTAATCCGCTCGGCGGAGAGCTGCTGGTCCTTCTCACCCTTGTTGATAGCGGAAGCGAGGCGCGCACGAAGAGCCGTGTTTGATGCTAGCTGTTGACGCACATGCTGGGCTAGTGTGTCGGTGCGGCTGAAGGACTCGTTGAGTTCTGCATCATCGACATTAGGCGAGTGCGCGACGCTCGCCTCGGCTTCTTCACGGTCTGCTTGCAGCTGCTGGTAGGCTGATTCGAGGGACGAAGAGGTGGCGATCACTTCCGCAAAAGAGTCTTCACCGCTGTCGTTGAGAAGTTCAGCCGGGACTGCAATATCATGCTCCTGGAGAAGAACCCGAAGGGAGGCAGTCTCCTGCTCCGCACGGTCAAGATCCATTTTCAGACCTGCGAGGCCCTTTTCGCACTGCCATTTTTGGTCGAGGGCGTCTTCTGCGCGCGTGCGCAGCTGGTTCACCTCGTCGCGGAGATTGTGCACTTCACGTTCATAGCCTAGTTTGCGCGGAGAGCCAGCCTCCTGCGCGCGGGCAAGTTCAACCTCCATCGCTCGAATGCGCTTCTCCGTTTGCTTGGCCTCGTATGCCTGGCGATCTAACAGACGCTTGAGAGCGCCGTGGAGGGCATCACGCTGGGCTTCGGCGCCTTCGACCCGGTCCGCCAGGGATTCTTGTGGTGGTGCCACACGGTCCTTGCCGGAAACCGAGTTCGAGCGTGATAGTGAGCCGGAGCGGGATGAGCTTTTCGGGGGCATGCGAGCTAGGGAGTTTGAGCGGGATAGACCGAACGCACTGCTTCGCTTCGTCGGTACGTCTTCTTCTGCGATGGAAGCGAACCGGTTGCCCTGGAGTTGCGATAGCGCTGCATTCTCAATCTTCAGTGCTTCAATTTCCTCTCTGAGTCGCTGCACTTCAGCTGGGTCGCCGAGGGGTTGGGGTTGGCCTTCCCGGAGTATGTCCCGCTCTGTACGGAGCTGCTCCAATTCAACACGCATTGCGGTTAAGAGGTCCTCGAAGTTGTCCTTGATCTGGCGCTCTTCAGCGAGCTTGCGGCGGGTGCTATCCAATGCGCTTTCAAGCTCACGGGCTTTGGAGGCCAAGTCGGAGTTCTCAGTCCTTTCGCGCCGGAGCTGCAGCAAGGTTAGTTAAAGCTTTCTTATGGGACATTATTGGCGACATACCTGAGCAACCTGCGCTTCTAAAATCTGGACGTGCGATTCGGATGCTGTCCGACGAGTACGTTCTTCTTGAAGTTTCTGGCCAATATCGACCCGAAGCTGGGCGCGCTCCTGCTCAGCAGCGCGCTTATACTTTTCAATATCTTCAATACGACCACCCGACTCATATGCGTACCGAATAGAGCTACTCCCCGAATCCGAGAAATAATCACTAGTCCGCCGGTTCGGCACTTCTGTTGGCATCTCCGACTGCAGCCTCTCGACCAAATCTTCCAGCTCCATCTCCCTCCGAATTGACCCAGCCAGCTCCGAGCTGATTTCCCGCAGCTCATTCTCTAGCTCCGCCACCAGGGCGGAGGGGGCGGTCTCTAGTATACCCGCGCTGCTGAGCGAGCCATTGCGCACGGGATAACCTCCATTCGGCCTAGCAGTAGGGTCGAACGGAATTGATGTGGAAGGAGTGATGGAGAAGGAGGTACTAGGTATTGATGGAGGCATTGGTGAAGGAAGCGGAGATCGACCGCCGTCGGATATTTCTGTGCTCGAGGACTCGGCGCCGGGGGAGGTTGAGGCCCTCCAGCCAAAGAAGGAGCTTATTTTGTTACCCGGTGTCTTTGGGTGTCGGGGATCGTGCATGGGATGGGTCATGCTCCGGGCATTGGAATCGATGTGTAGAGGTGGGGGCCGGTTTGTTGGTGGGTGTAATCCCATAGTCGTGGCACGTTTATAGTTCGGAGGAGGGGACGGAAGAACAGGAATGAAAGGTTCGCTGACGAGACGACTATGTATGGGTGTCCCATTCGTAAACTGCGATTTGTACAGGTTGGTTATATCGTCGTCGCTGTCTTCACTGTCGTCGTCTCCATCGAGATTCACAGTGGACGCGGAGGTGTCTATACGGAGAGGAGTCTTGAGGGGACTGCTCCGGGGGAATCTGGAGAAGAGAGACGAACGCACGGGGTTAGTCCTGCAGCAACCCAGGAGGATGGCAAACATACGGCACCCTTAAGCAGAAGGAGTGATGAAGGAGGAAAGGATGAACAGGAGGGGAAGAGGAGAGCAGGAGGAGTAAGGTTACAGGGGGTGGAGAGGGAAGTATGTAGGGCTGGTGATCTTGACTTGTCATACCTATCTATAGTTCTGCGAGCATAGAGCGACGGGTCCCCGCGCACAGAAGAAGGCGCGCCTGCGTTCGATACAAGCGAGGAGATACTATTCGCAACTGAGCTGCTCCGAGAATGAGAGTAGATAGAGGCAGGAGACTGGAGGGGAGAAAAACGAGCAGCGGGATCTGCCTGTGAAAGGGAGCGGATCGAATAAAGAGAGGAGGAAGAAGACCTGGACGGCGACGGCCCAGATCCACGAGGATGCGTAGGGATCACAGGAGAAGCTGTGGGAAGAGGTTTTCGACGCACGACAGGATCAGCCTTGGGAGACTGAGTGATAGTGGCTTCGAATAGATGAGACCCAGGAGCTTGGACTTGGACACCAGGGTGAGAGCTGGCGCCAAAGGGGGTCATGATTAGGTGAAACGAAAATTAGCCGCAATATCGAAAGCTATAAAAATAAGATACGGTGATATTCATAGGACAGAGAACAGAAATGGTAAGGGATGGACGAGAGCGCCGAGAAGAGAGTTTGGTCAAAGCCCAGACAGGCACGCTATCAAGCCTATCAGGCGGAAAAAGAACGGCTGGCTGGATAGGAGAAAAAAGGGCGCGACGACGTCGAATGAAACGCAAGAAGGGGCCAAGTGATGGTCAATGCCGCTCCATGGGCTTTGTATTCTGGATCGGCAG